AAGAAGATGATACGAATTTGCAGTTGCGGAATAAGCAGCTAAAAGATCCGCACTTGGCAATGATCATCGATGAATTGGAGCACCTGCAAGACGCAGACAAAAGGTCAAAGTTTGAGACGCATTACCAGTTATGGAACGGCATACTGTATCGCGTCAAAGACCAGAAAGGAAGACTGGAAAGGACATATGTGGTACCGCTGCAAATGAGAAGGGCAATCATCCATGCACTGCATGATGAAAAAGCAGCAGGTCACCTTGGTTTTGAAAAGACGCTGACCGCGATCCGGCTCAGGTATTACTGGGACCGTATGAGTACGGATGTCAAGAATTACATCCTCGCGTGTCAAGGATGTCAGTTCATAAAGACACCAAGGAAGTGTCCGCCTGGAAAGCTCCAAGAGATCAAAGTCGGACATCCATTCTTCAGAGTCTATGCGGATCTGAAAGGACCTTTACTCCCAACAAAGAAAAGGGGATATAAATACATCGCGGTCTTTATCGACCAGCTGACGAAGTACGTCATAGCGGAGCCAATGAAAACAGCCACCGCAAAAGAATTCGCAAAGGTTTTCGTGAAACACGTAATCTTGGTGCACGGAGCGCCCCATATCCTCCACACGGATCGCGGAAGACACTTCACCGCAGAAGTACTGAAAAAGGTCACCAACGTGTTTAAAATCAAACACACGTTTGGAACAGCGTACCATCCTGAGGGCCAAGGACAGGTTGAAAGACAGATGCAGACCATCAGCGATGGACTGTCGCAATACCTGAAAGCGGGAAACGAAAGGAAGTTTAACAAATATCTTCCCTACGTCATATCGGCAATGAACCGTGCAGTACATGCAACGACGGGGTACTCAGCGTACTACATGCTTCACGGGAGAGAAATGACCATGCCAGAAGACGTAGTGACGAAGACGAACGTTCCTGACGACTACGGTGCACCAGACGAATGGGTCGAAACCATGAAAAGGAACTTGACCTTTTCAGAAGAAGTGGCGAAGTGCAACATCAAAGATGCTTACGAAAAGCACGCGGAAATCTACAACAAGAAGAAGTCAGAGCCGCAATTCAAAGTCGGAGATCGAGTCTTAATTAGACTCCCGAAAGATACAAAGCAAGGAAAGAAGGAAAATCAAACTGACTTCAAAAACAAATACGACAAAGTGTGGAAGATTCTCAGCTTTCCGAGACCGAACGAAGTCGAGGTCATCGAGCAAGATGCGGTGAAAGAGCCGGACTTACGGGTCGTTTCGGTAGATCGTCTGAAATCGTGGCACCCGCCGTTACCGGTCCAGAAAGGTCAAGCTGAAAGGGCAGCTTCGGAATCACCTGAGAAAGGTCATGAAATTGCAGAGCATGGCTCTCATGCTTTCGAACCACGCTCGCGTAACGACATAGCAGAGCGTAGTTGTCAGCATACTTCCGAACCACGCTCTGTACCAGCTATGGCAGAAGAGCCGAAAGAGGCAGAAGAGCCGAAAGAGGCGGAAGAGCCAAAAGAGGCGGAAGAGCCAGGAACGAAAAAGAGAGGAAGAAAGAAGAAAGAGAATAAAGATTTCGAAACACCAGTGACAATGAAGCTGAATCAAGAGGCAGGAGACCTCGAAGCAGAGCATGGATCTCAAGTGGCGCCTAAGTCAAAGCTTACTCTCGAACCACGCTCTCAAGTAGCAGAGCATGATTCCAAAGATGCTTTCGAACCACGCTCTGCCACCAACGGCAAGAATGACCATTCAAGAGCGGAACAGATAAAAGCCGTCAAAGAACAAGCCGACCAACTTGGCCAACGGATCGCGAACGAAATTGAGAAGCGAAAGGTCAAGAAAATGAAGAAAACTCCGAAGCCGACTCCAGAACAGATTCTGAGAGGAGAAGTCCAAGACGAAGATGAAGCCGACAAAGCATTACTTGATCGGATAACTAAAGGACGAAAACAAATAAACCCGAAAATCAGGCTTATAGGAGTTTATGATATTAAGACTGGAAGTTGGGACGGCGTAAAGGTCATCAGAAATAAACCTGCTAATCGGAGTCATTTTCGTTGTCGTAGTAGGTTTGTTTAACGATAAGCTGAAAAATGGAAGGTCAAGGCGGCAGAAGTTATTGGAATCCGGGAACGCCGTCATCGACGAGCGGAACGATTCAGGACCCGGACTTATATGACGATTCAATGAATACGGAGGGAACATACGAAGGGGGATACGACCTGTCTACTACGTATCAACAACCCGACGTGGGAATGAGCTCGAACACATGGGGGACTTACGGCACGCAGGTCGGGCCCCAAGGGCAAATGATGCCGAATCAGATGATGCCAAACCAGATGATGCCAAATCAAATGATGCCAAATCAGATGATGCCGAACCAAGGAATGATGGGACAGAATTTCCCATTCCAGCAATTCCCACAGATGTACGGCCAAAATATGCCCATGATGAACCAGGGTCAACCGATGCAAGGTCAGTTCGGATATGGAGGAATGGCCCCATTTCCGAACCAGATGCAGGGATTCCCAAATCAGATGCAGGGATTCAACCCTCAGCAAAGTCAAGGGCAATTTCGAACACCGAAACCGTCAAGAGGTCAACGTTACCCGGGAGACAGACAAAACACACCGCGAAGGGGCGGTCAGTCGTCTATTCCGAGAGCGTCGACGAGTGGCCAGGGAACGAGAATGGAGATCCCATCACTTACACCAGTCCGAATCCACTCGCCAAGATCGACTGGAAGTATCCCGTGGGCAGTGTTAAATGCACCCAGATTCAACGACCCGATCACAGAAACGGATCCGCAGTACAACATTGTAATGGATCCAAAGGTCACCCTCACAGAGGAAGAAAAGAAGGCTGTGGCAGAGTTTAATGAAAAATGCCGCGAGTTCGTCCAGCTGCATAACGATATCAACGATAATCAAGATCAGTACAGGACAGCTCGAAGAACTCACAAGATAACCAGGGGAACCCACCTCCACATGAAACTGGATAAACATGAGGCGGAAGAGTTGAGAAAAGAAAGGGGTGTTGAAATCAGAACACTGAAGAACAGTAATCCAGTGTTGCGCAACAGGGAATGGCCAAGCGCAGTAAAGACGATACTGATCTTCATGAACCTCATTCCCCCGGAACCAAAAGAAGAAGAACAGGAGAGAGGAGTCAAAACTCCGGCCGAGGAAAGCCCCACTAAGGAAGAGCATACGGCCAAGCGAACGAGGAATGACCCGTTTCAGCCACCGAGTGACCCGTTGGTAACTCGAGAAAGAGAACTGTTGAGAGAAAGGGATAAACTCGACAGAGAAATTATGGAATTGAGGTCTCGTACGACATCGGCAGTACAATCAGGATCATCGCGTGACAGCCCGGCGAGAGAAACTAAACCGAAACTGAAATATGAAAAAGATTTTCTCCCGGTGGAGGAAGGTCACACCAGTCAAGAAGAAAAACCGAAAGGTCATCCTGGCGCGAGCACGCGAAGGGGCGCAGCTCGAGAAACAAAATGTAGATCGCACACCAGAGTTTTCCGGCTTAAAGATAAAACGGAAGGAGTAGTCAGCGCATTCCTAGTCCATAGAGACACTGATCAACCAATTCCATCAATGGGGGAAGGAGCTGACCGAGCCGCATATCAGCTGATGTGCAAAGAAGCCAGCGATACAGCAGAGCAAGCGATTGTTGAACTCATTAAGTCAGAACGCAATAACCCGACCATGATAGGAAGAATCCTGAGAGACCTGTTGAGAGAAACAGCATTCAAAGAGAAGGCGAATATCATGGTCACAATTGACGCGAAGGGTAGAATGGAGAAACAACTCTATAACCCGCAAGGCGAAAAGATTGATATGCTCTCGCATGGAGCATATCCGGCGTCAGGTGCGAAGGGGCACGAGGCGGAAGAAGAAGGAGAATGGGAAGAAGATGTAGAAGATGAAGAAAACCCGCCATACAGAGAGACGGTGTGCAGAAGTCTAAAGGTCAACTATCACATGGCGGACGGAGATGAGGGATACGTCCACGGCTTTATCATCGACCCGACGACCTATATGCCGATCCCGACAGCAGTTGGATACCCAAAAGATCCACCGATCGACAACAGCACTGACATCGTTGAAGGCAGCACACGAAAAAGCGACGCAAGGTCATGCTGCGGAAGAAACAGCTAAAGGTCATCAGACTTCAGCGCAAAGTGGAGTCGAGGAGAAAGGTCATCCGAGCTCAAGTCATGGAAAGATGGGGCAGCCTACTGGATCGCAACTGCCGGTACAGGCTACACAGCAAGTGCAGTCTCCATCGCAGAAAGAGGAGACGGACGACGAGCTAAACGAGAGTAACGTCCAGTGGATGACAATTTACGCTGCGATCGGTGCAGCCCCGTCGAGAGAAATGGATAAGACGGATATTTCAAAAGCAGTCGGCGACGCCGGAGTCAGCAGGACACAAGTCAACAAGCTCATAAAAAGAGCGTATAAAGAAGGAAAAATCGGTGTACGATACACGAACACGAATCAACCGAACTATTACATTCCTCCGGCGGAAGAACAACGAAAGCAGAGACCGAAACCAGGTCCCCAGGCTTGGAAGGACGCTTTGACTCAAGATGCCATGCAGAACATAGGCGGGACTAACGGGTTCACCGCAGAAGACCTCTCCAATTACATGGCAGTTCAGTATGATTCCGGCCAAGAAAATATGAACGGGGATCGATTCAAGATCCAGAACGCGTTGGACAGTTTGGTCAAAGACGGAACCATCAGAACATGGAAGAAGGATGGAGTCGACCAATACGACTGGATCGCGAAAGCGTAAAACGGAAGAACATGTGTGGGAGGAAGGTCCACCACACAAAAAGAAGAATCAGAATCAGGAAAGAGAAAGAAATGAGCAGACCGCAGTTCTCAAATTACTTTCGAACCACACTCTGCAAAAAGAGTTGATTTAGCGAAGGGGCTAAAGTACTTAGCGAATGGGCTAAGATGGGAAAGGTCACCTATACGGTTGAGAATGGTACAGGAAAAGCGCGAGGCAGAGCGAAAGCGGCTAGAAGAAAAGGAGAAAGCTGCGGCAGAGAAGGGTTTAGCCGAAGCAGCTAAAGGTCACGCACCTACCCCATTCGCGATATTGAAGAAACAAGATGAAGGAGAAGCAGCTGTAATCAGACAGTCGCTGATACAGCAGATTGACATCATCTTGCAAGATCCTCTCGCGGTATCGAAAGAGGAATACAAAATCTTCCTGGATGAAAAGGTCAACCTGACGAAAGGAAATAGACCGTCCCAGGTTATCAAAATTGCGATTGAAGAACGAATCGACAGGATGAGAAATTTCCGAAAACGGGAGAAAGATGTGGTTGAGGCCCTTCGGAACTTCAAGAAAGAGGAGTTCAAACGCCCAAAATCGCCTCAAAGAGATGATCGCAACCGCGGCTATGAAAGGTCATCAGACCGCTCCCGAGAAAGGTCATGGGACAGACATCATAACGACCGATACAGTGGATACGCGAGAGATACGCGCACGTCGGAGCAAAAGAGAAGGGATGAAGAACGTATCCGACGTGAAAAAGAACAAAGAGAAAAGCGCCGCCAAGAAGAAGCGGAAGAAAAGCGCTTGGCGGAGGAATACAGGAAAATCAACGAAACCTGTAATAGGCAGCAGGAGAAGGAACGGGCTGCTAAGGAAACGCAAAATCGCGATTTACAGAATCGAGAAGGAAGAAGTGAAGGCTCGAGTAAATCAACATCCTCAAAGGGGCCATATGATCAAGAGTGGGTCCAGGATAACCTGAACATGGCTGATTATGAGTTTGGAGACAAATCCTACAACAGCAAAAGGTCATCCAGCTCGGAAAGCCACCGCACGCCTAAGAGCCCGCGCAGAATGCAGTCAGTAGTCCATTCTGTTTGTTCAACGTTCAAGTCAGCCGAGAAGCAACCGGAAAAGCAATTAGACGAGGTCATGGAATGCAGCCCGTCATCCTCGAATGTCATTGAAGTTCACGGAGACGAGGATATGCGACCGTCAAGACGAAACATTATCTTCGATCTTGAACATCAGCTTACAAGCGCGGAGACGGCGAGTAATGTACCGCCAGAATCAGATTCAGAGAAGGGCGACCAGAAAGGTCAATCAAAGGTCACCGCTCCGAGGAGACATTCTCTCCAAACCATCGAGCTGGTATATGAAATGAACGACATCATGGAGCAAACGAACGAGATCTGCCGTTCGGTGGGCATCGCGCCAGATAATAAGGACGAATTCGACAAAGTTTATTGGCTTCTCATGAACTTGCGCCAGGTCATCAACGACTCGGGATACGCGAAAGAGTACGAGTATGGCCAATGGGAAGACCTGATCATTACGCAAGAATCGGCGAATCTTCATTATTTCCCAACGAGAGAATGTGGCCTCGTCAGTCTGATCGACCTGAGTCTCTTGGAAACACCGTTGGACACTCCTGATCCAACAGGAATGACGCAGTTCCAATACAGAGACATCAAGGAAAGACGACTCCACGTAGCACAATTTGTGTTGCGACATGTGAACCCGGCGTTGAGACTCCTCGCAGGAAGGGCTGCGTTAGGATTGTTGGTCAAACCAGATTCTCCGCCTGATCATCGCGCCACGATTCAGAAGATTTTTGCAGCAAGGCTCGGCCATTATGAATCGCATCACCAGCTGCGAAAGAGCGCTCAAAGAGGTATAGAGATACCGCCAGCACTGACCGCGCAAGTTATAAAGCTGGGAATGCCTGTTAAGAACTTTAACTCCTCGGAAACGGCCAAGAGGCAGCTGAAGGACGTCCAGAGAGCAATGAATTTCGACGAAAGTCTGAGACGTCAAGCGAAAATGCATGCCCACCGATGTGCGGAAAGAATCAGAATCACGATGGGTACGAGATTCATCCAGCCATCCGACTTCGTCTATGATTTCATCCAAGAAATCAGCGTAAATAGAAGCAGCTACCGTCCAGAGCTTGCGAGACAGCCGCAGGAAAATGAAATGAAACGAAGAGGACGAAGAAACCAACAGCTGCATTTGGACTATGTCGAATTGTGCAAAAGGTCACGGGATAATCCATACGATGAAGGATTAAAAGCGCGAATGGTCGACGCTCGAGATCATCTGATCCGTATTCAGCGCAGACGTGACCGAAATCGGCACAGTGGTGCTAGCAGCCGGAGCGAAGGAGACGAGCTGCCTGAGAGGCAAAAGGAACCTCGGGATCGAACGTCTGATCAGAACGAAAAACAAAGACGTTTCGATCGGAACCGCGACAATGGTTCAAATGATCAGTGATGACCTTTAGGGCATCGCTGATGTGCTAGTTACGGCCATCAGTCGGCAGCACGAGAATGGTAGTCAAGGTACAGTATTAGGGCGAAGGAGACGCAACTTTTTGAACTGTCATACCGTTCGTGTTTTGTTGTTTTCAGAATTTTGTTGCAGGGGATCAAGGCGATCTGCAGTATGGGGGAGTTACGGAGGTCATCCGGCCCTCGAAGCAGGAAGAGTAACGGCGTTAACCGGCCTTCCTCATTACATTTAAACGTCACTTCTAGAGTGTAGTTGCGGCCTACTTAGTCGGCACACTCTTAAGGAATGTCAGAAGCCACAAGGGTGAAAAAGAGAAAGAGTTCAAGAAAATAGGGGTAAAACTTTCAGATGTTGAGGTTACGGCGATAACCGGCCTCAGAAGAAGAGGAGTTACGGCGTTAACCGGCCCTCGAACCTGGTAAGGAAAGAAGAAAGGTGCGCGTCATTGGCACTAAGAGAAAAGAAAGGGAAGTGCGACGAAAGAAAATGGTTGAAAACGAATGATGACCTTTGCTAGGGAGGCAAGCAGAATTGCTTGAAAGCCAAAAACCGGCTAAGTTCCTCCATGACCTTTAATACGGAACTCATTATGGAAAAATGGATGACCTTTTGGGATCGTCACGGCCCAAACGAGTCGCACATCAGAAGAGAAAGGGATGACCTTTGAGAACTTCACTGCTCAACGAGTCATCAATCAAAGTTCAAAAGAATGACCTTACCAGGGAGGAAGCATTACGCTTGTCTTTCAAGACGTCCCTCCATGTCCAAGAGGAAGAATCTCATTTTGCAGAAGTCGTACTTGATACGCAATTATTCCAAAGATGAAGCAGCAGTATTGAAAAGTCGTACTTGATACGCACCTATTCCTAAAGCGGATCTCATTTGTGATGGTAAAGATTGCTCAAAAGAGCGGAATGGACCAAAGCGGATTACGGTTGACAGGACCCAGTGACCTTTAGGAGTCGGAGGATCCTAGTCGTTTTGATAATGAATTCTGTTGATATTTTTTTACTGTTTTTACTTTTGTTTCGAGATCTCTTTATTCACACATGTAATTGGAATTTGTGATGTTAAAAGGAGATTAAATCTCGATGTTTTATTAATCACACAGACGAGCCGTCAAGGATCCCAAGGAATTGGATGTGGATTTGCTTCGACGGAGCTCAGCCTCCCTCCCAGAGGCATGTGAGCGCAGGCGTACATGCGTACACCCTCGCTTTGGCAGTCTGTTGTGTATTCATTGCGCGCCCGCCTTACGCGTGGCGAAAGCATGGTGTTCTGCGCGCACCCGCACTGTGTGGCGGCTACGTGCGCATTTTCCTCGCTTGCTGCAGTCAGCAATGCGGAGTTGTCCACGAGGAAATTCTATCGAATTTAGTCTGGTTATAAATTTCTAGCAATCACGCCGTTTCTCGCTTTCTGTAGCGTAGGCGTATTTATAGCATTGCTAGTCTTTTTGGTAGGCAGAATTCCGTCAATTCTGTTCCTACGCGTGAACCTTCATCAGGTCCACGCTCATATTATGTTCCTCGGCCGACAGTGTATTACGCAATAGAATCATCTCGAGCATCTCCTTTCCAACGGCCGCAAAATCTCCCAACGCGATGACATCGTCCGCGGATCGGTCGATGAACTGCAGACAACTCTCTGCAATCTTTTCAGCACGACGTTCAACGCCCTACAACCGATATACAACCGTATAAATATTAGGCTAGAATGATCGTACAGATATAACAGGGATAGGACTAATTTAAGCAATTACAGAAGTTTGACCAACATTTTTCAGGAAAATCAGACAGTTCTCCGTATTCAGCTGGGTGCTAACGAATTCACAGCACTTGTCCACTAGCAGCGGCACTTCGTACTTGTCCGCGCACAGCAGTGTCTGGATGACGACGTCCACACGCAGATCGACCGTGTCAGTGTACAGGAAACTGCAGTCGAGTAAATACAGTCAGGATGTACTTCTGCGTAATCATAATATGTTGATAACCAACGTTACGATAATCTCTAACCTGAGCATATTGGCAAACGCATCGGGAAGAACATCCGGAATGTCGATCACCTGGCGTTTCTCAGGCAGACTGCCATAGAACATGGTATAGAACACGGGGCTACGTTGACACAGTACGTGCCTGCAAAGCAACAGTGAATTCCCGTCAGTGCTTACTTGTGCACATCGAAGGCCTTCACTGGCCCGAAACATCGTCCGACTGTGAACTGCACGTCACTGAACTCTCCACTGTCCAGAGTACGCTTCATGCTGCCGACAAGCCCCAGTCCGGATCGCTGACGCCGTGTGGAACTTGAGGGATTTGCCGACATGATTCTGATGCCAATCCAAATGCAAATTCTCGCGAGAAAGGATTGTATTCTGTCACACGACTGAGGCTCCGTGAAGGCACACAAAACTAGCAGATTTGAAATTTCATAAATTTTATCGCGATATGTCCAAACTTGCAAGTACGTACTGCGCTTGGAAGTAAATGTCAAAGGAGAAACACTGCGATCTCAAAAGAGAATTTGAAAATTTGAGCATCGGATCGGAATATCCCATTTAGCCGGACTAACTGAAATATGGGTGGGACCTTCGGCTAAAAATCCGAACAAGCGTTACTCCGATATTACTAAGACAGTAAGACTTGCAATTTTAAAAAAAACGGACGGCCGTGTGCAGTCGGTTATTTGTAAGATTTCCCAAGCATCCGCAAAGAGTTAAAATGGTGCAATGCGATTGGTTACAGTTTTGCAGTACGTACTAAATTTTTGACTTGATGGACAAATACGACGAACGATCGGCTGCGTCTGTGTCCGAACTCCGAAGTGTTGTGTACCGAACTCCGAAGTGTTGTGTAACAATGCTGAAATATTCGGATTTTTACAAATTTATTTAACTACCGTCGTACGCGTACGGTCACTAGAAGCTTTGCAGAATCTGCATGCAACACTAAAGTGCAACTGCGACGCTTTTTGTGCTTATATACGAGTTTACCAGCAGTCAGTAACATTTCGTCACTGTGTTCAAGGAAACAAAAAATGCAAAACATATTTCCGAACATGGGCAAATTATTTTTAATGGTGTTCACGATTCAGCTGCACGTTTGGAACTAAAAAACGCACTGATATTATCTCGATCGATAAATATCAGTTTTGCCCATGTTATCGGTTGTCGTTAACGATCGGTTCCTTCTTTAGTTTGGTTCGCTGCTGCCCTTTCTCTGACTATCTGGTCTAGGAGGCGTTCCAGTTCCAATAGACTCTCCATCGTTACCTCGCACCGCCGACCGGTCGAAATGATCGGCATGCCAAAAACAACAATAAACCACAAACGATTCTAATGGTACAAAATGAATCAACATTCCCTTCCTTCTTTTATTCCTAAATGATTGTTTATTCTGTGTGTACTGTTACAGAGTGAGGCACTGATGGACCCGACTGTACATGTACTAAGAGGTACCTTGTACCTCTGCTTTGCGCTTAATTGGTCACCGTGTCTCAATTACTGTACTCGTATTAAAAGCTACTAGTTTTTTATCATCCGTGAGTTCTGCTTCTGCCTTGTATTAAATATAGGGGGGATTTAACTGCTAATTGTAAGGCCAGCACTCCCTGTATTTGATGCCGTCACCCGCCTGGATGCCGTCACCAACAACGTAAAACTCCAGCCGGGTGACGGCAGCAAGTCAGGGAGTGCTTGCCTCAGCAGTTGAATTCCCCCTTTTTTACATTATAGCTGCGTGCACGGATAAACACCTTATAGCTGGGTGCACGGGTGACCTTTTTGGGGTCCGCACGGGTGTTGGCTGTGTGCACGGGATTCCTGCAAGGGCGCTGGCTGCGTGCACGGGTCATTTTCTATTTCGCGAATTTTTTGAATAATAAAGCGCTTCAAAGTTCAAATGTTTTTAAATTCCGTTTTATCGTCGATTTTTGGATACGCAAATATTGTGGAAACCTTAAGGTATTTTAAAAAAGGTTTTTTAAGATGCATGTTCCAGGGCTACCAATGACGTATGTATATTCCATGAAAAATACACGTGCACCATTCTCTCATGCGCATTCCGTCGGGAGGGTTAAAAGTCTGACTCAGAAACATTATTCTCAAGATCTGAGTTCTGATAACTCATCTACTCACACAAATTTAGAGCTATCAAAATTTAATGGCATGTACGGGTTGTGGACATTGCAAACCGGCACAAGTAATAAGCCGTGTACCCAAAAAAATCTCATGCCGACTTCCCGTGCACGCAGCATCGACCTAAACACTTATTATTGCAAATGTGCCTACAAAGTAATTATTTCGGTATTATAGAGCAAGTAAGCAGCTACATTAATAATGCGGAATCGAAAATGTAACCAAAACTGTAACCAAAAAGTAAAATTTAATGCAGTCAATTTATGTAACCAACTGCAGGTTTGACGACCAGCCAACAGTGTCCAAAGTAGCTAGTGCGTTAGTTATCGAACATCTTAGACAGGTAGAAGTACAGTACACGTCGAGTTTTGAGATTTAATGTGAAAAACTGAAAATTTGAATACTTATTGCAGCTGTTGTACGTAACAATTTCTTATGACTGTGCGCGTAATAATCTGCTTCCTTTACAGTTTTTAAAATCGTATACACCGAGAAAGTTAAACCGGCTGAAGTGCAACATACTTACATAATTACGCTGTACTTATATAATTATGCCGGTTTTCTGGAGTACGCTTTCTCACAACAAAATGAAGATAACGGTATAAATGGGTGTTTGTGAAATGCCTGTGTGTCAGAAGATTATCATCAATTAAGAAACGCCAAGCCACCTAATACAGCTCGATTATAGTAACTGTAGTCTGTAGCCAAACCTAAGGTCCAACTTATTTCTTGTCGGATCAGATGATGTGATATATGCAAAGAAATTATACTGCGGAACTGCAATCAATTTTTAAAGTTGTGTGCCTAAAATGGACCTGCAGGGCTAGACTACAGAGTATCTGTATGAGTAAGCAAGAGTTTACAAAGCCAATGTGATAAAATTAACTTCTCGTTGAGAACTCCAACTTGCTTGGACACGATCGGCGTTCCTCGGTGCACCAAGTTCTGCACCTTGTCTACGTCGATATCAACGGGTTAATGCCAGCATTACACATATATATTGATATAATTTGCAATACTGCAACGGAAGTCATTTTTTTCTTTAACAAGCGTGATCTGTGAATTTTAGGAACTTCATTTTATTTTCGCTGCTTTGAATTTTCGCCGTTCACCATGCTGCTTGTCAGTTCCCTGATTATAATCCTTGTTTCGTGTATTCAGCAGTGTTACGTGTGGGCGAACTTCATAAATAACACCTGCATCGAGTAAGAAAAATATTTTTTTGTATTTTGCAAAGGTCGTTATTTAAGTGCTCCGTTACAAAATTTATTTATGTACATAGAAGGACGCATCGATTGATCACAGTTACTCGTACCTGTCAGCGTTAGTTAAGCTTTATGTACAGTAATTGCAGGCCCAACCCGCCACTGCAACGTTACATTCGTCCGTTCTTCATTCGTAAGTACCAGTAAACGCTCTCGTTCAAGGGAACTGGAAGCGAAAATTTTCTAACCATTAAAGTTCGCGATGCGGCGCGCGGCGTTATCGTGCGACGTTCATTAGTATTTGATGTACAATTCGATGAGAATCTTCAGCTGTTACCACGCATACGGCGAGTACAACACACTACATACAACTACTTACATAACTATATAATAATTTATTGTAGTCCTATAAATCGCTGGATTATCTGTGTGTACCATACCATATACAGATACTTATTATGATATAGGTCCAGAGGAACCGTGCAGCGGCCCAACTCGCGGTGACTGCGTTGATGGGGAATGCATTTGCAAAAGTTGGACGGTGAGTTCTCAGGCCGCCATCCACATTTCATCAAAAATTGTTGACATTCGCATTTTTTTCCTGCGTGTACAGGGCGAATATGATGGTGCAGAGGACACCCACGTTCGGTTCTATGGGAAATACTGCGAATGTGACAACGTCAGTTGTCCCCGGCTTAACAGGGTCATTTGTAAGTGTCCATAGCAGAAAATAACGATAATTGTATTAAGGGTGACACTATAGCCACCCCAAACACCCGCGTTTTTTATAGCCACCCTTCTTCCGCACCCTGTTTTTTATAGGCACCCCTTTGTGCGAAAATTCACATTTTCGCACAAAGTACAGTACTTATGTATACGACGATTCAAGCTTATACGAGTACTCTACACGTTAGATACAGTTACCTCTAAAAATCTCTATGCCTTTGAAAGCCATACAACGTCAAATGGCCACAAATATGTACTGGGAAGGCGATCACTGTTACTGACGTCGCAAACATTCGAAATAAAGCGGAAATTATCGAACATGGAAGGAGAATAGTTGCGAAAGTATTGTTGAATCACGTCCTAAACCAAATTCGCAAGAAAGATCCTATCATTGGATATAATTGCTTCCGACGCGGGAAAGGTCACGAATATCACGTTAATTGCAGCAGAAAGTCGATATAAGAGTGACGGCCGAGCAAGTTGTTGGTATACGGTCAGTGTCATCTGATCAGTCGAACAGACCCATTATTTGGGTGGAAAGGATAAGTAAAATTCATCAAGTGGTGTAGAATCAAAATTCTAAAAATTTCACGCGTTGTCCTTAATAATTTAAAAATTTCAAAAATAAAAAAAAAACGGGTGCCTATAAAAGCCAAAATAGGGTGTTTCTATTTAATTAACAGCAGAAAAAAGTGGTTATAAAGAACAGGATGCGAAAAGGGGTGGCCATAAAAAACGCGGGTGAAAGGGGGTGGTTATAGGGATTTCCTATTATTAAACTGTGATTAATTTGGCCGACTCAAGTTGTTGAAATTCGAATGTATGCACATACGCGTAAATGTGCATGCATACACGCCCACTTTGTACCTACAGTGGCAGAACTGCAGAATCCATTAGGCAGAACTACAGAATAAATTATCCATTATGTTGTTAACGTCGATTCATCCGTATTCAGGTGGGGGACGCGGTATTTGTGACTGTGGCAAATGCGTTTGTAATCCCCCCTGGGTTGGCAGTTTCTGCGACATAACGATGGAAAGTCTTTCGACAATGGAACGCCTCATAGCGGACGTGGCCAGAGAAAGAGCAGCGGCTAACCGGACTGACGAGGAACCGGTTTCTGGACAAAAAGAACGTGCATAGGGATTGACTTCCTGTATTTGTAAGCACCAGCATACGCATACGTACATGGTGCACGTATCGGTCTTACCTTTAATTATCGACCAGGCCCTTTTAATTTCTCTTAACATTTGGTATGGTTAAATTACGTAGGGATAGGAAGGAAGGGAGCAGGAAGAGCATATTTATAAAATCAAAATTTATTGATTACAGTAATATTAATAAGGATTTTTCCTTTTCCAAGTTCGCGTGCTGGATAAGCATCATTATGATTCATGAATATTTTGCGCATGTTTGCAAATATTTCTAGCATATTATACCTCGACACAATGATAGCGACCGTGATAGACTGCTGTTAAACCAATATGGCAAAAAAAACTCTGCGAATGAGTTAACTGTCAAGCGGTATGCTTACGGTATAATCTAACAAATCATTATGAAATAAATTTCCACAATGCTGCTGACTCGTCGCACTTTTGTGCGTTACACGGCTAACACGTCTGACAGAATAAGCTAGTCAAAATTCAATAAAGAAAAGAATTTCATCACTGAACAACGGATTACGTCGGTAAGAAAAACTTAAATGCGCTCTGCACCCAGCGTGTTGGTTCTGACAAACAGTGATCTGCTAATTATCACGATTTGATCACAGTAAAAAAGCACTCTGCGTCATCGATTCCTAATGCAAAAAATTATACTTTTTTACGTTGAATAAATCGTGATCATGAGATGCAGTGGTCGACTAATGAATACTATATAGTAACAATAATAAAACGGGTTGCAAACGTGCTAGGGAAGACATGATTCCAGAGCGCATTCGTAATTGCATAACATTTTTTAGCCGCATTAGGAAAAGCTTAATAAAAATGTTGTTCTGTAAATAACTTGATGCCTGACTGACTGGCCGTTATGCAGTCGCGACGCAGATATATATACAGTAAATATTACATAAAAGCAAGTAACTATTACACTGGCCGCAAAATTAAAAGGTCAGTGACACAAAATATCTCAGAGGGATAATTTTGTTAATTGCTCTGACAGCATTAAAATCGGCCTACGTACGTGTTCTCGTACATTTTGTATCTACATCGTAACACAATGTAGCTGCTTAAAGTACGTAAGCCGGTACTATTCTATACAACAACAAGTGTGATATTTGTATGTTCATTTATGTGCAGTTGTGCACCACTTGTCTTTGCGTTTCACGGTCAGTACAGACCAATTATCGTGTTACATAAAAGACACAACCGCCGATCTCTTGTTATCTTTACATCAGTTTACATCACCGAGAGCAGCTTGAGCGAGACACACTTATTGTACTGGCACAACAACAGCGCACACCGGAAGATGACAACGCAACGCAAAGAGCATGATGTACGCTAATTACGGCAATTTTTCGTCAGGAAAATCTTCAAAATAATCTAGGTTGACGGATGGTTAGGCGGCTGAGCATTTTTAACAAACCTGGGTCACGCGTTTCTGTTGACAATGAAAAGTGTTAGCCAATACTACAAGAACTTAATCTGGACATGAACGTAAACTGTACACTGTTAATCATGCTGTAATTGTACTCCCTTATGCATGCGGTTAATAATTAATTTTATATTTGTTTTGTTTAATTGAATTATGGATCTGATGCAAGTGTGGCGACATTCGGAGACAATTTATATAGCTTTATGTTTATATGTTTCCCAGATTTCGGCTTATTACAAAAAGGTCAATTGTTATGGTAAGAATTACCGAACATTGGACATTTGCGTGCATGTTGCAATAAATGTAATTCCAAACGAATTGGCCCAACGTTTTGGCGGGGCCGGAATAAAAATCTTGAATTCCCACCCACAGGAACCGGAGACTGTATTATGATTCTCAATACCGGTGGCATGTCGGATGACCAGTCCAGATGGGTAATGGAATGTCACGATGGTACGACTCACAATCTAAATAATAGCAAATTCATTAGAAGTTTAAAATTTATTCTATATTTAACTTGATTTTTGCTATTGAGCCTTTCATAGCAAAGCAGTAACAGTAAATAAAGTATCACCAATAATTTAGCATAAAGCGCTACTAGAACAGAAATAATCCATGTAACAAGGTTTCTAGTAACGGCGGCCCTCAGCCTTTGCACAATTTTTTCGCAGCAAAACCTTTAAAATTCAAACAAAATCTGTTATTTTTCATTTCGCCAGATCTTCTGACACTGCATTTGAAATAAATCGGTTGTAGGCTGTAGCATATACAGTAGGCCGCAACTAATAACGCATAACATTATGATTATAGCTTCGTACACGTAATGCAGCCAAATACCAACGGTGCAAAGAAAAGGCTTTGTGACAATATGTTTTCTCTATATCAGCGCGCATAAAATTGTAATTTTTAAATTGTTTTTGGATACGTATCTTAATAATACTACTCATCTTTTAATGCATGTACAACATTTTAATTTTTTCCGCCATGACGTTCTGTTTAACAGGTGAGGCTGCCATTGGATTCTATGCCGCAGGCGACTACGTCGCGCCATCCTGTAAGATCTTTTCGTTTTCGGAAGTTCTTAAGACTTTTCGGCAAAAGTAATGTGTATGTGGTAGTCCAGTAAGTAGTGCTATTTTTGAAGAGGATATTAACGTTTTATACAAGGTACATCTTTTTGAGCTGCCTTTCTTGTCAAAGCAAACTGAGGCTTACTTGTGGGTAGTAATGAACCTGCAGTGTTTTAAGCAAGTTACATTTTCATTTAAGATATGTGGTGCAAATTCGTGTTTCCCATGAAAAAGCCATCTGGAGGACTTTATCCTTATTACGATTATTGTAATGTTCGGTGAGTGCCACTTAAGCACTACAAGGCCAATCCTCGTTGAAAAAATCGCTTTTATGGATACATCGTATCTGCCGTACTCTAATTTTAATTTTGGTGCACTTGTTGTTAGACCTGTTTTGCTTCACCAGGCAAACTACTTTTGCAAACGCATAAAGACCCACTAATGTGCTTTGGCAAAGCTACATTATATTTTAAATTCCCGCGATCTTGATTAAAAACTCTAAGGCTGAAAAGTTTAAAAATTCTTATCTGTACTCGTATTCGTCCACATACCTTGCACGCTGTACGGAAGTGCTCCACCGGCAACCCTAATCCAAGCGTAATCGTAAGAGGATAATGTAAGTGTAACGTATTTATTGCAGAGATCTCACTACAGGAGCACCTACGGCGGTCGGTGTATCAGGAGACGAATTCTACTGCTATGACAAATATTATCCAATTGACACATACGATACTTTTGTAACAGGTGCGAAGCTAAAATTACATCATTTTAATTAACACGATCCATAGACACCTACAAAACATACCGGTATTTGTTGTCCACAAACCATACATAATGTTTGGTTGTCGTCGGCTGCTGTTTCCTTTAATTTGCTAGTACTACTATCCCTTGATGCAGCTAAAAATGTAGGAAGTAACATCTTTGCGGCTGTTAAATTTGTTTGATTTCAGCCTATCTTTATCCCAATGTCTACTACAGAACGGGAATACTCGGCCAGAGTCTGGTTGTAAGTCGGGAGTCCTATAAATGCTGTAAGTTACGGCTATCTGCAGCTTTAAATTTGTGCATACGATACAATCCGAAACGTTTACAAAGATCGCAACCTGGGAACCCGTTGCGTATAATTTCGGTATCAGCATTATATTAATTATATACTCGTACATATAAACATGAATCGTTTTGATACATACATGTATCGTGCTTTAGGCAAACTGCCCCTTGGGTACCACTTGGACTACTCTCGGTGTATGTATAAATACAGTCATGACAAGTAAGAACCGAATGAATGACTTTATTACGTGTACTGCCACATATTCCCTGATTGCAGCGGCTGTTAATTAAGGCAACAGCCTTTAAGTGTTTTTTAGCCACAGTTTATACAGACTTTCCTGAATGTTTTGCTCTTTGCCAGTAAACGTTTTTACTTGTACAGGTGGGGAGAGCATTATGACGAAAATCAAATGTTCCTAATGAAATGCGATAGAGATCATTTGATGACAGGTGAGCTGTGGAGTCACATGTACGTTGTACAGATACATTAACCACAAGCATGCTTTTAACACCTGTGCACCATTTCTTTCAAATTACGATCGCTTAAAGATTCAGTTGCTTCAGCTATACCGAATAAACATACTGGGCATTACGGACAGAGTTGCACTCTCCCACTAAGTCTCACAAAGTTAATAAGTTAGTGAACTTGTATTCTCCGTCATACAGCAGTACAAGAACGCAAATAAATATTTTGTACTAAGCTAGCTGGTTTAAAGCTCGTAGAATTAGCCTGCTTAAGTATTTGTTTTTTAATTTGATTAATACAGGGATCGGCAAAGCTGAAGGTCCAAATGACAGCTCAGCGCATTACGTATGGATACAAGTAAGCCAACTGAAAACATGAACTGTTGCATACCTACATATGTATACGAGTATCTATATACTGTAATTACATAAGAATAAAAATGTGCCGGTAATGAGAACATTGTATTTCACAGTGTTGTCCGTTTTTCTACAACATGGATTATGTTCCCCTGTATGCAACAGCAAATGCCACTTTCCATCAACAAGCTGCTGCTGGTGCCGGACCACGTCCTTACAATACTAACTATTCTAAACCAAAATACTGAGATCTCTAATTAAACACTCCAAAATTGTTACTGCGCTTGTTCCCGCTGGTGACGCTTATTAGAAAGCTGCAAATTGTTTGTTTTGTTTTATAATGGCGGCACAAGAACTGATTGTTATTCTGGTTTAGAAATAGATTTTTTCGTACTATGTGTTTGGTAAGTTTAAGCGAGTGGTGTTGTTCCAAAGTGGGTTTACCGGTACTACGTATACAACTAAAATTTTTTATGACTGCCTGCAGCTGTTTATGGTACGCATTGTATATTTCTACTTATATTTTAAAAATTAATGATATTATGATTTCTAAGAGCTTATCAATTATAATTGTATTTCATTACTCACAGTAGTGATTAATGCACCCTGTGTATACAGATGTTTAGATAAGTTGTCTGGCTATAAGTGTTAATGTCGAGAAATTAAATCTGATTCTCTAAATATGTACATAGCGCCCTCAACGCGGAAAAGTAGTAAACTATCATTGAATCTAGACTGAGTGAAAATATATGCAATACATACGGCATACTCGTACTCATAGTGTTGCAAGGAACCAGGAAAAGGTCATATTTAAGTCGATAATATCAGTGATTCCACTGCAGCCATGATTTCAGATGGAAGTGTACCGTTGCCGTCCTTCGTGCACACGCTGTTCCGGTATACAATGTGACATGGGTGTCCTTTAGTTCTTCAGCATTACGGTTGCCAATGTCAACTTCAACAGCAGTTTTATGGAACGAATCTCTTCTTGTAATTTGGCAAACTACTAAAAGCAGTTCACGAACAAAAACTACTTACTAAATCAAAGCGGTGGGATGGAAAATTTTGGCTTACCAATCGTGTAAGGAATCTGGATACCGATACTACAGTACTTTAGAATATATTGGTGGAAATTTTATAAGGTCAGTAGGTAGAAGTGTACGAAATCATTCGGTCACACTAACTATAAAAACAATTTCCGCTTACCATTTCAGTACTCGTAGTCACCAAATGATGTCCATATGTCGATACTGCCAAGCCGAAAAATATCACGCAGAGTGTGACATACAGTAACTGCAGATAATCTGATCAATTAAATCCATGCAGGTGGTGTTTCGCACAAAACGCGATGTTCCATGATGATTTCCGTCACATTGAATTGTTGTAACTCACATGGTTATTAATAATTATAACATTTATAGCGCAAACTATTTCCACTGTTAAAAAATCTGTACAATAATTTAAGCAGCGCGACCAGAATATTTACTCTAGAAGAAACATAAACTTGACACAAGAAGGCACGGATATCCAGAGCAGCTTCGTAGGTATACCTACAGAATTAAAGCCGCTCAAATCAATCCGCAAAACTATACGCAGTCAAGGTTTCATGCTGTTGCAAAAACATTGAAAGGTCAGTTACTGTACATATTAACCTAAAGGCATTTTAACGTTAATTAAACATGGCTGACAGTGGTTAACGTTGTTTTTTTACAGGCTTGCAGCGTAAGGTTAATATGTCACAAGAAAAGTCTCTTGTTTACGAATCTTCCTTTTACATACGCCATCATATACATTTTCATTATTAATATTATTGTCGATCAATTTTGCTCGATCGATCACCAAGTGAGACACACTAACCGTGCGAATATCGCGCCGGAAGGTGTCAAAAAGCTTAATATGACGCTAGAAACAAGAATTTTCTCGCTAATATTTGCCAAAAAAATTGAGGTTGCGAGATGTAAAGTTACAAAACTGTCGATAATTTGGGTCACACTCCATAAGCTGCTAATAATTCTGCTGTTGAAAAACAATAGAAATAGTCAAATTTGTAAACAGCGAAGGCGTCCTCGGCAGTATTTGAAGCGTGCCTACAAATTAGGACAATATTAATAATGAGTTTCCGCCAGTCCAAAATAGACTGAACAGTTGTCGGTTTGACCCTTTTCCATTACGACGGTCTGACGCAATCTTCTTCTTGTGCTACACCGTATTTTGCGTAAGCCTTTCTTGATCTGAACTGCATTGTACTTACGATTTTACTTACATAATAGTTATCTTGTCTGTAATACTTACTACAAAACGTTCTCATGGATTTAATAGAATTATGGAAATTTTTTAAGCTAGCATACGCAACAATTGCTCTGTATTTCGGCCAAGCAGAGTCTTATTATAAAAAAGATACATGTTATGGTAAGATTGCAAATGCACGGCTTTAATTTCGTATGCGCAACAACCGTAGATAGTAGAATGCTGAAGATAGTAGCGCTTAACTTTATAAATGATACTTTACGTCTGGATTGCTTTTGTTGTTTAATTTTCAGGAACAGGAGACTGTATTCTCCTAGCGAACGCCGGTGGATTAGCAGATGACCAGTCGAGATGGTTGATGGAATGCCATGATGGTTTGTTTGACAGTATTACACATATATGCGTATATCGACAGTTTGACCGTATTATGTATCGGCATGTCTGGAAAAATTGGTTTTAGCATGAAAATAACAATGAATTTAGATCATGATGTGCTAGTCTAGTTTAACTGTGAATTTTGTGTACTTTACTCTCGCAGTTAAAATTTTGCTCTGCGCCATGCGTTTGATAGCATAGCTATGTACCTGTATTTTCCCATGTTACTTGTAAGTATATGAACGCCGTTTTTTGCCATATTTACTGATGAGGTCACAAATTATAAAACTTAACAAAAACCAAAATTATCTTAATTTCTTGGTATAGACCACACATTGAATGGGTTGCAGGTGAAGCGGCCATCGGATTCTATGCGGTTGGAGATTATTTTAATCCTTCTTGTGAGTAGTCCTACCGCAAACTTGCCAAATTATCTAAAATATGGAAGCCGAGTAAGCGGACCTCTGTTTAACAGTACAGATCCTTGTTGTTTTTAAGATATGTGGTGCAAATTCATGTTTCCCATGAAGAAGCCAGCCGGAGGAATGTATCCTTATTATGATTACTGCAACGTTCGGTCAGTATTAACTGTTATAACGCGATATCATAATATACTGACGTGAATTGTTGTAAACACATATTTAATTTTATTTTGTACTTGCATTGCAGTCGCTTTTCGTTCAATAACGTGCGCCAAAATATATTTATAAGTTATATGTCATTCCTAGCTGATCTGTGATCTGTTTAAAACTGTTTAAAAATAAATCTGTTTAAAACTGTTTTACAGATTAAAACATTTGTATGTTACATATTTACAATAATATACGTTTAATTAGCTGCGCTAATTTCAGAGATTTAACAGCAGGAGCACCGGCACTTGTTGGTCAGAAATCCATGGAATTTTACTGCTACGACAAATACTATCCTTTGGACACGTATGACACGTTTGTAACTGGTAATACTAATTGGGTGCAAAGCGTATTATATTCCTTAAATGTTAATATTACAAAAGCCATGTAAGGTGATCCTTTTACCTATCTGTACGGTATAGCGAACAAATTCAAATACAGCATAAAAAATTAAGATAAGCGTTATTTTCGCTTTGTCATAATACGTATTTGTTGAAGTTAGTTCTTTGAAAACAGCGTATATGTTGCCCAGCGCATACTATCGAACCGGAATTGCAGCAACTGCAAACATTTTTGTCTCCACCACTAGGGAGTCTTACAAATGTTGTAAGTGACACTGTAATGTGTTGTACAGGGAAGCTGATTAAACATACCTCATGTTATGAATACGATACACCACCTATATATTATACTGTTTACTACGATTTTCAATAATTATTGTATTTTTTGTATTATTAAATTTATGTCTTTTTGTCTTACGTAACCGTCGTTTGACAATGGCAGCAACATTAAGTTACTGGCATGCAGAGCAATCAAACGCGTGATTATTTGAGTAAAATGCAAGGTTTATTTTGTTCTAAATGTCATGTAATTATAGTTTTTATCTCTGCAAATTTTCTGTTTGACAGGCCGGTTACCGCAAGGATACCACGTGGATTATTCTCGCTGCATGTACAAATACAGTCATGACAAGTAAGGTTACCGCCGTTTGTGACTTTAATTTACCATAATAATATAAGGAATTTACTGCATCAAATATATCTATCTTTCCCGAAGTCAATATAGAATGTTATTAACTGTGAATTTTATGATTGTAGCTGTAAAAAATGTATACGTTAGCATTTGGCATAAATTGATGCAAATTTGTTCAATTTAGATATGGAGAGCATTATGACGAAAATCAGATGTTTTTAATGAAATGCGAAAAAGACCACGTTATGACAGGTACGGTATATAAATAGTTAGAACGCGCAACATCGCATGAGTAATTACTGTACTTATAATTAACGCATTTCCTGTAAGCTAACAAAAGACTTTCTTTACATATTTATGTAACGTATGTATGCTACATCTGGACAGGCATTGGAAAAGCGGAGGGCCCATGGGATTCGTACACGCATCTTGTTTGGATACAGGTATATTATATATGTAATCAATTCACAAACGTGTTAAAAAATCTTATTACGGACTATTAGGCTTTGTGCGCAGGATACGTTGACTTGGTCCTTAATTACAGTGTTGTCCATTGTTTTACAACACGGATTACGTTCCTTTGTACGCAACCGCCAACCTTACCCTGCACGAGGCTGCTGGACTGCATCCGTATAAGCCGTATTCGAAGCCGAAATACTGATTCAATTACAGGGCGCACTGCAGGAACCGTGGCGAAATTACATAACAGGAATCGATTTGCAAAAAATAGTTTCTACGTTGATCTGTCATTCTGTTGCTGAAGCGTTCTGTGATATTTTTGGTTGATTGTTTATTATTGGGGCACCTTTTTTTAAATTGTGCAAACGGCTTCAGCTAACATTTCTGCAGTATTCTGCTCAAAGAAATCCTTTTTGGTACATTCACTACGATCACGGTGGCCGCATGCAGCGGCTGGTAAACTCACTAATCTGTCAAATTAACCGATTCATCAGTCGCATTTTTTACTGATGTTAAAATAAAATCATTATAAATAGGTAATCGCATTTCGAGATTATAATACAGCTCAATCACTTACAATCTTTGTGGGGTATCGCAAGATGATTTGCCGGATGGAGCAGAGGTGGACCGGCTTCCGATTTGCTCGAGTGATACAGCTCGAGCAGCTGCTCGGACCACAAGCTGCGATTAAAGAGAAAATTTCAAAAAGCGAATCTTTTTGTAAATGTCATATATGCAGTTGCATAAACAATTTAACATAGACTACCGGTATGTAACAGGTTAATGCAGATAAAGCAGTATAGATGCGATCTGGAAAAAATTCAGAAAGCAGCTCACATTTTACTGCACACTACATTACTCCTCCGTCTCCAGAATTTCTCCTCAAGAAATTTTATGGTTGTCTTCTCTTCTAAATTTAGGCTACGTAATCTTCGGTGGCAAAGATCTGTATACTGTATACAAATTTTGGTTGGTTCAGTTTTTGAATCTGTTGCTCGGCGCTGGCGCTGGGCTTTGTGGTACGACTAGTTAATAACTATTTTCAATAAACGGACAAAACTATATCTTAACTGGTACAAGATATTCTCATACTACTTTTCATCTATGAGCTGTTACTATAATAAAAGCGTGGCACCCCGTGATTGTATTGCGTTAAATTGTACTCATTATGCTAGTATAATCAAACAGACAGCGATGCATTCAGAATCACGATACTGCTAATTATTGGATCGTATTGTATCAAAGCAGAAAGCATAACGAAGGTCATATCTGGGTAGCGATATCGATCTTAGCATGCGCATAAAAGAATATATGCCGCTCCTTCTGAATGTTAGTATCATTTTGCTTAAAGAGGATGCTGCACGATTAGAATACTGCATGAAGGTCATCTGTTACAATATAATTTTACTAAATAGTCTAAAACAACACTTCTGCGTCTTGTATCTTTTAGCGGAGTATTTGGTTTTGTAATGTATTTTGCCATGTGGACAGTAAACTTTTGGATTATTTCCTTTTCTGGTAAGCCACTTTGATCTACTACGATTGACTTTAAAATTGGAAAATCTATGACATTGTTTGATGTTGTGACAGGGATAATTTTTTATCTGCATGTATCGGCAAATCCTGGTGTGAATTCCGTTGACGATCTAACAACATCCCTTGATAATGCGTTGTACTCATTTTCCGAGGATTCTCCTTTTCTAAACAGCAGAAGCATTAACACCGAAGGGAAATACGCGCGATGGTTTAAACGCGATAGGATACCTTACTACCTCGATAAAACATACAGTAAGTTGTGCGTTGACGAAAATGATTTAATGCATACGGTAGTTAATTGTACGTTGCGTATGAAGGAAATTTAATTTGTTTTTCCACAGGCCCAACGGAAGCCGCTCTAATAACAACCGCCATTAAACAGGTTGTTTCCGAATTGAACTACTGGGTCAATTTTGTGGCAGTGCCGGCAACTTCCAATGAATACAAACTAAAGATTACACCCGTAAAAGCGGACGGGTAAGAAATCATTTTCATTATGGGTTATTTAATTTTGCTAAAACTATCACAAGGCTAACTTGATGTTCTAGATTTTTACTTTACCAAATTACCACTTACTCTATTCTGTTGATAGGAAGTACATCAATTACAAATACTCTAGGTTCACACCGGAACAGATCTGCTACTCGTTTCCGGGAATGTTAACGGTTGCGCAAAAACTCGTGGCGGTCGGCATTAAAGAACAGCGCCTGGTGTTAGCTCGGGGACGTACAGGCTGTTTAGATGGGACTATTCACTCTATCATGAAATACCTGGCTATCGCACTGGGTCTACGGAATGAACACCAACGCGGAGACCGCAACAACTGGATCCAGATATATAACGGCAATTTAACAGCAAGTACGTCTTATGATCCCACGTGTAAATCTTAAGTCGCGTAAATTTTTGAATAACCACCGACTGGTATGAGCCGGCCACCCAGTATTACGCATTTCGTTTATGGGAAGTTGAATGATACAAAGTACATGCAAGTGAAATAATACCAACACAATACGAGTACTAGCATTTTTATTATAATGGATTTTTTTGCAGCCGGTATTGCAGCCTATAAACAGCACACAAACCGCGAAGCAAACTGGCAACTCTTCCCGTATGACTACTGCAGCGTTACACACAACCAACCGGAAGAATTTTCTAATCCAGGAACAGCGGCTTTTGCTGTCCTGAAACCACCGCACTTCATTCCAAAGCTAAATCGACTAAGCGAGAGTGATTGCAAAATTCTCCTGATGCTGTACAGTGGTGATCCATCAGCCTGTACTCCATGTGCGTTCTAATTTTTTATTCAACTAAATTCCCTAAACAGAATCAACTGTCAACTTCCACAACGCAACAAGTGTTTGGCGTACAACGCAGCAGTAAACACATTTAAAAGACTGTCAGATTATTAGACATTTTAAAAAATGCTGCAAATATTTACTAAGATCCTAAGGTCTATACCGAAAACGCAAAACAAAATTTTTTAACTTGTGCACGTTTTAGTAAACTGTGCCGGGTTAATTAACCCGCAAATCACAACTGCCGCCCCGCCCATCCTAAATCTGGTTCCCTTCACACCAGCTCCACCTCAAATTAAAGCCATCGCGGAACCGGCTGAGACATCCGTGACCTCCAGTCCCGATGGCACCACCACCATCTGCCAGACCTTTCCCACCACTATGCTGACCGCGACAACGACGACGACAACGACAACGCCCACCACCACGACTACAACGTCGACAACAACGACAACGACACCTGCCACCACGCCAACAACCACCACCACCTCTCCCAACAACACCACACTGCCGTCGACTACATCCGCCACATGCCCGCCGCCGGTATGTCCGGTGTGTACCTGTGTGTCGCGCTGTGACCCCATTACGACATCAACGACAACGTCACCGGATACAACAAAGAGTACCTTAGCGACGACGACAACCAACGCATCGACGGCAACGACAACGCTTAAGACAACCACCACCACGGAAACGCCATTAGCAGCTAAAAGTAAGAAAATATACAGTGCAGCATGCACAGTTAACAAGCAATTAAATAATGTGCTGGCGTGCATTTGATAGGTATGTCGGTTGCCGATGACAGAGACGATATCCCGAAGCGATGTCCTGGCAGAATGTGTTCTGGACGCGTCGATTATGCTGCGCTTTTTTTGGACGGTGAAAGTTCCATTCTTATTTCCGGTATGTTAATTTTTACCTATCCCTTCGCTAGCATTCTTTCAATAGTTGAGCAGAAACGACGTTAATAACACGGCAGTTTTGGATTAGACTGCTACATTGTGTGGGTTCAGCAGCAGTTTGTATTTGCAGGAGAATGCGCCCAAATGATCGACCCATCCTTCCAGCTCGTCGGAGATATGATACCGTTAACAGATGTCATTCCTGGCGGCGCCGTCAGCGGTCCCATCCAGTCCATCTGGACAAATATGAACGATGAAGGCCAGTTCCGCGTGCATATTGTTGACAACGTACGACATCTACCTCAGTATTAATTAAACTCTAAGACTACCAAGACCAGGACGTTGATTGACCTTTGGTTTTGCTAACCATGAAAGTTTCACTTTGTCATTCTTGCAGTTTGGCGTTCAGCGCAACTGCGCAATAACCCGCTGTGACGAAGAAGAAGCCAAGCCCCTGCGCCCCATGACCAGCGTTTTCTCTTTCCAAAATGGCGATTCTGAAGACTTCCGGACATTCGTGATCGATTGTACGGTACCGTAGTGTATAGCTGTTATTATTGCCGTATTATGTGTGCGTACTTGGATTTCTTATGATCCTCATAGCTAACGGCCAAACTATTACGGACGAAACTGCCCCGGATGAGCCAATACATTTGTCGGATATCCGTGGAACCTCATTCAGCGCACAACCGCTCAAGACCATAACGACCGCCTGGATGATGTACACTCCAGCCAGAAGCCGGGTGCTGGCGCTTATTGGCAAAGACAAGAGCGGTCGGCAGTATCTCGCCGAGGTCAATGTGGATTTGTCACAAAGACCGGCTGTGCTTTCGGTACGCTTAGCTTCCGATTCAATCTGTTCCCTATCGGTCACTGCTTGAAATTTATGTAGTAACTTTGGGGTATTATTGTGTTGCAGTATATTCCGGATCGCCCCATCATGCCACTTTTTGCCAAACTTCGTCCTTGCCGTTAATTATTACCAGTGACCTGTATCTGTGACTGTAATTATATAAACGGAACTTCTTACAATAATTTTTATTTTTTCACAAGTAAAACTCCAATACAATACAACGGTAATGTTGTGGCTCGCATAAATGCAGCGAAGGGCTATGGATCTGGTTACCGCATGCCAGAGGTCATTGTTGGCTGAACAATACTAACTTTGTATGCTTACACGGCTTATTTGTTTGGCGCTGCAGTATCAATAAATCAACAGGCTGCCGCAACTACCAAATAGATTACTGTGTTTGTTATGATGTTATCGTGCGCTGTATCGTATTACAAAGGTCAGGCATACGTACGTGTTTTCAGTCATCGATTATTTAATCATGCAATGTGTGTTTACATTCGATTGATGCATGAGCATTATCTACCGATCACGGGAAGAACTTTCCGTAAACTGTCGTTCGCGCTTATAAGCCATACGCAATTGGGTATATGGAGAAAACGCTTCCCTTTCGGTCCGTTAAAATTTATTTATTAACTGAAGCGGCATAACCCTTCCAAAATGCGTAATCTATATTTGGATTTAATATGTGTGCTAATATTCGGAATCGCAACAACGGGGGAAACGGCCATTGTACCGACGCTTAAGGCTATATACCATGATTTGACGAAACATTTCCACGATTCCTCTTTTCTACACCACAAAGTACATGGAAAATATCGAGGTGCGAACGTTGGTTCTTAAATTACGTCATTAATATCCTTGAAAACGTACCTAGCTTGTGATTGTGTAGTAATACAATTTGTCATTGCCTTTTTTTGCAGATTGTAGTGAACTCAGGAGCGTAAATAATGGCATGCCTGGCCTTTACAACATTTCTTTCAATGGAACTTTCGTGGTGAATATACATATACATACATGAATGTGGTGAATGTACATACATGAATGTGGTGAACTTTCGTGGTGAATATACATATACATACACGAAATGAATATACATACATGTATGACCATGGCCGCCTTACATGTTATAATATTTGTAATACGAATTAGTATAAGTTTATTAACTTTACAACAAAATTTTTTGCATTAAAGTTTACGAAGAGCTATTATTACCATTCGTACTTATAGCCCGTTAGGTGTTACTATAACGGCACAAACGCTTACACCATTATTCAACAACGCTTGTCCGGAAATGTGGACTTTAATCGGAAATTAGCGGAATATGCCGCCGGATTTGGGAGTGCTACCGGCGACTTCTGGTACAATCCCCGCTTACATCCAAATTAAAAACCGTGTTACGACTGAATTTTAGTGAGTAGGTTTGCCATCGATCTTCAGCTGATTCTCTTTATTTTTAGGCTTGGATTGAATATTATCCGGCGCTTGGTGGAATTGGGTAAGTCGAGGTCAATGTCTCGTTTACATATGGGAGAATCTGATTGCACAGGCGAGATTCCGATCGGAAAACAACTATTCAAAACTTCTCTCATTCAGTGCTAAAAGATTATACAAGTGCATACTAAAACGCATATATACTTACTAAAATACAATGCATTATTTTACGTTTTCGTATCGATTAATGCTGCATGTCAAAAAGTTGTTAAAGCCAACAACGTTAAATCGCATGTAGTACACATTGTGTTATCGCTGATAACGACACTGTTGCAACAATCACCCTTTTGCTTTACTGATTAGGCAACACAAAGCTACAAATAGTTATGACATCCTGGCCGCCAAGCCAGCAGACCATCGTCGCCAATTACGGCTACTTCAGTATCGGGACACAGGCCCAGGGATGGGCGTTGTCGGTGGGAAACTATAATGGACCAGTGGCTGATGACCTTAGCTACAGTAATGGAAAGGTATTCTACACGTCCGACGTGCCCGATCCCAATTTGTGCGCGGTACACCAACGTGGAGGGTGGTGGTACAATTACTGCTCGTATGCCTTTCTGAATGGCTATTATTACCGCAACGGAAAATATGTTCCGCCGGGTCAGTTCTATGACGGGATTTACTGGAAGGATTGGCTTGGTTATGATTACTCGCTTATGCAAGTTACGATGGCCGTTAGTCCGTGAAAAGCAGTTTTGCACAAAATTTGAAATGCGGGCGAGCAAAGCGAGCCCGCTTTGTGATAAACAACTGAGTAATTTGTCAGCAGAAAAAATAATCAATTATTCAGAAAATTAAATGCTTCTACGACGGAGCATGGTTTGTTCAAGCGTTAAAATGTTGAGCACGACATCGCAAATTATTTATATTTCTTTAGCTTATATATATGACCTGTATTACTCATGGTTTGGGCTTTTAAATTCCCACGCTGTGCATGTAAAACACAACCGGTTGACGGGTCACCTGCTACCGTGATGAAACTATTGATTACTGTATAATACCCTGTAAAAGAATCGGTTTGTGCTGCTCGATCTGTGGATTTGAGCAGGCGCAAACTGCCGAAACACATAACGAAAACAATAAATTACATAAAAAGCTAAACATCGTTACACGTTGAACAGTCGAACTTTTAGCGCTTCCCCTATTCTTTTTCTCCAAATTCAACGGGCATCACGACTTCATTCTGGAAGGTTGTTTTGCTCAGCTTACCATTAGTGTCGTTTACTTGAGACAGTCTTTCTACACTCCAGCAGCTGCAGCGGCGATAAGGCGTTGTTTTGCGCGGATCGCCACGCTGGAACCTGAAAACAGTGGATCATTTGCGTGACAGGCATACTGTACACGAAAACAGAATCTCGAACGAATTCCTTACGTCTGGACGTTTTCTGTGGTATCCTAACATCCCGATCAAACTGGTCAGATGTACACTGCTAATCCACACTCTGAACATCGGGCAAGTCGCTCTCGATCGACGTCCCAGAAAGCTAGCTTTTTCCAGGTTCTGAAGCCGAATCGATCGATAGCTAAATGACCGACACATGACGTCATAACGTTTAAGTCTTTTTAAGGGATTTCAGTAACCGGATGTTGCGCGCGAAAATGGATATCACGCCTACGTATACAAATGATTTGGCTACAAAATATCATAAAGCAATGCAAAAAAGTATTTGGGAGTGCGCGACAGCGAAAGTTCCCGTGGATGCACACCGGGTCAAATCTCTTAAGCCTTGTGCCTTGAAACACCCACCGTAAGCGGCAAATTTGTCTGCCAAATCCATCCGTGGATCATTATTTTTGACGAGCCGGTCCTGAGCCGGCAGCCTCATAGTTAAAACTGTTGAATTCACAACCAACAGCAAATACAAACTTGTACAAACCATTTGTCTTATAAGTGACCTTTACAGCACTCGTTTCGGTGCTGGTTCAATTTGCCCCTTAACTCACTGTAGGCTTAATGCTACGCTTTCGGGATGATAAATTTCTTTCTGCGTGCTTGGAGCCAGGTCCGGGATATGCTAATCCGCAGTTTACTGTGACGCTGAGTCGCTGACAGTCAAATAGTCAATCACAATCCAGCGCAATAAAACGAGACCACCTAAGGAACACTCACATCTCATTGCGGTTTATCCCATTTTATCCCAAAATCAGCAATATGTGGCTAGTCAACGGATGAGGTTCAAACTGACCAGTTGCTGGACATGTACAGTTGTAAAGTTGACATGTAAAGTTGTAAACTTTCTAGGGCAGTTGCTCTGCCAGACCGGTCTGAGGATTAATATTGTGAAGATTAACGCTCCAACTCATTTTCGACATAACCGGGCTTGGAGGCCTTTGACAACGTTGTATCGAGGTTATGTACTGCGTCAATTTCCGATCACTTGTACAGTTACATATTACGATAAGGCAGTACGACAGTACTACAGAAACGTGTGGCTGTTCTATATTTTGTCTAAAGTAAAACTGGAAGATGAGCAGTAGCACGCCAGTTAACAGATTCGGGCAGGCCCTGCCACACCACCGTACTCATGAAGTTTGGACGAACCCGTGATGTGGTTTCATCTAAACATAATGTTACGTAAGTGAGGAGCAAGCTAATGTGAAAACAATGACCGCAGTTTGCGGGTTTTGCTTATTGTGTAGAAAGTAGAAAATGGTTACGCTTAAGTGACCCGGCTCGCTTCGCTTTAAATTTCTTAACGGATTTTTTTCATTATGATAACGCCCTGCAATTGTAGATCTTTGAAATTTGAAAAGAATGTAGTAATTAATCAAATTAATTAGTTCAGTAATCAAACTTAAGCTTATGCTTGGCCTTGTATAACAATTCGGACTGCACCTTCCTCTTTCGTAGGCAACGGGCATAAAAATTATAAAAATTCAAGCGCGGTGACATTACTTCATAGTAAAATTGCTTCATTAAATTAACCGTAAAAAAAGCAACCGAAATTTCTGTTCTATCGTGGAGTAATAGGCTTTTGAACAGTTTCCTTTAATCTGCACAGTATGCAGTATGTACTATGCACCTTAATTTCATCCGTCAACGCTAATTGCATTTGAAGTGCAACATCTGCACTGCACCACGCTCTTGCTAACTGATACCGGTTTTTTAATTGATAACTGATAGCAGTAATAACAATAATATAGGTATGTGCGCAGTTACATAGCTGCGCGTGACATGGGGTCAATGATCTCGTCGGCCACTACCGAACCAATTTCTCATCGCTACGCGCTTCTTTTTCCGGCAATCAAATGAACAGAACGATTAACAACAAAAGCCGATTGTGAAAATATAGCGAAATGATGTGCCTGGTGGGCAGGCTGCGGCTAAAAACCGGCAGCCATTGTTTTCTATGTCGGCGTGAAAAGTTTTTGCAGTTGAACAATAATCTGTGATAATCCTTTTGTAATATACCGTGCATAAACTCTGCTGTTCAGACGGTGACTTTCCGAGGGGTAGAAAATAGTATAATAATGTAATATCAAATTTGTTTCCTTAATCTTTGTTGCCCTTTGTCATTCTTATATCTGGATTGACTTTATCCAGTTTAAATTAAAGCAAGCAGCATTTAAACGAAACACTCCTTTGTTTGAATTTATAAAAAAAATGCGGATTATGCAAAGTTTTGGTTGGGTCACCGTCATTTTGAAATGTATTATATGGATTATCATCCCGGGATGGGCTAAAGCATATTACCGGAGGTACACTAGCTATGGTATGTAAAATTAATCAAGGTATTGAGTCTTTAGACTTTAAGGGCTGTGACCCTTTGTGGCTGATTCAGGGATGTTTTACTGCTTTGTTTGCACCATGGTTTTGCTGACCTTCCGGAAAGCAAAATAAATGTAATTTATTATGTTAACAGCAATTCTAGTACTACATCGTCTTTACTAAATGTTTTACTGGCGGAAAAAAGGTAAAAAGGCACTAATGATAAAGATACAGTATCGATTGTGTTATTCAGGAACCGGCGACACACTGATCAACGTAATGACAGGCGGACACGCGGATGATGCACATCGGTGGGCGACGGAATGCATGGATGGTAAGTACTGTACACCTCGTACTTGTACATCTCGTACATTTGTACAAACAAGCCTTACTACAACAAACCAGGCATTAATTAATTAATTTTTATAATAAATGAAACTTGAGCGATTCGTATCTGAATGATTTCGTGATTTCAGGAGAGGCAATGGTAGGAGTTCACGACGGTGGAGATTATGGTGGCCTGGGCAGTAAGTGTACTATATTGTAAATTATGATAAGCACAGTCATTAACAGTAGCGAACTCATATACACATTTAGCATAATATAAAGTATTAATTTTCCCTAATTCTTCAATACGATGCTTTAACCGATTCGTAGATATATGGTGCAAATTTATGTTTCCAAAGAAGAAGCCTTCGTTTGGGATTTATCCATATTTTGACTTCTGCAATGTTAGGTAAGAGACCTATCTACTAAAATATAGCAATTACGATATTATTACATAGCGTATTTTGTCAAAATCTGAAATGTGGTTGACGCACTGTTGAAGCAACAAAATTGCATCAACCATCATTTCTCAAGTGTGACAAGAAAAGCCTATGCATGTCTATTTCCTGTATGTACGTTTACTTTCGCTACGCCGACGAGTTTGAAGTTTTAACACTGGTTTTCTAAGATTTCAATGAATTATTTGGAAAACCGAAAAACGCACCACATAAATAAAATAAAATGTCTTGCACTGATTACTTGATAGCACATGTAACTGATGCGAAGCTTAAATTAATAAAACTTATTGTCAAGAAAAACGATGCAATAAAGGGTATTTTGTAGAAATCTGGATGTGATGCATGAGTATTACTGCTACGACAAATATTATCCCATGGATACCTATGACACTTTTGTGACAGGTACACACTTAGCTAGAGTAACCCAAGTTTACGCAACGTGGACACACAATTTTACTATATATCTGATGCGCATGCCTCTAAAGCAGAATAATAAGCAGCAATGATAACTAACAAAATAAAAATTAATTGTGGGCGTTTAAACGAACAAACATAGCGTGGTGCTGCCGGAACTGGAAGACATTTGGGCAACGGCCCGTCAGCCCCCCTTTATTGAACAACCAACAACAAGATGGATGCACCACAACAAATGCCACAGAAAAAACACTCATAAAAAAATAACGAAATTTTTCAGGTTTCAATCCAACAGTGGGCTACTTCTATGCGGGTACTCTGGGCACTCCGTTAAATCCCGCATTAACCGACTTGAACGCCGGCAATCTTAGAAATGACAACCTGTACAAATGCTGTGAGTCTCGTCGTGCATATGTTTGTCCAGCTCGCTTTTGGAGCTAACCAGACTTCAGTAAAAGACTGTTGTAACTTGTAGGGATAATAAATAATAATAATATTCGGTTCTTAGGCAAATTACCTCATGGATATCACCTCGACTATTCGCGATGCCAGTATCGATACACGCACGATAAGTAAGCAGGATGTTTTTTGGTAATTTAAAATTTAGCTAGTACACTAGATTCCATAACCGTTGCTAGGCCTAGCCCTGAGTAAATGGTATAATACTTTGTTCATTTATTTGCGGCCAGGTCGGTCGCGAGTGGGTGGGCCCAGCGCCCCTCCCCCTCTCGGAGGGAGAAAACGGGAAATGTAGCGCCGGGAGCTGGCGCGAGAAATGGACTTTGCGCTGTCTTACCGAAAATTACAATAAAAAAGTATAGAAAAGTGGCTTGTGTAGAAAAGTGGCTTTTTTGAGCCACTTGTCTACGATTTTTTCAATTTTTTTGGCCATTTTTGAACTGGCGCGCGACCGACCTCGCGACGTCCCTGTTTGCGGCGCTTGTACTTTACTATAATTGCACATACTGATATACACAAGCACATAGACAACGAAGAACAGGGAAACCCCGCTATACGATACGATACCGATTTTTTCGTTAAGCGAGCACTGCCTATAGTATTGAAAATCCTGCTTGATTTTGCAATTAATTTGTTATTTATGAGTAGGTTTGGCGAGCATTACGACGAAAACACAATGTTTATGGGGAAGTGTGACCGAGACGCAGTGATGACAGGTAAGACCATTTAATAACTGCAAAGTAGTTTATAGATTTTCTATACTCTGATTATGTACTTTGTAAGTGATCCTAGCTGCTGAAAATTATGACGCTTGTTTTACCGTGTAGGCATTGGTCGAGGCGAAAACCCGTGGACTGCCGGGTTGAATTTTGTCTGGGTGCAGGTAAATCTATGCTGCGTTGCGCCCAAGCAAAACGTTGTACTCCACTAAACAACTTTTCATTGCAGTGCTGTCCATTGTTTTACGACCCAACGTTTATTCCCCTCTATGCATTCGCCAACGAAACATACCACTGGCAAGCCGGTGCCCCGCCCCTGCGGCAGATCCGCCGGCCGGCATACGGCTACGCTACAACCACCGCAACTCCAGCAATGTAAATAATAAAGACTATTAGTACGATGGAAGAATAATTAGTAATGATGGTAACTATTATTTTGTTGTTTTCTGATCTCGGTATGCTTGGCAGTGACAAGCAGTGAATTTTGATCTCTGATATCAACTGGGCACTTCGAAAAATGATTAGAAATCTTCCCGAAGTTTGGATGAGCAAGGCGGCAGTACTGAGTACTGCATGCTCTGCATAAATTTGACCATCACACCATATTGTACAATATACACTTTCTCCGTATGAATCTATTTAACACAACTTGTGAAAACGATGGCCCAACAAGTTTACAATGTATCTTTGATTTAATATGAGTACTGCTTAATATGATTGAATGAATATACTGCAGGTATAGTATCCATCAAATCCAGCAAAGTGGGTTCCTGTACTGCGACCTTTGTAAATGTGCATAGCTCTCTAGCTTGTATCCTCTGCTCTATCCTTAGTGCTATCCTGTTGTAAAATACGACGTCTTTTTAAAATACGACGTAAAGTCTTCTCTATGGAAGTGTATGTAATAGAAGTGCATATATTATAAAGACATAATAAAAATTAAATCAATATAAAGACGTACATGGTAATAACCTAGACTCATCCTTATATCTATATTACCAAAACACTGTGGCTTGTACAGCATGCCACAGTTTTAGTGATTCTGTTTCATACGAAAAGATTTCGGCATCAACTAAAATTTCTCCTTTTGGAGGGAACAGTCAAAAGGAGGATAACATACATATGCATTGTGATGCATATGTTATGTTCCACGAATTTTAAATACAAAACGCTCGGCACTTAATTTAATTATGCACCAAAACTATCTAATATGCAGAATACACTGAATGATCTGTGATCATACACAACGTGCTCTTATAATCTCCCAAATAAGAAAGAAATAAAAAAACCCAGTCGAATATTTGAGCTGCGCAGCTTTGTGCTGTTTATTTACAAAGAATTTTTTCACTTTAAAATCATTCCCCTTTTCGTCGTTTTAGGCTCACGCCACGAATCTTTTATGAGATAAATTCTGTATTTGTCATAAGTTCATGGAAGCCGATGTACTTTTTATACAGTTCCAAGTTACCACAGGTTTATAACCGCGCTCCTTGGGGATACCCAAATTTAGGGCCGCAAAATACGTTTATGCTATTAATTCGTCGTTCAGCAGACAGCATTTCGTTGGAATTATTTTTTACAATGCGTTCGGTACAAGGCAGAAGATTTATGAGCGGTAATTCATACCGCATTCACAACCAGCATTAGCGAGTACTGTACAATTTACTTCTGACCACACAGACGTTAAAGCTGCGTAAAGGATGACCTTCGTAGCACTCGCCCTCATGTTCAACGCGCATCCTATCCGATCAGAGTAAATCGCTATGCTGCTAGCTAGTCATCGTTCACAATTCAACGCCAACAATTTTTTGAATAACAGCTCTCGCAAATAGGAATGACGATGAGCAAAGCAGCTACGTACAGAACTTGTACCCAAATCTGAAGTTCCATTCCTGATCTTCCTCCCTCTCGAAAGTATGAGCGGTTGTGCCCAGCGAACGGTCTCGTGTTTGACGGTAACAATCCTTCTGACGGTGATTTTCCAGCTGCATTAATGCGCAAAAAAAATTTCTGGCCGTAAGTGGGAGCAGGGACACCATGCGATCAGAGCAGCGACACATTTAGTTCTTACTTGTTTTAGAGTTTAAATACAACTGCAAAGCACAGCTTGGTATGCTCCTGATGCACGAGTACTGTGAGTACCATCAAGTTGCTTACCATTGCTGTGCAATTACTATATATTGATATGAGTAAATATGTCCATTTTAAAAGTGTATTCATGGAATTACGAAATTTATTAAGAAGGTCATGTTCACGAGAATACGCGTTGCACGGGACTGCGAGTTTTGCTCCGATCCGTTGGTACCTGCAGGCTGCATGGGTACTGCATGATGGTCAGTATATCTTAAAATGTTGTAATAAAACAAGTATACTCGTATAACAATGACACCACTATGCTGACACCATAGTGTCCATAACTCTAACTTTCTGTATAATTAAACGTAGAGGTGTACAAACTAGTGTTAACTAGTGGGATGCCAAGAAATCCCAGCTGGTAGCACTGCATACAAGTATTTCTATTTCTAATATACCCCGGTAACTTTATAAGCCCCTGCATGTTGTGAATCCGTAATGCATGCCGCGCCTTGGTTGTAAATAATACTACTGGATTTACGCATAAATAATGATTTATTCTTAGTAACTGCAGCGTGGCACTGCTGGCCTGCGTTTCTTTTGAAACTACAACATTTGTATGTTTCTCTTACCGGTTTTTTAGTTGACCGGTTACTTTTGTTGCTGTTATAATTAAGGTACGACATTCCGTAAAAGTATGGAACTACTCCGCAAGTGGGCAAGACTTATGCCGACATACTCTGTACGTATACAGGTTGTATCAGGGACATTGATCTCGTCCATACTTCCGAGCAAATTCTTAATCGGCATGTATTTTACTCTCCTGACGTCAGCTGAACAGGCCGATTTCAGCAATCAAAATCCATAAATAATGAAATTAATTTAAGGTGTCAGAAAAAAACATCAGAAAGCGAAATGATATGCCTCGGGGGCACTCCGCGCTAAAAAAACCGACAAGCATCTTGTTTGGTATTGGCTATCAAATGTTTTTATTTGGAAAAAGTATTGATCTATGATAATCCTATAGCTGCATGGTTGAAGAACACCGTGGATTCGGTTTGGCTTTTGTTTAACCTTGAAATCATAAATAATTTTTCTTATCCTTAATGGTCTTCTTGTCGTGTTTGAAACTTTGCTGATCTTTTTATCTCATATTTGTGCATCGGTCAAAGCAAAAAACGTCAAAAGATACAGTTTTTTGAGATACAGAAGCAATGTTGTTAACACAGAATGTCAGTGGCACATCATTTGTTGTAAATTTTTTTATATGGATCATTCTTCCAGACTGTGCTAGAGCATATTACCGACGGTACACTACTTACGGTACGTAATAATTATCAATCATCTGTGCTTACTGAAATGCTTTCATGTCATTATCTACGGCTGCATGCCTTAATTCTAAGTATCGAGCCACCATAGCTTCATGCAAATGCATAAGATCGAGGTAACGTTTCGAATAAATTAGAATTAAGTTTGTTGATTTAGTACTCAATTAACTGCAAGTCCTCACGTGCCACGGCTCCAGTGCAAAAACTAAATCATACAAATACATATACAAATACAGAAACATACAGATATAAGTATTTTGCAATACATATACTTGCTGGTCATGTATAGCAGATTAAGCGTTTGAAAACAAAAAATTTGATCGGAAGTCACCGTATTTTTAGGAACCGGCGATACATTGGTAGTCGTAATGACAGGCGGGCATGTGGACGATGCCCATCGATGGGCGACAGAGTGTATGGATGGTCAGTATATCTTAAAATGTTGTAATAAAAACAAGTATACTCGTATAAAAATGACACCACTGTGCTGACACCATAGTGCAGTCCAAAACTCTAACTTTTGTAATTAAACGTAGAGGTGTACAAACGAGTGTTAACTAGTGGGGTGCCAAGAAATCCCAGCTAGTAGTATTACCTAAGTACGGTACAGTGACAAGAAATTTAATAAATAAAAATATCCACAAGGGTTTCTGCGATAATTACGGATTTGATTACTTATTTTTAGGAGAAGCGCTTATTGGAGTTTTCGATGGTGGTGATTACGGTGGCATCGGAAGTCAGTGAGACCAAGCAGTGTTTTGCTCAATAGTGGAATACATAGCGGAATTTATATTTTGTTGTGTTTGGTTTGCTTGCCTGCAAAACTGTTACAGTACATGAAATTATATACAGTATCACATTTTTTCCAGCTATATGGTGCAAGTTTATGTTTCCCAAAAAGAAACCTTCATTTGGAATTTATCCGTATTACGACTTTTGTAATGTGAGGTAAGGTACACAAATAAATTTGAGTAATCTTGAGTACTGCTTTGACGCCTGTTGTTTCGTTGGATTAAAATTTCAAAGATAATAATGTAGCCACTTACATAAAGCTACATACTTATTTTGTTTTATTGAGTTTCACCACAGTACGTGTACATTCGAAGGCAAGCTATAACAAATTGGGCATTACCTGTTAAGTTTGTATGGACCATTGCTCTTGGTATACCGCCCACGGACTGCAATAAAAATGTTGGTACAACAATGTACTTAGATAAAATGTTGGTACAACAAAACTCGAGACAACTCGTGAAAGATACCTTGGTTATGATTACGTTTAGCAGTAGCAATTATCATTATCTGCAAAGTTATACAAATTCTAACATTGTAGAAATTTGGACAAAATGCACGAGTATTACTGCTACGACAAATATTATCCCATGGATACATATGACACATTTATGACAGGTAAGTTGAAGCTACGAGCACATTCATAATTAAAGCACGCATATTAATATTCACCTGAAATTGTACAGTACGTCGTATGTAAACATTGGTTTTGTCGTTGTCCTGCTTAAATAACAATGAACAAACTTTTGTAGGTTTCAGCCCGCCAGTGGGGTATGCCTATCGGGCAACTCAAGGTGTTCCGCTGCATCCCGCTCTAAATTCTTTGAACGCCGGAAATCTCAATAACGACCATTTGTACAAATGCTGTAAGTTTTCCATATACTTACATACTGAGGTTCTGGATCATAAATTTTAAATATCCTCCTGGTACAGTTTGCGTACTGCTGGTTTCAGGCAAATTGCCACATGGCTATCACCTAGACTATTCACGATGCCAGTATCGATACACTCATGACAAGTGAGTGAGTAGAGTATATACTGTATTACTATTTTTCTTGTTTTCTGTTTTCGCCTTGGACATTGTACTATATATCCGCTATTCTCCAGTTCCAAGGTGCGCAAGCAATAAATATTTTATAATTATTTTTGGTTTTCTTTCTTCTTATACAGTACTCTGTACTTACCTCAGGCTAATTTTTCAAGCGCCAACAGTCCTCTTAATCAGTACATATTGTATATCGTACGCCATAGTTTATCAGCTCATTGGTCTGCATGTGTTTAGATTCGGGGAGCACTACGACGAAAATACCATGTTTATGTCGAAATGTGATCGAGACTCCCTGATGACGGGTAAAAATATCAGGCATGAATTAATTTTTTATTACTGTACTTACTAGTGTATATCCATATAAGAATTTTTCAACTCCTGTTTCAATGTAATCCAGCTAGAGATGATCCATGATTAGTTTAGTACTCGTAGTACGAAGTAGTTATCTGGTTTACCCTGCAGGCATTGGCCGAGGTGAAAATCCCTGGACTGCCGGATTGAATTTTGTCTGGGTGCAGGTAAGTAAAAATGTCACTGCAGTTGCGGTTTGACCATCCAACATTACAGCTATATGCTGTAATATGCACAGTCATTTTTATTGCAGTGCTGCCCATTGTTTTATGACCCAATGTTTATTCCGCTCTATTCATTTGCCAATGAAACATACCACTGGCAAGCCGGCGTCCCGCCATTGCGGCAGATTCGTCGGCCGGCGTACGACTCCGCCACAACCACCGCAACCCCGGTCGTGTGAAAAATTACGGTGAAAATTCAGACTTTTCTGATCTCGATGTATGTAGCGTTAGCAGTAACGATGTATTCTGATCTCTTTAAAACATTGATTTCGTGTTTAGTGACTTCATAGCACATTAAAAGGGCGAAACTGAAAATGTTCCTACATTAATTCATTTCATCAAATTCTAGATTTTCTGATTGTTTAACTGGACACATGCTCCAAAACATTTATTGACTTTTTGTAATTATTTGTCTTACCATCCCCTAAAAACTACAGAGTCTAGAGTATAATACAAACTGAAAGCTCAGTAATTCATAAAAGCGCAACTGCGAATCTTGTAGAAGCTAGTGAAGACCAGTACTCGTACTTGTTTATCTGTCAATCGAAATTATAAAAATATTAGTACGCACTACGCATCACTTTATATTTATCAAATTTTTAACAACAAAGCACCAATCATACAAAAGCAAAAAGCCACGCTATGCACACTTTCATACAGAATCTTGGGCGCAAACACCGTCCAGACAAATAAATGATACCGCTGTACAGTACAGCTGAGAAAGGCCATCAAACCGAAACAACTCCTTATTCCCAAGCCTAAATGAACCGTTTTCCAATCACAAATCCGTGGTTGTTTGTTCAATGAAAAAAAGCAACAAAAACTTAGTAGCCAGAATATTGGCCCGCAGTATGTGTGCAGCAAAATTAGAACCGCATGCAGGGGGGCAAAATAAAAGTTAATACCGACAAAGCCGGCCGAGACGTCGATGGTGGATATGCTGTTGGAATTCCCCAATGCAAACCAACTACACCACGCTTCACTGTGGTAAATCAAACAAATCTGTAACCGAATTGCAACATTTTATACTACCTGTACCGAAATAACTATTATACGAGCTGCATGTCAAAAAAGCAATTTAAATAATAATATAATACTCGTCTACGCTTTTACCAAGGTATTTCTGTTAACACGAAGTACTAATGGCTGCAGTGCTGCGACAATTAATCTGAGAGCCACAACGCTACGCTAGTCAGACACTTGTCAAACCCCAGCAAACCGTATGCCTGATTATTCTCGAACGGGATTGAACCTACCAAACGATTCGGAATTTCCAAATCCTTCAAAACGATCCGGATAAACCGCTCCTTAACCATCAAGCCAGTCACAAGAACAACATTGTGCGGCCTCACCAGAATGGTGATTAGACACAGCAGTCCAAACTGGCATATGTCCGCCCTCCTCGGATTTGTGCGCTTTCCGAACAAAACAGTCACAAACAGGTTCCCGTAAACAATCCACGCAGCCCTTAAAAAGCAACCCAAATAACAGATGGTAGTAAGCTCACATTAACTCCTACAAATCTGCAAACTTTGCAAAATACTTCAGAACAATTATAATACTTCAAATATTATTTATTATTTTAAATCATTATTTCGAATTATTATTTATCCAGATTACTATTTCGAATTATTTTCAAAATATTTCAAAATTTATTTTTCAGAATACTCGTACCTTTTCTTGACTTTCATAATCGATAAAAATTATGACTGTTTAAGAATCGATCTTCCAGTTCACTATTACGTTTAAATCAAAAATACTGTTACAGTTTGTATACTACAGAAACATACATTTATACGCGTCACATGCCTGCAAGAAAAATAGTTTAACATTTTAAATGTACCGTTATTGCTAATCTTATCAGCGAAAATGCGTCTTAGTACATCAAGACATCGCAGAAAAGTTTCCACTGCGCTGACGCCACAACTCTACGCTATCCGCATAAATTTCAACATACCTAATCCCACCTGCTGAAACACGTTTGTCATTAATTATTGTATTAATCAAAATGCTAATAGTGCTATCGACTTTCAAAACTTCATCTCTGCACTTACTGAACTAATGCTCTAATCGAATTTAACAGTGACCAACAGCGGTAACAAAGATCATATAATTTACCAGTTTAATCCGAATATCTGGTACAATCCAGCTGCTATAATTCCTGGCACACTGCGCCTGGCATTTCCGGTGATGTAGACAAGCACCAACTGTGACAGGATGGACAGTCCAACAACAGCGTTCAGGGAAAAATTATGATCAGGTCTGCAAACATAAACAGCACTCAACAGGTGGTTGGTAGTTTGCGATACCGCCCATAAATATATAAATGCAACAACGTTACAAACTATTAAAATTTAAATAACCAATATGGCGTGTATGAGCGCCAGTAAATGCAATTACATCAGACGCTTCAAAAATAAAAAAATTCCCATTATTTGCAAAAGAGCAGCGATAAACGGACCAACTTGTACAATTTCGCTAATTTATAAATACAACCTTACTCTCTTAACCAGTCGCCAACATCCGGCAATCCCGCCCATTTATCCCCGGTTCGATTCCATTCCCTGAGAACTCTTTGTATGACCATCAGCCCCAATACGTAGCACATTCCTTTGGTCTTTTTTTCCGTCAAACAACGCCACAACAACATCAGGTACACCGTTGACACCCAATAATACCACATCTGGTGCTCTTCTTCAATAAAACTACTGGATAGAAAACTCGATGCATGAAAAACGAGCACCGCCATCATCCATCGCTGTCCTCGGTTTTCACCTTTCATTCTTGATCTTAACGCAGCTTTTAAATGGCAAGCTGTCACCAGCAGCAAAATTATCACCGCACAGCCCATCGAAATTACGTTGTAAGCCTTCGATTCTTCTCTGGTCTCAGTGGCAAGAATTTTGTCGAATGTGTCCACATCGATGTGCGAAACATTCCGCGTGCACAAGCCAAAAACATCACGGTGTTTTTCTTCATCGCGAATCATGCGTCTTACGGATAGCTGCGCATATAAGTCGCATAAAGCCGTCTGCAGTGCGTCCACCGGGAGAAATTGTTTCAGAACGGGTAAAATCGGACGACCGGTATTTTCCCGTGGAATTGCTGTTCCCATGAGAATCGATACGGTTGAAGCCAAATCGACTTGTGCGATGGATGCAACAGATGGTGGGTTCGCGTTGCGGAAAGCTGGACTAAGAAAAACCATTGCGGTTTCCGTTTCCGTCGCGGAACTTCCTCCGTGACTGCCAGTATCCTAAAATGCAAAGCAAATGCAAATGACAAACACTGTAAAATCACAGAACTAATGAAAACCATATTGGAGAACTTTAAGACGCTCCCTTATTTGGGGCCAAATGCATAACTGCATGAATGCTAATATTGAAATATCGAAACAAATTACAGATCCGGGTTTTAATAAGGCATAACGGCTTATAAAGAATATACCAACAAAATCCTTAATATTTTATGCTTTTTCAAATAATTACCGTCATTCCGTGATCACCAAAAAGCACGACCAGACCATTTCCAGACTGGTTTTCAATAAATCGGTACATCTTCCTAACAACTCTGTCCATTTCCCTTAGTTTAGGGTCAACCAGCGAACTATGCGGCCCAGCCAAATGACCGATATGATCCAGTCCAAGCAGGTGAACGATCGTAACATCCCAGTCGGATCGAAGGAGTTCCTTCTCAATGTTGCGCGTCACATTGTTGTCCACCTTTAAAAACATACCAAAACTTCAAAAATGAATGCTGGAGCAAAGTTGTTAATTCTAACTAGCGATCCATATTTCATCGTGAATTATAATTATGTTATACCATCTAGCACAACGGTAATAATATTTCGCGATGTGGTTAGTCAAAAGAAGAAAAGCGGGGAAAACATAATACTCCCATATGAACTTCAAAAGTGTTGGGCAGATTATTAAGACCAACGGAAAATAAACTGAAAATTTTCAAGCAGCTGTAGTTTATGAAGCGCTTTATTCATGCAGCCGTTTTGCTAAAAAATTTTGCCGTTTTTGTCTAAAAAATTTCATGACTTCTGCTGGTGGAAATCTTTACCAGCACTAACTGCTAACTTTATTCAGAATAAACAATGGAGTCCGAGACAAAACAACTGAAAGCTAAACAGTTGTGGTGTTACGCATAGCGGCAAATAAATGAAATTACCTACCGGTACCCAGAAGATATCACAAATTTCAAATTTTCAACAACAATAAATCGGTTTCATGAATCACTCGTAAAACAACTGCTACCATTCCGTGTGATTTGTTATAAGGAAACAAGCATAACGAAACTCATAGTAACAAAATTCTATTCAAACAGCAAAATAATGGTGGCAAAGAAAACAATAACATTAAAAATACCAAAATGCAACAGCGGTAGAAATCTATGTACGTCTACGTACCTCCGTGTAATCGTTGACAAAGAAGGATGAAACGCCCTCACTGCGGAGAAAAGTATCCGGGAACAATTTCATCCATGTATCATCCCCGTAGAACACCATCCGCCGACCACCTAAGGCCCACTGCCGTACTACGCTGTCCGTTAGGAGTCGGCTGGCACCGAAATTCACAATCACATCTGAGAAATCAGGAACAACACCCGTTGTTAGCGCCTGATAAAAGGAAACCACCTGCTGTACAGTTGTACCAATACCCTATGATTTTCAATTTACAGACTAGCAGTAAGAAATAAAAACATCACTGATTTCAGGTATCAGGCTTCAGCGATATCAAATTACCAACTGAAAAATTTAATACCAACTGTAGTAAAAAGCCTCACAAACAAATACTACCAGCGACGTAATCGTCGTAATGCCACCGATAGTGACGCAGAAAATTGCATATGTTGCAAAAGCAGCACGGTGACAACTTGACAAGTATACTGTATACTGAGATATTAGAATTTTCGTTTTTTGAATTTTCCTTTCTTGATAACTAGTATTTCACAAGTTCACAAGCAGCTTACATTGAAAACAAAGTAAAACAGTAAATCAGTTCTTTATAATCTACCAGATTTCAAACTTTTTTATGTAATGATTTACCAGCCTGAATCAACCGAAAAACCCTGGTGCAATACTTATGTAAAAATCTACGCGGTCTCATGATAACATTTATAAAATTTTAAAATCATTGCGTAGTCTCATAATCAGAAATCTGTACTTCTAGTTTTGATCGAAACAAGCGATGCGCATCAAAAAGCAGTTTTCTCAAATATATTCGTTACAGTACTTTGCGCTAATGAATTCTCTACCAATTAGCTGTACCTACAGTACCTTGATACGAGGTAGTGTAACCGTGGGCGTTCGCGCATTGGCAATGAATCCCAATGCCTTTCCATTTCGCATTTGTTCCGCGACAAACCCGAAACTCCCCTCATATTTCACGGTAAAAACAAAATCTGCTCGCAATGCATCGATCAGGATAAGAACCAACTTGTCCACAAAGGGTTTGCTGATGTTCTAGCAACAAACACAAAACGGATACTTAAAGTCAGCGAGACAGCGACGACCATGAATCCTGTTTGGGTTTCCGCTGTTGCCCGCAATCGCCTTACCTTTTCGGGACCCGACGATCCTGGTACGCCAGGCTGTTGCTGAACATCTTCATAACAACCTGGGCAAAGCGTTGTTGAAATTTCGGATTGTTGTAAGCGTGACAGCGGCGGTGGCGGAGAGTGGGGAGTTTCTCGGTCATGCTGTATTGTGTCCAACAGAGACACGGAGAAAAATCCCGAAAGAAAGAGCAGAACAGATGCTATGTGCAGTCCAATAAGCGTAATAAGGGTACGCATGCTAAGTAAAACACCCTGCCGTTAAAATCTAAAAAATATATATCACTGCGGCAAGATTACGAAAACAAATTGAGCTTTCTGATTAATTTTGAATTGTTGAAATCTATGAAAGTCAGAAAGTGCTTACAGTAGTGCTTACAGATGTGACATACAAAGTAAATCGTAGCTGCTTGTAGTGGACTCATATCTGTAAAACGCTCCCGGGGTGGTAGTCCGGTAAGATGGAAATTTTTCCAAAGGATAAAATTCCAGTGTACAATACAATACAGATTCCACTATGGTCTATGCACTATTGATTATCGAAAATTAATTACTTGATTTAATAATAAATGAAGAAAAAAACCCACTACTCGTAGTGTTTTAATTAGCCTTAGTACGATCGCACTTACATAGGAATTTGCCAGATGATCCAGATTCGTAAAAAATAACTTACGGTAAGACTGTTGTCTTTACTTGCCCGGAAAACTTTTGTCTTTACTCGTTCACCTTAAAAAATTTCAAACTGATACCTTAATTTTTCTTTTAAATTTGCTTAATAATACCATTTGTTTTGGAACACCACTTGCTTAGTAGTATTAACATTATGTTAATATACATAATTATGTTCTTACAATTAATACACTTTGTATGGATCTTGTCTCACACTGACTGTGGACGGTGGAACTAAAGTCAATTCTGTAATCCGAAGGAGGATAAAAAATTATCACTCTTTATAGCGCATTCCATTTTCGACACAAACTCGTACATCAGTCTCCAGCTTTACACAGCTACAGATACTCGTAAATATCGACATCGTTACATTGTACAAAAAAAACTTTAAAACAGACCCCCATACACTGAAAATTTCGACATAGATTTCTATTGTACAAATGCTGGATATAAACGTGGTGAAGTACCATCTGCGGTTTTAAATTCCAGTTTCCATTGTGTGGTCAGCGGTCACTGCCTATGCAACGGCAGCAGTGGTTTCCTCCGCCGCAGGAGCAGCTTCAGCAGCGGCAGCCGTTGTCTCTTCGGAGGCAGCGGGGGCTTCCGTGGCAGCAGCAGCCTTAGGAGCAGCAGCACCACCAGCATTGTCCACCCACACCCAGTTACCGTTGGGGCCAGATGCGCTACCCTGGTTATTGTTGCCTGGGGTGTCGAAGAGGACTTCGGTGGTGTACAGGCGACGGTTGGCAAAGTTCTCATCCTTGATGAAACTGCGAATCAAGCCGGTTAACCAAACGCCACAAAAAGTTCGGTTTACTGTACAGTACAGAGTACATACGCATCGCAGTCAACGTTGAACCAGTAGTCGCAGATGAGGGTGATCGGGTTGAAGAGGGTTCGGTTGACACAGATGTAGCTGGTCATGTTGCCGTTAGGGTCGCATCGATGGAAGGTCTGGCATTTGGTGGCGGGATCTGATTAACAATTACAAATATTATCAAACATACGATATTCTGAATTGGGGTTAACGTTTTCCTTGTTGTATGGATAGATAGCTTACCGGCATAATAACCCGGATACTGTTTCTGGTCACAGGTGAAACTGGGCGCCGGGATATCGTATTCCGACCTTTCCGGCCACACAACGTCGCGTTGTGCCAAGAGAGCAAAGATCTCGGGATTGGTCAGGACTTTGGTCCAGTCGAAGACATACTGATGCGAGAAGGTCGCTCCGCTGCTGGCCTTGGCCTTGACACTCTTTTGGGCCAATACAGCGCCCACCAACGCAAAAGCAACCAACAGTTTAAACATGGCGGTGTTCGTACACTGAACAGTACACCCTTGCGTTACAAGAAAAACTAGAACTATTTCTTGAAACTGCTTTTGGAGTGGACTGAATGCTCGACATTCTCAGCAGGTTGGGGATTTGCCATTTTATACTAAAAAAGCGGGAGCAGCAGAATTAGTGTAAAATTATCGTAAATCAGCTTAGTATGTAATTCGCTCGATCGGTCGTTCGAGCGATCCTAATTGGCTCTGGGCATCACTGGCCTTGGCTAATAACGCGCTTCTAATTAGCAGCGAATTATGTAATCATAGCAGTCAGGTTCATTAAGAACTCAGTAATGGCAGGAGTCAACGATATAGTAATTGAATTACAATTAAGCGATCATTGCCAATGTTGCAATTAATAAAAGTCAACTGAACGTACAAGTATCTGTACAAAGTACGTAACCCATTGATCAAGGTTCCGGTCTGACACAAAGTATCGACTTCCTTATTAGCACGGAAATAATCATAATGTAGCGAAACTGTATCAAAAAAACTTCGAGCAATTTCTGACTCCACGGCATACTGCGGGTAATAACATTTTATTTTCAGCTAATGCATTATGCATGCACAATGTGTGCCCAATTGAACTTTTTAGCATAACTTTTTAGTCATTACTGAAGTTGCAGATAATTACTGTTGCAAGAAAAATTTAAAGTACATAAAAACGACTGAAAATTAACAAGGGCTATTTCAGTAAAATATTGGAAAATGAGTTTCTTCCCTGTGAGACTGGGGACGTTAATCTTTTGACTTGGAAAGCTTATTACCGACATTCCATATAATTACATGTACTTAATGTAAATACGAGTAATTAACAATTCGCACTTTGAACGTGTCTACAGATCAGGAGGGTCCAAAAATTATGGTGTGCGACCAAAAATTATGGTCTGTACTAAAAATTATTGTCTGCGACTAAGAACAATAAACGTAACACTCCATTATAAGACTGGCTAACATTAAACAAAAATTTAAAAATTTTTATGATGGCAGTAATTCGCCGTCTGATAGTCGCAAGGCTACAGATATGAGTACTAATAATAATAATTTTATGGAATAATGTATTAATAATTTTATGGACAAATCGAAATATCATGATCCACCAAGAGTCCAAGACCGTGATTGATGTCGAAAACTGCTCAAGGCTGGGAAAAATCTCGATATGATACTGGAATAATCCAGTGGAGTGTGCAGTAATTCGTTTAGCCATTATGCGGGTAGTAGTAATTTTACAAGTAAAAGTACAGTATCGTATACGCATTAAAAGAACAAATGTAGCGGATTTCGCTTTGTCAGCTTTTGGAAACGCACCTGTTGTATTCCTAGCACACTCGGGGCAGGAAAATGTTATGTAATGTGCTACCTTATTTGACTGTGACGAATGCATAAATAAATTTGGACAGTCATCCGACATCCCGACTAATTACGTGCTATGTGAAAGCCAAATATACCAAAGGCTATCATATTTTTAAACCCAAGTCGAACCAGACGATATGTTTCAAGGTCTGTGGTCGTATAAATACCGATCCGGAGCCTAATTCTCCTCAACATTCGTTCCAACTAGCCTAAGAAGTTATACACCAGCCGCTAACCTAACTTCTCCCGACCCGGTACTATGCTGAAGTACGTTGTGATCCTCGCTTTGGTGGGCGTCGCCCTGGCCCAGAAGTCAAGCGTCAAGGCCAAGGCCAGCAGTGGAGCAACCTTCTCGCATCAGTATGTCTTCGACTGGACCAAGGTGCTGACCAATCCCGAGATCTTTGCCCTCCTGGCTCAACGTGATGTCGTATGGCCGCAACGATACGAATACGATATCCCTGCCCCTAGCTTCACTTGCTCCGATAAGCAGTACCCTGGTTACTATGCCGGTGAGTGTTTATATACAGGACATCCTAACGGTATATACTGTGCATAATTTGTAAGTGCTAATAATTAACATCATCGCAGATCCCGCCACCAAGTGCCAGACTTTCCATCGTTGCGACATCAACGGCAACATGACCAGCTACATCTGTGTCAACCGAACCCTCTTCAACCCGATCACCCTTATATGTGACTACTGGTTCAATGTTGACTGCGATGCGTATGTTCAGTAAACCGAACTTTTTGGTGGCGTTTGGTTAACCGAGGCTTGATTTGCAGTTTCATCAAGGATGAGAACTTTGCCAACCGTCGCCTGTACACCAGCGAAGTCCTCTTCGATACCCCAGGCAACAACAACCAGGGTAGCGCTTCTGGTCCTAACGGTAACTGGGTGTGGGTGGATAACGCTGGTGGTGCTGCGTCTGCTGATAAAAGTACGGGTAATTTTAAGTGGGTGGAAAATAATTCGGCAGCCTCCACGGAGGCACCTGCTGCCCAAGAAACAACGGCAGCCACTGCTGAAGCTGCCTCGGCTGAGGAGACCACAACTGCCGCCACTGCATAATTTCTCCTGATCTATACTGGACATGTGCGTGTTTACGAATACCAAAGATTACATTCCGTTACTACAATATGAGTAGTGCCTTCTGACTACACAAGAAAAGCTACTCTGTGCTGTTTACTGTGTAGTGAAAAACTGCCATAATTATGTGGGTTGAGTTTTCAGTATTGATATGCAATGAGCACCAAGGGCATAATTACTTTTGCTGTCATGGAGCATGAACCTTGACCTCTCAGCTGGGAGAATGAAACGGTTTGCACCTTATGCAACTAGGTTCTTGTGATTCTAAGTCTTACACAGGGTATGATGATTATGATGCCGACAATAAATTAACAACTTGCGATCCGTAGCATGAGTCCGCAGCACGACATTAGTCCGTTACATGCCGTGACGGTTGATCTGTTTGCCTTCCTAGCCGTCAAAACCAAAGTCCATCCGAGATAAGCGCAAGAGCACGGATTGGCGATATGAAATATAGCACACCCACAACTTCGTAAACGTTATGCCGAAATGAAAACCTACTCCCGAGTAGCTTTTTATTGCGGCACTGCACTCACCATAGATGCCAGCTTGCTCCACTTAGATGTCTAGTACGTGTTTTTACTTCGCGTTCACAGCTGCCGTCATAACAGTTCATGTGTTATCACGGTAGTGGTTGTTTTGCGTTATCTCAATGGACTTTGATTCGGACAGTTTTCTCAGCGCCTTTTAAAAAGTCAGCGCTATGCAACGGACTATTGTTACTTTAAACGTGCCACAACTGATCGGGAATCTACTGATAACCACAAACTGCCAATATCATCCATCATATTAATACGGTATATTATTGTCAACTCAGCGCACATAATCCACTCGCAAGTGACAACTGGACTTCCACTGAACAGCTTATCAGAACCCAATGTTGGAACAAAAATAGCAAAATGTGATGAAACCCAATCTGTACCATATTGTAGCGATAGTATTTGTACGAACGATAAGACCGCCCAGTTATGATTCATTCCATCGCGTTATGAATTTGTGTCCACTTTACCGGCTAGTTTCCTTTCTCATGAATTTCTAGAATTCAGTCTTGACACTCGCTTGCTACAGCTTGCATCTACTTGATTGTTTCTCTTGCTGAAACCCTTGCTTACAACCTTGCTCCGTTTCTTGAACGCCTTGTCATTAAACATGCCTTGAGTTACGTTGTCGTGTTTGACCGCTTGGGATGAACTAGCGTCATCCCAATCGGAGCCACCTGTGTAATTGTGTAACATCAGTAAGAGCGTCCTCGGCCAGCATCGTTGCCGGCCGTGCCACCTTTCACCACAACAGCCGCATAATCGTGGTAAAGGCTGATCGCCACCCCACTAGAACAGTAGCCAGATAGGCCACTGTTACAATATGTAGCTTTGAGCAGTTTGTGTTTCCGACTGCAGTTTATCATACAAAGTATTTAAGTGCGTAGACAATCAGTTAGCTTGAATTTTTTGCACATTTGCGCATAATTAATAAGTTTAGGCTGGCAGTAACCTTTATCTGTGAGATATTATTACACAATAAAAAAGGGTTTTCCATAATAAACTGAGTATAAACAACACGTTGACTCACGTCAGCCAAAAGCCTCCAAATTACGAGTACTTGTACAACAGACTTGTTTGGTTGAGAATTCTGAGCGGGTACTCTACCGATTCAGTTTGTTCATGCAAATGTGCAAACTATATATTATATGCTACGTAATACATTTATTTATACGAATATTCATAGTAGTGCGACATATATACCGCGCTTTAAAAAAATCTTATAAAACTTTATCTTTAATTTGTTAGTATATACAAGTCCAAATCTCAGCAGTATAAAGTCGGCAAAATGAAAAGTGCAAGAAAAATTATTGGATATAACTGTGAACTGACTGAATTAAGTTTGTAAATTTATAAAGCCTGTACGAAACTTATTTGAAGAATAAGTGCCTATTTGCGTTATTCGGCAGTTCTAATGTTATGATTATTTTATGAAGACGCCAGAATATACAACGCCGCCATGATTGACAATTGCAGGTGCGCTGCACGATACTCAAGTATGCACGATACTCGTCTAAGAAAATATGAAATTAGAGAGAATAATCTAGGGAAGCGTCCATTAACCCGCTGTGGTAAGCATAAATGCATAATTGATTATTTGTTCGGTTACTTTTTTTCGTAGCACCTGTAGCAGCTGTTGATCAAACTTTCGCAGCTTCTCGAACCGCACCTTGTCCAACCCGGGGCAACGAACATATTTGTAGATACAAACTGTATCAAGATGCGGTTTAATTGTCCTAAATTGCTACGCTGTGGAAAGGAAAAAACCAGCTAGGCATTAATTTAATTTACGCTAGAGTAGAGTATATTTTAGCAGTTAAGCCGTATATATCCAAAGAACGGACTGGCTGTGCTGTAGGGTAAAATATATTGTCTTGCATGTGTTTTCCAAAGTCCAAATTAATTATGAGCTTAGTCATCTTAATTACTGTTAAAATCAAAGATCGTTTTGTTGCAATAAACTTGCACTAGTTTACCAGTGGACACTTACAAGTTTCGTTTTTGCACCGAGATATTCTTTAGCTTGCTTTTCGTAATTTTAAAATAGTTATAAGTTGTTTTTTTCTGTGCGTATTAATGCGGAATTTATGCCTCCCTAGTATTAAATTAAAGTCGTAGTTGCAGATGTGCGTTTAATACTACTACACAGGAAATGCTTGTCTGTGTAATGTAAGAATATTGCGGACACATGCAACATTAATCAGATGTCAATCGTTAGTTAGAAAAATCATAACGATAGGCATTCAAAAATATTCTTATTCTAGGACAAATCGTTTTGTCGGAAAAATGTGGTAAAAGTCCATTATCATTTATAAAGTTGACTTTTGCTCATAGTTCCAACTACAGTATGAGAGGCATCCCTATTATACTCTATGTACATTGTCTCGTCCCAACATTTGGGTTATTGTTGATCAAATTAAATCTTAACTATAAATTGTAGTCAGCATTTTTACCACACTTCAGAGTATAAGTCTTATTTGAAAATTCAGTTATACTCTGCAAACTACCAAGAATTTATCGTAATGCATAAAAAAAACTGGATCATGACCAACCATGTTGTTCGCACATGCGGCAATACCGGTTACAAATCACTCATGCCCTAATTAAAAATTTTATGCACAGCCATTTAATTGCCAGATATAAATTATTAAGTTGAAACACCGGCCAGTATTTGAACTGGCATCGACCAGACATGCCGTTTGGATCGGCACCCAATACGGAGAATGCATTTGGACAGTCATCCCGACTAATTACCTAATCACTTGTCAAAGACGAATACGCCATCGGCAATTCTCAAGTCAAACAGGATGATTTGTTCTAAGGTTGCTGGCCGTATAAATACCGCCGATCCGGAGCTTAATTCCTCATTCAGTTTTCGTCTGAACCTGCAATTAGGCTTTTAGGCTAAACTCCGGCAGTTAACTTTTAGGGACCGGCACTATGCTGAAGTACGTTGTTATCCTCGCTTTGGTGGGCGTCGCCCTGGCCCAGAAGAGCGTCAAGGCCAAGGCCAGCAGTGGAGCAACCTTCTCGCATCAGTATGTCTTCGACTGGACCAAGGTGCTGACCAATCCCGAGATCTTTGCCCTCCTGGCTCAACGTGATGTCGTATGGCCGCAACGATACGAATACGATATCCCTGCCCCTAGCTTCACTTGCTCCGATAAGCAGTACCCTGGTTACTATGCCGGTGAGTGTGTATATCCTTCATATACAAATGTAACGGTACAAAAGTCCATGGTATGCCAATAATTTAAATTACCGCAGATCCTGCCACCAAGTGCCAGACCTTCCATCGTTGCGACGTCAACGGCAACATGACCAGCTACATCTGTGTCAACCGAACCCTCTTCAACCCGATCACCCTTATCTGTGACTACTGGTTCAACGTTGACTGCGATGCGTAAGTTCATTAAGCGACACTGCTGTTGTCGAACTCTTTTAACCGGGCCACTGGTTTTGCAGTTTCATCAAGGATGAGAACTTCGGTAACCGTCGCCTGTACACCAGCGAAGTCCTCTTCGATACCCCAGGCAACACCAACCAAGGTAGCGCATCTGGCCCCAACGGTAACTGGGTGTGGGTGGACAATGCTGGTGGTGCTGCTGCTCCTAAGGCTGCTGCTGCCACGGAAGCCCCCGCTGCCTCCGAAGAGACCACGTCTGCCGCAGCTGAGGGCGCTGCTGCTGAGGAGACCACCGCCGCTGCCGCATAAGCTGTCCAAATCCAGTTGGGCATACCTACCAAAGATTAGTTCCATCAGCTGACAGTACGAGCTATTTCTTCTGACTACGAGAAAATGTAAAAAAAGCTGGTTTGTGCTACCTACTAGTGAACGACTGCCTTTCGTGAGTTTTCAGTATTTAAGCGCACCTAAGGAAACTATTCTGCTTTTATTTTATGAAGAGCGTCAGTTTCTGAAATGGAAGAACGAAAGACAAATAAAAACAATGATACTACATTTTGTTCATCTGACTGCAAACTATTTTGTATTAAACAAAAATTCCAAACGCAAAGAGGTATGCAAAGGTCTTAAGAAAACATTTGCCGTTGAATGCGAACACTAAGTTTATACGTTGATCTGCAAACTACAGGCACAGCAAAAGTAGGCAAAGCGTAAAAGTGAAAGTAAACCAACTCAACGACCCGGCAAAAAAATTCCCGCAAGGTGACCCGCAGACAGGTCTTCTGATTGATAGTTTGGCAAAATACTGCCAAATTCCCATGGTTGATATATATGTCGGCCTTCCAGGCATCGGCTGAGAAGAACGTGTAGTGTAGAACGGAAGTGAATCACCGCTACTGTGCCAATCACGGATTCACGGTTAATAACGACTCGGCAGAAACTGGTTTCCTACGAGGAACTTTGGTCTAATTGTAAGTTTGTATGGAAGGTGCAGTCAGTTAATAAAACAGCGGAATGCTGCTTGCGTAAGTTGTTTAACGATTTACTAAGAACGGACATTAAGGACAGATAAACGGTAAAGACTTCCATTCAATTGGGCATATTTGTAACAATTATATCATGATCAGGTTTCGTTGTGGTAATTCAATAGTCGTCAAATTAGTAATGCAGTCATGGGAGGTTAATCCAGGTTAATCTGATTTTGTAGAACCTGTTCAGCAAGCACCCATTCATTTCATGAGCGTAAAAAAATGCAATAATATTATTGCCGATGATTGTGTAATTAGTAGTGGAAACTATATGCTATTTCGCTAGTTATGTTTTTTCCCCAACATTTGCAATTAATATCTTACGCAACATGTTTAATTTACTAACGCGGAAAAGATTCGTTAACAGTTATTTTGTCCAAACTTCCGCGTGGATCTTTGGTGCATGCGTTTATGGTTTCGGGGAAAAAAGTAAATTTATGTAACTTTTTCCTTTTCTCTGAAAACCATTATAGAGCCCAATCGAATTTTTCTCCCAGAAAATCAATGCTACTTATTTATAAAAAAACAAAAACTATCCCCTTAAAAAACGAAAACACAGCGAGATTTATATAAAGGAACGCTTCCTAAATTTATATAAACGTGTTTACGCGAAGTCGGTAAAGAGTACTGTGGTTCCTTACATTTTCACAATCACTTTATAATTGTTCTGCATACATTCAGATCTGGAACCTGAACTTTGATGGTAATTTTTAAATAACGGAAGTGGTGTTTTTTTCAGCTTTTCGTACTCTGGTTGTGTGCCAAGCTCTGGTTGTTCGGAAAATTAAGACGTAGTTTGTCAGGGCATTTCAGTGTTTATCCTGGCAGCTTACCGGAAACCGGATTGCTGCGTCACATTATTTAGCAGTTTTTAGAGCAGATTATCAATGATACTACTAATATAGCGAATATTGCAGGTTACAAGTATTGTAAGTCAGTAATCCAATAACCCGATCTTCCTGTCACCTGCGGCAAGGTCACTCCCCGCTGTGATATGACATGACAGCCGTTCACTGTCATTCTCCATAAGAATGCTATCCGCTGCACAACCATAAAACGATATTAAATTGTTTGTTCAAACAGTCTTTTAAATTGAAAAAGAAGTCGTGCAAGTAACTGCACGTACAAAAAGGCAAAAAATACAGCATATAAAATGTTACAGGAAAAGCTCTAACATATGTAATAAACTCTAAATGCTTTTCTTTTAATAAAATTCGGAAAACGCCTCTTTTCGGATAGCGCCTCTTTATGTACTCTGAAGTGTCTACGTATTAGTTTTGAATTCAAAACCTTTAGAAAAGCAAAACCAATAAAAATTAAAGATACATATGCGTCGCTTTAATTGCAGTAGATACTTTAATACGCATCATTTGCACAACCTGCGATATTAACATAGTCAATGCTGCATGTTACAGTATTATTGCTTTACCTGTTGAAAAGTGTAAAAATTGTAGTGTAGTGTTGTAAACAAGATTCAATTGAATTTTAGAGTGGGAACTCGCAGGGATGCCATATGTGCGTAACTTTTACAGGTACTTGTATATTATCTTATCTGTAGCTACGCAGCCGCGAAGCGCGGGCCGCTGCCGAGCAAGTCTTTCTTCATTGCATTCGGAAGTACAGATACTGAGATATACAGACTGTACAACACTAGCACGATCTTTTTTTATATTTTGGGTCACTGGGACGTAAAACGATACATATATATAAATTTGGTGCAATGTGCAAAAAAATTTGAAGGAAATGGATAAACGCTTTTTTGAAGACCTGAGGGAATCCTTCCAATTTTTTCCTGATTATCCTAATTCAGATCTATATTCAGATCTATATTGCCACGAATGGGATACACCAGAGCCGGCAAACCAGAAAAGACTGATCAAAACCAATATTAATTATATTCCGAAAGCCCGTAGTCGAAAACCCGGCCAGATAGTATTCATTTCTTTCAAAACCTCTCCCGATTCGAACGCCAAAGCGGAAGAGTTTTGAGTCTTTTGACTACCTTCACCAAATGCAAATGCAATTTACAACTCTGTAAATTACTGTAATAATAATTATCATCGTGGTATTTTTAACCAGGCAATGTTGCCACGCAAACCAATTAAAATATAGCTAAAAATGAAAGTCATTTCTACTATTCAAATTATCAGAATGCATTTAATTAGCAGACCGTTATTACGACAAGAACGACTACATTTGTAACGTTGTCATCGAGGACAATTTCTGCACGAGTGCCGGTCGATCAAGTGACCAAGCTACCGGTACGGTCCAGTGTACGGGACCCGTTTGGTGAGCGGGTGACGGAGCTAACGGTACCGTCCAGTGCACAGAGCCGTTAGGCGAACGAGTGACCAAGCTACCCGTACCGTCCAATGTGCGGGACGCGTTAGGTGAGCAGGTGACTCAGCTCTCGGTACTATCCAGTTTACGGGACCGTTAGGCCAGCGAGTGCTGTCCAGTGCACAGAGCCCGTTAGGCGAATGAGTGACCAAGCTAGCGGTACTGTCCAATGTACGGGACCGTTAGGTCAGTGAGTGGCCAAACTACCGACACGGTCCATTCACTGTATGGGGCCCGTTAGATAAACGGGTGACCGAGCTCTCGGTACTGTCCAGTCACAGAGCCCGGTAGCCAAACGACCTAGCAGGTGACTGATCTACCGCAGATCCCGTAGGAGAAGGAGTGACCGAACTGCCGGTACTGTCCAGTTTACGGAGACCGTTAGGTGAACGGGGGACCAAGCAGCAACTGCTGTCCAATGCACAGATCCCGTAAAATGAACGAGTGACCGAGTATCCACTACCCACATTCATCAAGTTGGGGTCCACAGAATCATGAATTCAGTTGTGAGAATTTATGGTGAGTTGAGAGAATCATGAACTAATTAAAGAAGTCATGTATAATTAAAATCCGTGTTTTTATATAAAATCCGTTTTTTTTTGCGTCAATACGATTGTGTTTCGACGAAATATGTTATTCTAATAAATATTTATTGAAAACTAAATACAGTGACCGTTGACCACAAGAAACGCGGAGGCGAAGCCGAGGCTGTTTCTTATATCTATATATTGCTACGCTTTAGTTAATTGGAAATAACGTGATCCCGCCGGAGAAACTCTTTGTTTAATTGGAAATACAGATTGATTGTTCTTTGAGCGGTTCTTATCTAAACGGATACAATAAATTACTATGATACGTGCATACCCGAATTGTTCAGAAAGGGTTGCAAACAGGTGCAGTTGCCCATGCCCATATGTCTGTCTCACTCTAAAATTGTTGTTTTGCAAAGCAAAAGTAAGCCGCAGGATCAATGCTGTGCTATTCCCAACTATCGATAGCGGGAAGATTCTCGTAACTTTGTCGACATATTTTTTTCCACAAATCGTTTTATAAAAGTGTACCTGAGCTGTTTGCAGTTAGGCATGCAAGCCATGGATCGGATTATCATATACAAGAGTGATGATGCATACGAGTACAAACAAAAATTAGTAATTTCAGAATAACAAGTGGTCAGATGAAGGCATGTATTTGTGTTGTATTAGACCGGTTGTGTCTTTACGTCATGCATGCTCAGTTATATTCCATAGCACCATGTTGTGACAGGCGCTTCCTTATTTACGTTTTTAATTACAGGAAAAAGATGGTGAATAAGGCACTTTAATGGCGAGAATGCGGAATGGCACTTTATAAATACCTGTTCGTTGCAGCGATCCTAGAACACGATGATATCGGCTGACAAGTGAGCGCTAAGTTTACGTTTCTGTACACATATTGCTATTTTCCTCGTTCAACTTGTTTGTACGAGTACAAGCAGGCTGCAGAAGTTGCAAGTTTTTTCAAAGCAACATTAGCTGTAACTAATATCATGCCTGTGTTCAGTAAAATTCAATTCTTGCTAAGTGCGGTAAAATTCGCAAACTCTAAGTATACTTCTGCACTCTGAATTAATATTTTTAGTTCACACATATTCAAGCAATGCCATTTACACTTAAACCAAAGTCTCCATTAGCTAAAACAAGTAAAAATAACTCTTCCAGCTCTGTAGAACGTAAACAAGTGTGTGGTATTTAGAAAGGCCTCTCAACAAAGAATAATAAACGTACGTACTACTAGCTGCTCACATTAGGAACCAACAATAGGTATCATATTCGGAGCCGGACTATTGCATCTGATGAACAGATGTTTGACACAGCGGTAAAATTTTTTATAATGTTTTCCTATCCTGCTGTTAACTCCTTCGTTAGCTATGGTGTTTTGCTGATTATTTATTATCCGCGGCTTATGCTAGTACTTTTTAATTTATCACTTTTATTGCTGCAATATAATTCGCAAATTTCATATTGCGCTTATAAATCACGTACGACACTTAAAAGACGACACCGTGTATGCTATAGTTTGCAATTACATTTTAAGGAACATTTGAAATTTGGAGATTAAGATAACTGAGATAACTTAGTCGGTGCAAGAATATCATGAGCATTGGTAACCTTTGTTTAGTTTGCCTCTCAGATTACCTTTTACTCGTCACGCGCGGATTATAATTCTCCTTTTGTATACGTCAAAAAAGTTTAAATATAATCGTAGTAATATGACATAACAGGCCATCTTCCTGACTTTTGAAAATATGTACTTGCCGTTAAAGTTTATCTTTAAAGGAATATTACTGAAATGCCACAGCATTGTGCTTTTTGCCTTATGCGGATCGGAATTGCGATCACTACTTTTTTCATACGCGTATTATGATTCTGTTACCTGCTACGGTACGTTTTGCGAGTATGTTGGACTAATTTTAAGCAGTTATTTTTTTCAAATTAGTGATAGACTGTTTTGAAATTATGTTGAGTTAAACTGTTTGGAAGAGTTGTATGATACCCAAATTCCATATGGTGATAGTACTATCAAGGTATAGTAGCAGTAATGCTATATGATAAAAATATACCTTGGTACTATAATAAAAATGTCTGAAAGACAGCTCGAGTTGTTAATCGTAAATACGATACGAAGTATAGATATACGCAATATGCCGCGATGTCCTATGTGCCATTTTCACTGTAAGAGCAATTCCCGCACATCATTAAAACCTTTTTAATTGAATAGCAATCTTCGACAATGTGGTGGTCGACGAATAATATCGCTGTTTTTTATTACGCAACAGGTACCGGTGACTGCATCATCACATTGACTTCCGGTGGTCACTCTGATAATCAGCATAAATGGAATACAGAGTGCCACGATGGAGAAGGTGAATATGCCAAGTGTCAACTCGAGTTCTAGTTAACTGATAATATCTTTTTAATAAACGAATGTACATAGTGGATCAGATTCATTAAATGTCATGCATTAATTTTAAGCTGATGTTCTAGCTTTAGTGGGAATTTTGGACGCTGGCTCGGATTATCAAGGTTTTGGACGTACGTTTGAACGCTCAATGACTAAATCATAACTATTTGAACGGTGTTCCGTGGGTCTAAAGCCTCGAAATAAAATCCATCGTCCTATGCTGTTCAGAAAATGATGTTTTTTAACAATAATTATTTTGTTAACCAGCAGAAGTTTGGTGTCGGTTTATGTTTCCAAAGAAGGCACCTGCTTTTGGCGTATATCCATACTATCCTTGGTGTAATGTTCGGTATGTATGTTCATAAGAATTTGTGTTAGAAGTACGGCAAATCTGTAAAATGAAAACATATTAAGCCATCCGCGATAGAAGTATAACTGAACTTCGATTACTGTAGTTTAGCGTAATTTTGCATTGCAGTCAGCAAAAATTGTAGTAACTGCATTTTTCAGGGATATTACAGTTCACGAACATTATTGCTACGACCGGAAGTACCCGTCAGACACTTATGATACTTTCGTAACCGGTACGTGAAATATTTATGTTTACAGTCCCAAGGAGAAGCTTGCAGCATACTGTCGCATCGTTGCCCTGCGCTGCTCCTGTAAGCGGGAAGAGATAGTGTACTGTACATATATAATACGCAAAACAATTCACATGTCAGACTACTTTCTACATTCCAGCTCTGACGTCGTCCCAGTTTTATCCTGGTGGAGTGAGTGTATCCAACTCCTTCAAATGCTGTTAGTTTTTTCGGTATAAACGCCATTTACCGATAACGAAGCCCTTCCTTACTTGGATTTCAGGTCGTCTCCCGGATGGATACCATCTTGATTACCGTCGATGTGAATACAAATATACACACGACAAGTAAGCCATTAATGATACAAACTTTTCGGCTCAGTAGTAATACACAGATCTGGCTTGTTTAGTAATTCATGCTAATTACAAAGCGCTACCAAATTAAGTTCCAAACATAGTTTCTTGTTTTAAACAACTTCAGATTTGGAGAACATTATGATGGGTCATTTTGGATCGTGCAGTGTGACAGATATTACCTTCTAACGGGTAACGTACCATCATCAATGTACCATCATGATACAGTACTTTAGCAATTCAAAATTATCATAATAATATATTATATGCTACCTCCTTAAAAGCTTTTATAGCAGCGTAAACATATACAAAATTCTGGTTTTTTATCATGTAACTTCAGTTACTTATGTAGCTTGAGTTAATTGTTCAGATAAATCAATATTATAAGCGAGTATCATATGCGACCTGATAATTCATGGCAGCCCTCTCTGAAAGCTTTTCCATATAAATACGGAAAAAGTGAGTAAATTTGTATTTTACTTGTACAAGGTCTTGGGCAAGCGATAAATCCATGGACCAATGCGCAGCATTACGTATGGATTCAAGTATGTGTGCTTGTAGAAACGAGAAAACAGCCGTATGTTGGTTTCCGTTGCGGTTTTAGCTGGTATTATTACAGTGTTGCCCACTCGTGTTTAACTCATCCTTCGTTTCGCCGTACCCGAAGGATAACAGAGCCGAAGTTAACCATAAACAAACAAATCGGAGTAAAGAAATAATTTGACCAAGTATCCTTTAATTCGGCTTTCCTAAACGGTGAAACGAAAAAGTTGCACGGTTTGGCGATGCTGTGTTTTCTTACGTTATACTAAACTGTGGATTGCGTTGTGGATTGCATGACCTTTCTTGCAGCTCCCCGTATGCATATTTGAAAATTACGGTATGTATAGCATACTGATATTCTAACAAACAATCGCAAGTAATGACAGAAGGACACGTTAGCCGCCGCTCTATGGTAGTGACCTTTCTTGCCTATGTCGTTATTCTGACCGGTGAAAGTTACTTTACTTTCACTGTGCAGCGTACGTACCGGAAACAGCATCAATCAGACCAAATTCTGTAAAAACGCAAGTCAGCGGTCAAAAGATGAGTGGGAATTAACTTTACAAACAATTGCATTCTGTATCGGGCTTGAAAAGTAACGTCGTACCGTGCATTTTCAAAACATTCTTTTGTCTTCGTTGTGCAATCCAAATTCTCCAACTCCGTTTTGTCATTTTCAAGTTTGCACTATCAAGCAAAACCGTTGCATTTCCGCATTTACAACGAAGACATGCTGCAATTAATATGTCGATCAGGTAATTGATGCACTTGGGCTTTACGGTGACCGTTCGGCAGACGCCGCTTCCTCGTTATCACACGGAGCTGGGTGATGTTCAAGCAGCGGTGGTGCTAGGTAGAAGTGGTTAATTACGGTATCTTCACAATAGCCGAAGATGCTTACAGTCGATCGGCCTGTTGCTACGAAGCCGCCCATGTTTCATCTCGGTAACCACACTGGTCCACACACATAGTATCCGTCGGTGTTGTGTCTATTATTAATAAATCATCGGTCACCATATTTTATTGTCCACTGTTGAAGCCATAAACACAAGCTTTTATTGTCGATACTCAGTAGTAAAACAATTTTCCTTCTCTCGTAAATTCTTTTTCGTTTTGAAAGCCTCGATCAGAAGCTGGTAACTGCTTCGCATACGCCAATTAGCATAGAATAATTGGTGACGAGTTTTGGATGTGCATTTATTTGCTGTTATTAGTTTCAAAATGTGAGGCAGGCCATTGTCCAATAAATCACTGAGTCATCGGTTGTTGCGGGATAGATCTCGATATCGCGCTCATTCATGGAGCTCCGGCTTGTCTTCGATGCAATATTCGTGAAATTCTTTTATACTGTGTTAGCTGGACTAATAATTTTGCGCAGAAGCGGTGCTTATTACGATTCGATAACATGTTACGGTAAGTTCAGCAAGTTTAATACTGTTTTGCTATGTCCAACGCTGTTTGTACAAAGGTCATGAGCCGATAAAGATGAAAAAAATGTTTTGCAGTTGCGGATCATACTCGTTCGAACATGTTTCAGATGCATAAACTTATGGTATCTAATTCAGATATAGCAATTCTGTCACTTACTTTGCTGCTGTAATTTTTGTAATCACTTCGTGGAATAAATACTTTGCCAGCATTTTGTAAAATCCGCGTTAGATTGTATAATATAATAGCAATGTATACTTGTATAATATAATAATAGCAATTACGAGTGTTTTTTTTGTAGGGTTTATTTATATTTATACTTCGTACTTTATAGTGTTTTCGCTCGTTTATGGCCGCAAATTATATTTGTTATTTTTGACTGCAAACCCCGTTTTGGCGTTCTCTGAAAATTTTCGGATGTGAACTTTGCGGAAGCGCATAAGCATCCCGCTCTAAGCAAACACCCGAGGGGATCTTCGTAAAGTCATAACGGAAGTTACTCTGCTGCTGCATTCCTTAGTAAACGCCGACGCTTTCTATAGCTATCTGCAGCATCTATCTTTGATTTAAAGCATTTCTGAATGGAATGCAATGGAAAACAACTTATATTCTAGCTGTAATTTTTAAAAAAACTCATCATTGTATATACATAATACATATAAAAATTTCAAAAATAATTCCCGGCTAAACCAAAAAAAAATAATCTCCTAAATTAAATATTAAATCTCCTGCTCACTACGTCGAACGGTTAATTCGGTTAATTTAATACCAGTGTAATTGACCAATTGACTTTTAATTAAGAACATCTTCAATGCATCAAATTTCTATACGCCGCGCGAGGGGTTTCAAAACAAAAACGCTTTAATACCTAAAATGTTTTGCGATAATCGGCGAGTTTGCAGTGCAGTTTGTATTTTTATGGTGCTTTTCATCGACACTTCCAGGCACCGGAGACTGCATTATCAGTCTGACATCAGGTGGTCACGCTGATGACCAGCACAAATGGAATACAGAATGCCACGATGGGGAAGGTATGCATTGTCGCATTGTCCGAAAATGTTACATGGAAAACGCTTGCATCTAGAATTTCATTCAAAAACATTCGTGCTGTAGCCATCGTCGCCATACAAGATTATGGTTCAGACTATCAAGGCTTTGGACGTAAGTGATATTTCACTGTTAGCTATTTTGGTACTGAATTTCAAAATAGGGATGTCAGAACATTCTGTAAATGTTGCAGAGGTGTGGTGCAAATTTATGTTCCCCCGTAAGCCGCCTACTTTTGGAATGTATCCCTATTATCCCTGGTGCAATATCAGGTAACGCGCGTAAAAAAATGTATTGTAACTAGCGCGGGATAACTGAATGAAATTGTATGGCAGTAATTCACAGGGAGGCTATCATGTGTACGTAGCAAAGTTATTGTGCTAACCTTGCTAGCGACACTCGTTCGTTGGCTTTGTAGCCATTTTTAAAGTACAAAGTACGTTTTCAGTTAATTTTCTTTTGCACTAAAATGCTATTTTGTCTGTTTGACAGAGATATGTCGCTGAAAGAATACTACTGCTACGACAAAATGTACCCATCGGACACTTACGATACTTTTATGACCGGTAAAACCTAGGGTACTTTTACGTACGGTAGTTCGCTTGAATGGTACTTTTGTATCGGCACTCGCATGCAAAAATAATATTTAAAAAACTCTTTTGGTAATATTTTTAGCACTATCGTCAATGCAGTATTTCCCAGGAGGCATCAGTGTTTCAAATTCTTACAAATGCTGTAAGTAATTTCTGGAAAAGTGTATGAGTGTTTAGAGTTCAGTGTTTAGAGATTTGATGTTCAGTGTTCTCGCCCTTAACAAATCTGTTATGCAAGTATCATCCACCACATTTTAGGTCGGCTTCCAGAAGGATACCATCTGGATTACCGCCGCTGCGAATACAAATATACTCATGATAGGTAATTTGACAAAGGTCATCAGCGGAAACCAGTACAGTTGTTTTTAAGTGAAACTCCGGATCCTGTACATGTCCGCACTTTTACTAATCGTAAATGATGATGCGCTGTATTCAGTGACGAGCAAATAATCATAATTCATAAGCAAATGACTAACCATAAATACATGTTCATAACACTACATAGAAGTTTCTGTAATCTATTAAATTAATTCGACACCGATTTTAAGAACGCTGTACACGTAAATGATGGTGATTCGTTCATGGTTTCGTTAATAAAAATCCGTATGTTTTTGTTTAATTACTGTAGGTGGGGAGAACACTACGATGGCATATTTTGGTTTGTCATATGCGAAAAGAATTATTTAGTTACCGGTAAGAATTAGCATGAATTTTGTTCTAGCAAGAGTCTTATAATCAGTACAACGACAAAGGAAGACCAACATGTACGAACATTTCTTGGCAATATAGCCAACTGCCACAATTTTAAAAAAATGCTATCAGTTATTATGTAGCTAATAAAGATAAAAGAAAAGGAATTTTTGCCGATAAAGCGCAAACCATTTACTCTTCTACTACAGTAATGTGACCTTGTGCAAACTCTTAAAGGTCTTGGACAGTCCACTAATCCATGGACAAATGCACTGCATTACGTTTGGATTCAGGTAACAAACTTCTGATACGAATTTGGATTTTTAGCCAGATCTTTTGGAAAAAATATGTTGTAATTTGTAAAAGATAAAACTGCTCACCTTCGTTTTTCGCGTAGTGTTTTAGAATTACTTTTATTTGCAGTGTTGTCCATTGGTGTTTAATCCATTTTTCCAGCCACCATACCCTCCAAGTCCGAAAGCCGGCAATACGACTCGTTCCAAACGCGATGAGTTATAGATAGAATCTTTTTAGTTTGAAAAATGCTGCAGTAGTGCTGGGAAATACAAAGTACGTACCAAAAAATTTTTTATGGACAACGCGTGTATTTTATTGTTTACATCCTTCTTCAAATCTTTGTTGACAACTTTTAATAACAGTATATTTTATTTAACGGTCCATTGTTAAGTTTTCTTGTTTAAAGTTTTTTATCGAAATTTTTACGCAATGCTGGTAATGATAGCACTCTTTTTTTCTTAATTTGTCTAGCTGCCAAAATGCGGCTTAAGCTGTGATTAACGCATGTATCCTACTAAACAACAAATAATTTTCTGTGTTTTGCGAAATTTTTTTGGGAAATAGAAAATGTTAGTTGCAGCATGATTCAGCGTTTTGAGTATGTGCAGTTTTAAGAATGTCTTGACAATAATACGCTGATCTGCATCTCACACGTTAATTAAGTACCCTTTCAAGAAAAGAGACATCTTCGTACCGGTTCTGCTTTTATGTTCGCCTCTGTTATTGCAACCGTTAGCTGACCGCCCCGCTAATCACAGCAACATATTATCGGCGGTATATACACAGCATCCTGTCGTGAATCAAGTTTTGTCAATCAACGATTTTTAACACTTGCGCTTTTACTTTTTACGCGGTAATTACACTTTTCTCTTGGTAATGATGTGCGCGTGTTGAATACAACAACCAGACAGTTCGCGTTCTGAGCAAGAAAAAAATTTACCACGTTGCGCAGATTGTAACATACCACACCATTTTCTGTCTGGCGCGCATTTTTGTCAATTTTCGTCGTTGTCGTTTTGAGTTTATTTCACGGAATCAGAGCGTTTGTTCAAATCTTTATGTACTCCGCTTTTACGCTGATCATGAGAACACAGATTTTCTTTGATCATTTTGCTTTTTTATGATTTATATTTGCGATGCTGCCTGTATCAGAGTAGTTATTGAGCTCGCAATAATTTTGCCGTCGTTATACATGCAGTTTAAATGGACGTATCCATAATCTTTACACAATTATCGACAGTACTTGCCGCTATACTGGGCATCCTTCGCTTTTACGTTGGAGCTTATTATGATTCCATTACGTGCTACGGTAAGTTATAATCTTTACAAATTTATTCAGAGCATACTAGTACGATCACACTTCTTGTTGATTCTATGTGACATTGTGGTGACGCTAAAGTGTACTAAAAGCGTCAAAAGTGTTTTGATTAGCATTTAATTACATATGTTTGGCCTGTCCGAGAAATACGATACATTTGTATGCCTGTCCCTAGTCAAAAAATGTTTTCTAAATTATATCAAGATACCTCAAAACCTCCACAGTCTATCACAAAACGTATCCACGGTAACAATTTGGCAGCCAATTAGATATGGAATTATGAAATAATTAATAATCCATATCTAAATGTTTCATATTTGTAACTACTTGGGATATGTAATATCCAGATTTAATGCAAAAGTTACCATTAAATCATATTATAATTTTGACAAGGGTGTATTTCACTTTGGTATCTTTATATTTTGTGACGCTTTTGCAAGCATGAACGGTGATTGTCATAATTAATTATTATTTCTGTATGCAAAATCTGAAATATATTTATTGTCACAATTTCAGTATTTGGTAGAATAATGCGGAATAAAACGCTATAAATAGCAAATTATCCCTCATCACGACATTTCTAAATTTCGGATTATTTATGACTCCGGCGATCAATGAACTTGAACTTGGATTACACGCCTGCGAGCAGTTTCTAATGGAGGCGGTGTCTATCATGACAGTTTAAGTGCGGTACGATTGCAGTGGGCAGTTGCGACAACAATAACAGCTCGGTGGCGCTTAGGCGAAAATTAATTATCCTAAACCATAACCAACACAATGGCAACATTATACAACGTAAAAATTCAATATTCCATAAAAGATGATATTATTCGCGCGCGAATAATATCCTGTGGAGTACCTATCAATGTTCGAGTACTAGTAATATCATATTGCAACGGCGGGCCTATTGTAAAGTTTCTGAATCACAAAATTAATAATATCATACATAATATTAACTAATATCACTTTCGACGGCAATTGCCCAGTGAACTTAAAATACTTATACCATTGCCCAGTACGCTATACTCGGACTACTGCTGTGATTAAAAAATAGAAAAGGTCGAGCATAATCAAGAATTTCTTCAAGAGTCTGCATTTGTACTTATATCATTATTAGAAATAATATATGAGCAAACAAAATTTAGGACAGTATTTTTCTGCATGGTATAATTACTTTTGCACTGTTCGGCACACATAGGCACCGGCGACTGTATTATTGGTCTTACACAAGGCGGTCACTCCGATGACCAGCACAAATGGAATACAGAATGCCATGACGGGGAAGGTATGTAATTATAGCAAACATGCCGCTATAAACGCTGCTATTCTAAACTCACTATTTTTTAATAATAATACGAAGTTCATTTTTCACAGCGCTGATCGCCATATTAGACGGTTCCTCAGATTACCAGGGTTTCGGACGTAAGTTAAAAACAATGTCAAAATTCAGAGAGCGACCGGACATGTTTGAGATGCAAGTTAATAAAAGTTTGGTCTTGTTCTAGACTACGGTATCTTTCGCACCCTTTTTATAATATATATGTAGATATGTGTTATACTGTTTAATGCATGCATTAAATCAGTTTTTGGTTGCAGAGATATGGTGTCGGTTTATGTTCCCCAAGAAACCACCGACTTTTGGAATATATCCGTATTATCCTTGGTGTCATATTCGGTATTTATTTATATTTTGTCTCGAAGCATATCCAGTTAGGCCTAGCTCATTTTTTGGTTTCTCGTTATTAGAGATATCTCACTGAAAGAATACTACTGCTACGATAGGATGTGGCCAGCGGACACGTACGACACGTTTGTAACCGGTAATTATTTACTATGAAATTAAAAAATATGCAAAGTATGATCGTAAATCTGTATCAGATTGTGGCAAACCAATATGAAAAAAATAATGAAGTGTGAAGATATTCTTAAGAACCTTGAACACATACAATACGTGGGCTATACTACGTTATTTTTATGGCATTGCTATACGTTCGATCGTGCGCGATGTGCCACAAACGCATTAACAGAATTATTTGTGCTGATTTAAGAATTGCCACTTTCCAGTAATATTGTTCGTAAATTTTTTCCAGCGGTAACATCCTCGCAGTTTTATCCAGGAGGCATCAGTGTATCAAACCAATACAAATGCTGTAAGTTGTTGATAACAATAATGTTTTGGTTATGGATGCAAGGTTCTGATGTTAACATACCGCGGAACTGCCATGGTTGTCCATATATGACGCCATATGCATATATACGAGTAGCATCATCCGGCAATCAAAAGGAACTCTGAGTAAATTTATGTGATTTTATATGGAAATATTTATTCACTTGACAATTGCTGTAGGTAGAACTCCTGAAGGCTACCATCTGGATTATCGGCGATGTGAATATAAATATACGCATGACAAGTAAGAATTCTCCGACTCTCCAATACTATGTCATCACAAACTTCGAATGATTTTATTCAGCTAATTCCCGTTTTTCAGGACATTAAAATCATTTTTCTAATAATCTTAATGGTAACTTTGCTTAAGCTGTAAAGTGCTTACACTGCAATCGTTGCCCGAAAAGGTCATCACTTTCCCATAATTTAATGTTTGCATCTTTCAGATATGGTGAGCACTACGATTCGGCTTACTGGTTAGTCCAGTGCGACCGGCATTACTTATTAACCGGTAATTATTGAATCCATTAAGCCGTATAATTAATACAACCCAGTTAACTATAAATTCAAAAGTTTATTGATTTCGATCACCGAAAAACCTTCTGATTTGGCACCAGTAAGTACGAAATAACGTTACGCCTGCAGATTTACAATAAATCAAATTACTGAAATTTAACATTGAAAACAAAAACATGCAAATTAAAATGTTTTTGGATGATCGCAATCAATAAAAACAATCTGTTGGGTGCGCATTTTTGTTGTTGAACTGGGTTACCGGAAAGTCTTGTAGTCATATGTAAAAGTTTTTGTCGCTTACCAGGTCTCGGACAAGCCACAAATCCATGGACAAATGCCGTGCATTATGTTTGGATACAGGTACAGAATCCGAAAAAAGTATTTAATTCGTTTGAAAAATCGTTAAGGCATATATTGACATGATTGCGTACTATATTACATTATAAGTTACAAACCAAGTAAGTTTAGCCAGAATTTTACGCAGAATTACAGTTCAGTAGTAGGGTAGTACTTATCGTTGTTGTCAACCATGCCAAGCTATTCCATCGTATAGTATATGGAAACGTTTCTCACACCTCGCCGAACAATTAGTACAAACATAGTCATCCCTAAAGAATAAATCTTGCTGGCGCTGTGACGCGCCTAGTGTTTTCATTGCGGTTTACGATTATATATGGGCAACTTTATTGAAAGAATGTAAAAGAGTTGCCACCATTTTTACGAGTATTGTGATCGTGCGGTTTCATCGCTAGAACTAACTGATAAGTACAGTTATACATAAGTAATTTCATGTCCGGCCGACACTCTTATTCAACGAAACAACTTCAATAACAGGACTATAGGCAAAATATTTGCATAGTACTCACTTTGTGGAAGCCAAGCGATGCCATCTTTGTAACGCTCACTACTTCACAAAATTCTTCGCTTACATAAAAATAATAAATAACGTATCATCATAATATGCTGCTTGCATTAAATGTGCACGTGTATTAAACGTGTATTAAACGGGAGGAATGTAGTGCTGTAAATAAAGCCGATTATCAATGTACATAAACGCAACAACAAACTACGTACGTAAAATAATCCAAATAAATCTACCCAGCTACACCTGCTTTTATTTACAGTGCTGTCCTCTTGTGTACAACCCGTATTTCCGCACACCGTACATGGATATCCCGGTTCCCAACAATCAGACTAGTACTAATCAAACGCGCACAAAACGGGAGGAACTGTAATACCGTGATTACTGTGAAATGTGGAGAAAAACTGCGATGTGGATTATGTTAATTGTTGAAAACGCAATCCTGAGAAGATCCCGCATTCGGAAGCTTACTGCTTTCTAAAAAACTTGGATAAGTTTTGGTTTAGAATAGAGGGAAGAAAACAGACACGTCGGCAAACTGTACTGTATCTTTTTCCGAACGCCTTTCATGAAACTGTGATATTCTTGCTACTTTGGCAACGTTGTTCATAAAACGATCGGGATGCTATAATAAAATGCTTTCAGCTGAATTAGTACTGCGGTAACTGAAATCAATAACGACTTTAAGTAGCTGATTAATTCGGCGCAATGCCTCTGAATCACTGCTCATCTTGCAAGTAAAACTTGATCCTTTCCTTTTTTCAGCATTTCTTGTCAAAAACCGTTTAAGCTACCATCGAAAATAAAATGCAAAAAGCGAATATCACAGAACAAACACCGGCACAGAGCTCACCATCAAATATGCTCGGTAACACCATGCTGGTCGCCCACGGCGCTCGTGGCATATGGTACTTCCGTGATGCTGAAAGCAAAGGGGTCGGCAGCTGGCTGGTAAACGGCATGTGTTAGGAAGCGATTGATCATAGCAAGGTCTTGTTCTTTTCCTCTAAATTTGTTTCCGGTGTCCACGACATATCATGTTGTAATTTGTAGGCACCCAGGTAACGATACGGGCACGATGGACCCCATTCCTATTTTACAGATAAAAATACTTTATACGAAGAAAGCACCAGCTCTGCATCAAATCAATGTTACGTGTCATCGTTAAAAAATCTGCGCCTTCCTAAATAAAAGCACTGCAAGCAAGAACAAACAAGAACCTAATATCTATAGAAGTATTGAAAGAAATCCGAACAGCGCACGCATTAAGCAATAAAAATAAACCTGATAATTATCTAAAAACATACTGCCATAAAAAGCTCACAGTCAGCAGTTTTCAACTGAAAATGTTACAACAAGCCTTATTTTTTACGTTTAAATCCGGATGAAGGTAAATTCAAATACTCAAATACATATTTACTTTTAAATGACAGTCAACTACTACGCGGTCTACGCCATATCATAAAAATTTCAGAAAACAATGAAAATGTTTATTTCGAAATTCAGACTAGCTTTATCAAAAGCAGGACGGTATTAAACGGGCGTGTAAATCAGCCTGCACCAGTGAAGAACCTGAGAATTTATCTGGTTCAATTCTGCACGTGAGTTCCATGCATCAATTACCAATTAACGCCATAATATAAAATTCCAAACATAAGCAAAAAATTAACGAGATTAACAGAAATAATTTATTAACGAAATTTGTAATTAAAGTGTAACAATATTAGTAAATCAATATTATTAGTTATTAGTAGCGATTATTAACGTTAAACCAGCGTTATAAATCACAGTGTCGGCAATAAAACTTACCTTGGGTGACAGCATGGAGAATAATCTCTGCTCCGGCCGTCCATCCTCCCCCGTCTTCTGGTAGAGATAGTACAGTTTCCCGGGGACCTTCTTGAAATTGCACGCTACATGGTGCAGATTGTGATCGCGGGCGGCCTCCTCCAGCACGTTGCGGGCTTGCTGCTGCAGGAATTTAATCTGCTCCACAATAATCGACAGTTTACTGGTGGCGTTGGCTTTGGTGAAGTCGTCGGCCGTCTGGATCTGGCGGGCCAGCGCCACGAGATCCTTGGCGTCGGATAAACCGCTGCTCTGCTGCGGATTAATCACCACCTGGCCTCGACCGACCAAATTCACCTGCACTGCACAACGAGCATTATGGTGAGAATGGTCGGTGAAAAAAAGCCAACAGAACGTGGCGTACCCGCATTACGAGAAGGCTGGGAGGAGGTGGGTGAGAAGAGCTGTAAATCGTTGGAGGAAGATATTCCTGCTGCGTTCGCCTGTGAATCCATAGTTCTACTTCGATAACGATACAGCACGACAAAGTGCGTGCTGGACTCTTATAATTGCAACCGGTCCAGATACGTAAGTTAAACTTCACACATTCATCGATGAATTATTAGCATTTAGAAATGACGAAGCTTTCGAAATCGAATAAAAATTCGAAATCTGCTCGGTTGCGAAATAGCATGCAAGGCAGCAAGCGCGCCACTGCGCCAGCAGCGGTTTACAGCTTGCGAGACCGGAAACGGAAGCGTATAGAAATGCAAACTGCCGTCCGGATGTTGGCTGGCATAGTAGTCGTATGCTTCATACTTCATAGTAGTCGTATGCTTCACTGGCATAGTAGTCATATGTTATCTGGCGAATTTCAAACTTCGTTCTAATGATCAAATACTTACTGTAAGTACCTAATTATTATTATTTTTCGATAACTGGCCAACAGATATTAATTTTTCAAACGACGCCACACGTATCTAAAGCTTTATCAATTTATTCAAACGTAATATAGTTTCCGTTCTTGAAGAGCCGCAGTGTGGGAAAAATGCTATTGCGCTGCTCTGACTGCAAAATAATAATAATTAGAAGTAAAAATATCGATCAAACATATTCTGGATATAATGGATAATAAGAGCGACTTCTGTCCATTAGAAGCCCCTCTTCTGTCCATTAGAAGGTGCCAACCCATACCCATGGGCCGTGGCTATTATTGCTTTTATAAATTATTTTTTAAAAATATCGTTTTATCTCTGAGGGTCGCGCGTTCATAATTTTTATCCAGTATTCGATAATTGCGGCTTTTCCTATCAAATAGTTTAACAGCCCTAACACTGCCTCCACTTCCAGATGTTTCCACTCGACACTTTTGCAACTTAAGTAACCCTGGGGTTTTGTTTTTAAATTACTGTATGGTACATGCCAAAATTAGTGTCCTGGCGACAATTTATTGTTTCTCGACCTTCTTGACCACTTCTTTCAAAACGATATCCTTTAGCCAGTCTATCGCCAATGGGGTTTTTATGGGACAAATAAGTTTTATTAAAAAGTCTTTAAAACGTTGTAAAAATATTTTGTTCAGTCACACCTAAATGTTCAACTGTGCAAATTCTGAGCTCTATCTTTTTAATTTAAAGTCAACGAAATTTTGCCAGTTGCCAAATGCCATGCCTGCCTCATGTGGGGGCTTTTGTCCCTGTTCTATCTGTACAGTCTGTACTCTGTAGCTGCATCAGCCGTAACTGTCAACAGTCAACATTTACCAACCCGTTCTTAAAAGGTAAACGACAAAGTCGTTTTATTTGAAAATTGTTTTTACTCTGAAGCATCGGTCAGTGTATACCCAACCGAAAAGCGCGGCATTGAACAATCTCTACGAAAATTGTCCATTATTTTTCGCATTGTCTCTTTACGCCATTGCCCGTTGGTCTGTATCGAGCTTCCTGTGCTGGGTTGGTTTTCGTATGAATAAATAATACCTGTTCGTCGTAGAATTTTGACTGTAGAGCATCTTATCGAAATCGATAAAATGGGATACAATCAGGATATGAAAACTGACAATACTTGCAATGTCCCCGTGACAAAAATACCTGCGCTGGTAGAGACTACAGACAAAAATACCTGCGCTGGTAGAGACTCTGTACTTTATCTGACTGAAAAGTCAAACATTAAAAATGCATTAATGTTTATTAATTTGATGAACAGTCTTTAGACTAACGGTAAGCTTTTAAGTTTCTTGCGGCTTTACCAACCAAGTCTACTCTCAACGGCCTTAATAATTTGGAATAGTTTTGGTGGATACTTCATGCTTTTTATTCCTGTGACTAATTCAGTTGTCATATCAATATTATTATTTTCGGTATATCGGTTGGAGATCGGTATCTGTACAGTACTTTCATTGCGAGACCTAAAAATTGGAGTTTATATAATTCGACAGCAGCCAGCACTCACCAGCACCTGCGAAGATCTAAAGTGATTAAATAAATAATTGTTTTGGTTTTGCGCCCATCCTCTTTGTGCAATTCTGTACTTACTATTACTCTATGGGTAAAACCAATGCATATATTGTCATTACAAGTTACAGTTTTAATCAAAATGATACTAGTAAAACTGCGTAGATGTTATTTACTAGTATCTTTTCCCAAGCGTTGCTGGATCATTAACGTAAGATGAGCGTTTGGATCCAGCACTAACAGGTAACAACCAGTGTAAAATACAATACGTTGGCGGTGCTGCCCATGTACGACTCGTCTTACAGTGCTTTTATCGAAAATGGACTTTGACGATACAAACCGCGTAGGATTCCGTTTTGGACGTCCGGCCAGGGAATGTCGCCGTCTATCCTGCAGTATCGCTTGCGCCAATACGGCGATGGTACAGCTGACGCCCAGCACTGGCTGGTATCTTGGATTTATCGAGGATATTGCGGACGACGGCCACCAAATGCTCATCAGCTTCCGTTGCCGTGGGCAGCCGCCGCAATGGCTGGCCTCCACGCTGATATTTCCTCATGTGATCTGCTGTTATCCTCTGATAGATAGCCATGTTCTGGTGGCTCTGCGCGCCAACCTGGCTGATCCGCTTATCTTCCAAGCAGCCACGGTGCTGTCATGGTTGTGGCCGCCGGATGGTGGAGGCATGCTGTGCTACGTGGAGACCTGTGTAAATGGCAGCCCCCATCGGCATCTGGTGCACCATATTCAGATCGCCGATGCACAGTTGCCGGAGCGTTCTTTGGCGGCTGCTTCCCGGTTAGAAGGGTGTTATAGCAAATATTCAATACCCTTGACCCATGACACGAATACTGTCCCACAGCAGGACATGCTCGGAATCGATGAGAACCGTGTGCAGTACGAAATTAAACGTGCCCGCCACGATCTACAGTGCTTCCCCCGCGGCCCGTCTAGTTGCGCCACGGGGTATCATAATCGATTTTACTTCCATGTGCAGTCTAACGCTGTTACTGTTGTGTGCTGGGAATACCGGGAGGAGTTTTGGACGACACAGCTGCTGGAACGCTGTGTCCGCCGATGTCGAGAGAGCGGAGCGCTAGCGGCACCTGTGGATTCTGCATTGGAGATTGCAGCCGTGCACCTGCAACGGCAAAAATGTATGCGAATGACCTCTCACAGTTTGTAATACAGTTACGTACTAACTTGCGATATACAGTACTTAACTTAGTCTACGAGTAAAAAGTATTGAAATTATTATTCTGTTTTTTTGCACAATACCGCTGCATCTAGTTTTATTCAGCCTGGCCACCGTAATTTGCTATACCTCTGTTACTTATCAAACAGTGACTACTTGGCAATCGAAGGCAACTGCAGTTTTACAACGTTATTAATTAGCGGACACTGTTCAGCTGCGGAAATAACGAACCAAATTTAAGCAAAGCACAGCATAATCGGGAAAAAATGAATATATTTTAAGTAGTACATTTCAGGATGACCCGTACATAATACTAGCGTGCAACATTCTTTACATTGTTTCATGACATTGTGTAGCCAAATGACGTGTAGTCGTGTACTGTATATCTATATGCACGTAGACATGATGATCATTGTGCACGCAAAAGCCGGTTACGGAGAGACACCTCATGGTCAGATTTGTTAGCGTGTAGAAGTTCTGAGGTTTAATTTCGTCCATAAATCGCAAGTCGCACGATGTTGCTCGGACAAAGGGTTTTTCTCGCGGCCATGCAAATGTATCTATACAAATCATTTGGCTGCATGCTATCAAATTAATGACGCGAAAAAACACTTTGGAGTGCGCGAAAGCAAAAGCCAGCTTCCTTACATGTGCATGAATTTGGTACTTACTGGTATGTGCATGTACAGGGCCACTTCCATTAATTGAAGGAAGTCCCACGTACATGCATAATTGTTAAGCATAATTACTAATTATTTATTGTTAGTACTTGTACGTAATTGTATTGTACCGTCACCCGTGCATTTATTTGAAGCTGTAACTTGTATTAGTCACTGCTAACCTGGTAAGGGTAAGCGACTAATCTTGTACTTATCTGCGCATCCTCTTTAAAGTTGATCGTGTGCTTGTCTTGCCGAGGACATGCTCGCTGTTACGTTTTGTCGTGGTAATTCCTAGGTGTCGATCGAGACGCCACATTATCTTCCTTACCCATGGAGATAGCTGCGCAAATAGTAGAGTATTTGGATGTGATTAGCCAGGAAAAAGTGAAAAGGTACGTATGACTCGTATGATTTGACTTGTAAGTGCTGCTTATTATGCTAAACCTACAAGCGAAAGCGTACAGTACCAAAATTAGACTACAACAGTCTGAACCATATCTTTAGCATCTTTACCTAAGATACTCGTTTCTTAATTGTGTTTCACTGTATTGTAGTGTCTGCCGCACGTGGAGCACGATACTAATAGCATTCGTACCAGCCTACAGTATTGTGGATTTGCGCGAACGCCTGGAGACGGTGTACCGCAGTGACGAGATGTTGCGCGTGGCTGTTCTGCTGCAGCATGCCTGCTGCGTCGCTAGCAGGGCTGTCCACACGCTGGTGCTGACCGGCTGGACGCCAGGTCGGAACTTGCACGGTGTCGATGAGAGCAGCGCGGAAAGCGATATCGCGGTGCTGTGCAACGTAGTGCAGACACGCTGTGCACCACTGCGTCGCATTATCCTGCACCGTTCTGTGGTGGATTGTGAGTTCAGCGAATACCGGCCGTACCGGCTGCGCTGCCTGTCACCTCTGCTGCAGCCTGCCGTATGCCGGCACCTCCTCCTCGTCGACTATGTCATGAACAATACACTGAAAAGCTTTGCCGATGTCGCAGTCCTTTTTGTCGGCAAGAGCGGAGCCCGCTTCCGCAGTCCCTCGCGGGCGCCTCCCCTGTGCCTTGCATTGCCCTTTGTGCGGCTTGACATCTGCGGAAATGAGGAAGCGGCCTCCACATACAATACCATCCTGCAGGCCATCACGCTGGCGCTGCCGGCTGCGACACAATCAGCGGACATGCGCAGCGCGGTACTGGGCCTGTGCGCTAACTGGAGCTTTCTTCCGCCGGCAGATCAGGCCTTCTACTGGACTTTTCTCCGTAAACTGTTAGCATTGTGAGTGCAATAATTCGTGATGCATTCCTTTATAATAAAAGAATAAGAAGGTGCACAAAAATCGTGTCTGTCTCCCTTTTCTGAGCGACACAGTAAGCCAAACTTAGGTCTCTGTATATCATTCGATAACGCAAGGTATGTAGATGAGCCCAAAAAAGTCAGTTTTGTGAAAACCAAAACCAGTTTCGAGAAAAAATTCAAAACCTTAACATGCACAACCTACGGGAACGTCAAAAACCAGTTAACGCTATAACTGCCACCTCGAGTGCGAGAGGCTGTGCTAATGCGAACAATGCATTCGCTTATATTAAATACTTATTTCGCTATCAGGTTCGTTAGCACACCACAATTCAAAACAGCCATTACTTACCGTTATGGCTCTGTAGCGATAGCCCTGAATCAGTAAATTTTCTAAAAAGTAATTTTCAAAAGAAAATGAAGTTTAACAAAGGCTATTTTGAAAGACTCCACAGCCAACGTGCTATTCCATAATTTCCATTACGAACGGCTCAAAAAATTCTCTAGATAAAGCAGTCGCCTCCCAAAGTGGTTTGGTTCTGGCAGCTTTTAATAATCACTCACAGAGTTACGGTGCCGTACTTTACCAATTAGGATACCGATTATGTCCAATTAGTTCAAAATTTGTGCAAGGCCTTCGGAAGGGGACGTTATTTTGTGGGGGGGGGGGTGGTCGGGGTTGGGATAGTATAAATTTGTTTGCTCCTTCAGAGCTTCAGAGTCATGGCGGAACAGCGTACAAAGGGTAAGGGAGGCCGGGAGGTAACGGTATTGCGGGGATGCAAAACACGGTAATAGTTACAATGGACGACGAAAAGAAGTTGAAATCGACCGGCCAGTGAGCGGTCGCGCCTCATCAACTTTTTTCTGTCGTCCAGTTTACGTAATTGGTCAGGGGTCAGTAGGAAATTAGGAATTAGTCGGTCAGCCATCTTGGAAATTTTCTACATTTTGGTTTTTTTATTATTAAGCGTGGGCAATAGCGGTGGTCGTCGGTCGAATACTGGAATCTGGAATCAGATTGTTATTACGGACAGATCTGGAGTTAAAAATGGCGGAAAATACAGTCTGTACTCTGTAGTAACAGTGAGCCGGGCGCGTGATGTACCGACTCATAAAACACGGAAAATTCACAGTGATAGCGGGAAATTTCGCTCCGAGCGCGAGTGTTTGGGCGAATTGACCCTCCTGCTTTTCAAAAAATTTGAAAAGGAAAGGGTTGACCTAATTATTATGTTACTACAATTGTCATGAAAATTGTTGTTGCTTTTAACACTTTTTATGAAAATCATCTAGGAAATTTAAAATTCCATTATTAATATTGTACCAGTAACCTTTGCAGAAATTAAGCGACTTAATTTTGTTATAGATTCCAACGCTTTGATACAACGTTAACATCCAAAAAGTTTGACGTGAGAAACACGCCAATTTTGATTATATTTTCCGAATATATTTTTATATATATGATTCCCTAACAAAATCAAAATAAAACACGGGAAGTTGGACAATGCCAGCTCTCGGCAGTAATTGTGGTATAACAGTACTTACTGTAACGGGACGCCCGCGCCGATCAGGAAAATGCTGCCGGAAATCGGGAGCGGCAGACGTGGATCTTTGAATTTATTTATTTAATAATTATTTACTGTCTGCAGCTAGAACTACGAGGTATTGTACACATGGAAACGTCATAAGGTACACATGGAAACGGCAATTTTTGAGGGAAACTTTCAAATTTCTACGGTTAATGTTATTTCGTTCTCTGAGGCAACGAATCTACGAGACGTTAAGCCATTAAAACATTTACCAGTGGAAATAAATTAATTTGCACTAGGTTTCGCTCATTAAAATTACATTTGTAATCGTTATTTTATAGTTTTGCGTTTAGTGATGAAAAGGTAATAATCCTTCGCGGACTTATTCCGCGCAATTTACGCGGGGTCTGCTAGTCTTATAATATTTGTCTCCTTCGATCAAAAGTACTGCAGCTGCGCGCATACTGTATGACTGCACTGATATAATTGCAATATTTAAATTAAACCACGGCTCACCGACATTTCGTCGACTGACACTGGTCCGTCGACCGACACAATGTCGACCGCACTATGGCAACCGTCACTAGAGCGACGACTATTAAAACATAAGACAGAATAGGCAAACAAAAACAAACATAAGAAAGTATAAGAAAAACTATCAAAACTAAGATGTAGTTACACACTAGCCGTGAAGGGTCGACATTGTGTCTGTTTGACGAAGTGACCGTCGACGGAATGGCGGGTCACCATTAAACACTGCGAGCTCGTAATAATTTGTTTAGTAATACGCATGTAATCGTGCATTGTACCGTTGGATCGTTGGATGCCGTGAATATACCCTGTATGATTAAGTTTCGATGAACACTGAATAGCCGGTCAGTTTGCAGCTTGGCTCCAGTCCTGGGTGTTCACCGCACTTAATCGTGCAAGGTATATTTACGGCATCCAACGGTTCTTTCACAGTGCATAACTTTTGCTTTGTGCCCTGCAGTACCGAACCGCACAATACAGATAATCCGGCCGCACTGCCATGGAGCGACGTGGAGTTGACGCCCACATCGGCGTTGCACTTCAGCCAGCTAACCGTTTTCGCTCTCTATTGGCTGTATTGTGTGCCGGCATCGACCGGCAGCTGACACGGAACATAATCTCCATCCCCGGCCGTCATTTTGGTTTTTGTTCCCTGGTCGATCCATTCTTTCAAGATTCTATCGTCTGGCTCGCTAGAGAACCTGGCATGATCGCCATCGCATGGCATGTCGGAAAAGTCGTCCAGAATCCAGATGGACACCTGACGCAGACACCTATTACCAAAGAAATGCTTGTACTTTGCACAATGGAAAATGAACATCGCCTGCTTCGACAGTGGATGATAACAACGTTGGCGCGTGCTGATTGCAAGTAGTTACATCCACGGCGAAGGGCCGAAGGTCAGAGAAGACGCTACTTGAACGTAGTCGGTTCCTGTTTTAAGTCCGTCATGTGTCGTCGTGGGATGAACGAATTTCAACGAAAACATTATTAAGTGTCATCATGTGTCAGTTAATCTCCTAGCATGTCCTATGGAATTGCAAAAATTTGTTTGAAATTGATTGTCGCATTATAATACGGTACTTCCTTTCTGTTCACTCGATTAGATTAGGGCTGGTTGTCGTCTGTTTTTTGGACTCCCGCTTAATTGTTCAAGTTAAACTCAATCTTCTTGCAATTTTTGATGGCCGGACTTTTTGCGCCTCGGTAGTAATACAAATGCGACGTAATTCCAAGTGCCAACTGTCTAGAGTAACATGCGATAGGAGCACAATAACAGCGTTCAGTAATCGAACTGTACTTTCGCTTTTTTTCAGTGAATGCTAGTTTGGCGGAGGCAGCTGCGCACTTCGAAATCGCAACGATAATTAGTATAAAGATCTCCAATTAACATCGTGATATTACGTCCTAAACTCCGCGATAGATTTCCAGCGCGTGGGTCCATCCGGACGTTCTTTATACAAAAGCAAAATGCTTCGGATGGGAGTCATGGGACTAAATTAATGCAATACATATTACATGCCTTGTAAACTTACCCGCAGTATCATCTCGTTGATACTAGTACCGGTATGTCGTTCCCGTCTCTTAGTATACTTCTGGCCTGCTAGTCCATGACGTTTTTGCTCCGCTACGTCTTTTTCACATCTTTACACGAATGGCGTTACAAATTTTATGCTCCAGGCCACAGACTACAAAGGGAATCGGTAAGAAAATGCATAGCAAAACTCGCGAGGGTCACTCGACTTTTTTGCTTCGACGTTCAGAAATGAATGCGTGGTAATGCTACGCGTGTGTTGCGCACGGTTTTGTTTCGAGTTGTTTGAAACAATTTTTTCATTTGATTGTTTCTGCTGAGCGAAGCTTGTCTAGGGATACAGTGCGAAAAAAGTCAAAGTTAAAGATAAATTTTTGGAGTACTATACGTTTATACTCACTTTACAGTATTACCATATATCGGTACGTACTACATAGTACTCTGTACTATTATTCATTATTGGTACTACTTGTATATAAAAGTGAGTTCAGCTTTAGCGGGGAAAGTAAAAAACCAGAAGGAATTTGGCTTGGAGGAAGTTAAATTTACGATGGCACAGATTAGATTATCATCGCCTATTCGTCCCCAACCGGACGAAGGTATCAAGTATTAAAAAATTTTATGTCTGCATACGAGTACGGCGTACTCACAATCAGTACGAAGGCTTGATTATAACTTTTATTTGAGTATGCTTTCCCCTGACACATCACTTCCAGAACACAAACAAGGAAACAATTATTGTGTTTAGAAACAATTAACAAAGGCTGTCCCAGTCGGTTGGGTGATCGTTGCAGCTCCTTCTCCCTATCCCGGACTCTCTTCCGCTTCATCTTCTCCCACCGCTCCTCGTGCCCCACCCAAAACCGCTTCGCTTGGCCGTCGCCGCCGACAGGAATACCTATTGCTGTCCGACAACCTACCGTTTCTGCACCAAAAAACCCTCTAAAATATCTAGACAGCGGACCATCTGCGAGAAGATGAGCACCATGAGAGGAAAGCGGTAAGATAAATGACTGTGTGCCCTGCATAAAATACATATATTTGAAAAAATGAACGCGTTCGTGCTTACCTTTGAAAACACCGCTTCTAGTAACTCCCATCGAATTTCGGCTCCAGACCAACAATGGTTAGTCAAATTTCTCCGATCGGCACTTCGTCTTACTTGTTAGTAAGTGTGCATCAAGGCTTAGTAACAACTGAAATTTCACAATAATAAAATAAATCAATCGACATACGGTTCGGCTTAAAACATCTCTCGTCGAAGAAGAAAAAAAACACGTCCAAAATTAGCTGCTCAATGCCAAAAAGAAATGCATACTTATTAAGAGCTGCGATACTAAATCCAAGCTTTTTAGCGTGTATATGAAGAATCTGTGCTATGTAGTATGCACTATCAGACCAAAGCGCTACCGAAAGAGCGTCGGTCGCTGCCGTCGACGCGACGACGATGTTGCCACAAACATCACGAACCTGGAAGGAAAGGTCAGGAAAGCTACCGTCCTTATTCGTCAGCGATACGATCATCCGGCGCCCTGGCCAGCAGGGTAACAAAGCTGCCGAGACACAGAGTTTCCTGTGGCCCTCGGTATATTTACAGTCTGCGGGTATTCCGTAGCGCTGGAAGAATTAAGGGTACGGTGAGCCCAAATTCTTTTTACAATCAAAAACACGTACTCGTCGTATTTTTGCAATTTATAAACTACTGTATTTGATCAGTTAATTTTGAATTTAAATCGTGAAAATTAGTAACATCCGAAACCAGCACTTACATAAAATCAGTTAACAGCACGCGAAGTGCTCCACGATGATCTGCCGGCGCATTTACGGTAGCCAGAACATGGTAGGGCAGTTCATCAACAAATACAGCGACAACGGCCGCGTAAGGCTGTAAAGCAGCAACGACATGGCTGCGCAGTGCTTCCCGGCCTGGCTCGTTCTCCACAAGCTGTTGGGCTTCCGCCTCACCTACAACCAAAACAAATTTTTCAAGCATTTCAAAAATAACATGCAAAAACGTGCAATGCAAAAATATCGAAGTGATTATAAGCACATTCAGAAATCAGTTAAGTAAAAAAGCCGTAGAATTCCGGAAATGCAAAAAAAATGCACAATTGTAGACAAGTAATTCGTAAATGTGTAATTTAGAAATGATCGGAATTTAGATCTGTCTTATTGTTATGACTAGCAAATATGCAGAAATTTTGAGATGAATGCCATAAAATGCAAAAGTGTAGAAATGCGTCTTAATTACTTTACGAATGTAAAAATTAGAAATTACAAGAGCTCAGAGCTACGAGATACAAATTTCTTTTAAAAATGCATATTAAAACAGCAGAAATTCAGAGCTACCGTACGAGCATGACAGGCAAACATGCAGAAACTTAGCAGACGGATTCGAAGCCTTTCAAGCATGTAAATTTTAAAAAATCGCAAAATTCAAATATAAAAAAAGGAAAAAACCAAATTTGTAGAAATGGATATCAAGTATTTCGTGAAAGAAAATTTTAGAAGCAAAAGTTGAAGGAATTCGGAACTACAATAATGACGTGTGGGAGTAGGATCACACGCCGGAGTGTACGTACGGATGCTGACTGTCCGCCTTCCACCTGCAACACAACGGATAATCTAGTCAATCAATGCTGTGATTTGCTGTTCTCTTTTACGAGCGGTGTATGTGATGTCATAACGCGGAGTCTATATAAGTTCTTGTCGCTTCTAATATCGGGAGTCAGTAGTCTGAGATTTACTTCTGAGACTGCTTTCTAATTACAATTTCCTTGCGTTGTGGACTGTGAAGTGTATTAATAAAGAGGCAGCAATACTTGTTTTTTCTGATGTACATGATCGTTCCCGGATTATTGCATAGAATACAGGTTTGCTCGTGACACAATCGTCCTAGCTCTTTGTTGATCCTCATAGAAACTGCGACCGGAAGTTGTAGTTGGAGTGTTCCCGAGGGATTCCCGAGTTCTCGTGTTCCTGAGTAGTTCGTCGTTTCCACCATAAGGATCTGTTACAGTTTGAGATGAGAGTTGCCTACCGATTGAGCATTACAGGCGTGGAAGAGTAAAGATTGTTCATGAAACCCTAACCGGTGTGAACGCTTATACACGACAATAACGTAAGGAACACAAAAACAGAAAAAACCAGAAATGGATATCAGTCGTAATTCGGAATTAGAAATTGTAAGAATATAAAAGGCCATATCAGGGACTTCGCCAAAGTGAGCAAGATAAATGCGCTGTACTTACTTAGTCGTATGCGGAAGTTCAACCTTTGGGGATTCTGGGGAACTGGAGGTACATGGGCCGCGCCGTGCCCATTAGTGGTCGGGAGTGGAACCACCGAATCATCGGTCAGTCTGCCAATATTCAGGCCGCCGTGTCCGAACATCATCACGCTGAAATGTGAAATATTTAACCATACATACATATTCTGCTTCCCCAGTCAGTACTGAAGAAAAAAAACACCCTTACTTGATTGTGGTTATCTGAGCGCGCACAGCCTCCAGCTGATTGTCCGCAACGCGTTCCACACGCACCATCTTGCCTAGGTGGACGCCAGAGAGAACGTGGCGGGCTTTCACGAACAACCCGGGTGCAGGTTGCTCAGGATCGTCCAGTTCATCGGGATCCGCAAGTGGAGCAGGTTCGCCCACTGGAGCAGGGTCGACGAACTCGCGTATGCTGTTTTCGTAGGTTTCTTCGATTTGGCGCAGTTGGTTTGCGTTGAACTGCTGCAGTTCACGGGCACGATCCTCATCTAAATTATTAAATGTTGCGTTTATGTTTTATTTTATTATGCTAATACATAGTATCAATATGCTAAACAATACCATCCATATTCTCGGCTAAAACAGAGAATGCTTAATGGCAAACAAAGGACGAGGCGCGAACTAAGATGACGAAACGCGAGCAATTTCACTACTAGCTAGCAAATCGCAATCCTAAACTGCTGATTACAAAATACTCGTAGTCCGAGTACGAACAGAAAACCGGCACATCAAGGCTGGCAAGAACCGTAAATAAGATGTGTAAACTTATCAGTTATCTGTTATCACCACCGCGAACGGCAACTTTCAGCGATCCCTCCATCAAGCTGGAACAGCTTGGCACGTGAAGTTTACATTTGGAAATGATTCCTTTCACAGGCCATTGGTGAGTGAAACTTTCACTCACCAATGGCCACTTCAAATTCAATAAAACCACCCATTTCTTCTACACAGAAAACGATCGTTTATCAACGAGTACAATCACTGGGCAAAACACTGAAAACAGGAAACTGGAATCGGCAACTGCTGTAGATATCAACAAATAAAACGTTTTCAAGCGAGACGGTGAAAGTACTGCGTAATGTAGGGTGCCACTGACAACTGCAGTTCGGTGCCAACGAATTTCTAGCGTAAATGCAGTACGCGTGCGGTACTCCTTCCGACACTGCTCATAATCAGCTGCAATACTGTTTTTTATTAATCGTAATGCAAATATAATATAGATTCTACAGGTATAGGTTCTATAGGTAATGCAAATATAATATAGGTTCTATAGGTTCTATAGGTATAATGTAGGTTGATCGTCATTTTTTCCAACCTGTGGCCTTGGAGACTACAGGAACTTGTGGTGCCAGTACCCGTCAGTTCATCAATGAAGTTGGTCGACGCATAAAAGATCAAACCGGAGAAACGCGCGCTACCGAATTTTTGTGGCAGCGCATAAGTGTTGAAATTCAGCGCGGAAATGCCGCTTCTGTTCTGGGAACTGTTGGTTGCTCAAAAGAGCTAGAAGAGCTGTTTTATTTGTTCTAGCTATTTGGTATTTGGGATTTAATTGTAAATGGCATTTGCTTGTACAAGGTTGAAATAAAAATTATATAGGTTCTTGAAACTTATTCTGTTTTTAAACAAACCCGAATTCTTGGTCCAACATATCAAAAATTAAAAAAATTCAAGAGCTTGATCTTATGAAGTTTAGTTATTAACTAATAACTCATAGTAAATATATGCAATCGTTGTGTCGCTTCGACCGTCAGTAAAAGAATTGTGAGTACAAATGCACAATACTTACTTTTTAAGCCGCCACTAGAGTATGTACTCAGCTACTGACCGTGAATATTCTTTTAAAATTTCGTTTAATCTCTCTAGTTTCCAACTCCTTTATTAGTCCAGCTATCTATACTGGGTAGTCTTATTTCGGAGCTCTAAATTCAAAATAAAAAAAGTATGTACTTCTACTAACAATATGAAAATTCTCGCTAATACAACACGCACACAACGACGAAGCTAACTTTGTATTTTCCTCAAAATATGGATACTGTACTTACTTATACAAACATAATTATGAACAAAAAGTCCGACATACCAAAGTACTACGTACATAATCGAAAATGTCAGCATTCAGCACATCATTAATAAATAATTTACTTCCATTAAATAAGTTTTCAGAATTATGGTGTGCAAAACGGTAATCGGAATATGGCGGCGGCGATTCCGCCGCCGCCATATTCCGATACCGTTTTTCTTCACATATGGAAATAACCCGAAACTAAACAGATAACCTTACATTTCATTATTATTAATTTTTCCCCAATGCACGTCACCGATATTACAGTCATGCAAAGAGCCAAAGTTAACAACCATAATTATTGGCCTGTGAATAGATCGAATATCCGCAAGACAGGTGAACTCTCAACCAGTATTCGATTCTCTATCAAACTAAAATTCGTATATAAAAAGTATGTAGATACCCGCCGAGGTACAATCAGAGAGCCTATAATAATACCATATAATATAAATATTTTTGTAACACAAGATTTACAACTAATACGTAGTTAAGTGCAGCCGTACAGGTATGTACTTGTGCAGTTTCCAGTTACATTTTGTAAAGTACAGAGCTCTATAGATATCTCACAGTCAGTTGCAAAGTTATACATTTTAGTATGTGATTATTCTAATACTATATAATTTCAGATTGATTAACGGTAATGGTGTACTACAATCTACAGTAATTATAAATATGTGTACGGTATACATTGTACCTACAGTCTGTGTGTTAATGATACAGTATACTGTATATTGTCTTTAAAAGTCCCGTAAGTTGTGCTGGAGTTATTTAAAGTAAAGGAGGTAAAGAATAGATTTTACTTGCATTGCATTACTTGCAGTCGTACTGCATCACACCCGGTTCGCCAGGTAGCACTTTTTTGACGTGTGTTGTGCAGATCCGAGACGTGACGGCGACAGTATGTTTAAGTAGAGTTATCGCGCAATGTTTGACGTTAATTGGTAACTCGTACGTCTGGAGTACGTAGACTACGTAAAATTACAACGAAATTGTTACAATTAAAACGCATCCGTCCTGGCTCCGTATTTTGACGGTGCTCGGCACATCTAATCCATGAATGCCTTTTACGAAATCGAACCGGGACACCGGACGACCACCGGAAGGTCACCTGCAAGATACATATTTCTGCCATCCAGTTCTGGATGCCTAAAAGAGATCCAGCCTAATGTTTGATTTCGGGGGTTATAATTTTTGTTAGATATAGCTTTGTTATTATAACAATCCCGCTTTCGTAATTTAATTCGTTTGTGAAGAATTAATCATACATTTTATTCAAGTTTATTGCGGCTGGCTGCAGATATTGTATCGCACGTTGATGCATGCAGACCTGTAAGACAATTTGCCGAACACTAAAACTTTCATGTGTCATGTACAATATCCTGCTGAGATAACGTATCACTGGACATGAGCAACAGATTTTAAAATCTAGAGTAATAACTTATGCATTGTTTCACCATACAAAAACTTTTTGACAGTATCGTAGGCCCTTTTTATTCGTTATCATTTTATGAATATAATGCAATTATCAGTCCATGCATTTACATATAAGGCAACAGTTTCGGAGAAGCCAGTTTGTGTGTACGTTAACGGTGGTCTAGACAAAGTATCGGAATCAACTGGGTCTGGCTATATTAGCTTGTAAAACGATGGCTACTTTATTGTTCTGGATTGCCGTTTTTGGTGCATCGGAAATTCTTGCTCAGACCGACTTCTCTTTACAGGCTGGTGCAACCGGCAAGGATGTGGTTGACGTCGCGATCAACCGCATTGATCGGTCCAACATCTTCCAAAACGACAAAAATATTTTACGACGCATTGCGTGTGTCGAGACTCAGTATGGCGCCAATCAAGCCAATGGAAACCTCGGTGGTATTTGGCAGGTGACTATAATACACAGATCCAACGCTAGGCAAGCACAGTTGACCTTTCAAAGATCAAGAATGTTTTATAAAAATTATACAAGCTTTTTTGTTCGGCTCTATGATCTGTTTTAAGTGATCTGTCCAAAATTTTTATTCATTTTATCATGAAATGACAACTTTATTTCTTCATTTCACCTAGTATTTTCACGCAGTAATAAATATTTTTTAGGTTAGCGAAACGGACTTCAACAGGACCAAGGAAGCAGAACGCTATCCACATCTTATTGACATGCACAATGATATCTGGAAGATGTGGGGAGTACGATGGAAAACTCTCGGATATTCCGAGTTGCTAAAACCATTTTACTCCGGATTGGCCGCACGTCTTTTACTGAGCCTGACCGAAGTGGGAAGTCGGCGACCCATCCCGGGAATCATTGTTGAGCAGGCTAATTACTGGAAAAATTTTTATAATCCTGCCGGCTCGCTGCAGGCATTCGAGGCGGCCGCCACATCGGAGACGTGCGAAACAAATTGTCCGGGACGGCTGGACATTTGCATCGCTTTAGATGCCTCCAATAGTGTAGTCGCTACGGACTTTAACATCTCACGTTACTTCGTGCACCAACTACTGACAACATTCGAAACCGGCGCCGTAAGCGTGCTCGCTAGATTACAGCTAGACAAAATTTAAATTTTAGATATTCTGTTTTTGCTTTTAGTCTCGTGCAGCTTTGGTAGTGTACTCCAACCGCCTTCACGTGACCTTTGCTCTGGATACAAATATGACCTGGGCGCAGAAGAAACAGGCGGTTCTCGATCCTGTACAGACCCCGCACATTCAGCACAACACGCACACAGCAGAGGCGATCAAGTATTGTATCGATATGTTCAACAGCACTCCGGCGGTAGTGGAAGGTATTCCGAAGATCAATGTGATCCTGACCGATGGAAAATCCAATGATCCAGGTCCCCTTAAGGTGCCGATGGTGGCACCGCTCGCGGAGGCTGCCGGTATAACGTCCTTCGCCGTTGGTATCGGATCGGGAGCTGTATATTCGGAATTACTAACCATTGCCAATAATAATCGGGATCGCGTACACGATTTATCTAATTTTGCGGAACTGGCACAGTTTTTCCAGCAGCTCAACCAGGAAACGTGCGAAATACCACAAACGCCCCGTGTCAATGATACCACCACGGATTCGCTCATCAAAGGCGAACGACGCTACTTTAAGTAGGCAGAATCGTTATGGTGAAATTTCCAGCTATACAGCTTAGGACAAAATGGTCGCATACCCAATATCTCCACATTCAGTACGAATGCAGCGCAGTGCACTGTACGAGTGAGTTCAAAATATCCGTTTCGTTCAAGTGCACTGCACCGCTTGCGTACAGAATGCTGGGTATGGGGCTATGCGACCATTTAGTCCTACATTGTAAGTGTATCGCGTTAATAATTTAATTAAATGTGAATGCAACCTAGAAACCCAGGTGACTGATCAAAATATATACGGCTGAGTATATGTGACAAATAATGACGTATACATTTAACAACGTCATATTTTTGGACGACCTAATGCGCCATTGCATAACCGTATTACTTTTTCTATGTCAGGTTTTTCGTGCCAGTTATTTATCTATTTCCTAAAGCAATTTCCAGTTTTTACCAGTAATATTACGAAATTTTTCTTGTAGATATACACTTGGTGTAGAAGGCCTGCAAATAACCGTTTCCACCACTGCCGGACAGACCGCGGTGTACTATTCGTACACGGAAACAACCCCTTCGGCGGCGTTGTACGATGGGAAAATTGAAGGTTCAGGAGTGATTCCGTACCGTTTACCCACCACAACTCCGGCGCCGCCTCCCACAGAGTCGGCCCGCGGTGACCTTTTCCGGACCGGAAACAGCACTAATCCCGAATTGGAGGTATATCTAAGTGTTACTGGTCTCTCCGATCGAAATAATTACACGATTGAAGCCAGGATATTTGTGCCCGGCAATGGTGCATCGATTGTTAATAATCTGCACAGAAATGCAGCGTTTGTCGCATTGTTCGTCTGCCTAGCAAATCTTATCATCCGTCCGTTGTCAGCTTAATTTGAATCAAAGTTGATTGTTGAAAATGCATGGACATATTGTATGGATTTTACGGATTATCATGTTTTTGATGATTTCCGTATATGTTAACTGATCTGTGCTTGTAGATAAACAAAAAAACATACTTCGAATTCATAGTTCGTACAAAGTGATAAATAAGATTTTCAAGAGATTTATTATACATAGTACTGTTATTCTCGATTCTTGACTTGTGCAGTGGTCGACTACGTGAGGTAATTACAAAAATAGCGCAGCACACTTCATTCATTTGGTAGGCTTTCGTGGTATCTGCGGCAAAGCTTTTGTTGGACCTGCTAATATGGCAAATCATCGACATATCGTGACCCTGACCAGTTTCATATTTTAGAAGAAAAATACAGTTAAGAGCCGGCACGCATAAAGCGCCGTTGCATAGCTATTTACATCTGACCAGTATTAACGAATATTCTCTAATTAATTTATCTTGCGATCCGACATACTGTACCGGTTCAACAGTTATTTGGCGCAAAGAATGCCGGGGAGCGCAGCTCTTTATTAAATTTCATCGTCACTGTGCGTGTCATATAGAGTAACAGTTATTATTTAATATTGTTTTTCTGATTGTCTCCATACTGGCGGTTATGTTGATTTCGATCGCTGCAGTAATCGCTCGCGTTCACACGACTGGAATAGCCATTTTCAAGATGCTGCCAGATTCATGTTGCAGTAATGCCGGCGGACTGACTGGTGAGTGCAGTTGACCGCGCTCTCAACGTGTGAAACTGTGAATCCCATGGCCGACACGTGTAGGTGTGGATCATGCAGCAGATTCATGCTAGTACTGTATATGTACATACTTGTATACCACTAACTTTCATAAACAATCGAAGTCATGAGAAGTCTACCGAAAGTCTTGGTGGAAATGGAATGTTTGAGAGTAGTGCTGATAACAAAAAAATGTTGGCGGAGATTGTGAAAGAGTACGCACTAGCATACGGATACATGGTGATATTTTCATACTCTGCTTCTGGCAATATGCTTCGGAAAGTTATTCTGTATTTACAAACCAATGATTTTAAACGACTTCGCCAGCGTTTACATGGTATATCTTAAAGGTCACGATCGTAGCCGCGTACTCAGTGAACTCTGATTGTTTGACCCAGTCGATTGCAGCAGCGTTGCGTCTCCAGCAGAAACAGTGTTTGCTAATGTAAGAAGAACTTTGTTAATGGAAATACTCTAATTCTAATATCCTTTTGTAGTTAGTTGATCATGAAGCCGGAACTGGTCGCTACATCGTCTCCAAAGCCCACTCGCCTGTGGAACCGCATTCCCATGGTGGTTTTCGGGATGATCCAGATTTTGGTCGGACTGGCGCTGATGATCAATGACATTATCGGTAATTATGGGACGCATAGTGTTTTTCCGCTGTGATTGATTTGGGTTTACGCGGTGCAGCGTTTCGTGACCAACAGCTAAGTAATGCCCTTGTAACACATTGTCAACCATTCTTAGGATTTATCATCTTTCCGGCGCACAACCAGTGGGAAAGCGTCTCCCACCGTGAAGCTGGAAGCCCTCAGTTCGGCTCGGTTACTCGTATTACGAGTCGCCTCATCAGCCAGGGATCCTTACCGTACAGCGCCGTGGGCTCGGTGTTATTAGTCATGGGCAGCTTCTTCGTTATTGTCGTGTATAAGCGTTCACACCGATTAGGGTTCCATGAACAATCTTTACTCTTCCACGCCTGTAATGCTCAGTCGGTAGGCACTCGTACTCTCAAACTGTAACAGATAAACTATGGTGGAAACGACGGACGAGTCAGGAACACGAATCGGGAATCCCTAACGAAGAATCCAACTACAATCTCCGGTCGCGGTTTCTACGAGGATCAATAGGAGCTAGGACGATTGTGTCACGAGCAAACCTGTGTACTAAGCGATAATCCGGGAACGACTATGCACTTCCGTAGGAACAAGTATTGCTGCCTCCTTATTAATACACTTCATAGTCCACAACACAAGGAAATCGTAATTAGAAAGCAGTCTCAGAAGTAAATCTCAGACTACTGATCAGTGACTGCTCCCGATATTAGTGACAACTCAAACTTATATAGACTCTGCGTTATGACATCATATACACCGCTAGTAAAGAGAACAGCAAATCACAGATGAGATTGACTAGATTATCCGTTATGTTGCAGGTGGAAGGCGGACAGTCAGCATCCGTACGTACATCCCGGCGTGTGATCCTACTCCCACACGTCACCCCCACGAACGATGCTTGGCCGTGCCAATATAAACAATCCATCTCGCAACATCCCAGTGCGATTGTGCACTTCCATCCATCCCGATCCCGATCCACCGCACAATCCACGTGTCCATCCGATGCCCGATGTGACTGTACGCCGCGATTCCAAGTGAGTTAGTGTGTAGAATCCTTGGCGAAATGGCATCCGGAAGTCCACGGGTTTGGCAGGGCGGAGGTCCAAGGATCCAGGAAGGCGAACTATGAATTACTTGTACTGCATGTGCCGTTTTTAGATGGTGTGGTTGTATATACAGTACACGGCATAAAGCTTTACTACTGGTATGATTAAAACTGAAAGATAAAATTACACTCGACTCGATGTTGTTGTACTATGGTTTAAACAAACGGAACCGTGAGATCAACCGGCTGGTATTCTTACGAATTCTCGAAAACCAGTGACCACAGCAACAAGGTCAATCAACAATAACAAACAAGCTAAGCATAGTGACATAAAGGTCATAAGTGCATAATATGGGTCAACCAACACTAAAGTAGAAACCAAAAAAAAGCAACAACAACGGAAAGTAATACAGCTCCAACGCATTAAGGTGATATACAAAACAGCACAATAACCAGTAATACCGGTGAGATCAAAAGGAAACAACAACAGATCATCGAAAGGTTATTCAAGGTTACTTGCCAGCGCTAGGAGCCAATGAGAAGAGACCAGTCATGCCAGATCCAGACGCAGCTGTAGCAGCATCTAAGCGGCGGGAAACATCCGCAGCCATCTGTCGCCGGCGATCCGCATCCAATTCACGCTGCTGCTGCTGAGCCAAATAACCAGGCACGAAATTGTGCTCAGCTGAACCAACAGGGCCGGAAGGCGCAGACGGCGCACGTGGACGATCAGCTGGAGAACGGTCACGGGCATCACGGATAATCGGCACCTCAGGCAACGGTACAACATTCGGTGGCAAACCCGGAAATTCAGCGTTCTGCTGTACCTGCACTGACGGAATTACAGCCGGAGGAATAACAGCGTTCAAGGCTGGCGGGCCAGGTAAATTGACAACAGGGTCGACAGCATGGGGCTGACCTGCAGCCACAGCTCCATTGCCTTGGATCGGATCCTGCGCATGCGGCGCTTGGTTTCCCGGGGGGTCAACCTCCATGTCTGGGGCGGCAGCTGCCAGTGGAGCAACTGGGTGAGGATCTCCATCAGGTATTTCAACAACCTCCGGTGCGCCCAAATGTCGGCCATTACGACGCCAGTGATCGTTTCCGCGACGGAGATTATTGTCTCCAAAATTCCGATGATTTCCTCGGCCGTACGGACGAAAGTTGCCACGGAAAGAGCCACGGCCTCCACCCCTTCCTCGGTAATTATAACCGGCATTATACTGCTGTTGGTGCTGGTTATAAGACGAATGAAAAATGGCGTCTACCAGCTTATCAAAGGCTCGGTTAGGATCAATAGGCGGCATGCCCAAACTAAGGAGAACTACTGACCTTTAACGTTAAAAGTGTATAAAGAAAAGCGTCAAAATCGCAGACTACAGACTGAAAATCCAACACGCCAGAAGGCCGAAACGAAAAATCCACAATGCCGATTTCTGCACTCTACACGCAGGTGGTTTTATACCGTCTGCCCGCGTGAAAATTTAAAATGCGGCAGATTCCGCAGGTAAGAGAAACGACCAATCAGCGCTTCGCGCTATATCCTTTTAATTCAACTTAATCAGGAGATCAGATCTAATCTAGGCACAACGGAAGATTCGGCAGTGACGCTTACACAACTACATAGTACGTACAACGACCAGCTCATTGACTGAAAGCGTATAAAATGGCGAAATAAAAGTTGAAGAAAATAAGGGACACAATTTCTTCCATCCTCGATAATACAGAGTACAATCGAAAATGTATTAACAAAAGCGGCTAGCGCAGTACTAAATAAAGGAACAAATCATAGGGAGAATGGCAAAAACAACACTACAGAATTACAACTCTTCCGAATGCGGCTGCTGTTTATCATAAACTGCCGGTTCCGCAAATTCGGGCGAATCCTCATGAATAAAAGCTGCAATAGACGGCGCAACGGGTGCAACCGGCTGCATTGACGGCAACGGGTCTACATCCATCTTCTCCAAATCGGACCCATCATCATCATTTTCTTCGTCACTGTCAGCTTCGTCATCCGCGTTTTCGTCAGCAGAGAGCACCGCAGCAGGATCGTCACTGTCGCCACCATTATCCGAAACCGAGACTTCGCTTTCCGGTGAAGACGAGGACGGTGAGATCTCCTTGTACTTGCGCTTCTGGCCGCGGCTACGCAGATAATATGGCCCTGCTGAAGTGGACGGTTGGAGCTCCATATTATCCGAATCTCCCGACGCAAGAACCGCTTGTCGTAAAGCTGCGTCCGCCCGCTGATGTTTTTCCAACTCTTGAAACAGACGGACAAAAACAGGGTTCAAATATAAGTATTGGCGACGCAGTTCAAAGGCGATAGGTGTGGGCAAGGATCGCGTAACGAGACATAGATCAAATCGATTAATTAAAACTCCGTTGGAATATAAAAAGTGAGACAGGTACAATTCTGAATAACGTGGATGAAAGCGATTAAGGCCAGAGAAATAGGCCTGAGAAATAACCACATCCTGCTCACCGTTCTTGTCCGCTACAGCCATTCGTGGAAAGACTGGTGAGGACGCACGCTTGCGAGCTGTCTGCTTGGTCTTATAAATCGGCCGCGGTGCCTTTGGATCGTACGGCACATATAAAATCCCACCACGATTTAAATGCTCTTCATCTAACAGCAATGAAAGCCAATAATTAGCTCTACAAATATGCAACAAGGTGACGATAGCTTAATATCAGCTAAATACCATTTAGCGGTGCAATAAAAATTCACAGCAATATCAATTGTAATGTAGGTAGAGACAACACAAGGAAAACTGGCGAAATAGCATTCGAACATTATCATACAAAATAGGGCACGATGATACGATACATTACTACGAAAATACCTCGCTTTGCTCGCACAGACGGAGTTTCGGAAGATGATGGTTCTTCCTCAGTAAGATCCGGGGTGCCCAACTGCTTCTCCGCTTGCTTCTGCACTTTCGTCAGAGCTGGCAAGCAGATCTCAACGTCAGGATCAGCAGGAAATGATCCGCGGCGGTCACGTCGGCGAACCACAGCCGCATTGCGTCGAGCAATAGTTCGGCGCTTTGCTTCGCGATAAAGATTCTTCAGCGCACCAACTATGGCCTCCGTCCTACTAGTTGAAGGTTTAGGACTCTTTGCTGCAGTCCTACTTCCCGATGGCTCAGCCGACTGGGCAGAAAACGCTGGCTGCGACGACGTGCGCCGAGAAACTTGTGATCGAGTGACTCTGCTGGAGGAGCGAGCTTCATCGCTGTCAGGCGAATAACCAAACGACAAGCTTGACACTTTTCTGCGAGAGCGAGCCACAGGTGTAACCGTTTTACGCGCAGTCGGAGCGGGTTTCTTCGGAGTGGAAGACATATTGGTAACTCTTAGCGTCAAGAACGAAAAATGCCAGAAGAAGGCAAAAATCCAGAAATATGCACAAGGCGAAAAACCACAACAAAAAGTGACCAAGTTGCAATACGGTTAATCCGGCACCGCCACCGGAAGTTGAAAACACAAGTAGTCAACCACACAGCGGTTGACAAGCGACAAGCCGATTTTCCGAATTTTTACTGTTTAGAGTGTCGGAGGCTAACAATGAATATCCTTGATTCTTTCCTTAAAAGTATTAGGGATTTAGAGAGGAAAAACTATAATTTCCACGAACGTACAGCTTCACAGCAAAAGGGGCAATAAAAATAGAGGAACAAAGCTCAGAACACGCGGCTGGGAAATATTCAGAACACAGACCGGAAACTACGTAGTTTCCGACGAAGTTGCCAACGCGAGGCGATCGACAGGCGACAGAGTGCCGCATCGCAAGCGCAACAATTATCAGCTGTTCATTACTTCATATCCCGAAAAGTGAAGAACCCTACAATACTTTATTCTTCTGTGGTGACGGTTTTTCTTCTGTTTATTACTATCCTTCTTTTATTTATTTCATTTCGTATTTTAACCAATCTTATAGTGTAATGGCTGCATTACCCGGAGAACCATCGGCAGAAACAGATGCGATTGAACATGCTCGGTATTGGAAGGAACGGACACGAGAATCTGTGCAGCTTGCCATGGCAGCACCATTGACAGAGAACGAGACCGCTACAAGCCGTCGCCAGCTGGCTATGCATACCGCGGCACATGCCTGCATTCTCGAAGCAGATATTACCGGTTTTTCTGTGGATATTGCCCATATCAAACAGTTCGTACAGGATATGCACACGGACTTTACCGCGGATCGCGTTGAAGTTTTCTTGGAAGACGCCATTAACGCTGGAATTCTGCTGAAGAAGATGGCGCGCGACGGGCGCTTCGTTCTGGAAGTCGCGGAAGATGTATACAACAACCGCCAGGTGAAGATCGTGGATACTTACAGCAAGCTTCGCTGTATAATTCGTGCAATTTTGAACCACGCACGCTACGCCATGAGCCGACCAGAAATTCAGCAATGGGCTACTGGAACATACGATCTTCAGCTCGAGAACTACGAGTACTGGTTCAACCGCGGCCTACATCGGCTGCTGGAAAAGAAACAAGTCGTGATGGTTTATGGGAATCTGTATGTCCACAGCTGCATTGATCTATGGTTGCGGAGTATTCGCGGTTGCTGTCTCTGTGACACTCTGGCTCAAACCATCAGTGAGTATTTTATATGATTACTAATAAGGAATTTGAAAAAGGGGCACAAACTTTAATTTTACGAGCGTAGTACTGTAAGTTGGTTATGCGAAATTGTACTGGATCTGAAACACACACAATTGCATTTTTGCCCGCGTTTTGCATAACTACAGTGGGTTGCAGATGTGAAGATGGCCACTCTAAAGGTCGAAAAGAATGGAAAAGAGCTGGAACAGCTGGTAACCGATGCTAGTTTCGGTTACGTCGGCGAAGATGTCGAGTTAATTGTCGATGGAGTGATGGAGCGCTTGGACGCCATCGAGCCAGCTAAAAACAACACTATCGGAGGCAATATGCTTGTCCGCTCTAACAAGGATGCTCGGATCAAGCGAGAGCCAATTATCACATTGAGTCAACTAAAGAGATGAATGCCCGTCCGCGATATGTAGCAGCCCAAAAGAACGAACAATGTGAACGGACCAAAAAGAGTAAAGAACATGACGCGGCAAAGGCTGAAAAAGCCAAGGCCAAGGCTGAAAAACCAGGCGATGATAACGTCGAAGACATCGACAAACTACTGCAGATGGTCGAGAGCGAGCAGAATATCATGAAGAACTGTAAAGCGCTGGTGAACACTCTAAAGGCGCGCGTGTACACCGGCATCGATCACATCAAATATGTGCGCGAGGCTTTGGAGCAACGTATGGCCAACATCAACAATGCCAAGGAAGACATGGATTTAGATTGAATTACGGCGTTTTATGCATTTCCGGCGGCTGTTAAATAATTAGTTGGTAGCTTGGCCGGTCTTTCGTATATCCCAGTTGTGTCTTAACTTTGGATCTGAGTTTAATTTTACCAATTTTGCTCATATAATTTCTGATTATCCTGGTCGTACAGATCTCATCCTTTGAGTTTAACATGAATTTGTATCCAGAGAATGTAATTGCCGGTCGGTAATAATGTTGCCGAAATCAATTAAAGGAATTTTTAGCCGTAGACCTTGTGCATTACTAGGCTGTAGCACATTAATAAGAAAATTAACCGTACTTTGTAATCGGGACAAATTTAATTCCCAAAGATACAACACATCCGCATAAATCAGCGTCGGCAAAGACCAAAAAGAGATAAAAAGAAATTTTATGAGTTACAAAATGGGTCTTAACGTGGAGTTGAACCTGAGAACTAGCTGCACGGCTACATCCTGTTCTTGCCACTACGCTAGCGTGACTACGCACATTTCCAACGATTATTTAGACACCGTAAGCGGCATGCGTATATATGATATGACTACATTAAAGCGTTGAGCAATTTATACGTTGCTTTTCCAGTTGAGACACCAAATTCTGTATCCCTCTCTGGCATAATTTTCGTTCCGGAAATATACACAAATATATATATATTTGTCCGGGAATATACCGACAAAAGAACATGAGAGAAAAAGTGTTCTGACATGCAACATGCAACCCTGAGATTATCAAAGAGGTAGTAATTGTAATGAATGGCCATCATTCCAGCCACTGTACTACGAAGTCATTCGATTACAAGTGAAGACACGAGCATGCGCACTGTCACTTCAAGAATATACGCATAGATGCGCCGCTCTTCCAATTTAATTCCGCAAGTCCAGGAACTATTGTCAGTGCTTTTCAAAGCGATTATAAAAATATAAAACAAGAAAAAGTAGATTTCCCAGAAAATGCAAATAACTGTGAGGGACTTGAACCCGAAACCTTTTAGTTTCCCCGTTGCAGTAGTTCAACAGTGCTGAGCGCTACACTACGACATTTTACGACGGTAACTCTTAAGTTACTCAACCGAAGTGATCGTGAAATTATCATCGTCAATGCCAACACATTATTCTACGTTGTGGTAAAAATATAAACCTAAAAAAAAAGAAGGTTTTCAAAATTCGCAATTTAACTTTTAGGGATTTGAACTCTAGACCTTGAAGCAGTTGGAGAACGAGAATTCCCGGCCGAGCCACTACGCTACGAGGTACTCTACGTAAAAGCCCCGTTGACTTTGACACCGGAAGCGCCATGTCGTGTATAATATGTGGCAGCTCATCAGGTGGCTAAATTCAGCGTTCAGGTACAAAAAATACTGCGAGAACAAAAATTTTGTAAGTATAAATTCAAAAGAGTTCGATTAAACGGTGTGGACTAGCTCCTTCTTGTGGCTCAGCAAGTCAGCCGCTATACTACAAACGAACCCGAGACTCCGATAAGTAATTTCCTTAATTATTTGCTCGGCCACTACTCTACGAAATCATTCGACAGAAGGCAGAGAACTGAAACATTACACTTGATATACATACAGCAACAGCATAATGTGCACTTGATTTATAAAGCCGTTCCCTTGAGGTAATTGCAAAATTCGAATCGCCAGCACGAATATCTTAAGTGAGGTACTAATGAAAATATAAAAACCAAAAAGTAAGTGTTTCGAAATTACGATTTAATTCTAAGGGGTTTCGAACCCAGCACCTTCCAATTAACCATTGTCGTAGTTCAACAGGTCAAAGCACTATACTACGGCGTTCTACGACGTTAATTTCGAATTCCTCCATTGGAAGCAATTTGAGCGTGACACCGGAAATGCACCATATCGTGTATATCGCAATAACGCGGCCGTACGCTATTGCTCATTCATTATGATAGCAAAATTCAACCCAACAACACCAAAACATTAATATTTTACAGCACAAAAGTATAAAACTGAAAAAGAAGGTTCAACAAAATGTACATTAGTTATCGGGGTTTTGAACCTAAAGCCTTAAATTAACCGGGTGGTTGCAGAAATTGGCTACTCGACCACTACACTACGAAATCGTTCAACGGAAACTGCATAAACAGGATGCTAAGGATTGTACATTTGTGCGCCGCTCACCGGTGCTTAGAATAAGATTAGCTCTCAATGTAGAATAAGCCATAATTCACGTTATTTAAGCCAGTGTCTTAAAATATGAAAGCATAAAATAATAAAACCAAAAAGGAAAGTGTATTTACAAAATCACATTTTTATATGGATTAGAACCTCAGACCAACACGAAGCCAATAACGGGAGCCCGTACTATACCAGCAGGGTCGCTCTACGCAAAACACAGGGTAATTGTAGCGCCTAAAACGTACCTAAAACGTAACAAGAATGCATAATCTGCGTGTAGGTTACCCGCCCGAGTAGTATACTCCGTGCAAACTAGCACGAACATTAACGGAAGTAGTCTATCGTGTGGTTGCGTGCTACAGAAGCTAAAATTCGTGGACCAACAGCCGAAACGGCAACTACGTAGATTTTATTAAATTTGCAACCCGCATAATAGCCAACCATTCGAACGAACGGAACAACAAAACGCAAGAGCCGTATTGTCTACACGGAAAACAGCACAGCTGGAAGTCACATAACAAAACAAAAACTGACACAAACTATATGGACAATCCGAAAGATAAATATCTAAAAGAGACCCAAGAAGTATGAGATCGCAAAGGGATATACAGCCAGGATACAACTGAGTAATTAACTAGAGTAAAAACTAAGAGCTCGAGAAACTAAAACCCGAACATCCCCATGTTTACCATACTGAAGCAACGAAAAGCAGGATCCCAGTCAGAGACTCCATTGAGTCCAAGAAACACTACGGGTTCTTCAGCGGAAGCTTGGAGACGGCCTCCTTGACAGCAATCTTCTTCCGCTCGAAGCGATGTTGGGCTTCAGTGCGTTGAGCCATCTTCTGCGCGACAGATGCTGTCCATTGTGAAACACGGTTTTCGAGCGCTTGTTTAGCCGCGTTCTTCTGCTCACGTGCAGGAGGAGTCATAGTGAACGAGATTGTCAGAGAAATGACAATGAAACAGAACAAGAGCTGGGAGATATTCAGTATACGAGAGAATGTAGCGCAGTGACAATTGCCGTACGCGACTCTACGGCAGAGCGCGTATATATACAGACTGCAACAACACTTTCCGACTCTGTCAGCAAGTTCGATAGAGTGGGTATATTAAGGTAATATACACACATCAAATTAGGTTTATCATATTGCACAGGCGATATCATTGACGATTTTAATTCCTTACCAGCGTCGTTTACAAACTTATAAAATTACTACAGAATAGGCAAAATCATTTAATCACTACAAGATTCGCAAAAAGACAAGCCATAACAATGCGGCTTGATCACAACTGTAGAAAACGATGATCGCTCATTTAAACATTTAAGATGCAGGAACATTTAAATTATACCCGAGATCCAGACATCTGCAAAGCACACAACGGCAGAAATTTTTAAGAGGAAAACCTGTACAATTGAAATTTTAAGCCGTTGAAAAAGGTGCAGACAGGCGGCGATCCTCTTCACTTCCAGTAATTATAAGGAATTCCGCGCAAGGAATGTCGCTGCACAACGATGAGCTTACGCTTTTGCTTGGGTGTCTGCTCAATACCAAGTTTTTCGTCCACCCACAACGCATTTTCCGGCCACACCTTCAGTGGGTCTGGGAAGTCCAGCTTGTTCTGTTCCCACCAGTCATCAAGATCTGAAGCAGGGTTCTTCGAATCCTCCTGATCGCGAGATCCCCACAGCTTCGGGACAGGTGGTTCATATGGTGTCCGAAACATACGGCCACAGGTACCTGGCCCATAATTCTCACATTCCACACAGCAGAGATCGTGTTCGATACGCTTATTTTCTTCTTCCAGTTCCCGACGTCGACGCGTACGCGGAGATTCCGGTGGATTAAACAGAGACGGCAGGCCACACTCCGCACGGATTCGCTCAGCAGCTTCACGGCAAACCGGAGTGTCGGGGAACAACACAAGGCCCACCCTCACGTAATACATCAACATCTCTGAAGCGCGAATGTCCGCAATGGCTAAGGCCACCTGAGCCTCAAAATCCAATGGCTCAACTTCTGCAAAGTTCAAGGCCATGATTTCGGAGTTGGACAGCTTACACAGCTCCTTAATAGAGGTATAGGGAGCGCCCAGAGAACGCCAAAAGTAAACAAACTTCACGATGTGTTCCTGGTTTACCGTGAAGTACGACAGCACATCAGAAAATTCCACAAACTTACGGCGCTTCTTTTCATCCTGCTCCGCACAGATCATGCGCCCACGCTCACTTTTATAAAATTCCATCTCCATGTTGAACAAGAAAATTAGCTAATAGAAATCAGATAAGGTAGGATGAATTAGGTGGACGAGTTAAAGCAGGAAAACTGCTGATACACTGCAACAACCGGAAACAGCTGAGCGTCCAAAACTGCCACTGCCCTAACATTTTAACGACATACGGGTGGCTGCCAGACGACACCCATATCCAACGTGTTTACACGTGAACCCTGACGGCTTTTATTTGTTTTTCTAAACCCAATAAATTCTTTTCGACCATATCTGCGATGTTTCCATGAAAATAAGTTAAATTATACTGTTAGATCAGGACTGAAATGGATTGCGATTGGATTTATTTCACAACGGAGAGATCTCACAATCGAATGCGAAAAGGTACGCAAGACACTACTAAGAATTTAAATACTTATTACAGCCCGTATAAATGCTGGTAAAAAGTCGAGGCTAAGGCTAAAAACTGCGGATTCTGTACAGAAGCTTCAAACGAAAAGACAAATTATTTAAACTAAAATAACCAAAGATTATACAGCCTTCTATGAGCAGAATATAATGCTAATGAAAAGCTCACATGCGGTTAAACCGCAGGGGCCATGTCTTCGTCGTCATCACGGCCAGGATGGTGGCGTTTAGCGATCAAGTCATCCAACTTGCCCGGGCCACGTTTCTCCTGTCCCTTCGTCAGCCAACGAGCTTGCTGCAGGTAATCCGAACGACGGTGGGCTGAGTGCCAGCGTTCCTCAGCTTCCAATTGCAACTCAAAGTCAATATCCGAGACAGGATCGTTGGCATGTTGATTGTAGACATCCACGAGTGTGACGACGGCACCACGATCACCAAGTTCACCCGGGGCGTAATTGATCGCCGTGAGTAACTGCACAGGATTCCGAACCACATTAATACCATGGTTCCGGCGGAGTTCACAAATAATCTGGCCAAGAAGCCATTCCTGATGGAAGTCCGCGCGCAGATAACGCAAAAGTGCATAATGAGCTTCCTTCGACAGGTCCAAGGTGTGGACAAAACGGTTGTATTTATCCAGACTCATCTGAGATCCATTGTGATAGATCTTGCCGCGGAAACGCAACTTAGTGTCCGGGTGTAACACGATGTATTCACTGTCCGGGTCATACGGGCACTGATGTAAGCCAGACGGGGGAATATATCCATGTTCACCACGCGCATACTCATACGGGGATGGCGGAAGACCGCAGTGGACCATTCTACCCGTCCATTCGAACGTTTCTGGCCAGCCAACATGAGGATCGTCATTCGACGGCTGCGGAACATCAGCTATAACTTGCACGGAATCCTCTGAGGAACTAGTGCCTTCCTCCTGCTGATTCGAACGATGGGGCGGCAGCGTAGGACGATGCATAATGAATGCCACAAGGTGGTATACAATTGCAATGAGAGGGTCCCCGAGAAACGGAAGTAAAAACTTATGAGTTTGAAAAACTGATAATACTTTTACAGGCAGAAGGTTTCGGACGTTTGGCCAAACCAGCCCAACTTCACGCGAGATGTGCTTGTGCGAGAGCAACGAACCCAACGTCATCAACTATTAGCCAATGGCGATTCAGAATATGTAGCGAACCGTACGTACCGTACGTACAGCTTAATTCGGGAATGTTCCACGACGTCTGCAGGTAAAATTATTAAATTATGGACAACTTGAAATTCAAAATTCAAAATAATTGTACATAATTACACGGCCGCTCACCCTTTTATTCGATATTGCACAACGGACAAACCCTACTGAAATTTTCTAAGTCACGTTTCATTTCCGGCCAGAAAAATCTGTGCTTTAAATAAAGATAATCGTACGGTGATAGCGCACTGTTATACTTATGCAAGAGCCGGCGATGTACCGACTCAACTAGAATTTTCCTCCACTGATAGGGATTAATATTCTGGGAATTCTTTTAGTAACATCCTCTTTTTCTCCGTAATGACAAATAACACCGTTGATTTTTAGGACTAAAGGAAGATGCCAAGCTGCATAATGCGATTCTTCCAGGGTGTGATCTCCGTCAACTACAGCGTCCCACAACATGGTGTCACTACACTCCAATTGCCGATATTTCCAAAACTCTTACTTGTCCAAAGTATCATCAGTGATCGCGCCCTGAGGCCAGAACTGCTCAAGCGGACGTGCCCAAGCCGGGGCTGGAATGATTTTCTCTTCTGAAGTTACCACAGGTACCGGAGGAATTTTCATTTGCTGTACCGGCGCGATTTCCATAGCATTACAAGTAATCGGTGTATTACTTGCAGATGTTTCAGGCGGTATGGAATTATTCTCCCCAGGCTGGGATACATTCAGAGTAACCGGATCCCGACCATTAGTTGTCATTCTCTTTTTATTATCCACCGATGGATCCCTTTTCCGCTTTTTATCATTATTTTGGTTGATGAATCTCTCCACAGGCTTGACCACACGCCCAGAGCGGGTCTTCAAAAGCGGTACCTCTTCCAATTGTTTATCCAGATATTCCGCATACTCAGCATCAAGGCGCGACGATGCTGAGTCAACAGACGGAATTACCGGTGGCGGCGCGGGTGCTTCGACAATTTCATCGGGGCATTCCTTCTCAACACAATCAAGCAATTTAGGTAGGTGCTCATCTTGCAAAATTGTATCGACGTCGCGGAAATTATAGGGCTTTAAGCGGCTAACGTGGACTGTGTCAAATTTGACATTGCCACGCCGATTACTCTTCACAACATAGTGCACTGGTCCTGACGGGCGAACAATTTCCCATCCTGCAGTCCAACGGGGCATAAGCGACGGATTTTTGCCCACTTTTCGGTGAAGGACGTAAACCAGCACCTGATCTCCGGCTTTATAAATAACATGCGAGACATTCGCGTCATAACGGATTTTGTCTTTTAGTTTATGCCGGAATTCCTCTGCGTTCACCAAATCCAGAGCCTCACCAAGGCCACGCTGCATTTGCTGGAGAAAGACGTGAGCAGGAATCACGAAGTCTTCTTCAAAAGGAAGGAAGTTGTTCACTGGTAATCGCATCTCGGCGCCGTGCATCATGAAGAATGGTGTGCGGCCCGTTCGTTCCACTACTTTGCTGTTAAAGGCAGCACAAAGGGCTGGGAGGAAAATATCCCAGTCACTTTGCTGCTCATTAACATATTTCGCCAAAGCCTTTTTGATTTCTCCTACCCGTTTTTCAACTAAACCGTTGCCCTGCTGGTGTCCTGACGCTGTAGGCGCATGAGCAACACCAGCGAGAGCGAGAAGCTCTCGAAACATTTCTGACATAAAGTTGCTGCCACGATCTGACGTAATGTGTATAGGCATCCCAAAAACCGTTAATATACGCCGATAAAAGAATAATGCCAGAGTGGCAGCATCGTTTCTTTCTACAGCTTCCGCTACGATATATTTACTCCCGTAGTCGACTGCAATAATTATGTTTTTGTTTCCAGATTCCGTCGTTGGAAGAGCCGGGGCGACATCAATTGCCCACACCAACCGAGGCGGAACGGTCGGGTTTGACTGCAAAGCACCAGCCGGAGCCGTAGCAGGGACATTTTGGGCGAGACACGCCGCACAGGATGCACAGTAATTCCTGACCGACTCGAACATCCGTGGCCAATAGAAGTACTTATACATACGTTTATAAGTGGCCAAGACTCCCAAATGCGCTGCTAAAGGTGAGTCGTGATTATCTTGTAAGAACTGAAGACGCCAGTGAACGGGCACGTACATACAATAAAAAATCTTCCGGTTTAACTCAAACTTATAATAAACAACTCCCTGCTTAACAACGAACTTATTCAAGTGTAACTGCTCGTGTTCTGACATCTTTTCCTTTTTGTTTTCTAGGAGCAACCGCCACCGGACGATCCGCGCATCTCGGGACTGTTCTTCAGCCCAATAGGAGGCTTTATCATCTGTAATCAACTTTTGCACTTTGTCTGCGTCAAAGGCTTTCATGTTTTCCTCCGAAATGGCTTTCACTTCGGCCGTCATCATCTCAAAGCGGATATCCGCATAGTCTCTTTCCAGAACCGCAAAACAGCACTCGATCATTGCTGCATCACCGGCAAAAGGGTAAGTCTGCCGATAATCGAATTCAATATCCGAGTCATCAGAGTCAGGTTCCGGTTGTTCTCCTGGGTTTCTGCTCAAAGCGTCAGCAATAACATTCTCTTTACCAGGTATGTGGACTGGTTTAGTGTTAAACTGCTGGATATACAACGCCCATCGCCCAAGACGGCCAGCGGCATCGCGCATATTATTCAAGAAGACCAACGCCTGATGATCGGTTTGGACTTCAAACTGGTAGTCCGACAGGTAGTGTTTCCATTTCTTTAAAGCGCAAATAACTGCATAGGCCTCAAGTTCTGTAGGAAAGTACAACCTTTTCTGTGTTTCCGTTAACTTACGACTTAAATATGCAATAGGCCTCCAATTGGTCGGCACCTCCGTCGGCTCATTCCGAGGGCACTGCATAAGTACTGCGCCGACAGCGATAGTGCTGGCATCCACCACAACACGGGATAAAGCCTCTGGATCATAACGAGCCAGGACCGGCGCTGTCACCAATGCTTCCTTCAATTGTTCAACTGCGCGACACTGTTCAGTTCCCCATTCAAAGGTAACTTTTTTCGGAATAAGCTTTTGAAGCGGTTCTGCAATTTCTTGAAAGCTCTTAATAAACTGACGATAATATCCTACCATGCCCAAGAAGCGCAAAATGTCTTTTTTGTCTTTAATAGGGCCGAATTCCTTAACCGCCTGAATCTTTTCTGGATCTGTACTGATACCGAACTGGTCAACAGTATGTCCCAAAAAGGTAATTGAATTGACAAATAATTCAGTTTTTTCGGGATTGATCGTCCAACCGCACTCCTGGAGCCTCAGAAAAACCTCCTGCAAATCCCGCATGTGGTCCGCTAGATTTTTACTGAAGACAATAATGTCGTCTATGAAAACAAGAACGTTCCTCCATTTCATATTCGCAAGCGTCAAGTCCATTGCACGCTGGAAGGCAGAAGGCGCGTCCTTTAGACCAAACGGTAGGACTTTATATTGAAACGTAAACTCTTCACCGACCATCGTTGTTTTACAACGGTCTTCCGGCTTAATCTTTATTTGCCAGAAGCCACTTTTCAAATCGATCTTACTAAATACAGTAGCTTTATCGAGAGCATTAAGAATGTCATCCACTCTGGGCAAGGGATAGCTACTGCCCATTAATCGTTCATTTAGTTTACGAAAATCGACAGTTAGTCGCCGGGATTTATCCTTCTTTTTACTATACAAATAGGACTTCCCCATGCCGAATTAGTCGGCTCAATGATACCATCCTTAATCATTTCTTGTGTTTTAGCCTGGAGCCATTTCCTGTCTTCAAACGATGTGCGATACGGAGGGGTTCGGACCGGTAAACTCGTTCCTGTGTCTACCGAGTGCTCATAAATGGTACAACATCCGACTGGGCGAGCTTTAGTTGGTAACACTGATTTCGCTTGATAAAAGATCTGTTTTAATTCTTCCTTGCTTGGGCAGATCTCGCCGACCTTAATTTTAGCAAAGGTTTCTTCCGTCTCAGGATCGACGGCGCTGGGAGTAGGAGGCTGCAACTGCATCGCGGCACATTCATTAATTTTCTCCGGGGCTGGGACGCCTTTCCCATCACGAGGAATGCCGCAGGGCTCATCATGATAATTCTCTTGGAACTCCGGAGAGTCCATCTGGTACACTGCGTCGACAAGTGCGACTTCCCCAAGGTTAGTCTGTTCATTCAAGACTAACGGTTTATCCGATACATTCACAACACAAACCCTGCAATTACCGAATTCATTCAACGTTAACACGCCGTCCAACAGCACTGCGTTTTTGTTTGTTTCAGGAATCTTGCCTTCATACAAGAATGGTTGGGTGTATAGATACTCATCCTGGAATTCCATAAACTGTTCATCCGACATGGCCGTAGTTGCGCGGATAATTCCCTGCGAATGGGGCTGAATTATAACAGGAGAAGCCGGAAAGAGCTCCATTTTAAAACAATCAATTGGGCCGGGTTCAGGCTCAAAACGGTAAATATCCTGTTCTGCTAAATTTACTTCCGTCTGTGCTTGAGCTTGTTTCAGGTGGGCGTCCCTATACGCCAATTCGATGACATCCTTGGAATACACGCATGCCGGAATATCTGTGGATTCTCGGACGTCCTGTGACCGTTTCGGTAAGTCTTTAGCCGTCGGTTGTTGTAAGACCGATGCCGGCTGCATTGTCTCGGCGGACATCTGGCTTGCCGCATCTCTTTCCGCGTATTCGCGTCTAATTCGGCGACTGTAACTGGATTTTTTACGCCTAGGTGAACTCCTTGCCGAACCTTCCGATAACTGTTCAAAACTTCCCACGGTAGGTTGCAGTGAATTAACACTTGTCGATTCTCTTTCCGCTTTCCGTTTTTGTATCTCGTTCCAGATTGCCCACTGTTCGTTTATATTTACATCGATGGGGGTATCATATGTTGCCCTGACAGCCGGAGGAAGCAAGTCTGACATTTGGTCACTAATCAACTTATGCTCCTGCGGTGAGTTGCCAATCAATTGAGAGTTAACTTCCCTTTGCTTCTCTGCCTGCTTATCTTCATAGGAAACCGGGCAAGGGCCAATATTGATAGGCTTCATGCCGTCCGCAGGAATGAAGTTACCATCCTCGAAATCACCAGCAGGTGCCGGATTATCCACAGAAAAGGTAACTTTACGTGTTCCTGTTGCTTTCTGGGCATGCAATTGTTCCTTCCGTTTTGTTAATTCAAAATGTCGCCGATCGTTTACCGAATTACGACATATGTCGCAGTTCTTTTCGTATCGCTCGATTTCAATAATACAATCTGGCCAGTAAAAGACCTTAATTAGGTACGGATATAATTTTTCGCACCGGCCATATACCTGCTTATGCACTAAAATATCGTGAAAGCACGCTATCAGCTTTTGCCGCCATTGGTGTGGCACATATATCCTTGGACATGCGCCAGAGTGATCGGGCACTCTACATAGAATTCCTTCGCAAATTATCATCCGATTTATTTCGTACTTAGTGTAATTGGTGTTAGCATGCGACGGTTTCTTATACAACTTGTACCACATCCGACTGTCCACACACATCTGTTGAGTTTCACGCCAGAACTGTGGATCCCTAAACCTTCTTTCTGTAGGAAACAAGCCCTTATCCTGCGGCCGGTCCATCGGTGACATCCATCTTTTTAGCTCTGGATTCCGTGCCATGAAGGACGGGTAGTCGTGGATTTCGTCAACGTCTCTGCGGTCGCGTTCGACAGGTATGACATTTAATAACTTATTGTCGATACTGAGACATTCCACTGATTTAGAGGATTTTTCTAGGACGCCCATATACAAATAATTTGCTGCAGGATGCTGTTGTAAGACTGCATCCAATGATGAAATCTGAATCGGAAGTTGTAAGGGATCGTCACCCCCACGAACTTGACGTGAGCCAGAGTTGGGCACAGGACTAACCGACACCGAAGACGAGGTACTCGAACTGCATGCCGGCGACGGCTGACAGGTTTTTTCTTGTTTAATTGGCGACTGAACAGGCGCTTGTTTTCTCCCCCACGAACTTGACTGCATGTTATGTACAATTATTCCGCCGCCTCCCCCACGAACTTGACTTGGTTCTGGGATTCTTTCCGTCTTAATTTCTTTTTTAATTACAGGTTTGACCGGTTCGTCAGCGAAGGAAGCCGCTTTCGGGAGATATTGACGAATCATCTCCTGAACTACACTACGGACAAACTCCTCATCACGTTGATCGGATCCTTTCTTCGACGGTGCCGCTTGTACGGGCACAACTTCCTCAGTTTCCGGTTTGATAGGAGCGTCCGCAACTTTTATCGCCGGTGGCGATTGAACTGGACGAGGCCATGACTGTTTGGCTTTCTGTAAGTGTAGGATGCAGATCTCCGGATCAGCTTTTGCCAGAATTAAATGTGCGGATTCGTATGGCACAAATTTTGCCTCTTTAGCGACGCCAATTCGCTCAGTCAGCATCAGTGCTGGGATCAGAGGAGACGGCTTAACTCCCGGGGGAATTAAAGGATCAAAATCATGCGACCGGATGACATCCGACATGAGGTGAGTTTCACGACGTAAAAACACTGGCGCACCAGGCGGTCTGCGCGAGAGACGCCACGTCATCGTATTCATATCAAGGACAAATGGTTTTGTGGCTAAAAAGTCTAAACCTAAAACAACATGATCCCTGTCAAAGGTGGAGCTTACAAGAATTGCGTGCTCAAAGGCCATGCCAAACTCATGGATTGTGACAACAACCGAAAGCGGCTCGATTAACTGCCTGCCCTGGTAAGCTGTATGTACCACTCTACCTTTAATGTGATCAGGACAGCGGTGAATATTCAATTTTAAATCATTAGCCATTTTTAACGACATAACGGAAATGCTAGAACCCGTATCCAGCATTGTTTTCACCTTTTGGTAGTTGATATCGATCACCGAGTACCAAGCCTGCGCATCAAGCGTGGGCAACAGACAGACATGATCCGCCAGTGGATACTGCGAAAAATCCTGTACTTCCATTTTATTACACTGAGGCGTCGGAGAAGACAAACCTGCTGGTAAGTCTAATTCCATCATATTAATTTGCTGCTGCGGGTTGTTGTATTTTGCCAACAACTCTGCGGACGGTTCATACTGACGAGGAAGTACAAACTGATTTGTACAACCTGCTGCCGGATGTAAGCCATGGCAGCGGAAGCAAATTTCAATCCCACGATTTGTTCGCCATTTTTCTTTCTGGATATTCCGCTCGTCAAACGGGGGCTGGCTACTAGCCTGCTGATTTGGACGATAGTTCTGATTCTGATTTTGTTGACGATTATTATTGTTATTATAACCCCCGCGCTGATTATTGTTTCCACGATAATTATTATTTGGGCGGTAATTCCCGCGATTATAACCGCCGTTATTATTATTATTTACAGGACCATCCTGCTGATACTGTGGATCGAAATTCTGGACCGGCTGCTGAAACTGGGGTTGCATTACCGGCATCATCGGATTCATCATCTGCACAGGAACAGGCATAGCAGCTTGCATCGGAATGGGCTGCTGAAATGTCTGCGCAAATTGTACCGGATGCTGCTCGACGAATTGTGGATGCTGATATACCGGGACCGGAACAAACTGCGGCTGGGGGTACACTCAGGACAGGCTGCACTGGAGCCGCGGGATTTTGTTGCTGGGGAATTACCGTCTCAATATATGAACGGGAATATCCACCACGGTTATTCCCATAGTTTCCACGACCTCCGCGAGTTGGGTAATAATTTCCTCTTTGGGACGAGCCACCGCGGCCGCCTCGATTTTCGTAATTCGAGTTATTATTATTATTACTACCCGCACTTCTTGGCTCTGTAAGTGCACTTTTCTGCGTTGATTCCGGAGTTTTCTTATCTTTATTCATTCGTTTCCACAATTTCTCACAATCCTGCAGTTTCTTTTCAAATTCAGAGTAATTCTTCGGTGATGCGTTGTAGATCTCGCGGAACCATGCCGGTCTATTTTCCTGAACTCCTTCAAGAAGTGCTTCAACTTGTTCCTCATCGGACACCTTGAGCTCTTCAAACCACGGAAGGAAACTATCCAGGTAGGCACGAACTGGTTCGAAAAAGTCCAGTTTGCGATTGTTCATTTTTCTGCGAATGTCGGCTTTAGAAAGGGAGCCGTTAAAGTGCTCAATAATTGCCGGTTTAAAGAAATCAGCCCACGATTTACCTTTATTATCTTTCCAGAATTTTTCAAACCATTGAAAGGATGCTCCCGTAAATGCGCCAGTAACTCTGCGACACGTGACCTCATCGTTCCAATTATTTGTGGTTCGACACTGCTCCACATTCATGAGCCACTTCTGAATCTTTTCGGGATGTGAATCATCGAAGGTAAGCAGTTTCATACTGCCTTCCGCTTTATCATTTCCTTTTTCAGCCAGCTTCGTGATTAATTCGACAACACATTCTTGAGTAAGTGCTGCTCTGTCCGATATTTGCGTTTGTTTGATTAACCATTCTTCCAATTGTGCGCTTCTGGAAGTGGATTCATTACTGGCTGTGCTACTAGGACGGCGGTGTTCGTCATCGGCTAGTATATCATCCATCAGATCATTTTCGATATCAGAACCGTCCCTATTTTCAGGTCTGCGCATCTGGCGATTTACGTCATCAGATGCTCTTTTAAATATCTCTTGCCGCAAATCTGCTGACCGGTTTTTCCTCTGTGTAATCGACGCGACTTCTTTTGGAATCTGACTTTCAGAAGACGAACGGGGCATAGCGTGTGCTTCCGAAAATCCCACCCGTGATTCCTGTCTGGGCTTCCGAAGGATACTAGCCGGATTGGTTACAACAGCTGGAGGCTGTTCATTAGACGCCGAAAAGTTCTGGGGATCAAACAAGGAAAGGGGAGTGGACCGCAACACATCACCTGTCGCTACCGGCGCCTCCCTTTCAAAATGTCTTTGACCTCCTCCAAGAGCAAGACCAGAATTTCTGAACTGGAGAAGTTCGTTGCACGCTTGCTTAAATTCATCCTCCAATTTGGTGAGTTGATCTTGTTTTTCGTACCATTCATCACGAAGCTGTTTGTTTTCTTCATATAAACGGTTACAATTTTGATCTTTCTCGAAGGCGGCAGCTTGTGCTTCCTTCTTCGCTTTAATCGCCGATTCACAATTAGCGCATTTTTTATCATTCTTAATGTCGCTCAGTTCCTTCTGGACTTTGCGATTATTTTCCTTTTCGGCGTCCAATAATCCTTCGAGCCGTTCAATTTCCTTTTGGGACTGCTCATCCTTTTCCTTGGGAATATGCATTGGGCCAACCGTAGACAATTTGTTAAGCTGTACATTTGCTTTAGTTAGGTCCCGCTGCAGGGTATCCTCTCTATCTTTAGCGCGCTTCTTTTCATCATTTAAATCCTTAGCAAGCTTTTGAGAGAGGTTTTGCGCATCCGCTAGGTTTTTATTGGCCAGCTTGTGCGCATCTTTTTCAGCATTTAAATCCCTCTGTGCTTTCGATAATCTCTGATCTAAATCCGCGACTTGCTTCGCCGTATCAGGGAGCGTTGGTGCTTTAAAACCGTCAATGGTGGCTTTTGCTGTCGACAGCTCCCTCTGAGCTTCCTCTAATTGTTTTTCCAAGTGCCGATTTGCATCCTTTAATCCATCATGGTCATTTTTCATATTATCAAATGCGTTTTGTGCATTTTTATTTGCATCTCTTAACCGCGAAAGATTATCGGTCGCGATTCGCAATTCATTTGTCAAGCGGTCATTTTCGGTTTGTTCCCGTTCAAATTTAATACGCATTTCGTTAAAATCATTCTGGAATTTTAATTTCAGATTACGCTCTTCGTCGACTCGGGTATCCAGTGACATGGAGTTTCCCATTTCATCCACTTTTGATTTCGTGGTGGCTATCCATGTCCGCAGACCCTGGAGTAGCACGGGCATCGTCTTCCGGGCGACTAATCCCACATCTTGGTCAGTTTGCGTTAGCGCCAATAGCTCGTCGACTTCCTTTGCCTTGGTGAGGAATTCTTCATCTGGTTGCTCAAAGTCTTTCTCCGAAACAAAAGCATGTAATTTCAATTGAGACGGGTGAAAAGACATTGCGCCACCCATAATGCTTTTCTTTCTTGCAGAAGCTTCCGGAGCTATGTCCGTGTTTTCACCGAACGCCATGTGAATGGGCGTATCATCCTCTGATCGGCTATCCTCATCCATATCAAAATCTGGAAGAGGTTGTTCCTTGTTAAAGAGGCTTTCCTCTGACAGTGACTCTACGAGCTTAAGCGGTTCTGTATTTGGTTCACTACGAGTAATTTGTTCTGTATTCTCGGTAGTTTTCGATTTTGCCGCCACCGCTCGCTTGGGTCGATCGTCAGAAACGGACTCCTTTGGTTTTATTCCAACTTTTGCAGCTGCTTCAAGCGCAATAATGGCCGCTTTTCTACGATCTTCCATATTTTTCTTATATTCAGGTAACCACTTGTAAGCTTTTTTAACTGCTTCATTAAACTGTTCATCAGTGACATCCAGATAAGCTTCTGGAATACACCGTTCAGTCTCATACCACCCATTGTAGTAAAAGGGTGCCCTTTTGTTTGGGTCCACCGATTTCCCCAACTCCTGGAAATCTACCCACGGCTTACCACAATAAGCTCTGGAACCTTTGGGTGGTTCCAGATTGAGTGCGAAATACATCAAACCTAACGGTATTTCATCGGGTTTGAATTTAAACCTAGTTTGCGTCGCCGCGCCTTCATATGGACCTTGTATAACCTTATCTTCTGGAACCTGGCTTAGCGCCTTGTTCTTATTTTCTGGATTGGACATTCTTATGGTAAGTACAGTAACTATTGTGCTACAGCTTACCGTAACCTTCAGGAATTACAACTGCGCAATTCGATTTCGCTAGACAGTTCTCCTTTGAGGTTTGAACCGTTTCGCGAAAGATTTTGCTCACAGCCAACCTTTGCGGTTTGACTGTAAAAATAACTGTTAAAATTACTCGGCTGCACTTTGCGTGCTGTCGTAATTTTACACTTTCGGGTCAATCTTACGATACAAACAGTAACTATTGTGTTACTATTTCTCGTAAAACTCAAGAATTGCAATTGTGCAATTTTAATTTCACTCACAGTCCTCCTTTGAGGTTTGAACTGCTCAGTGAAAAATTTAACCACAGCCGACCTTTGCGGTTCGGCTGCAAAACTAACTCTTAAAATTACTATGCTGCACTTTGCGTGCTGCCGTAATTTTAACTTACAGGTCAATCACCGTTTGCCGGTGTTTACCTTTTCCACGAACAACTATCTCTAGCTGCTGATTTTGGCTACCGCTTGCGGCTTGCCTTTATCGAGCTGCTGGAGATCGTTATCTTACCTGGCCACTGACAGTGGCTCAGAGCTTACTATCTGATTTATCTGCCGGCCAGGTACACTGACACAACAGTTCACAGTTTATTCGCCGCGGTTACTGCTTTGCGCAGACAACCCGGAAATTACCCACAAAACACCACTCAATTCACACAGTCGACCTTTAAGGTTTCGACTGTTTCCCTACGGTCCGATTAAATTAAATTTAAATTTAATTGGCGAGGAAGCTCACCAGTGAGGAAGCTCACGATTGCGAGGAAGCTCGCCAAAATAAATTAACTAGGCCAGATCAGGAACGCTGACCTCCTTCGGCGCACCTTTGCGGTTCGACGCCTTTCCTATACGGACCACTTTTACTGTAAATTACCACCAAACTTTCCACCAATAATTTTCTGTTACATCGGGAAAATTAAAAGACACCGGTGGGCGCCATGTCGTGTATAAGCGTTCACACCGATTAGGGTTCCATGAACAATCTTTACTCTTCCACGCCTGTAATGCTCAGTCGGTAGGCACTCGTACTCTCAAACTGTAACAGATAAACTATGGTGGAAACGACGGACGAGTCAGGAACACGAATCGGGAATCCCTAACGAAGAATCCAACTACAATCTCCGGTCGCGGTTTCTACGAGGATCAATAGGAGCTAGGACGATTGTGTCACGAGCAAACCTGTGTACTAAGCGATAATCCGGGAACGACTATGCACTTCCGTAGGAACAAGTATTGCTGCCTCCCTTATTAATACACTTCATAGTCCACAACACAAGGAAATCGTAATTAGAAAGCAGTCTCAGAAGTAAATCTCAGACTACTGATCAGTGACTGCTCCCGATATTAGTGACAACTCAAACTTATATAGACTCTGCGTTATGACATCATATACACCGCTAGTAAAGAGAACAGCAAATCACAGATGAGATTGACTAGATTATCCGTTATGTTGCAGGTGGAAGGCGGACAGTCAGCATCCGTACGTACATCCCGGCGTGTGATCCTACTCCCACACGTCATTATCATCGGAATGCTAGGCATCAAGGCCGGTGAGCATTTGCCGGTCGGCACTCCGCCGTCATCCCGAATGGCCCTACTGATTGCGTGTATCGTTATGAGTATCCTGGGTGCGGTAGGCTCAGTTGTGTTAACTGCGCTGTCGGTTGTTACTCTGGGACCATCAGTGCAGTTCGGTCTGCATATCGTCATGTTTCTGGCTAACCTGGGACAGTCGACCGTGGCGGGGATCAATCTATGCAAGTTGACCACGACACTGAAGGTAGCGCAACAGATCATTGTCCGTCCAACAGGCACTTCTCCCGGAGCGCAGGCACCATTCTGCAGTCAAGCCGGACAGCCGGTGTATGTTGTACTGGCGCCATCAGCTGGACCAACAGCGCCTATTTATACACAACAGCAGGAAACCGATGTGGGACCACTTCCCATCAAGCAAAACAACGTGACCCAGAAGGTTTAATGATACTAGTATATATATTGTGGTGGCCGCATTGGCATTAATATTGGTCCATTTTGTGTAGACAAGATGTAAACAACTTAATTAGCAGCTACACGAGTAGCTGTTCATGTTAGACTTTGTATCGTCGTTTGTTTCCTTCTGCTGCTTATTCGACAATAGTCATCAAACAACCATAATTATATTGCTTATGGTTAATTAAAGATTTTCTAGAAATAATGTTCGTTATATTGTCGACGCTTAACTAGGGTATTAATCATGATTTCTAAGCTTTAATAAGAAAGCTATCGTATTTTAAGCTTGAAGTAATTTTGATTAGAAAGAAGCGCTGATCGGTTGTCAACCTGCAGAGAACTGTACGCTCATTAAGAGTGGCCACGCCATTATTTTGCTTAGGATCCGCATTTTTGTCCAGTGATTCACAGAATTAGCGTATGTTGGAATCACGAATGTTTCTGTTTAATCATTTGCTCGAAGATATGATAGTTTAGCCGCTTCGTAAAGTTTGAACCAGTCGGCGAAAGTGCACCACCACCGATTGGGACGGTTGACGCTTCCTGCCACATTTATGTACTCGTATGATGCATACACTTACCGGCGCACTAAACGCATATTTGATCTACAAATGAATCATAAGATGAAATTTGGTTTATTGTCCGAACTTTATACTTTACAGGAATTTCAGTAACAATAAAATATAACCGACAGTAGACTGTACTTCACTGCCATAATAATAATGGATTTGGTTTCGCAAAGAACTTTCTATTACTTTCGAATTATTTTCGATTAGGCTAGGGTATTTACATTTACCCAAAAGTACTACCGATCGCAGGTTTATAACATACTAAAGCAAAAGTTTTTCTTTAAAAAACCGTAAAAGACTTAGACGAACAGAGAATTTCTATCTCGACGCGTCGCTCGAAATTTACTGCCCACGAATAATTACATGGTTACTCGTGTTCTTCTGGAGCGGCAACCGCATCTGCAGATTTTAAAATCATGATGGAAGCAGCTCAGTCTGCGCTAATGCTGTTATTATTCGTGGTACGCACACCTACAAACTTCGCTCAGCAGGATGCAACGATGGACAATCGTGCAGCCGGGAAATCTGTAGTGGACGCCGTCATTAAACGCCTTGATCGCGCCAATATTTTCAAGACGACAGAAACATTCTGCGCCGAATTGCTTGTGCGGAAACGCAGTACGGGCAAAACGCTATAACTTTTACCGAAAGCAACTGGGGCGGCATCTGGCAGGTGCAAAACGTGGTTAATCACGTTTACATTTACAAATTATATAAAAACCTGTTCATAGCTATTTCGTCATATTTGAAATGAAAAGGATAATGCGCTTTATGAAATAGTTAGGTTTAAAATATTGGTACCATATTTTTTGCGCTATAGGTCACTGCCGCAGACTTCGAGAGAACCCAAAATACGGAACGATATCCCCACCTTATGCAATTACACGACAACATAAAAAATCTATGGAATGTACAGTGGAAAAGTCTCGACCGCCGTGAGCTGCTGAAACCTTTCTACTCAGGATTAGCCGCTCGTCTAACGGAAACTGCTGAGCACAAGCCGATCCCGGTACTGATATCCGCTCAAGCCGATTATTGGCAGACATACTACAATCCACTGGGTTCACGGCCCGCGTTCCAGACGGCCGCCACATCGGACGCATGCGAATCGCAGTGTCCAGGACGTCTGGATATCTGCATTATGATGGACTCATCCGGGAGTATTGGCTTCCTGAATTTCTTCCTGGCTCGGGTGTTTCTTAAGGATCTGCTTGGTTCATTTGAAGGAGGATCGGTACGCAAAACAAGACTTCATCAGCACCAACGTTTGAAACTGCAAAATTTTGGTTCACATTTTTATCTGACAATCATGACCAAAACCTAATTTTTCGGATATTCTTTACTAGAACATATTGCAAATCGGTTCAATTTTTAGGCGCGGGCAGCGTTGGTGGTCTTTTCCAGTACAGTCCACTTGACCTTTCCACTGGACACGAACATGACGTGGAGCGAGAAACGGCTAGCGGCGCTCGACACAAAACTCACACCGCACTTACGGGATAACACACACACGGCCGCTGCTATTAAATATTGTATCGACATGTTCAACAGCATGCCCTCCATTCCTGGCGTACCCAAAATTAACCTGGTTATTACCGACGGGCAGTCCAATGATCCCGGTCCCGAAACTGTGGCAGATACAGCACCCTTGGCGGCCGCTGCCGGTATATCATCCTTCGCTGTCGGTGTGGGTGCGGAAGTGGTACTGTCGGAACTGTTACAGATAACCGGCAATCACCGCGATCGTTTACACTATCTGGACAGTTTCCAGGACCTTGCCGAATTTTTTCGCCAGCTGAATCAAGAAACGTGCGAAATACCACAGACTCCTCGGATAAATGATAAGATTAGCGATTCTCTTATTCGAGCAGAAAGGCGATATTTTCGGTACAGATTTTATATAGTTGAGCTAATCGCTCATTTACAGACAGATTCAGAAATACATTTTTTTCTGTAGGTATTCGGTGAGCGAAGAAGGTCTCCACATAAGAATTTCAACCACTGCCGGTAAAACAGCTGCCTATTATTCCTATGCGGAGAAGACGCCTTCGGATGCGGTGAATGATGGAAAAATCGACGAGATCACTGTGATTCCTTATCATAGGGCTAGCACTACATCAGCATCCAGATTCGATTCTGCAGGAAGCAGCAGCGATTTAGTAGAAGTTTACATCACCGTTGTTGGAATGTCAGAAAATAACAACTACACCATACAAGGCACTACGCATATGACAAACGCGGTTTCGGTGCCAAATCATTTGTATAAAATCGTCCTGTTTATTTATGGTTGCCTACTGTATGTGGGAAGTGTTTTAAATGCTGTCGTTTAAATAAAGTTTAATTAAAGTTTTAAATTAAAAATGCTGTCGTTAGCCAGTTAGCCAACATTTACTGCGTAACAGGTTATCCTAACCTGTCCTATGACATTCTTTGCCACCTTTCGTCACCCTGGTAGTAAATGTCTAGTATCTAAATAGTTCTATATCTAAATTCGATAAAAACGATTCTAGTATTTTAAGTGCATTAATTAGTAGCAGAAATACTTTCGTTTAATTTGTACATGAGAAGGTGTCACGCTTGCCCGCTTATTCAAAAGTACACCTTTCGTACTTTTGAATAAGTGCATGCACGCTGCTCTTACAACGCTTGTTTTGACGGCAAAAATTGTGGTAAAATCGGGCGAAATTTTCATGTCAGGCCCTCAATGGCGCATTTACATAAGAAAGCCATTAACAAAAGCGCTGAGGTATACAATAATAATTTAGCGTTCAAGGTGTTTTTAAGCACAGCCGGCAATTGTCTTTAACACCGGTACCGAGCAACAATTATAATTCAGCTTACGCAGACATCAAAGAGCCTTTTTCCGGGCGTTGAGTGGATTACCGTTTGACACTACCGTTGATCATGAGCATCACACCAATTGTTGCCTCATTTTCTTTCACCACCAACTGGTAAACAGGGAAAAGACTATATTCCAATAACCTACTTTTATATTTATATTATAATTCTTTATTTACATGCTCCGTGGTAATCTGCTGGACGATTACCTTTGTCAAAAGGATTCTGTTTTTAATTTTTACTGTCATGAAAAATTTGCAGTGTTCTGCTGTTTTACTGTTGTGCATATTAATTTATAACAAATGTGTGGGACTGCGGAATTTTACCACGAGACCAGTCGCTTCGCTTGTAATCCGACCCAATGCGCATCAACCTAATCATCGCATATTAATGCCGCACATTGGCTCAAATCACGATGGATTAATTCAGGGGAAAGCCATTAATACCGAACCCTTTTATCTGGAATGGCCAGAACCGAGAAGAATTTATTTCGATTTGGACAGTTCTTACAGTAACTGTGTTTTAATAAATTACAGTTCGGCGTCAAATAACAAGTGTATTAAGTTTAAAAAATACAGATAAGCAGTACTGTATTTCTATAAGAAGCCGTTTCGCACATCATATGTTTCTTGCCGTTGATCAACACTTCACGGACGTGATGTGCGTTTTGTAGCTCAGAATGAACGAGTAAATATAATCCAAGCCATGGGACAAATTAGTGCGGATACGAAAGGATGTGTTCGTTTTGTACCGTATAATCCGTCAAATCAGACAGACTTCATCAGTATTACACCGCTGGAAGATGCCGGGTAAAAGACTGTCAAATTAACAATTACGTACTATTATGCACACCGACTCAAAACCAATATTATAAATTACTGCAACGCCTATTGCTGTCAGCCTCAAGTGCCGGCAACGCTAGTGTCATTTAATTTACATTTACAATAGCAAGTGGTTGTAGGTCAATGCGTTACGGGTGTTGGTCCTTTCCTGGTCGGGTGTTCAATCAAAACGGCCGCGGACAGCTGCTAGGGCTAACAAGAGGCCCAGCGGGCTGCATTAATAATCAACGGGAACTGATGAAAACCCTCGTCCACGTACTGGGCTTTCGAATGGTGCCCAATCGGCCGGATCGAGATGCATATATTACCATCAACTATGAAAATATGGCCAGAGGTACTTTGGAAGGGTAGTTAGTATTCACTTTATTAAATATTACGGGATAAATAATTCATAAGTCATGGTTCGTTTTTTTCGGCTTGCCGGTTGATAATAATCACACTCTATCCACAAAGTGCTTTATAGGTATAACGTATCTACCTTAATTTCATACGTACCGGTTAATTTTTGCAGAATGGCGATCAATCGATCCTTATAGAAAATATTCCGAATCCCAAGTTATTTATCGCAGTTTGCCGTTCGATTTTAACTCCATTACGTTCCACGTTCCTACGAAGTTTTCACGGGATGGCACCTCACCGGTTTACACAATAAACGACAACTCCAAAACTGCTGGGGCACAACCGCGGTTGAGTTTCTGGGACTGCGTGGGAATATCGGCTATCTATAAATGCAACCCCAACTTCTGTCCAGATGGTAAGCGAAAAGCAACATTTGACTAAAAATTCTGTAAATGTACGAGTCAGTGTTACAATACAATAATGATCATTGCGGGAATTTCAGCCTACGGCGATATGGACCCCAATCAGCTGCCCACCAACCGGCCACCGATAACCGGAGGCGGTACAACCCAACCCACACCGCCAACGCGCCCCACCCGACCCACAGTACCCGACATCCCGACACCGCCCACGCAACCGACCATCCCGACGTTCCCCACACCACCCCAACCGGATACCACCCGTCCCACAAGGCCGACCCCGCCCGACAGCGGAACCACGCCCACTTCCCCGGACTTCCCCGATCCCGAGGAGTTTACGCTACCCACCACGACCGAGGAGCCGGAGACCACCACCGAAGATCCCAATGCAATCACGACGCCTTTTACCTTCGTTACGTTTACGAGGCCGTCGCGGACGCGCCCGCCACCACGCCCCATTACAACCGCCAGCACAACGAACGTCAATCCGCCTATTAATCCACCGTTCCCGAATAATCTTAACATCCCTACCATCAGTAAGTAAATGCTGCATGTGCAGAGTGAAGAAATAAAAACCTAGTTCATGGTTGCCCCATTGTAGTGGAGGTTTTTGCAGACTTGCAATCACTTACGAATTGCACATTTCGTACGTTTACGACATTAAAATACTTAATTAAATCACTTGCGCCTACGTACGGACACAGTGGTACGTACTACATAATACGAGTACGCACTCGTATAATCAGGTATTTATGATTTGTTAGATCCGACAACCAATTCGGTGCTAACAGCGATCTGCCGACCAACATTCCGGGTGGATGCTGCAGTGTTTTCCGAGAACGGGAAAATCTATCTGTTTTCCGGAGATCGCTTCTGGACCATGGATATACGCGGTGATGTTATTGATGCAGGAATTAACATTTTAGACAGCTTTGACGGCCGTGTACAGCCTCCCATACAAGCCGCATGGTCAGATGGAAAACAGACCACACTTGTCGACGCGGTAACGTGATTAGTAGACATTATTTTACAGCATGAAACCTATCGTTAAGCGGAACAACTGCTGTGCATTAATTTTATTAGTGACGTAGATCGGAATATTTGTTTTACGATTGCATACAACTTACAAGTAGTCTTTTATCGCAGAGTCGGAAGGAAATTATTGTCCGAAACGAAAGATTCATCAGCATAAACCCCAGCCTTTTCCCAAAAATCCAGTCGTTAACGGAAGCTTTCTTATATAACTTTACAACTGGCCCTGCTGTTTATTACATTACAAGTACGCAATCATCTGTAAAACGTACATCTATTGATTGTTGTACTCGTAAACATCGTACGTAAGTGCAGTTTGTGTTCGTTTTGTCATATTTAGATGACGGTACAGAGATTCAGATTGGTGCCGACGGACCGTCCAAGAAATTTGCCGAAGTCGCCATGATTGGGCTAGGCCCAAAGATCGACGCTGCATTCACGGTGCCCATGCTGGCTTCACAGATGATCGGTCTGTTTTCCGGCAACGATTTTGCTTATGTGGTGCCGTGCACAATGAATATCGCCCAGGACCCCTCACCGTGCTTCCAGTCCTTACCGGTCGGCACGTGGCCGGTGCCCTTTAGTAATATGGTCTCTTTTCCACAAGGAAACTGCAGGAGAAGGATACGTCTACGATTCCCGCACTTCCGACAGTTGTAGTTGTAGCTCTTTTTATATACATTTTGTTGTTTGGGGGTTTATACGGTGATTATTTTGTACGAAATCGTTTTGGAAGGAAGTAATCGGTAAATTTATAACTGCAGTCGACAAAGGATTTGAAGGCAAATCTTTGAACCAAAACGTCGCGGAATGTGCCGAGAAGTACAAGCGTATGTACAGCAATAAGCGGCTACTTTGCTAATGCCTTCAGGTATAGTTTGAATTATGAGAAAAAATCTCTTCCTTTAGTCGCGCGAAATCATCCTGGTTTAGCCCTCGCTGTTCTAACTCCATCATAACCATAGCGAAGGTGACAATGGCACCAGCCAACTATCGAGTAAACAAAAACAAGAGCGTAGCAAAAGTCATGAGTGCAATAGCACAATCGTATCTGTACTTAATGTGTTATATATTCAAATGTTGCATTTATCAAGTAGATCGCTTACCGATCCTGCAAATGCTCGATCAATCGCGAAAAACCGTCCAGCCGTGAATCCGACTGTGTTCATGTGGAACTCATTGATGTAGTACCGCAAAATGTTCTGCTCGTTTTGATCATCAGTTTCACGCAGAAGTCGATGCAAAATTGGCAAAATCCCGTTTGCCTGTACAAACAAACGTTTCAATTAATTTAATATTTGTGGTGAATGTGAAGCAGTAATGTCATTACCTGCATGTCAACGGCGATACAGCCAATGGTAATAGCAATCAGACCAGCAAAAGCTAGGCCAACATTTACCGCTGCGCCCGGGATTTGGTTATTCCCGCTGAGAATTGGTATACCAGCCATGATGCAGAACAGGTAATATAGATATAGAAGAAGGTTAGGAAAGTTCAGCACGGAATCCAGCTGGGCAACGTCTTCAGCAAATGCCGCGTAGTCGATGAGAAACCTCTCCACCACATGAAAACTCTCTTTTTGTTGGGCATTTTTCTCCAGAGCGCATTTGAATTCGTATACATAAATTGCAGCGATACAAATAAGCAGATTAATTATCATTTGGAAGCTTGCCAAATAAGCGGCATAGTAACCGTAATGCATGAGCAGAAAAGCTTTTATGCAAAGGAACGAAGCAGGATACCGATATTGCACATCCTTGATTATCCAAAGAAGTCCTGTACTTTCGGTTTCGTTCCCAGATAGAAACAGTGTGTTAAGTTGTGGGTACACGTAAGAAAACCACAAACCCAGTGCAATAGTATAAAAAATGACGGTAATACTATAAAGCCATCTTTCGCTACGCTTATTAGAGTAGGCGGCGTCGTAAAGGTCAAATTTTTTTACCACCCTCAAAGTGCCATTGTGTGAGAAAATGGCGTAGGCACAAGCCATCCACAAGAAACACTTTTGAAAGGCCGTTAGGTATCCGCTGACGATCGTTTGGACCGATTTATTTTCTGAAGGTCTTGAGGAATACATGTAAGAGTTTAAAATAGTCAGCACCGGTATCAGAGCCATGTAGATAATTACCCACAACCTCCAGATAAGTTTAATGGTACATCTCCACAAAGATTCAGGTACTGATTGTTGCCCTTGTGAAAAAGATCCGCATCCACAAATTCGAAGAACATAATAAACAGGAGTCAGGCATAATCTAACATTGCTCGGCTGGGCACCCATTTCACTGCCGTTCCGGAACCCCATTCATAACTAATAAAAAACGCCGCAGTGCAAGTTGTCTAATAACCTTAACGCGTATATTATATCTGCCTACGATGTACACTGTACCGTAATCTGTGCAGTATGCCAGGATGAACGCAGAATAAAATCTGATATTAATCGTAAAATATACTACAATAAGTATGCAGTTCCCGAACTTGAGTCTGTGAACTTTACTACTGTAATGCGGCAATAAATACGAAGGGATTCAGTCCTTTGTGGCAAACGCTTGTTATTCTCATCAAATACTCGACGCACCGCTTCACTTTTTATATCTATGTTACTTGATATGTGGCAATGTTATAATTAGGTACACAGGCATCTGAACCATACCTTGTTGACTGATGATGATTGATGACCAGCATGATGGTTGTGTAAATCCAGAGTGAAAACAAAGAATCCCTCGCTGACGCAGGGAGAAGTGGAGAAAACGGCGATCCCCTACGGGAAAATTGTGCTGCATGCATGAGGACTCGATTATGACAAAACATTATTATCATGAGATGCATAAAGCGGTTAAATTGCTTCAATAGAACGCCGTATGCTGTCACAGGTCCGGTTGTTTCGGCTTCGAGACTAGACTGCTTTAATTTTAGTAAACCATACAGATGTACTAAATGTAGTACGCATGTGATATACTGGAACAATGTACAAAGTTTAAATAACAGTTTACTCAAACAGTCAAAACAAGGCCACAAACCCTGTCGCTTATAATAATTTCGTAAAGGGATTATAATACGGAAGACTTTGCGATGCGATGCAGAATTTTTGGACGACGCTCCAGTCTTTATGCGTAGAATAGCACTACTGCCACTACATTGCGTTTGACTGAACCGTCTTTCCATTGTCTAACGCAAGGTACTACATAACACGACTTCCTATCGTTTAAAAGTTTTACGGGAGAGGAACATGCGCTACTGTACGCTCAACTATGGCCATTGTTACTCACTGATATATTTGAAGTTGTAACATTCCGTCATCCTACACAATGCACGCTTTGGTAGCGAATTATAGGGCATTGTATACAGGTAAAAGAAAAGCATCAGAATGAAGTTTAATGTAAATCTTGCAATATTTTGCTGGCCAGAGAAAGACATGGACTGTCTCTGTTTTCCACGGTGTTAAGTATATCCCGGGCTTCTTCCATAGTCGCAGACGCTGATTGCGTTTGATCACACTGCTTTTGCAGATCCGCAATATCGATTAACAGCAGGGCAATCGTAGGATCGTTTTTGGAGAAGAATTTGCTATAGCAGTAGAAACGACAGAAATAGCTTTTTCATACTATGAACTCCTGCATTTTATTATTTACCGTTGCGCTTTCAGCGACTCCAAAAGGTATTCCAGTGCCTTCACAGTATTTGGTCTACTGTGTGGCAGTGCTAAATACCAGCGACCAGCTGCCTCAAACGTCAGGCCCCGTAAGAAATTTGTGCTGTGCAAAAGGTCAATTTCGTCGGCCAGCATCATTTCGTAGCATTCCAGATGTCGCCGGTTTTCGGCAAACGAACCCGTTTCTGTTGAAAATAGTTTCTATAACAAAAGCAGCATAAAGTCAATATAAGTCAATATAATATAAATACTCTCTTTTTCGTGACATTTCTGAATCAGCTTTACCTTGTCAGCATCTGCGTCTTCCGAAGATAGGCAAATTTCGGTGTGCATCAAAAGATGGTCTTCGGTTAATGCACGACTTTCCTATAAAACTCATTCAGAAACCGATTTAAACGTGAATCAGCTACGTCATGACTTACTAAAACCATAGATAATGTTGGGCATAATTGGCATTTTGAGCAGGCAACTAAATTCTTCTCAGTAAGTACAACTTCTTGGTCGCTGCGTTTATCTTTGAGTATTTCTCCTTTACTGGAAACGTTGTCGTCATGGTCAGCGTTGGCGAGCCCAGGCAGAGGCACAGTTCCACCGCATCCAGGTGTACCGCATTTGATGGCAAATATTTCTGAGACCTGTCGCGTATTTTACAGCAATCGTTACTTCCTGAAAGTTTCTGTTCCTACGGGACCACGTTCGTTGGCAATAGAAGTATCGCTAACTCACCGTTTCTGGGTCGGCACACATACGGCAGCGGCATGCGAAATAATCTGCATTTTAACGAAATTGTGAAGTGACACATATGTAAAGTATTTGCACAATACCATGAACACCGGTAAAAACGGCTTACATCGATTCTGCAGTTTGTGCTGCCTGATTAACGGAGGAACAAAGCAATCCACATAAGATATCCGTACCTAATTGCCGCGAAATTAGAGACTTGTGAATTCTTTGCCAAAACTAACGTATCCATTTAGTATATACATATCGTTATGTTAAAAGTTAAATTGCCAGTCTTTCTGAATCAGCTTTCTGATGCCGCACTGAAAGAACGAGCCTAAAACTTACATCTGAAAATGATTGAATGTCTTTAAAAGCCTTAACATACAATCCGGTCCCATCGAAAAAGTAATGCGCGTTCCGCGCTGATCCACATGCATGATCGAACACGCTGGCTTCCAAATACAACCCTTCAGCAACCTTGTTAAGGAAGCCATCTAAGATGCTAAAAGCATTGCATTGCAGTTTCCCCATAATGTCCACAAAGAGGTCAAACGGATCACCAAAGGTTACTTCCCGTTTAGGCCTTGTAAGCGACAGGTTCTGGTTGGTGCATGTAAATGCCAATACGTGCTCAAGTGATGGTTCCAGTACATCCGCAACGGTTGTGTACCAGGTTTCCAGCTCGGCCATTCGACTAACGTCTTTGTGGATTTCTTGTTTGTGAGATATCAGATCGAAGAAACTTCTCGGTTGTTTGTTAGGTTTTGGACAGCTGTTAATATTTTCAGATGCGTCGTAGAAATTCCCGTACTATTAAACAAAATAAATTTGGAATCGGTATTGAGACTGCAAGTTGCAACACGCACTACCGAAATAAAAGTCTTGCGCTCAGGAACATAAAGTACCACGCTCCTACCTCTAATTTTCTTAAAATTTTTGCCAGTAACAGAAGATCTGTTTGAATTTCCGTGTTATCAGGTAAGGACGTAACCAGCGTGCAAATATATTCGTGATCTTTGCTACCATATTCCTGCAAAATTGGCCAGACAAACGGATTCTTAAAAATTTTTCTTCAAATTATCAATCAGATTTAAACGCTGTGGTAGCGTTTACCCAGCACTGGGCGGAACAGTATCGAGAAAATCGACACTGCGGACAGGAGAGCACGGATTCTTCGCAGTTGTCATTCGGATGGATCGGCTGCAAACAGTAGCTACAATAATCCACTGTGTATTCTGGGCATACCGCGTAGACGAATGGCTGGTGTCCATTGATGATCGTGTCGCCGGCATGGAATAAGGTCATAGTTGCTAGTTTTCGCAATTAAAATGCTTAATCAACGGGTAATTATAACGGTCTCAGTTTCAAATTACAGCAATTTTTTCTATGCAGCTAAGTTTTATTAATATCCTTGACTCGTTATATAAACACTTCTGTAAAAAATTAATTTTATACATAGCAGCGTTCTACAAAATTTTTTTCCTTTCGACTACGTCTACATGCAATGCTGTAAAGATAAACTTACTGTACAAACTTCCGCACTTGCTTGCCTTGTCTAGACTGTTGTTTCCTGCTGTTTAGTACGACTGTGCCGATATGCTACCCTGCTGATGAGCTGTTTTCGGTTAAACGTTACTCGTTAACCCAACATGCTGCGCCAAAAATGCTTATCCTATTAGACAAATTACTCACTACTGACGGAACATGCGCTTTATTTTTAGTAAACAGTCAAAGATAGTGACGGGCTAAGCGGAAGGGACAGGGTAAAATTGCAGAATCTGCTCAACCACTCACGTGAACGATAGCGTTTTGGGATATCCATTCTGTACTCGTGCAGTTTGTACAGTAGGCATTCGGAATTAACACGATAGCCATGTTCTTGTTGCAACTGTAAGCTAAATTAGGTATTGACTCATGAGCAGCGTTAAACGTACATTGCGAAATTCCATGAGAAAGAGCTGATTTACTTAATTTCGGCACAATGGGAACATCCTTGTCCTTTCTGTTTCAAAGTAACTGCTAAAAACTGGAGATGGTACAGAAAATAAAGGCATTACTATAGTAATATGAGTGCTCAGTGTGCTAGTATAATACACATTTAAGCAGTACACATGAAGTGGGCACTAAACAAATACCAATACGCAAATTCCAGCGGCTAGATGGATCCGCTTATTGATGAGTTTGAACAATTTTCGTGAAATGTTGTCTTTAAGCGCGCAATGTCCTCCGGAGACAAATCCTCCCCTAATTCCACAATGACTAACGCGTACGTCATAAGGGCACCAGCGAGCTAAACATTATGAAAAATAAGGGTAGCAAAACCAGAATCTCTGCAATTACTGTAGCGCAAAGGTGCAATTTCTGACAGCAAAACTCGTACCGACACTACAAAAGCACGGTCCACAAGGAAAAACTTTCCAATCGTAAAACCAACTCGGCTGGTCTGAATCTGTGTGACATAATATGACAGTTTATAGCGCGTTTCCTGGTCTTCGACGAAACGTAAGCACTTGAAGATTGTTGGCACAATGGCTTCCGCCTGTCAAACAATCCGTTCATTAGAACCCGAACCCACACTTGTATGGTTCACAATTTTTTTTATTACACGTGAACGATAAGGTTTTTTTGTTAATGTAACGTTTTCCAAGCGTTACGAGTACAAGTACACAATTACCTGAATGTTGGCAGCCACAAAACCAGCAGTAATAACTGAAAGTCCGTAAATAGCCAACATGACGGTTTGCCCGCTACCCGGTATGGCATTATTGCCGGTTAGAAAGGTCACACCCAACATGAGAGACAAAACATAAAACATAGACAATCAAATTGGGATACGCTAGAAGGGAATCCAGATCCTCGATCTCTTCAATCATTGCCGCGTGCTCGCTGAGAATTACTTCGACTTTTGGAGAACTGTGGTCTTGTGCGACCGCTTTAACTAAGGAGCACTTGATTTCGCGCAAACAAAATACAAAAGCGACACTCGTCATTGAAATCATAACCTGCACAAGGGTAACATGTATGAAATAGATACATGAATGTCCAAAAGCTAACCACCGTATCACGGAGTATATTGTGGGATGCGTGTTTTGTAACAACCAAAGCACTCCAGAAACTTCTGTCCCGTTTCCAGAAATAAATGTCGCCCTGATAAAGGGCCATAAACGATAACCATACACTCCAATGGCGTTTAAGTAGAATATGCTATAAAACAGGCACCACCACTTTCGTGTGTCTGCATTCCACTGGGTTACACTGAACTGGTCAATATGGCGCACTACATGCTCGATGCCAGTGTGCACTCTCATTACCAGAACGCACACCAAAAACAAGCTAACAAACTGTACGTCGGCCAACGCCTCGCTCACCCGGTCCTGAATTTGCATGCTTTGTATTCTGGAAGAATTCGCATTTCTTTTGTACAGCAGAAGAGAAAAGCCCATCGCCATCCAAGTGAAATAGACCACCACCCATATTCTCCAGGCAATTTGAGCAATACGCTTCCAGAATGGCTGCTTCTGAATATTCTGAAGTGGAAATAGGCCGTGTCCGCAGAGCCGGAGGATTAAAAAGCAAGGACGGATGCCATTCAGTATATAGCCGCCGGGTATATTTTTGGAATGAGAATGTATTATTACCATATTGTGACCGTTTTTAAAGGTTTTCGATTCAGGAACTCACAAAGAGCTGACTGTAGTAGTGCAATAACCAAGTGCATTTCGGACCTCAGGTACTTTAATCGGATGCCTTCCATATTCTTTAGGGAGCATCACAGACATCAATTGTTACTACATTTGACTAAAGGCTTTCGTCTCATGTCAGTTGCATGGCTCGTAAGGTTCGACCGCAGAATCGCGTACATACAGAGTTCGGATTAACCGTGTCCCTTGTTGGGCAGCATAAAATAAACAGTAAAATATTTGATTTAAGACAGAGTATTTGTGCGATTAATTTAAAAAATCTTGCTTGTTAGGATGTATCCCGGTCTAATATTGTAGCTTATTTTGGATCTATGCGCGTAATTTTGCTTACACCAGTACGCACATTGATGGTTTGGATTCTACTCTACAATAATTACAGTACGTAGCAAGGTACACTTTACAGAACGGTGTACAAATGAATTAATATCCACCTGATTCCGCAATACGTTTGCAAATGTCACAAGTGTAGAGCATTATCAATGGTTAACGCGTTTCATAGACCAAAATAAATAACCACGAGGGTGCAGTATGGGTCCACGTAAAACCTTACTTTAGCTGGAATTCCCAGAGAACACCTAACTGGCCTCATGCACTCTCAGGGGAAATCCCTGTTCATGTTCCTGGAGCCAGGTCAAAATTACCATGACGTACAGATGCCTGTAATTACATACAATACCAAGTAACAGAGTGGGAATAAAATGCAGTTGTGTGAAACTGCCAATAAGCAGACTACAAATACAATATATCGAAAAAAGTACACGTACTTGGCAGTCTTGGCTGTTTCTGCATTATCCTAGTCCTGGGACGAAGCCCTCTCGATCACATCACCTTTACTGCCGTACTTGGTTAGTATCTGTAGTCTTAAGTGGTTTGCAGTTTTAAACCATTCCGCAGTTGAAAAACTGCGCGAAACGAAATTGAAATGTCGCTCGAAAACGCTCCTGTAAGATTCGTTCGCTACAGAAGACATACACCAATGCCGCTAAAAGTGCAACAGGCTGGATAGGTACAGTTATTTTTAGGTACAGTTATTTTGCTATGTATACAACGAATTAAATTGTGAAGAGCCAAACAAAAGGTGTATCCAAAACGCATAGATACTGAAATATGTACTGTAGCAAGGATTTATTATGTTTAAATAAATAAAAGCAGCTTCGTACGGCAGCGTGTAAATTTATGCCGTGCACAAACGGAGAGAGATATTGCCACACATCGCCGGGATAACGGCTGAGCAGTGTGCCGTGCTGTTTACTGGCGTTCCTTTATCCCCTAATTCCGACATGATCAGAGTATAAGTAACAATGGCTCCGGCTAACTGCAAAAAGTATGATAAACGATTTTTATTACGATTGAATCTGATGCATCACCAATTAGTGCTTACCGATACTACGAACGTTCGATCCATCACAAAGAAGTTTCCAACCGTGAATCCAACTCGGACGGTCTGGAGATTTGTAATGTAAAAGGACAAATCAGAACGTTCATGGCGATTGTCAACTGTACGAAGGAACTTGAATAACAGCGGTATCACAGCTTCGGCCTGCAGACACAAAATAATTCTTCTTTTCATTTAAGTCGTTAGTACTGCCTTTAAAACGATTCACCTTTGCACGACGCTGTTAATGTTTATTAGACTGCGTAACTGGAACGAAGCAACATAATGTGTAAAATTACAAGAACGTCTAACTGTTCTTTTCACTAACTTTCGAACTTAAAAGGTCATATGCCGATTCCTGTCAAGTTTAATATACAAAACTAAGCTAGGTCACCGACGAGAGTGGTGCAACTTGTATTCTGCAATGCTGCGTATCCCGAGATTTCGTAAAACAAATTATATTACCTGACAGTTAACGGCGACGAAGCATGTAGTCATAATGATAGTAAAAGTCACAGCCATAACGAAAACCTCGAATCCAGCCGTTTCGATATTGCTGCCGTTAAATGCTGAGATGCCTTGCATCAAACCCAAGAGATAGAATTCGAACAGGATAAACGCTGGTACCGCCATCAAATTATCGAGCTGTGATACGTGATCACTCAGTGTCATGTGATCATTCAAAATGACCTTCACGGTTTTCAAGTCACCTTTTAAAGAAGCGCATTTCAATGACCACTTTATCGCGTGAAAGCAGAACGATATACCCGTCAACATAACAGCAATCATCAGCTGCGATATCAACAGCGACCAGATGTAGATGAAGTGGTGAATCATAACCAATACCCGTATACACAGAAACACAGAAGGATGACTATATTGCAAGTAACCAAATATCCAAATGAACCCCACAACATCGAAGCCGCTTCCGGTTATGAAGGTTCCTTTCACGGCGGTATAGAAACGCCAAGTAGCGGAGGCAAAACCAATGGTAGACAGCAAAGCAGCGCAGTACAAGAATGATCTTTCGTTTCTCTTGCTGAGATATTTAATGCCAAAAAGGTCAACCTGGCGCAGTGCATGCATAATTTGATTGTGTATGCTGATCATGAAGATGCTCAGTGTAGACATGGACAGGTGACTTAAGATACCGCACAGCTGGTTGACGATGCTTTGAGTGGTCTTGTCACCTAGTAGCGCCGTGGAAATTCGGCGCCATACGCTACAAATCGCGAAAACTATTAGCAGTGCTATATAAACAACGATTCCTGCCCTCCAGAGAGTTTTTGTTATGCGCCTCCAAGCGGGTACGGTTGACGGTAGTAGTTGTACAGGAAAGCAGCCGTGTCCGAAGGTGCGCAAGAAAGCAGAATAAACCGTTAAGCATCTCAATATCCAACTATTCCTTTTGCCTCTCACGCTAATGGACATTGTAACTTGTAACTATAGCCCCTTTAGACGAACGTTTTTAAAAATGATTGTTTTAAAGCGGTCACTACGGATCAGATAAACGCTAAGTGATAAATATAAGTATCGCAATGGTTCGCCGAACCAGCAACCCTTGTGCTACATTGTAACGCCTAGCCGGCTGATATTGTATCCCTACAGAATGCAAACGCTGTCAAATGTCAAAATGCAATTTCGAAAAGCGATGGGTATTCCCTTCTGGTTTCGACATCGGAGTGCAATGTCAGAACAAAGTGAATGATGTTATAGTATTTTTACAAGCTTGTTAAATATAAAAGATAAATGCGCAAAACTGAAAGACACCGTTGACACACATGCAGCTTATGCACGTATGAACACGTATGAACACATGCACGTATGAAGCGGTATGAGGTCACGCCGTCTACGCTTTACCTTATCACTGACCCGTATTTGTACTGGTTTAATTTTTAATACATTTTGACCCTACAAGAAAAATTAAAAAAACCACTACTCTGCAGTTTTAACATGAGTAAACCAACTAATATTATTTAATCAGGTCATTGACAACGCCGAATCCTTCCGATTTCTCGTTCGATTGTCAGCAGATTCCCTTGTCGCATTACCAAGTGACACACCTAGACGTATTCACTATGCAGGTGCATTTTTCGCACATTCCAATTCCAGGCTGCTTGTATTCCGGATGATCTGTACCATTCATTTCCAAAATTATGATCGCGTAAGTGATAATCGCACCTGTAAGCTGCAATGGAAAATCATGCATAACAAGAAATCAGCGACAAATCGAACGCTTACGAAATAAGGAACAAAAAGTTTCTTTGGGAGTGATCTTATTACAATGCCGTACCGATAGAACAAACGTACGGTCAATCAGAAAAAACTTTCCAACTGTGAATCCAACGCGATCCGTTTGGATCTTGTAAATGTAAGAGGACAACATGTAGTGCTCTTTCTGATCTTGGACTGTGCGGAGGAATTTAAACAACATAGCCACCACAGCTTCCGCCTATGAAGAGAAAAGGGGAATGTCGTAGCTTATTTTGTTTGTCTGAAACTGTATTTTTTTACCTGGGTGTTGACCATAACAAAACAGGTAGTAGAAGCGGTAATAAAAGCCACAGCCACACCGAAAAGCTCTATCTCGACACTCATGTCTGCATTGCTTTCACTGATTGTGAGTGCCGAAATTCCCCTTAACAAATCCAGGACATAGAATGTATACAGTATAATAACTGGAAATGTCAGAAAATCGTCCAACTCCGCTATTTCATCGCTTAACATGGCATGATCGTTCAATAATGCTTTCAATGTTTTTAAGTCACCCTTTTTCACAGCAGATATACCACAGCGCTGAATTGCGCGGAAAGACAATGCAGCGCCTCCAGCCGTGATGACGATCATAATTTGGTAAGCTGCTATAGATCCCAGGTAGAAGAAGTTGTGGATTACAAAAAGCACCCGTGCAGATAAGAAGAAAGTTGGGTAACTGTAGAGCGAGCTCGCCAAAATCCATAGAATTCCGAAAGTGCCAGTGCCGGTGCCGGTAATAAATGTTCCTTTGACAACTGGCCCAAAACGCCATAGAAAGACTACGGTAAGGAGTGTGGATATTACCAGTGCAAAAATGTAGAATGACCTTTTGTATCGTTTGCTAAAATATCGGATTCCAAAATGATCAATCTGGCTTATTCTGTGCATCACTTCGTTGTGTCTCCACATGCCATAAAAACACATTATAGACATACCCAAATGGGTAAACATTCCAACAAAAACGCTTAAAATGTTTTGAGTTGTCGCATCCCACGGTCTGCCGGTTAAAGCGACAATTCGACGATATGTATTTAGAGCAACCGAACATATTATCAGTGCAAGATAAACCATAAGCCCGGCCCTCCAGAAAGCATTAGCCACACGCCACCAAGGGCCATAACTATTCGGCTTTTTTGAACAGGACTGCCGGATGGGAAAATAACCGAAACCACAAGCTCGCAGAATGGCTGAGTAAACATCTATGCATTTTAACAAACAAATACGGCGTTTGCTCCTGTTGATGTTCAGGCTGTCGCTCTCGGACATCTCTAATTTTAATTTCATTACTTATTACTCACGCTTTGGCACAATCGCACCATATAACAAATTCAGTCAAATCGTAAGTTGCGCAACCCTACCTCACCTGCGAAAATTATACTCCTGTTTAAATGTTATATTGACAGTGTTATAAGGAAGCGAAGGTGCTAATCGTTCCGGAACAGAATCGAAATTGGGTTTTTACCCCGTTAGCTTTGTTCGATGTAACTAATGTAACAACACGATATAGAGTAAGTGGTTCGTATTCCACAGGGATGCTTGAACGTTCACTACGACTAAAAGACTTCACAAGCATCATGAATCCCTGTTTTGCCATGCTCCTCCTGGCACTGCCGGGAGCCCGCTTCTGTGATCAGCTTTTGAGTCGACCAGTACGCGGTCGCTAAAATTTTTAACTCGAACTTGGAAAATTTGATTACGTCGCATATTATAATTGCCGTTTATGCGTTACAACTCAGTCGCGATTACCATACGGAAAACGGGAAAAACTGTTAGAGTCTCAAAGCTGAAAGCTATTTCAGACTGTTGATAAAAAACTAACACGATGAGATGACACTGCAAAAGAATTTGTAACTGTAATACAGTATTTTTTACTGACTGCACATACAGCGAGGAATGGTTGATATGCCTATACTGCGCGTCTTGTAACCTGGCCTTACCCTTAGCTGGCTTAGGCTAGGAAAGCGTAGCAGTTGTCAAACAAATTTGGAACAGCTTAGCCGCAATGTCATAATCCAGAATTTTAGAGCAATGGCGTCCGGTATTTTAGCAAACACTAATGTCAACTGAGAATACTTAAGGAATATATGACTGTGATCCGTTTCCACAATTCGTAGGGTTCACAGGCGAAGCCTTCTCGCCTAACTCCCAAATGACCAACGCATACGTGATGATGACACCAACCAACTATGAATACAAAAAGGAGTTATTGATCCCTGCATTAAAAGTGGACCCTTAGTGATGGTACTCACCGAGGCAACAAATGCGTGGTCGATGAGAAAGAATTTACCGATAGTGAACCCGACTCGATTGGCCTGGAGACATTTGACATATGCCGACACTTTTCGGTACTTCTTGTGATCGTTCACTCTCCACAGAAATTTTGCTAGCATGGGTACAACAGGCCCTACCTAATAAAAGAAAAACACCATTGAAAGAAAGTAACTCAACACAGAAGAGTGCGTTTGCTTGTTCGAGGGATACCTGCTCGTTGACGAAAACCATGCAAGCGGTGGATATGGTCAAAATCATAGCTGCCAGGCATAAACCCTCAAAGGCACCGGTGATGCGATTCTTCCCTCTGATAGCCAGTATCCCCGACAACAGCACGAGCACTTGATAGAGATATAAGATGAGGTTAGGATAGGCTATTACTGCGTCTGCATGCTCAATTTCGTCGCATAGCTGCCCGTGGTCAAGGAGTACGGTTTCGATCGTCTCTTGGTCACCTTTTGCTAGAGCCGGCTTTAAAGAGTGTCGCAAGGCGCGCAAACACAATCCCGTCGCTATTGCAATTATAACAATCATAAGACAAATCACACCCACCGAAGTCATATAAACAAAGTAAACGACGACGAAGAACACTCGAAGGCACAATAACAGTGTCGGACGGTTGTTAAACAGCGGTTGCAGCAACCAGAGAAAACCTGAACTTTCCGTGCCCGTGCCGGTGATCATTGTACTCTTGATTACTGGAGCAGTTCGAAATCCCACAGCTACTACCGAAATTATGACAAAACACAGGTTCAGCCCGTAAAGCATTCTTTGTGCTCGTTTGCTCAGGTATAATGTGCCAATAACGTCAATGTGCTGCATCGTGCTGACCACATTGGCGTGCGTCCAAATCATGTGGATGCATACAGTAATCATGCACGCGTGGTTGACCAGTGCGGAGAGCTCACTGATCATACTTTCAGTCGATACGGTCCAAGTGACCGATTGGCAGATGCGGTGGTACACATTCAAGACGGAAAATCCTAACAGCGTTACGATGTACACAACCACCCATGCTCTCCAAGCGATACTGGCTAAGCGTCTCACGAAGTGCTTCTTCGGCCTTCCATTTTGCAACGGAAAAAATCCATGGCCGAAAATTTCCAGAATAGCAAAGTAGGGAGCCATGCACTTCATGATAGCACCGCGAGGTTTGGCGTCCATGTTGGCCGTTCCGCTATGTCTAGCTTGCGACAAGGGAAGCGAAATGACTATTATAAGGTTTTAACACAGTTAAGTTTTACTCTGATCAGTAAATCAGAAACATTCTAGCTCTTCCTAAACGGATTGCGCCATTAAAAATATTTAGTTACGACTTACGAGTCTATGGCTGCTTGGTTCGAGCCCGTATAAAACAAAGGAATCTTTGTGATCGATAGCGTCGATACGAGTACTGACATTTAATACAGTATTGAAATAAAGGTGGTCGGCGACGCCTTCATATACAAGGATTGCTGAGGGAAGCAGTTGTAGGCGGTTGCGGTTTGTAGGTTGGTTGTACGATACTGCTTTTATTCACATTTCCCACTGTTACAGTATGTACAAGTACATCTATTTAACAATGATGTTTTACAGAACTACATAATCGACTCTGTTTCACTTTTCGGACTTTATTTGTGATTGGCGTTGAGCATTAGTGAAACTAATTAATTAGGGACAGTCGTAGAGCATGCATTATGCATGCCCACGCGAAATGTGCTATCGTACTTTGTATGAGCGTAAAAACCTTTCTACCTCTGCAGTAATTTATTACATAGTAACAACGAAAAACAAGACACACCACGCTTACGCATCTTAAATAAAAAGTATTCTGAACGTGACATTCTGTGTTTCTGGACTTTTACTGCACATGCGACAGCTATGGATTTGCTCAAAGAGAAAGGAAACAAAACATTGTAATTCTCTCCTGCCGAAATGCACTTGAAAATTGTGAAAAAAAATTGATAACAACTATCGCAAATAGCTTTCTGATAATAAAATTAAGTTAGGTAATCACATTCTGAAATATACATAAAACATATCTGCATCACTTTTTGCTCGGCAAAGCATATATTCTAGATTTGTTTAACATCTAGCTAACTACATGTACTTTGTAGATCACAATTTTTGTTAATGCCAGTAATGCAGTACGCGTGGAGCATAACTCGCATTACCATACGCCGACCCGCCGTACGTCAGATAACCTTCCACTAGATGTGCCGGCAGCGGCGTCAGATCCTTCAGTTCCCCAAACACCCAAACTGTCTGCATTCCCATCAGCATATGTAGTAGCAGATGACAATGAATCATCCATACACCAGGATTTTGCACCCGCACCCGCATCGCCCTCCACGTAAATACCTTCCCCGGTTCCGGTGCTACCGTACTAGGATCCGGTCGGTATAGGTTGGATGTATCGCGTGTAATAATTCGTCCATGCCTTGCCAGCAGTTTGGCCTCGTTGACCACCGGATCGTACGTGCCCAGACCCGTACCGCAGTCGTAATAGTGGTCACCGTGTGCGTGCCACGCATGTGGATAGACATCACCAAACCGGCTGCCACCCACAAGATACCAGACAATCTCCAGCACTTCGCCGACTTTCGCCGGGAACGTTTTAGTCACATTGTCCAAACCGTTGCCTTGAACCGCGCGTTGATAATCGGGGAAGTAATTCGTTCTGTTGCGGTACAGTGATACCAAATACGGTTCTTTGGGAACGTCTGGTATAAAGGGCTCAGGTTTCTCGTACCAGGGTGCACCATTCTGAAAATAAAACTCGGTGTCGCCTCCTGTCATCGTCTTGGCATCGATCGCTTGAACGTTAATGTACACTCTCCGCGTTACTTCTTGTAGACGGATAAACGGATTAGATGGATCCGGTTTCAACGGTTGCAGTTGATCTTCCAGCCAACCGTCGGCATAGGACTCATTCGGCAAGGTCAACACTTTCTCGGCCGGTAAAGTGAATGTATCGACCGGTCCAGCGCTGGTGTTGTAATGCAAAATGCCGTAACCCCGCACGTCATCGGAATCCGCTGAACGGATTTCAAACTGCATCCAAAATCGGTTCCTACCGGCTAGTTCGGCTTGGGTCTTGGCAAACAGAATAACACTATACCGCTGTCCGGAACTAATCTCCAAATGGTCAACGACATGTGGCATAATATATTTCCCATCAACTTCAATCAAAACTAAATTCAGATGGTCTTCAAAGGCTACAAACACCTGCGAGTAGCTTGTGGCGCCGATAAAACGCAGACGATAGACACCGCCCGCTGCAACGTCAATCACGCCCATCTCACACCCTGGCCCCGGTCTGGCGTACGTCTCGTTCATGGCACGTGATTTGCCGTTAACGGCTACGTTTTTCGGATTACCGGGCCAGATGAGATTGTTCGGATTCTGTATGTTGAATTCGATCCGGTCATCCGTTTCATAGTAGACATCTTGAAACGCGATCGTCCGCTCGTCGTCGTAATGATACGGCGGATTGCCGTCGGCTTCGTCGACAATCAACGCGCCGTACGCGGTGTTCGCCTGGAAGCCGACATGTGAGTGATAGAAGTAGGTGCCGGCATCTCCGAGTTGTAGCTGGAACTCGTAGTCGAAATGGTGATACGGTGGAATTGGCCACTGGCTGGCCATGGGCGTGCCGTCCGAAAAAGGCGCCATACGCTGGGTAAGACCATGCCAATGCTAAATTAATGACAAAAAATATACCATGTTATCAACATAACTAAAATTCGTTGACTTACAATTGTCAAATTCGCCTCGTCCATATCGTTGTACACTCGTATCCACACTTTCTGACCCTCTTTGAATCGTAATGCCGGACCCGGCAGTGTTCCGTTAACCAGAGTGGACAAACGTGTAGTGCAGTCAGTGGCAATAATTTTCGATGTAACTCGCAGAATGTAATCGGCTTGAAAATTACCATCATGAATAGCTGTATATGGTTGATTACTGGGAGGATACACCACCGAGGAAACCGTTGTCCATTGATATAATATGCTGATCATTTGCATGGTGCCTAATATCTGGAACTTCATTGTATCGGCATGCAGGTGTTATAAAACTAAAACACAACGTTGGTGCGGCGAATAACACTTCAGCGTGAAAAAAAAACATTACCAAAGTTTGTAGACATCAGGCCAGCATTAAGGCAGTATAATAATCCGAATAATACGTATTATAATAGTCACGTTTCAATACTACTAGGCCTAGAACAGTGTCATAGTAGGTGACAAAAAGAGATCAATAAGCACGTCCGATAGATCTCGATGAAATGAGTGAACGATCAAGAACATTATAAATTATACCGTTTCTTGCACACCATTATTTCGAAGGTAACAGATCTAGAAACCGCATAATATATTTCAAAGCATTTTTACGGCGCCGTAAGATACCAGTAGTCAAGACAAGCCGTTTATATTATCAATCTTATGGTTCGATACCCACAGCATATAAAGTGGACGGGTCGCAAGACTATGGTACGACTTGACCATAGCGGACAGAACTGCAAACAATTGTTAAGTTCTGATACAATCATAACTGGGTAGTTACTGTGAATCGAGATTCACTACTCGTACAGCAGAGAACAACATGTTCGAGTCAAACACATGAGCATGTACATATATGTGTATCCATCAAATGCGAAAATGGCGACATCCCGTGATCCAAGTACAGCGCGTACCTTCCTTTAAATACAGCGCGAGACGTCCAGACGGACTGATTCCTTTTGATGCAGTACTGTTGCGTCTTTGTGACTACAAAGACTGCAAATACTGTACGACTAACACAATGGACCATCGATTCCCAGTACGGAACAATCCAATAATCGAAAATTAACCACAAAGCAGTACTGCAATACAGCACCTACCAATATTAAATTCTGCTTGTTGACTAAAAAAGTCAGTTTTCTTGCGGGCCCAGTCTGATCGGTTCCGGCTTAATAAGGGTTGCATGCATATGGTACGCATTCATTTTACTATCGATTCAAAGAGCTCATGCAGAAATTTATTCTTCTTCTTCGGTCTTTTCTTTTGAGTGTAAAATTAATATAGTACTAGCATAACCTTTTTTCGAGCATTTATTTCGGCATAGTATGGCGACCAGCATAAACTTATCGTTAATCAATTATCATTAATCATTTAATCGTCGACTAAAGTCGAAGCATTGTAAGATGGCAAAGCACTGTTTTAATTTGGGAATGCTAGCAAAATACAGCTTACTGTACAGATATAGCGTACAATACGTACACAGGACACTAGTTCGACGTTCAACGCATGTAATACAATAATATTATCAGCAAATTGCACATACGGCAAATAAAAATAAAATTAATGATAATGCATCAAGTAGACTCGAAGAATTGACATAAGAATAGTCGATTGACCTTTAAGTTGACATGGTGGATTGATCTAACGCAGAAAGGTGATTTGCTAAATAGTTATATCGGTTTACAACGCAAAAAATTATAGTAGTGCTGAATCAGAATGCAAGTACGACCACTTAACTGCGTGTATGTCAACTAAAAAGTATCGACTTATTTTTTATAAGGTGGCGGCAGATCATTTGCACCTTCATCCAGTTGTTCGGCTTCGTCATGAATGTCCATCTTTTGTATGATCAAACGCAAAAGATTGCTTTGCTGATCCAGTTTGCCATGGACATCCCGCAGTCTGTCAAAAAAACGAAAAAAATTATCTCTAAACTAATGCAAAATGTAATTCGTAACGTTTGACAAAAGTTTTTGTTGACTTGAGCTTTAAATTATTTCTTGGTACAGGCTCGTAAAGGTCACGATACGTTATACTTCATAGCTTACTTGCGTCGCTGTTTCTCCAGTTCGCACTGCATTCGTTTCTCGCATGGTGTGGGTGTGTTGAAGCCAGTGTAGTTAGCAACCGGATTGCTACCGGAAATGCAGAAGAACTGTAACAAAAAGTACGCAGGCAATAGAGCTATCAGCCATTGCAATTGTTTCCCGTTGCGCTAAATGTGCTGTATAGCCACGAATAAGAGATACATACTACTGGAAACCCTGGCTCTTATTGCTTTTAGTCATATTATTTTCTTTTACGCTAGATGCATTTGCCAAGAGTATTACAGACTCATAACGGTGCTTCTGTACAGTGACCTTTTGCATTATTCCCTTGGTGCATCCGTTAGGGTAGTAGGTGTTTTCCTTAAAGGTAACCCGTTTCAAAAACCACTTCGGTAAATTTTTTTCCAGTCCAGTATGCAGGTCAACCTGCATGGCCATGCGCTGTAGCGTAGCACTGCGCTGAACCGATTCGATGTCACCAACCGCTAAACCAATCTACAGCATATGATAGACGGTTTGTATGCATGTCTGCAGAGTAGTCCAAATCGTCAATGCAGATATTCTTGGGGTATACAACTCAAGAAGGTTGACGGTTTTACTAAATGTCATTTAATGGCAATCTGCTTCATTACTTATCTTTCAGCTATTAGGAAAATTAAATTTTTACACTATTCGAATTTGAAATCGCACATTACCAGTAAATTCATAACGAGCACGGACAGTCCAATGAACGAAACGATGAAGATAAAGGTCAAGTGGGGGAACTGCACCATGCCCTCCTGCATTGGAGTGATGTAATTGGCCACAGCATCAATCTCTCCTGAAGAAACAATAGTTTTGCAAAGTTTTGCAAAAGCACAAATTTTATTCATGCTTCGCAGAGCCGTAAACAAAAACTGGGTTTTTCAGCTTAAATTAGCTGGAATGACTGGCCAAACGATACCTGCTCTTGAGACTTGAGAGTACAGGCAACCAAACAAAGCTGTAAGTACACAAAAATGCATTATCAAGATGACCTTACCCAAAAGCATATTTATAATCCGCAAAGCTGAGTATCCGAATTTCCGATGCGGTGTCGTCAAAGTACTCACATCGATGACAAGACCGGGTTTCTATAATTCCGAATCGATGATTAATGTTATCGCCAGGGAATATTGCTATGTATACCAGTCAGCCCTGCATAGCGTGTTGCATATTACCAGGTAATAATCCTGGTCGTCGGGAAATATAAACGACGGCAGCAAAATCTGGAATGCCAGCACGAACCCCACAAGCAGGAACGCGAAGACAAAGAAAGCGCGTAAAAGTGAACGGAGTATGTGCAAGAACATGACCACGTAGACACCAATAGTACCGAATCTGTAAATGACGCCGTTGAATCGATGCGTGAGATCACTCATTTGTATAAAGAAAACGCTAACGTACCGTTGTAAATACAGCATAATATTAAACCAAGCCAGGAAAATAGCCGCCGCCCCTAACTGCCATCGCACTGTCCAGGGCATAAAGGTTTCGGTCTTGTCACAGCTACCGAACGCGAAGAATGTGGCGAAGATGTACAAGAACCATTCAACGTAGTTGGAATAATCCAGAAAGTATTTCCTTCCCTAATATATTTCTTGCATAACACTTGCAGTTTAAGTCAACAATTTATCCACACAGCTCCTATATATGCATATTCGCTATGTTTAAACAGTAGTGTCAACCGTTGAAAAGTAATTATTAAAGAAAGGTCATGCTAGAATCACGCGATGTACCTGCAGGCATAACTGCACAATTTCTTTCAGCATATTAATGATGGTGAATGCGCAGATCAGGTAGCTGGCCGCTGCCGACATCATACTCTCTTTGTTATGTTGCATCCAGCGACGGAATCGCGGATCTTCCATGTCGAATTTTGCTGATGCGCTCTCGGCAGTGTTATTATGGACATTATAATATGACGTATGTTTCAGTTTGGGGATGAGTTCATTTTCGATTCCCGTGGTCACCAGATAGGTCAGCATAAGTAGGAATGCAGAATACAGCGCGATGTTAAAACCGTGAATCCAGACTCCGTAGCTGGTCCTAAAATGCACAGCCGCATGCTAAAACTTAGACTGGACTGTTTTCCACTTTGAGAAGCTGGAGATTCACATTATACTGAAATATCATTCACATTATACTGAACGAAAATATATTTACCATTTTTTATTCAGGTAACTGGTGCAAACAGGATGCGATAGCAGTTCACTGCGGCCATGGCGAACCATTGCCTATACATTTATTATTGGTTCATGAACGAATTATTTACCACATTGGCATGATACTCATTAGCATCGTTATATGCATCTGATTCTGCTTTACGTTCAAAGCTTTCAATGGAGATTTTGGATCCGCGGAATTTTTATCTTCTACAAATTCCACGCCGGGTGGCTCCAGAAGAATGAAATTGAAGTTGATCTGTAATAGTTAGAGTTACCCCTGTAAAACTGGAAAGGTATTTTAATGTTCCACTTACGTAGTAATTTTTCGACCAAGGATGGTGCTCTGATTTCGTCATGGAGTGATCCAGCGCAACCTGTACATGTAATACTTTGTAGGTAATGTAAAGCCTACTCGTAGTTAATAGACTTGACTTCAGTTTGTATTCAACACGTCTTAAGATCACGAATGGCGCTAACGATTTTGGATATTAATTTTTTCATTCTTTGAATTTGATCATTTTAAGTAAGCAGTAAAAATTTGGACAGGCTTATCTGATCAGTTTGATGTATGTACTGTCTGTACTGGCTGTTGCCGAATAAAGTGACTTTCGTCTGTATAATAGGTGTCAAACACCAAAATGAATGCTGTGGCTCTGCTCCTGTCTTATTTCAACGCACTATTACGAAAGTTCAAAATGCAGATCGTACGTGTAGTTGGGTACTGCAGTTGCACTTACCGTCATTACTTCCGGTAAATGTTCGATCAATCCTAAAACAGGCCATCCGTAAGTGGCTGATGGGACGGTAAGAATTTCCACCCACCTGTACCACGCACGTTAAGTTAGATTACATAATAGTCCTCAAAGCTAATGCCATGTTTTTGCACCGTTTATGTAGAACAAAACATGAAGCTGCTTCTTGATGCTTTTTCTGTATAGCCACGTCGATGGGCGTTTGGTTGGATTGGTTTAGGAGAAGCTTGGCTCCCGCCGTCAGCAGGTCTTCGATGACCTTTGTCGCATTGTGCTCGGCAGCTTTGTGTAAACCAGTGTTCTATAATAATACCTTCGTCATCTAAAGTTGTGAACACACACAGCACACCGATATAAAGTGGACAGATCGCACTCACTCCATTTTTGTCCACGCTGTCGATCAAATGGGAATAATGGACGACGATGACTTGAACTGTTTCTAAATAACAGAAATTACAATGTTCAGTGTTGAAGTCTGACAATTCGCGGCAAATGTTATTTGTTTAAGCTTTCAGCCAGCCGAATTACCTCGATAATCGCCGACGCAAGCAAGATGTAATGGACTCTCACCCTGATTATTTCTGGAAAAAGGATACTAGTGTGACCTTGTTCGTGACCTTGACATTCAATATGCATCATATGCAGTATGCTCGCGTCCATTTACCCTTACCGATGAATAAGCGCTCCCTTACACATCAGTAGTTTAACAACGCGCGTGTGGCCGTTCATTGCGGCCAGGTGCAGCGGTGTCAAACCTAAATTAAATAAACAGATGCGATCCATCCCTAAAATGGGCTCAGTTTAAATCGTTTTTTCCTACCTAGATTATCTGGCTCATTTATTATATTAAATCCATGCGACGTTTCCAACAAGCGTTTCACGGTATTAAATCGTCCGTATCTAAAGTAAAACATATTAAAACACGAGCACAATTCTAAAATTATAGTCGTGTTACGCACTTTGCCGCAAAATGTAAAGGTGACTGCTGTTGCTTATCCTTGGCGTGAATGGATGCTCCCAGTCGCACTAAACCATCACTGCAGCGCAGCAGACCGCTCTTCGCGGCATAGTGCAACGGTGTACATCCCCACATATCCTTGTCGTCCAGTAACTCAGCAATCTGTAAAACCATGATCCAGCTGTGATTCTCCGGTCAAGATGCACAAAGGTCACTCTACCATCTTTTTGTTTCCGATTAATTCATTGACATTGGGAGCGCCTCCGTGCATAATGCTGTAATGCATGAAATTCTTTCCTCGCTTGTCGCGTTTAATAGGACTGGCGCCGGCTTCTAACAGCAGTGCTAAGGATGCCCACGATGCCCGTGACGACGCCAGAATTAAGGCTGTTCGCCCTTCCTTATCTTCCTCATCAATGGAAGTGCCCTAACAGTTTATGAATTTCCAATGTAACAAAATTTAATGATCCATTGGTTAGTCGTTGACGGTTCCGTACCTTTTGTATAAGAAAACTGACAACATCGGTATGGTTGAACATGACAGCACGGTGCAGTGGCGTCATTCCTTGTGCATCTTTTTCGACAGGACAGCATGAAAACTTTTGGTAGCCGATCGGTCCATTTCCATAATAACAGCCAAGAGTCCTTGCGCACAGGCCAGATGGACCGGAGTGGACTTATCATACTGCCGCAAACGACAATCACACGGAGATAACATAATCAGAATGGTAAAGGTCAACGTACCATCTGCGAATCTAACGCTGCTCCATGTTCCAAAAGAAGTTTGACGGTTTCACATCGGCCATTATTGACGGCCCAGTGCAGGGCGGTCTGGTTGTCCTGATCTTGAAGGCTCACTTGATTGTGGGCTTCCTCCTCGCCCAATTCTTGTTCGGCAGAACAGATTGCAAATTACAAAGTGCTGCTACACGGTATAACACCACAGACTAAAGAAGATGTTACTTTTCACTTTATGCATAACTGTGACAGTTTGTTTTAAAAGTTGTGGCTTCATCTTTGCTGCATAGTTCTTACCGGTTAGCAGATATTTCAAGACTTTATTAGAACCACGCGCTGACGCGGCATGAATGGCGGTCAGTTTGCTAAAGCAGCCAAAATTAATTTTGGCTCCATGCGCCACTAGCAGTTTAAAGCACTCCAGATAATCCTGTACAGCCGCAATATGGAGTGGCGTACGTCCGTGCCAACCCGGGATGTTGATATCACGAGTACTGGTACGAAGAAGCGCCTACGAAAACAAGTACTGTATTTATACTAATTTGCCAATATCATTTATAGTTTCTGCCTACAGAGAGCAACCGTTCTGAATACAAGGTTAAGAATTTGCATTACAGATCGGTTGTACAGCTTGTACTGTACCTCTAAGGCGTCCAACGCATCGAAGCGAACGGCTTCATGTAACGGCGTTTCCAACATGGCGTTTTTGGCGTAAAGGTCAGCGTTGAGAGCAATTAGCGTCTCCACCACTTTCATGTTATTATTCATAGCCGCCACGTGGAGGCTAGTTTCACCTTCGCCGTCTTTGACATCCACAGCTATTATTCGAGTAAAAGTTACGGTTACTGTAATATAACTTCTCTTTCAATATTATGTTCCATTGAGTTCTGTACTGCTTAGTACATCTATAGGTACTTACGAATTCCTTTTTGAACTAACAAATCGATCATCAGCGGCTTTCCATGCTCTGCAACGACATGCAGGAGACTTTTGCCGGCTTCGTTTTTGATGTGGACCAAGTTCCGTTGTTTATTGAAAATTTGCTCCAGTTGCTCGACATTGTCTGTTACTGCAAGCTGAAAAAAATGCTAATTAACGCAGTCTACGGTAACAACAACAGCGCGTAACGATTCAATTTAATTTGGGCATTGGGTGAAGACACTAGCACCGGAACACGGGTCACCAGCGCAACTGGCCCCGCCGTCCTTGCTAAAACAACCCCCCGTCTCCTCTCCAAAGAGGGTGGGCGGGAGGGAAGAACGACTTGTTACACGAGGACAACTTTTACTCCAATACACAACAGGAACTGAAATGCACTAACAGAAATGCACAATCACTACACATGAAACATCCACAACCGAAGCTGCATTACTTATACAGCATCGAGATATGCATCCCAAGACACACCCTAATGAGTTTTCTGGCTGGACACTGGTCAACCAAGTCATCCAGCCTTGCAATCGCCTCCGCTGCGTTAACCGAAATTAGCTTTGCTAATTCTATTTAAATAGTGATGGTATTTAATTCGAATAATGTATTCAGGACCACATGTGATGGCTTTGCCGGTTACGCTGCGGAAATCAATCCTTGCAAGCAAGTGCAGGGAGTGCACTCTCTACGGTGTCTGTGTGAATTTTACGGCTACATCAATAATTGGCAATCCGCTGCTTAAGTGTAACTATAAGAGCACGTAAAATGCTGTGCACAATAAAAAAAGCACAATAAAAAATAACAACCAGCAAAACTTCATGTATTCTTCAGATGCAACATAAATGTATAGATATTGCATATCGTTAGTCTTATACCAGCGCAAAAAAACCGGAGTCAAATTTTTAATCTACAATGAACAGACGTACCTTGAACAAGCGTTTGGGACTATGCTCAATTGCGCAGACCTCTTCGTTATTGACGACTTCTGTGCCCGTAAAGGAATCAATTCGCAGCATCGTAGGTGCGTACTTATCCAATGGGTAGCCGCGCCGCTGTTCTTTAAATCTGTATGAAAGCAAAACATACTTATCTCCCCATTCTGGTTAACTATTTTGCTGCTTTGTAACTTTGAATACTCGAGTTTGTGCACATTATTTTCATTCCTGCACAGACTGCAGCGCTTATTGGCATAACTTCACTTACCGGCTAATTACACTGGTCAACAGTCCGCGGCTGCGCGGCGTCAACACCGGTGATGACCTTTCTACGGTTAAATCCATATGTCCAGATAAATATCAATTGAGTAAGTGAAATATTAGTCCAAATTATACGCACATAGTACTCGGTTTATATGGAATTTATCCCTACCGTTAATCGACGAATAGGCTTCGTTATAATAACGATCAAATATACAAAAACGTGCACGAAGTGTTACAGTTCTCAGCAAACCACTCCAATGTGTCTCCCTACTCCTGAACTGAAAAGGTCAACAGGATTGATAAACATGACACTCAGCATGGTGACGGCGATTAGGTCGACCAGACAATGTATATATGGCAGCTGCGCTGCTACTCAATATTTCCCGGGAAGAGGACTTTCGCTTAGCCATGATTCAGCAATACGATCAAGAATTTCATTTCCTCGTGTGTTAATGGTATACTCATAATGAAAATTAGATTTCGGGTACGTCAGTCGAGGACCATTCAGGTTGTTACCTCTGCAGGAATTGTGGCCCTTTCAGTAATTCAAAACATTGTCAACTACAGAATACAGCAGATGCGTGGGTAGCAGCCCAATTAATATTTACTCTTCAAAGTAAGCAACCGGCACACGGTCAGACCAGTAAAGGGCTAGCTTACTTAAGCTTACAGGTATTAGGCATTCTGAGTTTTAATTAAGTATGTTTAAGTTGCGTATGGTGTTTTCACTTCCGTTATTAATTAAATTAACTTAGTCAATGAAAATTTTCCTGTTGTCTGGAGCATTAACTTGACAATCTCGCTTCTGAATTAGGATAGCCGACCTACAGCTATTTAACCGTTGAAAAGTTTTTGAACGCTGACACGGCCACTTACAAATTTTGTTAAACCAACATAGAGTAAGAACTTATCAAACAGATTAACAGGTTTTTTGTCTGTTTGATGGAGTTATATAGAAATGGTAATCACCCAGCGCATGTACAGTAAGCGGTAAACTGATGGATTTTTTCATCCCACCAAGGCAGAATTTAAATATATCATCAAGCTGAAGGTTATTTACCTTTCTCTATATAATTATGGAAACATGGAGTGGTAAAAACCGTTAGCTATCCTGCCACATAGCTAACGCAGCACACTGCCGAAGCGTATACACGAGCTAGTTTTTTTTACAATCCGTTTTGTAGTAGAGATGGGTAGTGCCATCACTGAAAAACTAGATTCCCAATTTGAAGTAAACTCCTAAGCGTGCGAGTGCATCCAGTCATACTGTCCTTTTAATGATTTATTACAACGTATAGGTAATACAGCTAACAGACATAATATTGACAATACTACTATAGATATCGAGTGACAACTACTTATTTTACGTCAATATCGTGTATTTGGTCAGGAAATCAGTTAGGCCAGGCCGACACAGTACAACTGGCACTCTTCGTGACAGGCAGCAGCATAGCCGCGTTCGATACAATGGGTGTGCCATTTGGGTCAAGGCCTACATTCGGGCCGTACGTTGTCACCTGTACGTTAATCGTGCACGTTTTGGTCTTGGAATGCGTTTGCGTTATCACCGTCGTGTAACAAGGAACACTGGTCGAGGTCGTAGTAGCCGTATTGCCTCCTTCGGACGGCGTACGAATCGCCACGGGAGTGCATGTTGTCGTATCAATCTGTGATTTCACGCGAGTATTCTCGGACTCTTTAGACGTAGTATAGGTTGTCCCTGTTGTGCGCACACAGACAGAATTCACCAGCGTGCGGGTGACGGTGGTCAGGATGGTGCTGCAAGCGGGAGTTGTTGCTGTCGAGCAGGTGCTGGGTGTGTCACTTTTTGGGATATATGTGTGTTGACCTTTCCAATATCCCGGTCCGTATCCGGCGCCAGGACTATCATCGTACGCATAATTATCCAGTGTGTACTGGGAGACTTTCTGCGGATTTCTCACCGCTCCATAGGCATAATTGTACGATGGACCCCCGCGGTAGAGATTATTAGCATTCAAATTCAGACCCGGTTGCACCTGGTAGTCGGCAGAGTGGCCGGCATAGGGATTGTAATTTTCCACGGCAACGGCTCCCTTAATTATACTCTGCAAGAAAAAAGCTTTTTCACAATATTACACTTGCGTGTAAACTAAGAATTAAGAAATGCGTTCAAGAAAAAAACTAAGAATATACCAGTTTGGTAAGCTCAGTACACCAGATAACCAGAACCTACAGCGTATATCAGCAGGATGGTCACCGGCCACTGCGTTTCGTCTAAGCGCAGTATACGGATTTCATTCAGTTTCATATACAGTAAAACCTGTGTAATTTGAACACCTACGGTTCCTACAAAAGTGTTCAATGTAAGCAACTGTTCAATATTCGCAGTAGCTTTCGAAGTATACGAGACGCGCCGGTTCCTATCCGGGCGTTCAATATTAGCAGTTGTTCAATTTTCGTAGTTGTTTAATCTCGCAGAGTCTACTGTACTGTAATTCTCTAAATGCTGCAGCAACAAAAAATCTGGGTGTAATACGGAAAGTTGAACTCCCGTAGTACTGTACTTTAATCATAATCATGTTATAAATAACTGCTATAACTTAATCACCGGTGAACCTTAATAAGTTAACAGCTATATACTGTATTACTCGTAGTAATCGTAAGACTATAAAATATTCAATGATACAATACTACTCTAATCATTCTGTTCTAAACTATTGGTTATTTGGCAGTTGCAGAGAGTATTGTACAAGTCGGTCAGGAGCAACAAATTAATTTTAATTTGTAAGGTGAATAATCCCGTAGAAGAGCTTGTTAAAAAATGTTAGCTAAACCTTAGTTAACGGCCGAAGTTGGGACACATCCGTTCACCTTACGGTAGTCACACGTAACGTTTTTCGTACAAGCTGTTTTACTTGGGAATTGTGTTACGTATACTAATGCTAAATTAAAACATAGTCTGCAGGTTTCACACTCACCGCCAATATGATGGCGTAGAACACTCTCGGAGTTGGTGGAACAGTCATTCTGATGCGGTTAATCTACACTTTTATCTTAAATAAGTGTATCAAATCAGTCCTATTCGCATAGCATAAAACGTATTGAAATTTACTGAAAACACGGGAATGATTGCAGGCCAGGGGTGCTTATGCCGGAAAACTATTTGCGACTATTGGTGCAAGAATCAGCAAAGGAAGGCTCGAAAGCGCAAGCTAACCAAGTACTGTAACAAGATGCGGTCGAACCTTTTTCCTCAAGAATGTTATTTCATTATAGAAACATGATCACTTTGAAAGTATTTTTTAATTCACAACCTTGGACCTTTCGCGTTCTGTATATACCGTATCTCACATGACGGTTTTTTGAGGTCACGTTCGAACGTTATTTCGTCAATGGCTTGTGTCACAATTTAATCCGATGGCAATCGCGGCTATCATGCACTTCAGTATATCTATCTGTGGTACAGTTACGTATACATTAGCAAAATTCGAAAATCGTCTTTAGAAGTATCTGAACGGAAGTAAAAGCATGAGGCGGATTTCTTTACGATTATTAAATTAAGGTTACAAATCACTCTTGCGTTTACAGTTTTGCAAGTCAATATTTTGTGTCGTGATTGATTACAAAGGAGCTTAGTGTGATCAACGTTATCCCATACATTTCCCCAAAAACAGACCTAATCGTGCCTGATAATATTTGTATTTTTCAACGCGAATAAGAGGCTACTATAAAAATGAGCACTGCAATACGACATGCAGGTATACAGTTGAACTGTAATCGTCTACATAAATGGAAAAATAAGACGCGCTTAGCCCAAATTACATGTACAATATTAGCTACAGAATGCAGGTCAGGTAGCTGAATACATCTTAAAATTTTATTTAATTGTCTACAGAGAAATCTTGGGAACTCCCTCCAGCCGCACTTGCATAAAACAATCACCTATATTTCGTATGATAAATATTAACAATGGGAAATATATTCATCTTTTCTATCAGCTGATTATGATAAACGTTTATCGCATCGTCTGGAACGCTGGAAAACCACACCTCGTCAAACGTATCAAAAATTCTTCTTTTCGTGTTGTCTTTCAGTTTACTTGCGGATAGTTTATGGTATATATAATCTCTTGAACGAAATGCATAATGGTTAATGCGAAGCTCATCCAGCTCGACATTTTGCTCCGGCCGCGTATCTCCTCACACCAGTGCACTTCCGCCAGTTCACACTGATCCGGCCGCCACATTCCCTTTCCGATTCCATGGCTGCAGTCTTCGGGAAATTTCGTACGCGCACATGTACCATTGTAACGTTGTCCATAGTACGCATGCTCCAATTCGTAAAATGGCGCACGTTTTGGATTGCGGGACGATATCAGCATTTGGCCACCGAAAAGGTCATTTATCACGCTGATCGTGTCGGAATACGGATCAAGCATTAAGCGAACCCGGTTCTCCCAGGGCACACCATTTGTTCCGAATCGGATGACCTTTGCGCCTAGTTGGTTGAACTCGGAGGTATTGCGCAGAAAATTAGCAATGGTGTAATACTTGGGAGAAAACATAAACTCATCCACATCCGCCACGAGTAGCCACTCGGTGACACCCGTTAAACGGATGTTACAATAGTTTAAAGCTTGTCGTTGACTTTTCCTCCAATCGTGCTCCGAATCGTCCGTTGGTTGATGATACCGGCGAAAATTCTGCGGAATGACCTCCACCAAATCCGGATACCCGAGACTTGCATACAAACGCGGAAGTAAAGAAATATCATCAGCACTGTCATCATCCACAAAACGAAATGTTCCACGCCTTGGATGCGATGGAATTCAATCCACTCCAGTATAATACTCATCTCGTTCTGAATTACGGCGCATGCTGAGAGAAAATATTTAAATTTTGAGGTAGTGTGCGTAGGGCTCGCGCTATTAAAAAAGCTCACAATCACAATGCAAATTTTTAGAGAAAATGTCATCATTAACATTTTTAGAAAACGATAAAATAGTCTATTAATTTGTCTTTCTAATTCATAATGTGATTATTTAACCGGCACTATATAACCCGCCGGTTTCCATAGACGATTTGTTGGTGTGTGGATGCAGGGACAATGCATGGCACAGTTCGTGTAGGCAAGAGGCGGTTGTTCTGTGTACTTGTACTTTGCAGATATTGTTGCTGATTATTAATCACTGGTACATCGGACTTCAAAAACAGCGTACAATACACAAGTAAAGGAGGCTGCACAGTAATTGCAAGCATATCAAATTACGAAATGTAAACTATTCCAGTATACCGCACACTTTAATTTTCACTACGCGATATGAAATTATAGGTATGGCCTCATCCAGTCATCCCCATGAAAAAATAAAGCAGCTTCTATTGCATTGTGCAAACAAAGGCACATTATTATGTGCTGCATTATTGCGATAACAAGTTTTGTGTTGGAACCTAGTTCAACCTACGATATTAGTACTACTGAGTAAAATTCATATGGTCACATTTTACAGATTCAGTGCTCAGTATCATATGAAAATTTATGGATCATAAAAATTAAATAATAACATTTGTATCATTGTTCCCTACACTTCTAGGAAGTGCGTGAACCTGACAAGTGAAGCATGACAACCCGAGCTTTCGGTAACGGGCAGCAACTGAGCCCCGGGCATTATACGAGTAGCTACAGTGGGCCTGCCATTGGAATCCGTACCGACATTCGCACCATACGTTGTCACCTTTACATGGATCGTGCAGGTTCTCGTCCTAACCGACATCTGCGTCAGTAACACAGAATGCTTGTTGATGTCGTAGAACGATCCGGTCATGGTGAACTCGTACGGATCGTGCAGGACGATGTATCTATGTGGGATGACACCGGGCAGTTGCCGCCGTTATCGCCGTCATCGACGGCCGGCCTCCGAGACTCAATAAGTCGTTCGTGTTGTGCACAAGCACACCGATTCCACCTCTGTGCGAGTGGCGGTGACCATGATCGTTTTGCAAGCGGGAGTTGTCGAGCACTTGCTCCTGGAAGTATCTGTATACGTGTGCTGACCTTTCCAGTATCTCGGGCCCGTATCCGGCACCACGACTGTCATCGTACGGAGGTGTCTCCAGTGTGTACTCGGAAACTTTCTGTCGGTTCCTCACCGCTCCGTAGGCATAATTATATGGCGGACCTCTGTGGCAGAGACTGGCATTGAAATTCAGTCCCGGTTGCACCTGGTAGTTAGCCCCAGCGTAAGCATGGTGAGACTCCACGGCGGCTGTTTCCTTTGATAAATCCTGCAAGGACTATCATACTTCACACATTTCTATATATTCATTTTAAAAAGGCCCAGCAAATGATAAACGGGCCAATAATGATATGATTAATTACAGGATATACAGATATAGATAGATATAGATATGTCGGTATGCGTACTCGTAAAGGAGGTGCTGTACAAGGTGTACATGCTGCTTTTTGCCTTTAATTTAGCTGAACGGGGATGATGTTATGAGATTTCTTCATTGATACTCTTGTATGAAAACCAACCCACATTAAATAATTTGCTCCACTGCTATCGCAGTAAATAAAAGTCGTATGTTTGCAAAACTATGAACATGTGTGTTCGGTACCGTGCTCGTTTGTTATACAGAATAAATTATATATATCTAGCCGGCAGTTTTCCAATATAATACTGTTTGCTAGCAAAAATTACTGCCAGTATCCAAAATATTTTATGCATTTATTAGGCTTATTAGATTTGTCCTGTGCAAGCAAGTTGCAATAATTACAATTACACTCACCGTCAACAGGATAACAAAGAAAATTACCAATAAAGACAAACTAATCATTTTGTAAAATTGGTTTTTTGCTGCAAATAAATAATAAAACATGTTTCAGCACGTCTTAAATTTTCCTAATCTGATACGACATAATTATACGTATCTTCTTAGATGGACTAATGGTTCAAATTATAATTTAGGCTCGGCAGCCGATGGTGTTCGAGAGGCTGAATTAGTGAGTAAAGTCATCAATTAGATTTCCAGTACGACTTGCAAGACTCTAATATTACTTTATTAGTATTTGTAGTTTCGTCTCACTGAAATACTCCTACAAAACTACGTCACACCTCAAATTCTACAAACACGCTCACGAACGATGTCGATCGGATTATAGGAATACAGCATACAGATACTTTTATATACAAAAGCATGTGTGGTTTATTATGTGTTAAATCACTCGGAAGTTACATACATTTTTCTAGTTACTTGCGATACGTAGTGGTGATGTAATAGTGACGATTTTGATCCAAGAAATTTCAAATATTCTTCAGCACAATTCGAAAATCAAGGACAATCTGATAGCATTGCATGGGTGTAGAGTGTTTCCGTTCGTCATTACCACTGTATCCTAGATAGATTACATTCTACATTAAACGCATTTAAACTTTAAGTGAATTTGCAAGGTTGTGTCGTTGTGGTATTAAAGATGAAATCATACTGCCGTTGGTGACATTCGGCGTGCTCAGTTTTTGTGTCATGGTGCAGCAGAACGAACTTATCTTCATTACTATCAACTATCAAATACGGAGGTCTAATGTCATTACAAAGTACATTCGCTAATGATAGTTCTTCATTCAGCGCTGTTATGATGTTGTACGGTAGCGCGTCGGTCACATTAATTATTTCTTGTATGCTAATTTTTTAAATGGTATAAAATTTTTGTAATATGGTACGAGAACAGATATTATATGAATATTCTTGTGCGATATCTGTAGGTCTGTCATACTGGAGCTTGTGGACGACAGCTTACTTCCGCCGAACACGTGTGGCAGTGAACGGCACATTGTGTAATTATAAAAACCTCTCTAGACTCCAGTAGCCTTTTCATTTAGTTTACAGAGTGTAGTTCGGACTCCTTCGTTCTCTCTAGTCTTATTTCGGACTTTTAAATAATCTAAAATAGAAATATAAACTGTGTACGTCTACTAGCGGTATTAGAATTTTCGTTAATACAGCTCCTGTTTTCCTCAAACGGACCTTATTTCCTCAAATATGGAAGACCGTTGATTAATATTTCCGTAAAAAATGTTTTGAATTATAAATTTGCTTTAGAATTATGATGCGCGAAACTGTACTCGTAGCGAAGGACGGTGCGCATGCATCTCGACACATATTGCAAACAACTCAAAGATAAACCAGATAACCACACATTTTGATTATTATTTTCTCTCAATGTACATCACCGATATTAAAAAATAAAAGCCAAAGTTAACAACCATATTGAACAGATCCGAAAACCCACATTCAGATTACAACTGCTCAAATGACGTCCCAACCAATATTCTATTCTTTATGTACAAACCAAAAATACAAGCCCGCCCAGGTACAATATCACACAGAAAACAAGATTACTAGTCCAGTAGTAATACTTTGTTGAGATAGATTTCTTGCCCATATTCCACACCAAGCAACAGAAACACAACCGTAACATCTAACGCAACTACCCTCGCAATATTCCTCTGTAAAAATATTTTTCCCCTCCATTTTTTCCTCACTCTCATCCCATTTCCGTTTTATGCTGCGATTGGAGTGGCTAAGGCTGACGGCGTAAGAATGTCGTAAATGACATGACTAAAAATGATCGGGGAAATGATTAATAAAAAAATTTCCCCCGTGCTGGAACAGTGCGAACGCGCCGGCTGGTTGATTTGGCTTCATGCTCCGAAAGCGTCCTCGGAGGCGTACACCATGTACAGGAATCCGTCGTCATCCTTCTCCTTGTCGTAGATGTCCGAGATGCAGGTGGAGCTGCTGACCAGCGTCTGCGAGTTGACCATCAAGTAGAAGGTCTGATTGGGATGCAGCGACAGGCGACGTCTAAAAAAAACGAATATGCTGTCATTATCAGGCTTTTACTCGTAGATTAATTACCCAACCGTAGTGAAGTGGTTTTAAAAAATAAGCGACCGCACTGTTCTAACCAAAACCAAGAACAACTGTCGAATCGTATTAATAAACCAATAATGTTTTGTCGTTTCCAGAGAGATTAAAACAAAGGTCAAGTTTAAATAATCGAATGGGAGTGGCAGTAGGCTACCACCCAATTTTCCAGATCATAAGTAACAGTCTCTTCACACGATAATACAGTTTCTAGTAATTTACAAATGGATTTTACACACTTTCACACGTTTCAAGTTTGGAATTTGTATGCCAGATCAAAATTTAAAACCCATATGGGTTCAAATTTGATCGGGTGTAAATTGTAACGTATTTTGTTTTCATTCTTATTCAGTAATAATGTGTAAAAATTTACACCGGTAATTCGCACAGAAAAATCGACAAAAAATAGTAACACGCTATGGCGTAGTAGGCTAGTAGCATCCACAAACAATGCCACCATAGTATTTTTAATCAGGAAACGGGTTTCCGCCGTGGCGAATTTCCGACATGACAGAAGAAACGGTATGATAACACAGCGATGAACAAATAACCGGTTTCTACATAATAATTTGTACCTAGTAGAAAGCAGCTCAAATAGCAGCAGAACACTCCCTATTGTTAATTACTTTCCCACTGGAGAGCTGCATTTGTCATAGTGCGATCACTAGTAGCTGCCTCAATGTTATTTTAAAAATAAAGTAACTGTACTGCAAAGTCAGCATTCACTAAGGGAAAATCTGGCTTGCCGAAGACTGATCATATGTCCACCACGCAGCAACCTATTGATAACCGCAAAAAGCCGAAAAAACAGATCAAAGTGCGCATTTGCAAGATAGTTAATTTCCACGTGATCCCGAAGCAACCTAAGTAAACCGCCACCGTCTACAGAGCACAAGTGCAATACGAAGAAGAAACGAGAACCCTGCTCATTAATGCTAAAGCTCGGCAAAGACTGAAATAGCGTCCATTAATGGACACTGTGTCCATCATTGAAAAAGTTTTGCCCATTATTGATCAAAACAGTGTCCATCTTTGTAAAATTCAAAAAAAATGAGAAACGTTAAGGGGGGTCTGTCAGGCAAAAAAATTTTTATATAATGATTTATTTATTGATAAAAATGTAAAGCCGGCAACTAAATAACTTCTGCCGATCAGACCTCACGATGTGATTAAGCGCCTAACTGCATCCGTGTTCCGTGTTGTCTGCCGCCTGTCAGCTATCTTAAGTTATAAAGAAGGCAGACGGCAGTGTGTTAGTATCCGCGCCTGTTCCTTATGTGTTACTGAAAAGCACACAGCGGACAAAATATGCGGACTGTTAATTCGGAGAATATTCCGGGTTTTATTAAAAATCGTTTAACCTACAAATTAACACAACTCCGTTTTCGTCAGTCCTGCATGAAATACAGGTAGTGCGTTTGTCCTACCATGTTTACCAGTAAAGTAAATTTACCTGTATATGATGATTTAAACACTGACCGGCGCGATTTCTGCTTATAATGGCCTCTAAAGGGCCCCCGCTTAAAAAAGGCGAAAACAGGTTTTTGCGTAAAGGTTCCGGGGATTCACCTTTACGCAAAAAATTCGACGGGGTAGAAACTCCAACCTGTATGTTTCTGACAGCCGAAGTTTCCAAGCTGTGCGAACGGAAATTGTACAAAGTTTAATTAATTTCGTGGAAGAGAGAATGTCGATCGACTCTGGTATTGTGAATGCTGTGAAGCCATTAACCAATTTTTCAAAGGAGAATTCTGGCCAGGCGCTTAGGGCGGCACATTCCCTTCTGATACCAGAACTATCGTTGGAAGATTTTGCTCAGGAATATCAAGAGATAGCTCACCAGTTTCCAAGAACACAGCCTCGAGAAGCTCTTACTGTATATATACACATTGCTTATATTATTAAAATTAATAAACATACACATTTTTTTAATTTATTTTACAGTTGGCGATATCGCATCCTGAGTGGAAAAACGTTATGACAGCGTTGGCACGGTTCTTAACCGCAACACCGCATTCGTGTGATGTAGAGCGACTCGTTTCCAAGTACAATATGCTGAAAGACAGTATGCGTTCGAGGATGTCGGACGATACACTCCGCAGGTATCTGTACGTGACCTTCAATATGCTGGTTGTTGCGGGATACAATGTGAGACCGGCAGTGCGCTTATGGCTGACCGAAAAAGACCGTCGCCCTCGAGAGTCGGCTCCATCATCCAAGCCGGACTATTATAATGGCGTTTTTGAGAAGTAGCGAGAATTGAAATTGGACGCGACGAATCCTTTTATCATCTTAACCATCGTGCAATAATTTTTCAATATGAGTTATTAAACTACTTTTTTGCTGTTCGGATGTCCCGAAACTACAGATAACTAACCATACGTGCTCTACCTTATACAGAATGATATTTATTGAACAATAAAATTTGGCCAAAAATTTGCAGCCCCCCTGGTGAGGGGGGGGGGGGCGTCCATCATTGATTTTCCACTATTTCAGTCCCTGAAGCTCGGGTTACGATGAAGAAACCGAGAAAAAAGACTGGAAATTAGGAGGAGTTATTTATAATTAACTACTCTTTTGTAAGAAAAGAAACTGCGGTGAATTATATGCCTTCCTGAAAGTTCCCGTTTACAGCGCTTCATCGAATCTACACCAATTCAGAAAATTCGCTCATAAACAGTTTAGAAAAACATACAAAATCGACACGAAACACACAACATTTCCAGAGAAAAGCATCTGTATTCGTAAAGCGAAGTACCATATTTACGCACATATGCCTGATGTAATTATGACACATTTGTGATTTGTAATCCGACGATATGCGGCTCGTGCGTTGTGGCACATCAAAAATCAGCAGCGTGCCACGAACACAATATAGAGCTATTATAATATTACTATTAATTTACGCAAAACAAAACAAAAGCATTTATCAGGAAAACTGCGACCGGTCTTTAGTGGAAATAAAGTGGAAAATAAAATTATAAAAAGCAAGATATTTTTAAATAAAAGTCAGCCGCAGCAGATTTACGGGAAAGAAAATGCTTTCAAGTAGCGTATAACCTGCAACGTAAAAGTAGGCAAGTCATAATTAAACTGAAGGCAGTTAAATTACACTTTACATAACTTTGCCAAACAAAAACCTGACAATTCAACCAGCCAGAATATATTATTAACCAGGGTATTACACAATCTCAAGTTGCATTCACCTGATAATCCGTGACAGCTCGGACACGGTGATATAATCCGGAACCAAGAATTTGGCCTTATCCAACAGTGGCAGATTCTTCTCGTTCTCAAAACGCTCAATCACAATGGGAATCTTGTCGGGATGGTGACGACGGATCTGGTCAACATCGTTGACACGGTCCAGGAAACTGCGACGCTCCTTAAATCCCTTGGCCTTCATCGCCATCTTGCACGTCCCGAAAATTTACAATTCTCTCCCACAATGCGGAAAAAAGGTCAGAAAATTCCCCACACACGTCGTTCTTCTGCCCCGTGATCAACCACCAGCAGCCCGTTTCTTTGTAGCCGAGGCCTCCGCTCAACACAGGGAAAATCGATAAAATGTCAATAAACTGTTATTCCCCTATCCCTTTCTCTCTGCCTCTCTCTGTCCCCCTTGTCCTCTTTCACTCCCTTGTTAGCCTGATCCACAGATATCGATTCAGCTCGACCTTCTTTACCCAGGAATTCACACAGCCAGCGCGTGTGCACGATTCGATTAATTTGGAAATGCTACGAAAATTGGATGTTACCACGTATTATCCAACATGGATGACAATACTGCTAAAAGCGAAACGGTAAACGAGTCACATGGAACGGAACGTCAGGAAATATCAAGTGCGTTTATTTGCAACAAAACTCGCTCGCAAATGATCGGGTTGTATAATTTTAGAAACGAAAACAGTTCAACTGGCATAACTGGCACACGATAGATTTGTACACTGCAGTTCAGCGACAAAGGATAAAGAGCAACGAATTTATGCTAAGAACATGAATCAGCTGATGATCACATGCACACCAACACGGAGAAATTCATGCACGCGCTGCCAAACCAATCCCAATCCGGCGGGGCGGAGCTGTGCGTATGGTTAAAATGCGCTGATTGCGGTGCGCCTAAAGCCACCAAGTTGCCACATTGTTCGCCCAATAAACAGAGATCAAGGCGTGTCTTAGCAATATTTTAATTTTCCGAGTGTTACAATTTCCACTTATCAGTGCATATGATCGATTTACGCAATCGGAATTTTTATGGAACAAAACGTGACACCAATTGTGTAAATCATTTGTTGAGGTACAGATCGCATAAAATTATTGCTTCGAGGGCCACACCTCATGGCATTCTATTAATTTGCACATAATTACAGCGTTTAGTTAATGACTCAAAGTACTTTACAGTATTTCAAGTACAGTACATGAGTACAATTAAACCTTATAAACAAATAGAGAAAACTGTACAGATTTCTGTTGAAACAATCTAGAATTCACCAATCAAAAACGTTTCGTAAGAATTTTTAAACAAATAAAAATTAAAAAATAAAATTCAGTCGTTGACCGGGATGGGCTGCCACCGGAAATGACTACGAAAGCCAACTACAAAAATGCAAACATGAAGTCCATCAAATGCACGCTAATATGTCACAGGCGAAAAACAGCAACCATAGGAATTGAGGTCAAGGATACAGGCTTTGGACTAGGGAGATTTGGAAACCGGGAGGTAGGAAGTGGTCGTAAAGGAAAGAAGAACCGTCAGACAGGTTATTCGTTAGACGGAGCCGTGGTTACAATGCGCGGCTTGCGGAATTTCACCGGCGCACTGGCCATGAATTCGCGCAGCGTCGGAGTGGCGAATAGTCCGGTTGACCGGTCAACCACATCCGTGGCGCCGCTCCAGCATTCTTCCTGGAGACGGATGTCTTCGCAGTAGCATAAGAAGATGGTATCAATCACCATCTGCAAAATATGTAATTTAAATTATTCGGCAATTTATAACGCCATTTTAATTTCATTCACCAGTCAGATCGAAAAGCTGTTACAACTTATTATTATTTTCAAATTATGAGAAGAAACAACAGTTTACTACAGCGAAATTTCCTTTGGTTCAACTGCTTTCCTTAAAAAACGGGCGACAAAAAGCAGACCGATGATCCAAAAGTAAAAAAGTGCAAAAACGAAAGCACAATGGACAACAATAAAAATCAAATACCCACAAAATTACAATTTCGCTTTTGCAAGGGATAAGTAGTAAATGTATTACAAAATCAGAACTGATGTCTTCCGTTGACTATTTAATATTTAAGATTTTTATGAGCACCGTGCAGGAATTTATTGTGCCTCATCTGTGACCACTTTTGACAGCGTTCAGCAATAAAACTCACCTCATACAAGGAAAGAACCGAATGTGCAATGAAGTATCCAAAAATGCAGCACAACAGAAGCGGTATGGCATACAAATGCAGCTGCGGGTCGTATTTCATACACACAATACCCAAAATAGCTAAAATGGCGGTAATGGCACACTTTCCTGTAAAGCGGAAAGAACCCATGTTAAATAAATATTTGAACAATTTATACTGGAGATCACAGGTTGAAAACCACATGATATACACTGCTGGTGGCAACGTTCCTAGGGTACATCATCGCCGCTCACCCAGAAAAAGAACGAAATCGCCTACACAGTTCACCCCCATCATCGGTAAAGCGTTATCGTGCAACAATGACCGGGCCTCCGCTCCAGCTGGGAAGAAGTTAACCGTTCCCTGGACCGCTGCAAAATGTCAAATTTAATCATTAATCCCTACTGTCTTTAAGCAATTCATCACTCAGCGCTGCGCTAACAAAAGTGCCACCCCGCAACAAAAAAATACTGAGGATAAAAAATTGAGATGAAAGAGAATTTAAGCGGAAAAGTAACATTAACTACGCACATGAATCTAACGTTAGATAACTGGCAGTGTTGAAGGCTTCCTTATGATGAAGTCATTAACTGCACTACGACCGCGGCACCAATACACACAGCTGCTCATACTTTCAAAAATAAAGTACGAGTATGTAAAATTTGTATTAAATACGAAACAGCTTGTGTTGCCTTCACAGTATTTACCGCAGTACGATAACTAATTACCTATGATGGCATATGCATTGTGATTCAACTGCCCAAGAAACCGATCGTAAATCCACCAGCATCCACCGCAGCAGCGGTACGTCGCATCAGAACAGGATCCATGTCTCCGACGCAAACTGAATAACAGTTTATAATTATGCCGCCTTGATCAACAAATCTGGCATTCAACACTCACATAACACTCAACAGGTAGCAACTAAGAACGCCGTTGACTTTTCTCTAAAAATACGTTTCTCGCAGAATAAAATGTGCGACAACAGTGTAATAATGTAAGCGGAACTGAGCGTAGAGTAGTGGCGTTCTTAATGATACTAGCCGCAATAACGTCAAGGAGATGCGACTATTTCAAAACTTTCATTAAGAGCAAACGTTAAAAAAAGGTGAAATTTTTCGTTTTTGTGCGTGCCAATCAAAGGCCAGCGGTTCCGAAAACAGAAAATTTCCCGGAGAAAAGATACGGACATGTTGAATTTCGTTGTTTATTTCAAGCGGGCGAAGGTGTACTTACAATCTTCGGCAATATTGCACAATCAAGCGTGGCACTTTGAAAATGGTAATCAGGAATGATCCAAGAGCAACCGAACCGAGATGATACCAAATCAACTGGCTGATGGAGGATAACACCGGACTGGAACATTGCTTTTTATCCCTAAAACAGTTCAGCATTATAGCCATAATCCACTGCACAACCGTGTGCAACAAATTTTTCAGACTATAACCGCAAAAAAAAACTTTCCACTAATGTTCTTTTTGGTGAAAATTTTATATTTTTCAGACTTCTTAAAAACAATACAAGTCAACAAGAAAAAGGCCAATATTTACCTTTCAAAATACCACTTGGAAATAGCACCGGCTACAACCAGCTGCTGACAGGCCAGAATAAATTCGCTAATCCAGATTAAGGCCAGCACGTAGAAAATCCACATAAAACGCATCGGCGTCTGCTGGTCATACTCGATCACCGTGAAGGACGTGTCGGGTATGGCCACCTTGGCCGACAAAAAGTCCACCGTAATCTGCTTGCGCACAAAACGCGGAATCTCTGTGAAAAAAAGTTATTCGTGAATCATGACAACGCTTTCAAACGGATGGTGCCATAACGAAGACCATACCGGAAGTCGCCAAGCAAAGCATCACGCCGCACCATAACATCAGAAACGATCCCAGAATAAGAAACGTCCACACTGGCTGCAGCAGCAGAGACGGTATCCCGCGAATGCACACCGTGGCCTCCTCGTACATGCGGGTTACATAATCGATCTTCAGCCGAATACAGATCGGCATAAGAAACAAGATCACCTGAAAATAGCAGATATGAAACAATTCCACGCGCTCGTGCATATCTGTCCCAATGTTTTTCAAAATATTACACGAATTATGTTACAATTTTTCCGAAACCACAATCCAAGAAACCAGCTTATATAATACGTATGGAATTTGCTACGGATGGGAAAAATGAATCAATCTATAATCCCATACGTACTGTAAGGGCAGTCGCCAGAATAGCAAACGTCAAGAGGATAATCTCGTTTTTGCTTTCCTCCTCCAGAATGTCGTACTGACCAAAATACAGCCGAGAATCTAGAGACTGTTTTAAACTGCTCCATGCCCACCACAACAAAGCCGTCGCCACTGCAAGAATCAGAAATAAACAGCACAAACGGAGTACGGCGAAACGGACCGAAATGTTAAAATATAAGCCAGATACTGAAAAATTCCGAAGCTGAACGAACAGACTACAACGCAGCAATTTTAAAAAGCCAATAAGATGCTAGTCCTGTTGTCTGCTAAAAATCAAATTACGCAGTTTACACAAATCAGCGATTAATCAAAAGTCACTAGAACGGATTGTAGCCGGACGTGAAGACGGTAAAGCGATGATACGAGTAATCAGCTCATGTCATACACTGTACTACACCTGTGCTACATCTCCCGCAAACAGTATACCGATATGCAATACAAGTACAGCAAAAAAGCAGTGCAAAAAAACCAGGAAACAATTTACCGCTAGAAACGCGCAAGAATTTAAAACGAAAAAAAATAAATAAATAATTTTATTCCAAGTTTCGCTGAATTTTTTCATTTTCTTTTGACAAAGAGATAATAATTAGAGTAAACATTTCCAAACATAAAGAAAAGTATATAAATATCGTAACTGTGGCTTACCCACGCTGCCCAAGCTGACCAGGATCAATATGACGTAAATAATCGCAGCTGTCCAGTAGTATAAAACCAGCAAAAGTACTCCCGATAGCACTGTAAACAACATAACTATTACGTACTTGCATGCATACACCGATTACCATTATCACACTTCAGTTCCTACCGTACCGGCACATTCACGTACTTAATGAATGCCGGACGAATTAACAGTGGACTCAAAATAGCAGTCAATATTTTAATATTTGCTTATCTATAGAAAAACCAATTTTCACGGATACGAAACCACCCATGCTGATGCATACCGTGAGCCGGTGTGAAAAGAGGTTAGTCAAATACACCGGACAAAAAATCAACGGAACTGATTATTTACCTAGGGCAGCGAAGGATAATCCAATGACTTCACGGTAGCTGGCATACAAGTCGGCCAGAATTTGCGAGAAGAAATCGAAGCTGTTCAGGTAGGCGTAGAAATCGTACACCACATGCACGTCGGATGTTGACAAACTGGCCTTGTCGGGAACGCAGCGTCGTAACACGGGAAAGCTAATACAGAATGCATCAAACGTTATTCGATCAGTGCACAATTTTCATGCTAAAAAATTATTTTTTTTTATCGATTACGATTCTACTGCACCCAACACAACAAGTAATCCCATGCAAAAATTCGATAAAGTCAGCTATTGTGGCCAATTTATGCCTTTTATCATGACATATTTGAAGAACCTTGCAATCTAATAATTCAACAAACTAAAAGAATGATATGTATTAAAATTGTGAATAAAATTAGAGCTGTTAGACAAATATTACTGCGGTTTTCTTGTGAAGTTGTTAATCAAGCGAAAATCAAGTAATGCAGAAAAGAATTAACTAAAAAATTTGTAAAATCTCAAAAATGCATTTTTTTACAAATTCAAATATAAAAACAAATCCAGATGTACGAAGTGCTTTTATTTCCCGATACCTCGGTTGAACCGGTAATCTGGGACAGTTCCCATATCCCTCGCGCCACTGGGCGATTTTTACGAGGCATCCATTCACCCCGTAATTCGCAAGGATCTCCACCGCGGTGGCATCGCGCCGTAGCGCCGCACATTCGTCGCTATTCAGAAGGACGGTATCGCTCTTCCCATATTCGGCTATGGAGATATCATAACGACATAGCGCGACGCCTTCACGTCGCCCATAATTCTCTAGATCTTTCAGTGTGGAGAGAGGGCGATCGGGACAGCGGCTAACACAAATCTTCAACGAATCCCGTGGATTGTTGATATCGAAGGAGAAGACGTACCTAAGAGCGGCAGTGAGATAATATAAGGAAAATAAAATATAATAACGGTCAGTGAAAAAATCCATCAAATCTCAGAAATGCTTCTTCTGAATGCGGTCTACAATTATAATTAATTTAGGCATTACGCACTCAGATTGAAATAGAGAACCCTGTTAAAGCCATTAAACTGCGTTAGACTATACCATAATTGAAATAATACAAACTATAACTGAAACTGATGTGCAATTTGAAACTCACGGTTTGTCCCGTAAATCCAATCCCGTCAACGTGCGATTATCAATGCGATCATTAAAAATTCCGCAAACATTCCCGAATGAATCGTGTCCATAGAGCAGTCGAAACGGCGATCCGAACACTGCTGCAAGAATCCCTCCGACAATCTGCAGTCACATAGGCAAAATTCAAAAAGCCATAAAACTGATAAAAGCAGAAAGATTCTGTGGCATCACCACAGGATATTTGATAATACTTGAAAGTTATTTCCATTTCGCAACGATACAAAGCGGAGTATCCTCATGTTTTAATTCCCATAATTAGCATAATACTCGTATTTTATCCTAAGACAAATTCTAGATCTGCCTAGTACTGTAATCTGCGCTCATCCAAGGAGAAAGCAATATGAAATAAGGAGAAGAATTTAGAAAAGCTTTAAAGTCAAATATTTTTATCCAGGAGCAGCACAGATCCCAACTGCAAGAATTTGTGCAACTTCTCCACTTTAAAGTTATGATACGTACCAGAAAAATGACGAAAATCAAGAATACGAACAAGCACGGAAGATCCGTGCAGCGTCGTGGTCGGCTCTTCAGATCATGATAACAAACAGGTCCGTCCAACTCCTCTTCCGAACCAGCTACTCCACTAACCATTTTCTCCAAAAGTCAAGGTATAAATCATGTAAACTTTTGTATACAGACTCTAAAACTGATTCAGAAAATATATCTTTTACAATTGTACCACATCAAGTGTAAACCACAACACGGATTATCGCAAACGATAACGCCGCTTCTTTCCTTTTGAGCCAAAGATTATATCAGCGGAATGATTTCACCGTCTAGTCGCACGTCGCAACCGCACGGAGACGACGTCAAGAATCAAGTCATGCGAGAGCAGACTTGCTCTCGTCATGCCGCTACTCCAAGACCGAGTCACTGCGGCAGACAGCACTCTCTGTGGCCTGTGCAGCGTGTCAAAAAAAAAACTTCAGCAGCTGAAGTTTAGCTGTGCTATGGTGCTATACCCGATTTTTTGTACTGTTTCCCACATTTCTATCTTTTCATCTATTATTATCCATAATCCATATTTATCTATTTATCATTTTTATGCCCTACATCGCGAATCGTGCATAAATGAGTTGGTTCGGGACAACAAACTGGGAAACAATCGGCGGATCTATTGCCAAGACGGCCAAGAGCGCGCTGAAACAAGCCCAGAAAAACATCGATAAAGTCCTCGAAATTCCTGAAGTCCATGTGGAAGCGACGGATAACACTCCGAAAGCGGAGAATGGAACAGTTTCTAGCAGATCTGCAACCCCCACTTCTAGCGTCAAGGGTAATAATCAAACTAGTTCCAAAAATAAAAATACTGCCTCCATCATTGTTGCTTACGGAATTTTTGCGGTCCACTCTCTGTGGTGTTGTACTACGCTTCCGTACTGTGCTACCGATACGCACTGAATGCGCCGTGTTTATTTTCGACTTTTCCTCATTTTCGATTTTCTTTGCAGAGGAAACAGATGGATTCTTTTCCATGTTTGGCGTTAACAGCCTCAGCACTGTCACGAAAAGCTCATCGAAATCCTCCCTAAACGATGACACTCCCCGATCCCTCCAAGAGCCCTCGCTGAGTCGGCGCGCCAGCACCAGCTCATTATCACGACTACGTTCCGTCGACACTTGGTCCACATCGGAACTGCACGCTGTCAGCGATGTCACACATCCGCCCGATCACTCTGTGGAGATTCTAACTTCCCCTCCCGATAACATCCTGGATAATCTGGTTTCCGTGGACTATCTATCCGTTGAACCGGTGTCCCATCATCCTCCGGAGAAGGACGCGCTGGAAGAAGCGTTGAGTGAGGATAGTGATAGTATGATGCCTGTGAATATCTCGCAAGGGAGATTGGAGATCTTATTTCATGATGAGGAGCCCGCGGAAGAGGTGGACGTGGTGGAGACGGCGTCGGACGCTCTCGTAAACATTCCCCTCGATTTGTATGATGCTTCAGCAGCCAGCGAAGAAATTCCGTTACAGCAAACCCACGCTCTCCTATCGGAGAACAGTTTGCGGGAAGATCGCAGTCTGCTGGACGTTAGCTCGGAAAATCTGTTTGATAATGCATTTTCGAACGGGTCGCAGTCTGTGGATGTGCCTGATGGTGTGTGGACCGATGTGATATCCGATTCCGCACCGTTTGATGGGAGATCGGTGAATTTGAATGATTCTAATCCAGTGCAAGATGTACAGGCTCAGACAACAGTTGATTCTAATGCAGTACAAGATGTACAGCCTCAGACTACAGTTGTAAAACAAGATATAGTTGAAACTGACAGTTTGGAAGAGCCTCCGAAATTGGACCCGCTTATACAAAAGGAGGAAGAACCAGTGGAAAATACACGGACGGATGAGAGAGAGCAAACTGAAACTGATTTTGCGGAGAGTAATTCGAATTTTGTGAAATCGGAGTCTGTTACCGTTGTAAGAAACGACGAAACGGGAAGTGTTGAAGAGGATAAATCTACTGAACGGGAAATTGATCTACAATTCAACACAAATATTGCTGCTACAAATGATGACGCTTCCAGAACGGTGGGTTTTCCGAACATTATGTGTTAGTGAAAATTATTTTGAATTGCGCATTAATATTATTTCCGGTCATTATCGTTATTCTCGCTTTTTGTGCATTCCTTAAGATCTGGTTTTGGCGTTTTTAGGCCTCTCGCTTTGATCTGCAACGATTGTGTCTAATCGATGCTTTTGAATTTGACAGGAGCTGGAATCGTTGCAGAGAATTATTGTCGCTCGTGAGCAGAAAATTGCCGACTTGAATTCTGAGAGCGTGAAAATCAAGGAGGAAAATGATAACTTGAAAAGGTTGGATATTGCTTATACTTCTTGTTAGTATTTTGCTTTTTATTACGACACTGCTTAGCGGTTAGTTGGGAATCCGGGAATAGATGTAAGTCTATAATAATTTGCAGTGAAATCGCCCTTTTGAAAGAGTCGGCTTTGGAAATCGATAGGAACAGAAATGAAATGGCAGATCACTTTGCTCAACTGGAACGGAAACTCCAAGCAGTGAATGATGAGAAAAAATCCCTTTCTGAGCAGCTGAAGTTAACTAAGAATGAACTATCAAACAGGTAAAAATGCGCAATTTGTGTTAATGTTAATGTAAAATATCGTAGTGTATCGTAAACAATTGAGGTCCATGAGTATTCTTACAAATCTACACTGTAATTTTGGGACGAATGCACTTTGGTTTGAATTTTCGTTTTCAGTATAACTTTTTGGCTATGACTTTTGTGGAAATACTGTTGTTAAATGGTAGGATACGCATTTGATCTGTATCATAATCATGATTGCTTTCAGGGATCGTATGAAGAACACCACAGAAAACATTTCCGGTGGTCAGCTTAAAGACGTTTTGCGGCAAGTTGAGGAGAAAGACGTCCAGATTAAAGAATTACTAGAAGAGGGCGAAAAATTGTCGAAGCAGCAGTTTCAAAGCAGCAATCACATTAAAAAACTCCGCGCACGCCAAACTGAACTGGAAGCCGAAAACGCCAAGCTCAAGTACGTCGATACGCTTTTACATAATCGCTTTGCCTGGAGAGAAAATTTAAAGTTTCGAAAATATCTGAAAACGAAATTTGCGGGGTGGTTTAGCGTGGCACGATTGATAAGACAAGAGATATAACAATGTAATAATTTTACCCAAATTCGTTAGATCATTTGCAATTTTTTTGAAATGCAGATATATTTTCATTTTAGGAACGATTTAGATGACAGGACTAACGAAATCACTGCACTAAAATCGACATTATCTCTGTCGGAAGATTTGGAACAAAAGAATGCTGTGGCGAATCAACAGTCAGCAGCTGCCATGGACCGATTGGAGAAGGATTTATTGGCGACAAGAAATCTCAACGAAGAATCCAAGTCCAAAGTGGCATCGCTACAAAGTGCTCTTGATGTAGCGTATAAAGAACTGGCTGAATTACACCGACAACGAGCAACTCATGATGGACAGCTGCATGAAACGCTGTTGTCTGCGGAAATTGCCGCCAAGGAGGTAAAGGAATAATTGTCCCTATCGTGTCGTGCTGAAATGATGTGGGGCGCCAGGTTATCCGCAATGTACATACAAACCGTAGTATTGTGTCACTGTTACAAAGGTCCGAAAGTTTGGAGCATTCGATAAGTGCTTTACACATCATGAAACGTACAAATAACTTTCGATATGCTTGCTTTTTTTAGCTGTACTTTGCTTCCTGCAAGATTGCATAGGCGTTTTATATGCCTTTTTCGTTTAAAATGTTCAGGAAAGAGGTGGTCGATGACTGTACTTTATTTTTTCAATTTTTAGGAGCTGCGTCAAGCACTCGACTTACAACGACAAGAACTAGTGCGCGACCATGAGGAGTTAACCGAACGCGTAGAAATTCTGCAGAACAACGTCAGTCGTCTGGAATCCATACTGAAACGGAAGGAGGAGAGCTTCCGGGAAGAGGTGGCCGACTATCAGCATCGCCTGCAGGAAGCCATAGTCCGTAATGAAGAGCTGTCACAGAATCTCGCGCAAGCCACACGGCCACTGATGCGACACAATGAAACGCTGCAAAAACAGATGACCGAACAAGCGGCCACGTTTGAGAAACTGGAGCAGAATTTTACCAAGCGCCTGCAGGTAAATATTTCTGCTGTGTAGTTCAGTTATTTTATTAGGTTTTCAGGTTGCGTGGATATATGCGGTAGACTGTAGAATATGACAGCTAGAAAAGCTGAGGCGTTATCAAATCCGTAGAGTGATAAGGAAACCGCATTTGTTAAAATTAACGTTAGCGGGAGTTTTTATGTTGTTTTTTGCATTTGATTTTGTTGTATACTTTGATGTGGAATAGCGGTGTTATATGCTGTATTTATTTCTATCAGGTTTTACCTCCATTATTAGTTGTAGCGTAGCACAAAGTTTTCTGGTGATTAATTCTCGGTGTTGGAAACTATTCCTAGTTTTTCTGAAAAGTTTCGTAGTGCATTGGCTGAAAATTGAAGTGGACCTGTTTTCGCACAGATATCAGATATCCTGGCTGAAAGGCAAAGGAGTAACTACTTTTTTTTCGTAAAACACTACTTTTCGTAAAATAATACCGATACCTGACTAACAGAATCAGAATGAAGATTCACAAAATAAAGTTCGGATATGCTTTTGGTAAAATTTGGGACACCTTCTCTAGATGAAACGAACAGTACGGTACTGTTTTTTTATTGCATACCTCAGGAATCTGCAGCGCAATTATCAGTGGCTCAGGAACGAGAACGTGCAGCGGTGGACCGTCTAACCTCCTGTCAAGCAAAACTGCAGGCCCTGGAAGCACAGATGACCATTGTCCGCGAGGAGCGCCACAGTTTATCTGCCAACCTGGAAGCGGAGAGTGGGCGCTGTCGTACCTTGGACGCCAGAATGGGTGAGCTGGAGAAAGAACTAGATGCTATGCGGAGTAGTACTAATGCCGAGTTGGGGATTTTACGACGGGAAAAACAGCTGCTGGAACATCAGACAGCGCTGCAGAAGGAAAATGTGGAGATGGAACGCCGCAAAGTGGCGTCCCTGACCGAGCAGATTAATGAACTGAAAGCGACATTGCAGAATACGAGTTTGTTGGATGGAGGTACGTAATTGCTCGTTTATTCTTTTTCTAGGTAAATGATGCTTAATAGTAGTAGCACAAAAAATCAAAACGGATTTCATATCACAAAATTTCGGCCATATTATTTTGCGAAATCGTGATCAGTGTAGTACCGCCAAATATAATCGTAGCAGGCTGCATGATACAGATTACGAATCATAGGATGCCGTTATGAATGGCTTGTAGTGTAATGACTACTGTGGTGGAACCATGTGGGTGGTTGTCAATATGAGATGCGAACTTAACAGCCTTAATAAAGTAGAGCAGCGTTATGATAATGTTCAAGAATAAATTTTTTTTCCAGTTTGATAGGACTGGACTGTTGTTTTATACAGTAAAGTTTTCTTTGGGGTTATTGAAATGACCTTTGTAATGTTGCGGTTATTCAGGGTTATCTCAGAATTTTGCTCATGGTCCCTCCGTTCGCCGCTCGGACTCCATGAGCAGCCAGCTGAGCACGGCCACGCTGGAGCCTGATGGTCGATGGTCACCCAGCAACAGCAGTCAAGTGGCCAGTTCGTTGTACGATGTTCTGCGGGGCACCGGCGCTCCTTTCATTGACTCCGTCCAGTCACAGCTCAGACTCAAAGATGGCGAACTGCAGCATGTAAAGAACGAGTTAAAACAGCTGGAAATCATGCGCCAGACTCTGTCGGATCAGTTGATTAAATCCGGCGAAAAGGCTCAGGAGATGGAGCGTATGAAAGTGGAAATGGAAGTTTTGAGAGGCGCTAATACAGTAAGAAGACTGTCTACTGCATTGAATCGTTAATTAAACCTGTCAAAATATTTTCTGTGTGAGAATGACCGAAAGCGATTTCATGACTATTGGTTAAGTTTTGTTGAACGTACATTAAGGTTTTGTTTGGGCAATACTGTCGTCTGTTATCAGTCAACTTTGATTATGCGAAGTAATCAGTAATTAACCTTTTTCTTTTGCAGGATATAAATCACCGCTACAACGCGATGCTGCAGATGTACGGCGAGAAAGCAGAAGAATTACAGGAACTGCGTCTGGATTACGACGATATGAAGGCGCTCTATAAATCTCAGATTGATGCCTTAACCCGCATCAGCAAAGACTCACTCAAGTAACAAACAGTCCGTTTTGTAAATTATTCCCGCCTTTCCGGTTGAAATTGTTTTTGTACCACAGAGATTTACTGCTGCGCTAGAAGCGCTACAGTGTGTTTGGTTTGGACAAAATGTCTTTTCTTGATCTGTGATTCCTTATTCTAACGAGACGAATTTATCTGGTTTACATTTTGCAGTTCTGTTAGCATGAACAATTGGCTATGTTTTTATTCGTGTAAATAAAAATCAAATCGGTCGAGAATTTACTTCATAAGATCCATTAAACTGGTATTTATTATTTATAATGGCCTAATATTAGTTCTATTCCATTATTTTTAGTAAAACCGTACAAGAGTACCTTCTAAGCGACGGGTTCCTAACATGACATCTAACCGAGACACCTCCACAAATCAAAAAAAGACTGCGGTAGCGCAAGAGAAGAACTTTCGCAGCAAGAAAGGGAGAAAAACGTAAAACCGCCTAGCACAAACACAGTAAAGAGAGACAAACCAAAAAAAATCAAAAAGAAACAAACGCGCTACACTCATGTTTCTTCCAGGCTGATCTCTTTTTCCCCCGAGCACCTCCACGAATGTTTATAACGATTATAATTCCAGCATGCACGCCGTTCAAGCCATCGACTCCTGTCCACTGCCGGCCTCCGCTTCCCTTCCCGTCTGCATATCCAACAGATCCGTGGCCAGACCGAAGCCTTCTTCAGAGTCCTTCAGCTCATTCCAGCCGGGCGTCTTAATCACACTGCGCAGATTGGCCGCAATGAACTGCTTGGATTCCCGCTTCAAATCCTCGGCGTTATAGTTGGCCGCCAGGAGGAACAACTGGCAGGCGTTATCCGACGCCATACGCTCAATCAGCTGGAATTCACAGGAGCGCTTCAGATTATCAATCTGGTACTTGTCAGCGGCCACCAGCAGATCCTGCACCGCCGGCACATCCCCGGTCCCGATGACCTTATCCGTGTACATAAACTCCAACAATAATTGGATGATATTACTATCATCCGGCAGATCCACCGTGGCCTTGTTGTTCTCCTTGGTGGGATGGTTGAACATGGCCTCAAAGTATTTGGACCGCTGACTGATGATCAGTTTGTGTGCGCGATGCTCCTTGTTATCCTTACTCCGTATCACAACATCCGACCCGCGGCCACTCTTCAGCAGCTCACCAAAATCCACGCCCAGGGTCGCGCGGGGGATCTCGATGCGGTTGACGGCGTTCTCCACCTCCACCAGGATCTCCAGATACCAGAGGATGCGGATGGAGTCGTTCTGGAGGAATTTCTTCTCATCATCAAACAGATCACCATGCGAGATGAACTCGGGCCAGCCCCAGCTGAAGTTGTCGCGGGTGAAGCAGTCCACTTTGCCCATCTTGGCCGAGCGCTCCATGGTCTTGAGGGCATCGTGGATGTCGTCTTCAAAGGAGAGAATCTTCCCGCGGTGCTTGGCCTGCACATGGCCCTGATTAGGCTGATACACGCACAGGTAGGCCGAGACGAAGTTGCGCTCGGGGACGTCCCGGTTAAATCCCAGGGGATGCACACGCAGATACCTAATATCAAGACAACAACACCCGTCAGCATTGTAATCACTGTATTTCTTTCCGGATCAAGTAATAAATTCTCTCCATCCAGAAAAAAAGATCAAACAAACATTTTAATCTACTGTACGGGTATTGTGTCCAGTCTCTAATATTTCTTATAAACAGGATCGAGAAGGATTCAATAGATGGCAATAATCTGTGATAAAAATACTTCAAGTAAAAACACATGGAAAAGCATTGCACAGTGGGACGCACATCCGTTAACTAATCTCTAACCACACAATTACGAAACCACGGAATATCTCATAATAAACACTATAACATTATGAATAAATACCGCAGCTGCAAGTCATGGAGCGCGTCAATTAGTGATATCGCAAAGTTCGCAAACCACCTCGCATAAACCAGCATGTGGACTAATAAGAGACAATAACATTAGAGTTTTAGTGCAATACCAACTGAATGAAATATCACTGACAAGAGCTAATTAAATACCCAATCTCTCAATGAGGTCAATTCATGTATAAATTAATTTCTGGTCACCTCCGTCCCTGTTCGCAAATTAAGTACAGTACATAAATAGCAACCGCGTCTCAATATTTTTATTACTATGAAAAGTAAAACTTATCATACTGCAAAACAATACTTTGAATACATTCTCCTGCTAAAACCGCTTTTAGCAAAATTTTTGCGTCTTTTTTCCTAGTAGTCTACATATTAAGGGCATCTGGAAAACAAAATACTTCAAATCATACAATTGATTAACGGTAATTCGAACTGAACGAGGAATGTGCTAACAATGACGAGAAGGAAAGTGTGAAAGGAAAAGCGTCATTTAAATGAGTAAAATCAAATGCTAATGACCCTAATTAGCATCCCCACCCCTTTCACCAGTGCAAAGAACAAGTGTGGCGCGTGATGGTTGTTTGTTTTAAAATCCGTCTTATCCGTGAAATCCAGAAAATCTCCTCCACGCCTTGGAAACCTCACCGTCGCGATAGGAATCAGTACAAGTGTTGACGCTCATACGCCTGTCAGATGCAATCACACACACCCGAAAATGCAGTAAACAACAAAATAGATCATCGGAGCCCACCCTGCTGTAATTTTTCGGGTCATAAAGCACAGAGAAAAACTTATCATGTACACTGCACATTTTCAAAATAATCAAGCCCAGTCACCAGAAAACACCGTTACGAAACGCAAACAGCAATATGTATGAGCCCCCTCTTGAAAATTAGTTTTCTAACACATGATTGATTCCAACACACCGTATTCCATCACAAATACTGCTGATCTGGGCAGAAAAAAACGCGACAGACTGTTGCAACAAAGTAAAGTACCCGTCAAGAATCAAGATCCAATTATCCAAACGAACTGAGCGCAACCAGTAAGCCTTCTGTACGGCTACGACCGACAGTATAGTTTCTACAGCGCATTATCACCCAACATACAATTTAAACCTGCATCACAACAATAATTCAAAACCCATCATGCCATCAAGATGTCGCGCTCAAATCCGTTTTTAACATGAAAGATAGATGTAAATGGTGGAGGAAAAAACTAAATAACACACAGACTTACCATTCTGTACCATCAGGTGTGGTGAATTTGGGGGATTTTATGGATTCATCCTTATCCTTAACGAAGGTATAATTACTGATTGTCCATAAATAATGGCATTTAATAGTCTTAATGATTGTCGTGGCATGGTAACTCAGAGAAGCATTGGCATTGGGATTGTTGAAATTTTCCGGGGATCCCGAACTCTGCGATAATGAGCGTCCTGTGCTGGGATTAGTCCGTCCGTTTCCGTTACTGGATTTGACACTTCCTCCTCCTCCGCTGGATGCCATGTCTTTCCCTGCCCTTCACTTCCGTATGGCAAAACAGAGTAAAAACACAATTATCCTAGCAAAAATATTGAGCTACTACAATAAAGTATCAAAACCAACGTGAAACGCTGGTGCGAGAGTGAAAGGAAGGAAAAGATCGCTGCTGAAAATTGAAATGAATGGCCGTCGATTTCAAATGCAATGGATTCGAAAAATCTCTTTCAGCATAACACGACAGACACGCTCACTACTAGGCCAACTCAAGCATGCCACAGACAACTTGCTCTCTGTGCAGTGTGAGTCATAAGCGGAAACGGTGGACGGCTGCGTCAGTCAGCTAATCCGTGCCAAAAATCCTTTTCGTCAAGTATTTTTCCTAAACCCGGGCCTGTGGTCTGGATCGTCTGGTTAATATGAATAATCCACTCTGTAAGTATTGTGTTCCTGTGTTTTCTCGGAAATTACTTCTAATTTTCGTTAACGTCAACACTTGTACACTGGCATAGAAGGGCGAAAAATAAGTAGGAACACATGCGACGGCTGGTTTGCCGACACCCGAATATGGGCGGTAGCCTTAGAGACACATTTTGCAAAACTATACTCAACGTCGAGTCGATATTCAAATACGTAAGCCTTTAATTTGGAAGTACTTGTTAAGATTTTGTCTTCTCGGCTTAAGAATTGAACTACCGACAATAGATATCGATTAATCTACCGACAATAGATTAACTGTAATCTGCAAGCATTATTTTTCGAAGTTTACAATAATTAATAGGCTTAAGGCCGCTTAATAGCAGCAGTTTCGCAGTTTTTGTCTGTTTAAGGATTTCTTCGTTAATTTTTTTAGAGCTCCACCGTAATTAATAATTATTTTAAGGAAAATTAACCGTTAGGTACAACAAAACTGGAAGTACTATATTTGCAAGCGCAGTTCTGTTTCTAAGAAACACAAAAGGAAGAAACGTTAACTTGCATACGGCTACTTTTGATTATCGACGTACTCGCAGTATTTGTGCAGTAATGCTTCCATAAACGCAGGAGACTGTTTCGAGTAAAACGTATAGTAGTGTAATCTCACAATTACTGGAGCAAAATAAAACTGGAATGGAGCAAAATAGCAGAACATTTTTTCGGAAAGGCCCAGAATTCTGGAGTGACGATGCCATTTCTAATAAGCAGAAGGAAGTGCTAGCGAAAGTTATGTACGATGTAAACGCGGACGACGAGCGGTACCTGCGTGTCCATCCGGAAGTGGAATACATAATTGCAGCAGTTGTCATGTGAAAGTGCAGCACCTGTAACAGTCCCTTCTTCCTGTGGTTTAGCTACGACCTAATCCAGTTGCCTACTTGCGATCATGAAATTCACTGCTTATTACCGCGCGATAAAATAGTTAATTAGCGCGCTAAACGAAATATGTATAGACAGTTTAAGCAACGATTTTCTCAATTTTTTCAGGGCAGCTACCGAAGCTAAACCGGATAATCCTTTGCTGTTTGCTGTGGGTAGGTTCTTCTATTTTCTATGAAGTAACGATTATCCCGGATTCCCGACTATCCGTAAAACGTATATTATCCGTATATTATGCACAATTTACGTAGAAGTGTATTTGCATATTGTGCAAAAGCCAGATTATTTCAGAAAAAGGTCCAATACAAAATACTTCGATCATTAATGCTGGTGCGAACCGTTGTGTCAAATTGTAAAGATGATTTTCCGCATGTAACCGCACTTGACCGTATTCGGAGTTATAACTAGTATAAAATATTTGATCTTTACTTGGAGTATAAAAGTAATAAAACGTTATGAAATCAATATGACATTGTGCGCTTTCGACGGTGTTTAATATTTTGATTCCGCAGATTATTTGGCGAGTGACCACTTGAAAGAACGCGTCATGGAGCAGGTTCGAAAATATCGCTTGGACGAAACCGCACACCGACGAATGCATCAACTGGAATATGCAGGAAATGTGCCCTTTGATACCGAGCCGGCTCTCATCCTGGGAAGACCATTGCCCAGCAAAGCGATCGACTCGTCGACCACAACCAGACCGCACCGGCTCGTAAATCGTCTGGCGGAGTATCAAGTCGTTTAACGTAGAATTTTGTTGACTTTGCCAAAATGTAACAATCGAGAAAATGCAGACGAGTTTCATGTGGGCAGAAAACTGGATATTTGATACTTTTACTAAGTTCTGCTGATGTTTCTCGCGCTTACATCGTGTAAAGTACCCTCTACCTAGTCGCACGTCACGTATGCGTGCCACGAGTTGTCGAGTTTATTTAATATGTTATCGTTACGAATTTCACGGTGTTGATTCTGCTAGTAAGTACGAGTAATAAATAACACGCAACCCGGCAGAAACATAATTATAACGTTATTCCAAATTTCCAGTTTACAAGATTTCTACGAAGACAATTACAGTTCTCGAAACGCTGTGGATAGGAGACATAGTAGCAGTAATACATAGCACTAGCAGCATCTTGTAGACTTCATAAATAAATACTGAAAATAAACCGTACATTTCCTATACGAGTAAATAAAAAACTGTATATTCTCTATATGTAAGTAGTTTCTATATGTAGATGCACTGTGCTGAGTGCTCAAGCCATTTTTATTTCACCTTTCACTGATATTCTATTATTTGTAACCGTTTTTATATGTACTGGAAAAAAAATTGACAGCGAAACATAATTATATTAAATTTCTATTTCATCTTTCGATGAGGTTTCAAACCACTGAAATTGTGTGCATATTTCGCGTGCTTTATTACAATTTACAACCAACTCGAAGCATTTATCGTTTTCTGTAAGTACAGTAATAATAACACGCAACCCGGCAGAAACATAATTATAACGTTATTCCAAATTTCAGTTTACAAGAATTCTACGAAGACAATTACAGTTCTCGAAACGCTGTGGATAGGAGACATAGTAGCAGTAATACATAGCACTAGCAGCATCTTGTAGACTTCATAAATAAATACTGAAAATAAACCGTACATTTCCTATACGAGAGAAAATAAAAAACTGTATATTCTCTATATGTATGTAGTTTCTATATGTAGATGCACTGTGCTGAGTGCTCAAGCCATTTTTATTTCACCTTTCATTGATATTCTATTATTTGTAACCGTTTTTATATGTACTGGAAAAAAATTGACAGCGAAACATAATTATATTAAATTTCTATTTCATCTTTCGATGAGGTTTCAAACCACTGAAATTGTGTGCATATTTCGCGTGCTTTATTACAATTTACAACCAACTCGAAGCATTTATCGTTTTAAAATCGAAGATATACGAAAACGGAAACAGCGGTCATGCTTATTCAGCACAAATAAATTTAAAATCTTCGTGGCAGAAAAAACTCTGGAAAGAAAGAAACCCATTAACATGTTAAAAATCCACCTACAAAACTGGCCACAGACTGAGTGAAAATTCGAAACAGAAAAAAATCTCCAACATTACTACCAGTCCTTCTTGCGGTTATCCACACTAATCTTGCCCGCACCGATCGTCACAATCAGCAGCAGTCCCCCCGATGACGCTCAGCGTCTGGAAGAAATCATACTTCAAAAAGTCGCGCATGGGACGATTGGCCGGTATCATCCAGAACGCATTCAAATACAGATTCCAGAATCCCAACCATAATACCAGGACGAAGGCCGACAACTTAGTCTTGTAGCCAATCGTCACCAGCGTCATGAGGATGGACCCCACCACGGCCTGGATGACGATGCCCGGCGACAGCTCCCAAATGCAGCAGCGTGGCGAACATGGCCACGAGCAGGACGCGGCCGATCAGCTGCAGCCAGTTCTCCGCGTTTTTATTATCTCCGATCGTGGGCACCCCGGCCATCAGAGTGGTCTTGCCCTGCTCGGCCCGTGACTCCGCCACCAGCAGCAGGAGACCGCCGGCCAGCGCCAGATTCCGCATGAGAAACTGCACATCCCACAAGATCTGGTAGGCGATGGTCTGCATCAGGACGATCCCGCATAGAATCCCGCAAGCAATGGTCACATGCTTGCGCAGCATAATCATCCCACAGGGAACCAGCTGGCCCAGGAGATTGGTCAGGACGAAGAGCGTGGAGATCCAGTAGCCCCAGTGCCATGTGGCGTCCATGTAGGAGCGCTGCTCATTCCACTGGAACCACATGCGGATACCGTCCTCGACGAAGGTGGAGATTAAACACAGGCGCGCGATATGCGGCAAGACCAGTTTGGTTTTGCGGTAAAAGGTATCGGAGATGTCCTCCAGTTTGTCCAACCAGATGGCCTGCTGGCCCGTCCGCCGATTACGCGAGTCCAGGAAGGAAGCCATGTTTTCGGGAAAACCAACGTCAAAATATATTAAATCTGAATAAATATAAAAGAATATATTCCGGTTTTTTTATGTTTTTGGCCAGCCGCTCAAACTGGTGCGAGCTGGCTGCGAAATATGGAAATGAATTTTAATGAGAATAATGTTTTGCGAAGAAAACTGCAGTTGGTTTTTACCTACGTGTCATTGGTAATTGAATAATGCGGCGCTGCGCATCAGTTTCGGGTGGGTGCTTCTACCAAAAAACGGCATGGTACAGCGAGATGCTGTGCAGCCGTCGAATTTCCGAATAACGGTTAGGTGAGGGGTAGGCGGAGTCATAACCGGAAGTGCGGTCAAATCAGCTGGAAAACAATTGCACTTTGCGGCTATGGAGTCAAAACCTGGAGTGGCTTCCACCGGCCAAACTGCTGAACATTTTTTATGGGTTTCCTCCACTTTCCTTGTCTTGTTTCTTAGGCGATTGTTCCCAAGCACTTTTTATTCTGTTCGTAGACTGCAGTTTTTCTGTTTTACTGATACTGCTGTGTGCCGCTGCACAGTCTGCAATCTGCATGATATGCAATGCAAGCTTATAAGCGCTGGCAGCAGCGCAGTTTACGCCAATAGAATTCCTAATATCGAAAATAGAAATAAATGTTTTTTTTGGGTGGTCAGTAAAAGGAAAGGACAAAGACAATTCACAACAAGTAACAAAACACAATCAAACAAACTTTCAGTTTGACAATTTCCACTTTTGCAAAGTCCAACGAGAAGTTAACACCGGGCACCGATACCATTCCATGGATCTGAGCATTCCATTGGAAGTTTAATCATTCCCACTGCTTTCTGTTTTGAAATTTCCACGCTACACACGTTGCGCAGTTTTTTAGGACTACTAAGTCACTAGTGACTACTTACTTCGACAGTGAGAATCTGGGAAAATCGTGGTTTCAACTGGTTTGCCTATTTTTGGACTTTTTTTTGTGGATGTAGAGCAGTGTTTTATACGTTTCCTCAGCAGTCCGTCTGAAGGAATAATCTGAACTCCGCCGATAAATTCATGATAGATTCTGTCGACGTTCACGCGAACCCAGTCAACATGTAACTTCGTGTCAGAAAACATCGCGTGATGCATAGTCATGGATTATTTTAGCTCTGTTCCGATAGAAGATTATCTATGAAACATGAATTAACTGTTAACACAGAAGTTTTCGCTGTAAAGATCCTCCCAGTCCTGTCAGTAGAATTGGCATGGAGAAAGAAAGCGAAAATGGGGAGTCTAATCAAGAAGAGCGCAACCAGAAGGAGCCTGCGAGCGATGTTAACAACGTAAGGGTTGAAATTTTGCGTTCATAACTTTACATTATAATCGAATACGATGACACATCCATATTACAGTATAAAAGTTTGTTTGTAAAAGTTGTGTTAAGGGTATGCATCAATGTTGCGGTTTGAAAATTGTAACCAGTATTGTCGACGAATTCTTTGCCTAATCTTCAGGCTTAATGGAATCCTTTTCACATACTACGACGCTATGCATACGGTTTTGTTGAATTTTTTGTATTGGTGATTTATGGTATTTGTAACTACATCTTAATCAATGACTTTATTTTAAGAAACGTACGCTGTTGATTTTTTTCAGGCTCCCCTTTCAAATCCTGCTGATGGACGAAGCACTCCGGATCAGAAAAAGAAGATTCCGGTTAGTTGTTGAAAGGAAATATCATGTGTTTACTCTCGCTGAGTTGATCACTCTACAGATACTGTACCTAGTCGATAGCCATCATTATCTGACGTTAATGAAACATCATTTCCGCTGCCACTTTATATCGTTTCGTGTAATATCCTTTCGTATTTTTCAGGTGGAATCGCTCGGAAAGGACGAACTGGTTCAGCAATGCAAGAAGCAAATGCTCTTGCTGCAGAAGATGAAGGCGCGATATGATGGTAAGGGAAGGCTTCCGTTTCTCACGCATTCGTTTTTATGCACCAGCGGTGTACAGTTTTAACTGACAAATTGTAAATCTGGGCGAACATTCTGTCCGTTAGTTACTGAACTTGAGAATATGAAAATTCAGGAAATCTTTCTGTGCTTAGCTGTAAAATGTAATAATGCAACCAAAATTACCGCTCGGCAGTTTTATTTTACGCATTTTGTTTATTTGCGCCCAGTATTTTTTGTTTACCATTTCTAAATGCCGGTTAATGGACCAGTGAGATTGATGCGATTTTTATGCAGGAATCAAGTTAGTTACCTTAATCATTTGTGAGTTGTTTTACTTGTTCTAATTATTGGATACGCGTATTTTATGTTTAAGTGCATATGGCATTTGCTTGTGTAAGTTCGTATAAATAAAAAACAGTTTGTATTGATCAACTGCCAATGAAACTTTTTGTAACAAATTTGAATGATTGAAAACTGGAATATAACGTAGACACGGTCTGCGCTTTGACTGAGTGTGAGTAATCTTGTGATGGCAGTTTCACGAATCGCCATTGTTCCAGATCTGCAACAGAAGCATACCGATCTCACGCAGCAGCACGATACCTGTACCCAGCTTGCCACGGAACACCAATCCGTCCTCCGTCGGGTATCCGCCCTCGAAGCTGACCTCAAATCCGAACGGGAAATTCACCGTAAGACCAAAGAGCAGGTAGCCCGCCTCTCGCAACATTCCGTCGCCGAACTGGAAATCCGCGATTACACTCGCACCATCGACCAGCTGAACGAGAAGCTGACAGTGAAGGATAACTGTCTGGTGCGCGCCACGGAGCAGCTGCATAAACTGGAAAAGCAGGTGGAAGAAAAGGATGCCATGATCAATGAGCAGGATTCCCGTATCATGCAGCTAGCGGAGCGCTGTTCAGAGTTAGAAGTCACGATTGTGGAAAGTCGAAAGGAATGTCTGGAACGCGAGAGGGAGATCGGTGCGCTACGGGATGATGCCATACAGCTAAAGGAACAAATGGCAGCTTTAGAGGGAAAGATGTCTGATCAGGAAAACAATCAGTCTGAGATAGTTAAGAATCATTCCGAATTACAGGTACAGTAATTTTAGAATTTTATATTGGTCTTGGTGGTTGTTAAAAGTTCGGTGTTTTATTTAAGTAATGTTTTATTTAAGTCAATGTAGGTGCAATCATTATTGTGTTCTTTCGAATTTGTCGTACAGCAGTTTCTTCCAAAGCGTCCTAATATTTTTTCTCGTAATGTGTTTATTTTTTTGGTTGCTTATTCCCAAGAGAATTTTCATTCAAAATACATATATTTTATTAAGGCTTGCTTTCGTCGTGTATCTGAGGGATTGTATTCTTGATTTCTTACTTATACGCTTCACAACAATGCAATCCAACCATTGCTTGCTGTACAAGCGGTAAACGGCCAATGAACTGAGGATCTGATGTATTGTATTGTTTATTGATACTTTGATCGCGTGTTGTAGAAAAACTTGGAGGTTGAGCGGCGACTGGTTGCCCAGAAGAACACGGAGATTTCCCGCCTAACAGTTGATCTGTCACATACCAAAACCCAGCATGAGCACATACTGAAGGATTTTGAGGAGTACAAAGTGCGAGCGCAGGCGCTTCTAAAACAGCAGAAAGGCTCGAGCGATCGAGCCACCCATCAGAAGGAGCTGGACGAGCTGACGGGTCGTATCATGGATCTGGATGCAGAGATTACAACATTGAAGATACAGAACGAGGATTTGTCGGCGGAGTTGAGCCGCGAACGGCTCGCGACGGAGGCCGGCAAACGGTCATCGGAAGCCGAGCGTATCCGGTGGGAAAACAGTCTTCTGGAATGCGAAGAGCGTATTCGGGCGCTGGATTATGCGAAAGTACGTATATTAGTTGTGGTTCGAACAGTGTATTTTCCTAAAATGGATATTTATGCAGAAGCGCAGTGAAATGGGTAATAGGTAGCTTATAACTTTATACAATGTTGTTCGTTGTTTTTAATGCATCTCGACTTCGTTTTTTTGTACAAGTCGGTTTTTATTATCTGTATTGTTACCGCTATACTTTTGTGCTGCCAAATTGGTTGTCACATGTTTTTTGATCTGGCATTGATAGCAGCACTAATCCAGCGACTCAAGATAGTGTGAATTGTTAATAATTGTTGATTTGTTTTAGGAATCCGCCCATCAGGATTATCGGAAAACGCTCCGACTGCACGAATCGGAGATGTCCGCTTTGAAGGATCTCCATGCATCGACCAATCACAAACTGTTGGAAGAAATGCGTGCTCTCCGCCAGGAAAACGAATCCCTTCGTCACAATCAGCGTCCCGCGACGCCGGTGGAGAAGCCCGACTCCACGAACGATCCTCCGCTACGTCGCAGTGAATCCCTGGAACTGAACGACGTCTTCGATACCGGTGCACCGGACGCAGAATCCTCGGGCTCATCGGAACTACCATCATTCCATCGCACCATCAGTGTCTCTGCTAGTGAGATTGTCGCCGTCCCACCGCTGGAAAAACTAATCGCCATCCCTCCTTCCAGCGCCGACCAAAATGACCACAAGCGGATGAAGCATTTATCGGAACTGCTGCACGAAAGCGAGAACACCAATGTCCGCTTGAGTGAGCAGATCAAGGTGCTAAAGCATGAGCTGCGGAGGACGGAGAGTAATACGGAACGAGAGAAACACGCGGGGTCGATGGAATATTTGAAGAATGTTTTAATGAAGTTTCTTACGCACCGGGTCGCACAGGCCGAACAGGAGAAACTGATCGAAGTGATGACGACGATACTGAAGTTAACGGTGGAGGAGCGCCAGCAGCTGGCTAAGGCGGGAGCGGCCAGCTACATTCCGGAGAATGTCAGGGCGTGGGGTGCCTATTTGAATCCGTGGAAAGGCAAAGAAAGTTGAGGAGCAGTGTTTGGTGGTTTTTTGGTACGGTGAGGAAAAGAATGTTATCGCGGATGTAGGTCGTCTTTCAGTTTGCGTAAATGGTTAATTTTCTAGGGATATCAGTGCCTTATTGTGAAATTTGAAGCTTTTTTGTTGGTGTGAATTCAGAAAATATTTATGTGCTACCTTTCTGGGGCTTATTTTGTGCTCAAAGAGCCACCTAGTTTGGTAGATTGGTCGCTAATCTGTTGATCTAAGCTTTCAGTTTTGTGCTAGTGAACTTGTACGTAGTTACTATTAAAGGTCAACAAGTGGAATAGCGCAAATTGCTATTATTGACTGTCATTAATACCGCAATCACTGTCCGACTCCGATGTGCGAAAAGTTCAAATGTACCTATTCTCAAAAATCTGGAAAAACAGAGTGAAAAAAAGTACTCCTACAGAAAATGGGAACAAACACCGATGACTGAACAATATACTGTACCATAGACATAATAGTGTACAATACATATTATATACGCTAGCAAACTGTTGCAAACGCTGCTGATGTTAAATACGATCTGCATGCTGCAACTGTAGGATTAACTATTCACTGCCGCTGTGGCGTCTGTAGTTGTAGTCACCAATTTTGTTGGCCAGATCCCGGTCAGGAAAATGTCCCAGGGCTCGCTCCATGGAGTTGTTTTTATCGGGATAGTATTCGCTCTGCGCTCGTTCGGCATCGCATTCTTCGGCATTGATGCCCATGATATCGCCAATCGGCCGGCCGCGATTCATGTCGGACTAAAATCACAAGCATATGCTGCTTCCATTTCAAGTTGTCACAATCATCAATAAACTAGATTTTATTTCGGATAGGCGAATTATTTACTGTACGTTGATTTTCCCGGGAATCAAGGATAAGCATCACAATTTAATTCCGTAATTAATATAAATACCGGTAACAGTCACTGTGTCAGGAGAGTCAGGCCACAAAATAAAATGCTGCTGTCAGCAACTAAGGTTTTAATTAATCATATAAATACGATTAGCACTGCAACTGGGCACAGACACGTGCACGCAGTTATACTTTAACTTACCGCGACACCGCGAAGCGACGCTAGTTCATCGGGCTTTGCTAATTGGCGATCCATAAATAAAAACTTCAGGAAATTTGAGGTTGATAAAACTGATTAAGCGTTGAATCGTGCAGATATTTCGGCTTGCCCCTAATAATTTAACAGAATAATTACAATTCGCAAAGTTGCAGTATGAATTTGCTTACGAGCACTACCAGCCAGCTTATATATTGCCTTTTGATCTATAAAATTTTTGCTGATCTAGATATGGGAATTCTCCATGTTTATATTTTATTGTTGGCTGTACATGGCTGATCAGCTGAGACACCATTGCTTGACCTTTCGCAGATTCATACTCATTCAAATGTGGGCCTGCTATTTATAATTCACACTTTGTTCGTGTCTCCGACTCTCCTGCATGCACTTATTAACTGGTTCATATTTTCAACACATCTAGCATGCATCTGCCGGCACTCATGTTCCTAAACCGCGGCCAAAGTTATGTAAATACTGAGCATTTAATAAGCGTAGTTCATTCAGCTTCCAGGTCTCTCGCACGCGCCAATACAGCATCATGTCAAAATAAGCCTGTGCCTTATCAATGTGCAAATGGGCATGTGCCTTATCGGTGTACAAATATTTCCGTAAGTATCACTAGTTGTCAGTTAAAAAAATCTTCCATACTTCATTGGCATAAGGAAAAACTAAAACAAAAGTAAAAACGAAATTTCCGCGATAAGACATGCGAAAATGAATTAGGCTGTAAAAAAATTAGCCAAACAATTTATTGCACTTTCTCGAAGAAAGATTGCAAATTCTTCAGTATAACGCTTTCTCTGTTAGGAGAAATGAGCTTCCGGATAAACGTAAGCGCCTTATTGGCAATGGCCTGCCAAATCGGCATTTGACCGGCATGTTTAGCATGCAGATAAGCCACCAATAACAGCGTAGCCTACACCGCGGCATCCAGATTCCCACCGGCTTGCTTATCCGCATCGTTCTTGGTAACGCCCAGAATGCTTTCCAAGTTTCCTGAAAACTCCCAGCTACCGTTCCACCGCTGCAGATTTAACACTTGATTCAAAACCGGCTTGGGAGCAGCGTCGATGCTTTGCGGCTTCTCGTCTACAGCTAGGTCTCCGTCGTCGTCATCCAATGGCGTTTCACATTTCTTTCCGCCCACTTCCGCCTCATAGGAGTGCACCACAGTATACCTGTTTCCGACAGCATTGCTTAACTCATCGTCGCTCGACGCCTCACCGATGGCCTCAATGTACGCCATTTTTCTGCTTTTGCTGCCCACTTGCGTCTTATGGTTCTTAGAATACAGGTTTTCAGTCGTAGCATCGTTGCTTAGCTCTTCGTCGCACGACTCCACATCGCTGTACAGCCTGTACTGAATGCATGGCCGTTCTTTTTCTCTTACGACTCCCACCAACTTTGGCCGGAGAGCTCAAGGCAGAAGAATACCTTGATGGCATTCGCATCACAGACGTACGGTTGTCGCAAAAGGTCGCGCCCAACTGGACAGGAATTTCGCGCAATTGCATCTCCTTACCCTCCCAGCCTTCTCGCTGTTCAATCGCTAAAAGCGAAACATACTTGGACATCACGCCGTATCGCAAGCAAATGCCAATGATTTTATCTTTATGATCTGAATTAATTTTTTCCGTCTTCGTGCCTGACGGTTCGACGTTACGGTGCTGTAACGATCCATTGCTGACGGACGAGTGTACATCTACTGGTGAGGTTCCCAGGTATTTAACTAATGCTCTCCCTGCTAATATGGCTACACTTCGAGCTTTGTCAGGGCTTCTACCGAAGGGATATGCAAAAGCTATCTCGTTCTTCACCTTGTCATTTAGTTGTAATACAACTTTTTGACTCTGATCAGTTTTTTCAATTTCGAAGAACGCGTAAGCGATTTGCCGGTCACCACGGAAGACGGGCGGCAGAAAATAAGGCACTTGTTGCATGTTCTTCACTCCTTCCCACAAAACACTCCCTTTCACAACGGCAGGCTGCAACGCTCGTTCCAGATGGCGACCAATTTTGTCCTCCAGGATTTCTCCGTGTTTGCAAAATTCCGATTTCCCGTTGCCGGCGAGTGCGATTCTGTTGACCAGTGAGCGACTGCAACTATCGCCGATGCCGAATGAGAATACTCTGAAATTCGACGTATTTTTCCTAACTAGATCGATGACTTGTTCTGTGATTGTCGACTTCACCATCAGTCAGCACAAATAAATGCCGAGAGAAACCGGAAAAAGGTGCGGTTTTAAATATCTTGTTCAGAGGTTTCAAAATTTCGGTTCCTCCTAATCCTGCTTTAGTGGTATCAGCATACTTTTTTGCCACTTCGAACGAATACCAACATCAAAACATAGAGTCGCTTTGTTTTCCAAATTTTTATTCAGGCAAATAGCCATTTTTTAAGCGCTTGATGAACAGGTATCCATTTGCGGTGCATCACACCAAATAACGAATAAACCAAAATATTTAATAACTTGTACTCAATTGTTTTGAATTTTTATGCGTTGCTGTAATTATATTTTGAATATAAGCAAAATCTGTAATTCGTCAGTACAAAACGAAAATTACTCTAGGAAAAGGAAATGTCAGAAAACCAGTAGACATATAAAGCTTCTAGGTTCAGTATCTTTTTAAAACAAAGACTTGAAATTGTTAAGTACAGTGCTTTCTTGGTCGGTAGTAATCTGCTTCCGGACGAACGTCAATGCTTTGTTAACAATGGCTTGCCAAACCTGCACTTGACCGGCATGTTTGGCATTCAGATAGGCCACCACCAGCAGTGTAGCCAAGACAACTGGATCCAGCTTTTCCCCGGCTTTCTGTTCTGCAACGCCCTTAGTAACGCCCAGAATATTTTCCAAATTTCCTGAAAATTCCCAGCTGCCATTCCACTGTTGCAGATCTAACACTTGATTTAGAACCGGCTTTTGAGTGGAATCGATCATGTCTGCATCCTCACCTTTCGACTCATCGTTGCGACGTCGTGATTTTTTCTTGACAACTGCTCCTTCGTTCATGCTTTCGCAAACTGCTGCTTCTTCTTCGCATTCCATTGCATCGCAGTCTGCATCCATGCTCATGCATGCGTCAGCTTGAATCGCCGCCCGTCCTCTATACGAATTTCCAGATCCTTTTTTCGCCCTAAAAGCAGCGCCGGATGGCATACCCATAAGAGGTGCGGCGCAAGCCATCCGCGCCATCCTCATTCCGTACATCGGCATCGGCCTATGAAGCATCGGCGTGGACACCTGTACAGGAATCTCTCGTAACTGCATCTCTTTTGCTTGTCCACCTACTCGCTTTTCAATCGCCAAGAGCGAAACATACTTGGACATTACACCATATTTCAAAGAAATGTCCGTTATCGCATTTTTGTTGTCCGTATCAGTTTCTTCCTTCTTCGAGTCAGGCAACTCCACATTTCGCTTTTGTAACGACCCACTGCCACCGAGAGAAGCTGTTCCAGTTGGAGCGGTTTCCAGATACTTAATCAAAGCTCTCGCTGCCAATTTGGAAATGCCTTGATTTTTGTCAGAACTCATGGGATACTTAACAGTTGCTTGACCCTTCAATTTGTCATTTAGTTGTAGTACAACTTTTGGACTCTGCTCTATCTCTCCAATTTCGAAGAATGCGAAAGCGATTTGCCGGTCACCTCGGAAAACAGGCGGTAGCACATACGGCACTTGTTGCACGTTCTTCACTCCTTCCCACAAAACACTCGCTTGTACAACGGCAGGCTGCAACGCTCGTTCCAGATGGCGGCCGATTTTGTCTTCCAATATTTCTCCATGTTTGCAATACTCTGATTTCCCGTTGCCGGCCAACGCGATTCCGTTGACCAATGAGCGACTGCAGCTGTCGCCGATGCCGAATGAGAACACTCTGGAATTCGACGCATTTTTCTTGACCAGATCGATAACTTGTTCTGTGTTGCTGACTTCTCCGTCGGTCAAAACAAATAACTGGCGGGAGTATCCGGAAAGAGGGGCGGTTTCAAATATCTTCTTCAGTGGTTGCAAGATTTCTGTTCCTCCCAAATTGGCAGCTGTGGCATCAGCATAGCTTTTTGCAGCTTTGAACGTTTCCTCAGAGTAAAGTTTGCTTTCAGGAAACAGAGATTCAAAAGTGCTACCGAATCGGTAAAAGTTGAAATAACAACCCTCCGGAATGCTTCGCAGAAAAATTTGCATCGCTCGTTTCGCGTCTTCGATTTTATCTCCTTCCATCGATCCGGAGCAGTCCACGACAAAGACCAGTTCACTTTGCACTTTTTGGTCATCTTTTTCGAACTGCGGGACAAACGCGTACATCCCAACATACTGATCACCGTCGACGCGCTCCACGAAAACGTAATGTTGAGGATTATTCTGGATCTCAATATCGATTACCAAATCACGGTCAACTGGTTGCTGCTGCGCACCGAAAGTGACCTGCAACCAAGAATCAAATTATGTATTATCGAATGGGCCATTGCACGTAATTAGAATTATAAGCAATGTACTGTAGTTTAATCTACACATTCACAGCTACACGCAAATACGAGTACAGTATTACGCTGAATAGATGTTATCCAATGTAGAAACGACAGTTGACACTGCGAAAATTAAAGCATACCTGAACGGATCTCTCTCCAGTAATGTTAACAGCAATCGGATGCGATACAGAAGAAACTGACTTTACTATATCCAGCGTTTCAATTTTGGCATCCAGCGTCGCTTTATACGACACCGTTGCAGCATATTTTTCCGGCGGCGCAGTTGTCCCACTCGTGCTTTCCGGATTGGGATTGTATCTCGGGAAGAGCGCCATGGGAATGAGGAGTCGCTGCTTCGTCTCGCTGACGCTGTCCAATGTGCAGACGTAATTGATGCTAACCACGCACTCCTTCCCGGGCGGCAGTCTGCCCACACTCAGCACGAAGGTGTCGTCGCTGCGATCCGCCTGGTCCAGAAGATACGCGCCGTCTCCGCGTTGCAGCGCGGCGTTGTATTCCTTGAAGGCTTCCTCCTTCTTCTTGAACTGACTGATCAGTGTGCGGTCGTCGATCTTCACTGTAAATCCTGTGACAGCGGCTTGGTCGTTCATCGGGAATCCGTACACGCATTCCAGATCCGTGGATTCGACGTTCTGGAATGTCTGGTTAATAGTGATGGAACCGGCAAATCCTTTCACATCCACATCGTAATGAACAGCGGTCAGCGGAATCGGTTTATTTGATTCGGCAATAAATAACCCACAGCATGATTTTTCCATTTTCTGACAGTATGTCCAAGAAAATTACTTTCTCATCCAAATGTAAATTTGTTCCAGAAGTGGAAACTGAATTCTTGTTCTCCTGACTAGACTACTACAAGTAAATCCGTCAGCTGCTACCGGAAGGCTGTTTTTATATGTGAAACTGCTTTCTTCAAGTTATCATATCGTGTTTCGTGAAGTCTGGCTAAAGATAGCTGAGAAACCGCTTTTGTAAGATATGTTAGTCATGAAAATCAATGATCTCATTCGGCCGAAAACACAGGAGGGTGCTCTGTGTGGTACACAGTAAAGCGTGATTTAAAGTACTCGTACTACCGTGGTGCGGCTCGTTTACCAGAAGTTTGCAGCTGGCAACAGTGCGTAATGCCGAAAGGCTCGGTTATTTACGGTATTACGATGTTACGATGTTTACTCCGAGAACTGAATGCTCCAACCATGCGATCGCGAGTGTACAAGTACATGTGATATGAATAATGAGTAAACGATCGATGATATCTGTATGAATTTATATGAACTCAACGTCAGATGCTGCCGTATTACTACAGAGCCCTGTATACTGCACTATTGTGAGCTGTACATGTGAATATAAATATAGATACTTCAAAGTATACAAAAATGTTTATTGTACAGCCAACCTTTGCCTGGCAGTACACAATCTCTGTACAGTGACAATTATCCGCATTTTGGTGCGCAAATAAGCTGGTTTTGAATACGTCTTGCATTACATGACTCTATTAATTAAGTCTTCAGATGCAGTACTGTGCTGAACGCTATCAAATAACTTTTACTGTGCTTATTTTTATTTACAGTACTTTCCCATGTGTTGTACCAACTGTGAGTTCATCCAAGAACACTGTATATATTCAAGAATTATGTTTATTCCCGGAAACTTCAAATAAATTTTTAGGAGAACATATTCTTTTACAGAATAATTTTACTTACTATATACCGGTATCTGTGGTTACATGTACTGCAGTGCCGTTCTTGGTTAATTCACATTTACCGCCGGGCGCCGGCAAGCTGGCATACGCTGTACTAAGTTTGTAACGCAGTAACAAAGTACTGTGCGTTTGTGGTTCGGGATGCGAACCATGCGCAGTGGTTGCCGCGAATGATGTTTTTACGTTATGAGTCTGCGGTTGTAGTTCTCGGATTTTGCAAGAAATCATCATCGTGACTTTCAGTTAAAACATACACAATAAAGTCATGTGAATACTTCTAGATACAAGTCTACATTGTAAATACATAAATTGCACTCGAACAGGCACTTCGCAAATCTCCTCTAGGCTCTAGCTAGAAATTTGTCCTAAAGTTATTTTAGAATCTGGCGTACGTATATCAGCTGTGTTAATATTGCCGCAATTAATGCACATGAATTCAGCTGATTGTACTCGTATTTCCAGGCCAATTAAAAATTTACTCAAAACAAGATCATATGTAAGATGAACATTTACGGTAAAAGAAAAAAAAACAACGCCCTGGGAATTCCAAACTGATAGCCTTAGAAGCGAGCCAGAATCACTGCTAATTCTGTAGTTTCTTCGGTTAAATTTTTAGTAACTACACTGTACGTGTGCGCTATACAAACTCAAAACTAATAAAGAAAAACAAATCTTTCAAACTCTGTTTAGAACAAATTTTGCAAATTCTTTAACACGACAGCTTCCTTCTCAGCAGAAATGTGCTTCCGAACAAAGGTCAACGCTTTGTTAGCAATGGCTTGCCAAATGTGCACTTGACCGGCATGTTTAGCATTCAGATAAGCCACAACCAGCAATGTCGCCAGGACAACCACATCAAGCATCTCGCCGGCGTTATTCGCTGCGGAATCCTGAGTGACACCGAGAATTCGCTCTAAATGCATCGAAAATTCCCAGGTGCCGTTCCACTGCTGTAAATCCAAGACCTGGTTTAAAACCGGCTTGTGACACAGTGTTGCGTCGAACATCTCCACGTCGCCGGTTCGCTCCATGTCGGAATACTGCTGCTGCTGCTGCGCGGGCTGATGTGATCCAAAATCGGTTTGTGCACCAGAATTTTCATACTGTACGCCAGCACTTCCAAACGATGTAGCGGACGGTGTAGCAGAATTCTGAAGCTCGGATAAGATATCGATGGCAGCAGCAGAATCTTTCGACAGTTCATGAGCGAAGGGAGCAGAATAGTGTGTCCATGTTCCTGCATTTCCAAACGAAAAACCAGCAGTGTTTGCAGTCGTGCTGGCTGATGTTGAACTGCCAAATAAAGATTGTGCCCCAGAATTTCCGAACAATTGCGTTCCGGCAGTTGCAGACGCCATCGAACGTCCAAAAGTCGGATGATTTCCAGAACTGCCAAATGTCATACCTCCAAAGCTGGAAAATGGTTGCGCTCCGAAATTCCCAGACGAGCATGGAGTACTAATATATGAGCCAGAACTTCCGTAGACACTTCCAAACAATGGTGGACCACCTGACTGAGACAAAGCCTGTCCAAACTGGACCGGCGCTGAATTTCGGAACCAACCTCCAATTGCCTGTTGAGATTGTTGATAGCCTTGGAAGACACTTGTGGGCGTAGCCTTGTATCCTAAACCAAACTGCGAGCGCGACGCTGACATTTGCACAGGAACTTCTCTTAACTGCATCTCCTTTGCTATACCGCTTACTCGCTGTTCAACAGCTAGGAGCGAAACGTACTTACACATTACACCATATTTTAGGGATATTTCTGTAATTTTTTTCTTATTATTCGGATCACTGGCTGCCTCCTGCATCATTTGTATCGGATCATTATTTCGTCTTTGTAATGAACCACCGTTGGCAGCCAAATAGCTCCCACTTGGAGCTGTCTCAAGGAATTTTATAAGGGCTCGCGCTGCGAGTTTTTGGATGCCGGGACTGCTTTCGTTCACTGGGTACTTGAAAGGCGTTTGCTCGGCCACTTGGTCTTTGAGCTGCAGGATGACCTTTGGACTCTGCTCTGTCTCTCCAACTTCAAAGAACGCATAAGCGATTTGCCGGTCACCGCGGAATACGGGAGGTAGCACATACGGCACTTGTTGAACGTTCTTCACTCCTTCCCACAAAACACTCGCTTGTACAACGGCAGGCTGCAACGCTCGTTCCAGATGGCGGCCGATTTTGTCTTCCAATATTTCTCCGTGTTTGCAGTACTCTGATTTCCCGTTGCCAGCCAACGCGATTCCGTTGACCAATGAGCGACTGCAGCTGTCGCCGATCCCGAATGAGAACACTCTGGAATCCGACGCATTTTTCTTGACGAGATCTATTACTTGTTCTGTGTTGCTAACTTCACCGTCGGTCAAAATAAATAATTGCCGAGAAAAACCGGAAAGCGCAGGAGTTGCAAAAATCTTGTGCAACGGTTGAAGGATCTCTGTTCCTCCCAAATTGGCAGCTGTGGCATCAGCATAGCTTTTTGCAGCTTTGAACGTTAATTCAGAGTAGAGTTTGCTTTCAGGAAACAATGATTCAAATGTACTACCAAAGCGGTAAAAGTTGAAATAACATCCTTCTGGAATGCTTCGGAGGAAAATTTGCATCGCCCGCTTCGCGTCTTCGATTTTATCTCCTTCCATCGATCCGGAGCAGTCCACGACAAAGACCAGCTCAAGCTCACTCAGGACTTTTTGGCTATCTGTTTCGAGTTGTGGGACGAACGAATACATGCCGACAAACTGATCACCGTCGACGCGCTCCACGAAAACGTAATGTTGGGGATTATTTTGGATCTCAATATCGATTACCAAATCACGGTCAACTGGTTGCTGCTGCGCACCGAAAGTGACCTACAACGAGAATTAGTTTGGGAGCGGTTCGGTGAATTTAGCAACAGAAATCTACTGGGTTAAAGTTCACACCTGTATGGGCGTAAATTAGAAATTAAACATTTGCATAATTCAATAAAATTAGCAAAAAATATATTACAACAGCTAACAGGTCGAGCCCCTTAAAAATATTAGGCAGGCTGAAATCCAAACGTACCTTAACAGATTTGTGTTCAATAATGCTAACAGCAATCGGATGTGAGACAGAGGAAACTGATTTCACTTTATCCAAAGTTTCGATTTTGGCATCCAGCGTCGCTTTATACGACACCGTTGCAGCGTATTTCTCTGGTGCAGCAGTTAAGTCGAGTACACCTGCCGGATTCGGATTGTATCGCGGGAAGAGCGCCATGGGAATGAGGAGTCGCTGCTTCGTCTCGCTGACGCTGTCCAGTGTGCAGACGTAGTTGATGCTGACCACGCACTCCTTCCCGGGCGGCAGTCTGCCCACACTCAGCACGAAGGTGTCGTCGCTGCGATCCGCCTGGTCCAGAAGATACGCGCCGTCTCCGCGTTGCAGCGCGGCGTTGTATTCCTTGAAGGCTTCGTCCTTCTTCTTGTACTGACTGATCAGTGTACGGTCGTCGATCTTCACGGTGAAGCCCGTGACAGCGGCTTGGTCGTTCATCGGGAATCCGTACACGCATTCCAGATGATCCGTGGATTCGACGTTCTGGAAAGTCTGGTTAATAGTGATGGAACCGGCAAATCCTTTGACGTCCACATCGTAATGAATAGCGCTCAGTGGAATCGGTTTGTTCGATTCAACAGCAAATAATCCACAATTCAACATTTTCAGAATTTAACTTTTAACAGTCTTTGTGGACAGAATAGGCTCTGAACGGGTGTATTTCCAGGCGCTGAACCCGTTATACGTATGTTGTGTCTGCAGTAAAATGAAACCAATAAATCGTAGAAAAATGTCCGACCCTGTGCTTAGCTAGCCAACGTTTTTGAAACGATTTGCGATGCTCCAGTTTGCTGTCTTGTACTGCACTAACCACAGCAGAGCTCGGCTGCTTTGGACCTAAAGCATAGAATCTGATGATACCAAACCGATACTGGGACGAAAAACTAATCTATAGAAGTAAGTATGATTATGTAGATTTGATTTCCGAACCGGATCTGACTGTGTTATGTACGTATGGCGTCGTATGCAGATGACGAAGAATACTAACAGGCGCTTTAAAGTGCAGGAAGTACGGTAATATAAAGGCATTCGGCAAACATTATAAAAATGTCGGAGGACCGAAGATAACTACAGTACAGGGCCGAAGATAACTAAAGTACTGTATCTGTACTGAGTAACCTTGTTCGGGCTTGGCTTGCCGAGCCTGCAGCAAGCAATCGTAGGACGATCACTGAATTGGTTTTGTACAGTAGAATGCGCATGCATATTGTTTACGGGGACGGTCTGCTTTCCATTTCCTGATAGGTAGGACATGTCTTTGTAGTTTGTACGCGGTACGGTGTATGCGTATACTTCTATTCAAGAATATCAGTCAGATGTATGACGCATCAGTGCTTTGAACTGTTCCTTTCCGCTTACGGCCGGGAATTATGGTGGTGTCGTTTACCGTTAACTATGCCGAATGTGATAATTATGATCTCATAATTATGAGCACTTCGTGAATACTGTAATCAGAGCATTTATATTACGAGTACTTATAATCTAGATTCTTGAAATACTGCAGTAGCTTTTGTACATATCTACTGTACTTCGCATGTGTAAGAAAACGGCGACTTGATTTCTTTACGCTACGAAGGTGTAGAATGCTAATATTATTCAAATAGTATACTTCATACAGAACATAGTATGATTGCATTGTCCTAACTACCAATCTTCTTTCGTAAAGATGGGCTGTAGATGGATTTTATTTTTTGTATGAAGGATACTATTTGAATCATAACAGCAAAATAATATTCTACACCTTCGTAGCGTAAAGAAATTAAGTCGCCGTTTTCTTGCGCATGCAAAGTACAGTAGACACAAAGCGACTGCAGTATGTACAGATAGCTTGAGAATCTACAGTAGATTGTACTCTTAATATGAAAGCTCTGATTATATTACCAGGAAGTGCTCATCTTTACGAAGGACGATTAGAACAATGCAATCATACTATAAAACTCCAATTAACGCACAAACGATAATTTCAGAAAATCATTTATGCTGTTTTAACAGTAGAAAATGATCAGTAATATTCGTGCATGCTGCGCTCGAGAGTCGAAACTCGTAAGTATAGTGATCTTCAATGCTTTTTACTACTGCATTTCAATAGTTAATGCGAAGGTGCACGAAAGTATCATCGCAGTTACTCATCTCTTGCTATTTTTTCTAAGCTTCTTTATTGTATGTATGCATGTATTGCTTCACCCTGGAACATCCCGTTACTGTTTTCTGTAATTCCGATTTGCGCGCCGGGTTTCTATGGCATAATTTTTATTCGTCCACTGCGCACTATAACGTGCAAAAATATGTTTTCTGAACGTTCTTCAACAAGAACAAATTCAAGTCATCTATGTACGTATGCGCGATAAAAATATGATGACTGAGTGCAGGAATCGATTAAACAAACTAAACGAACTAATTAAACATGAATCATCTGATTAATAAAAGTTAGCACTTGAAAATGTTCTCCAAATCAAGCCGAATAAAATAAATTACACGGTGTTATTCGCTCTCGCTGCGACGTCTTTGATTGTAGTCTCCCATGCGGCCCTCCAGGTCTTGGTCAGGAGCGTGACCCAGGGCACGCTCCATGGAGTTGTTGCGGTCGGGATAGTATTCGCTCTGTACACGCTCCGCATCGCACGTGTCGGCATCAATGCCGGATACGTCGTTGATGGGGCGGCCCAAGTCCATATCCGACTGAAAATTAATAAACTCACTGTCAAATTCAAATCAAATAAAAGTACCGTACTGTAATGACCACATCAGCATATGCATGTGCAGTGCGCCGCAATATATAGCACCTATTTGTTATGATAATGTCCACACGCACTGTACATCAATAATTATACCAATTATATAACAAAGTTATCAATTTATCATGCGCACTAAGCCACTAAGTAAGAAAAATAATTACACACGACTATAACGCAGGCGCTCCAACGATATACTCTACTTGTATTATCCATGCATTTAGAAACAACCCTCAGATTATCAGTTCCGCGAAAGGTAAACTTTTTGAAATTTGTCCATATGCAAAACAAATCAAGAATTCAGGATTGATTACTGTAAGTACAAGTGCGCAGTTAAACCTGCGGAAATGAAGAAATTAAAGGTCACTTTGTAGCAGACTTTATTATCAGCCGAAAGAAATTGCTAGTTTATGAAATCTTGCTTACTACCGAAACACAAATTTTATTGTGAGTTTTACAGCAGTGCTAGCAACAGAAGTATTAAAGTTATTTTAGCAGTACTTGTCTTAGGTGCATATAGTACATTCGCAATATTAATTGCACAAATGCGCAATAACAACAATATTCTCCGTCCTTATAATTCGTGCTCGCATAATTAATAGTAAACACCTAACAATACTAATTACACATTGTAAGCGATTTAAAGTTTTCACAAATCTAAATCAGTAAGTAGTGTTAAGCACGATCGGTAGTTTAACAAGTACTCTGCGCTTAATGCTACATACAAAACCAGTTGGCCGATTCACTTTTAAAATGGCAGTCAGGAATGTTTCAATCTAATAATGCTTACAATTTTAAGCTAATAGCTAGGATTATAAGTATATGGCTAAGGTTAATGTGGGTAAAACTTAAAGAAATTAAGACATCGGAATTTAGTCTTACCAACGAAAATACAAGCATGTTTTGCTCTTAATAATAATATATTAACGCTAAAATATAAACTTACAGCGGCACCGCGGAAGGCAGCCGGTTCACCTCCTTGTCTCGTTTGACGGTCCATAACTGCTTGGTTAAGACGAATTAATTGCTGATAAAACTGTAAAGAGTTATTCTGATTTGATGCAACTGGTAAAGCTTAGAAGTTTTTCCTTTCAACTTTAATGAATGCAGTTTAGCTGGTGCACTACACCGATTTATATACGTTGATTTTGTTTGATTTGGAACGCGCTGATGCAAGAACTGGAAATTTCTATGTTTGAATAAATGAAGAGTTTTGTTATGATTACAATTCGTATGGAAGAGCGGGCACACGTTCACGGTCACACGCTGTTGATTGAACTTTATACATGGAGTGTTTTCGATTCCTACAAAATACGAATGTTGGTACGAATGTTGTGATTCTATTCCTGTCGCGATATTTTTTCACAATTTTGACCTGCCATATGTTAATTTGCCCTTGACATATACTCGGTAAAAGTTGGCAGGATTGAGTCACATAATCCTTTGATACGAGGACGTCGAGGAGTTTACAGCTTATACGCTGGGTGTCTGCCGATCATTCTCGAATTCTTGGCAACTGTTCTGCGAAACGCTTCGGATTATGACTTCCGCATAAGTCAGCGACAGATGCCCGTACTGATGATTCTGATGATTTCTGATGATTCAGCGGAGCATCCGATAAGTTAAGAACTAATGATTTGAAAGATATGACAAATTATACGTAATATTAATATTCAAAAATAATAATATGCATATTTAAAGATCGTCAACATGTGAATTCTGGAATAGTACATACTCTAGGCTTTTAACAGCAGTAATGCAAGCAGTGCTTTATTTTGCCTCTAATCTATACTCGTATTAAAGAAACAAATACGCACATATTATAAAGTGTTTATTTATATATATATCAATAATCAACCTTTATTGAGTTCCGTTTGCTGTTACGCGGCAAAAAAAACCCTATTACAAATTAACCGAAAGGCGCGCATAAGTTCATAACGTATTCTTTTTCGAAAGTTTTGTAAACAAAACTCGTGCAACGGAAGCAACGATAAGGTAAAACACCGCTTTCTCCTCTATTTTACACATGAATCTTTTTTTGGTATTTTCTAGAAGGATTTTAAAAAAAGCAGAGATTACAATTACTTGATAAAACAAAACGGCATTAAATCAGACGGTCAGGAGAGAAAGGGTGATCGGGTAGAATATTGGCAAATTTCCGTCGGAAACGCCGAATATTTGGTGATCACGCGCAAAATAATGATTTTATCACTCTAATTGAAAGCGTGCAGCACGGTGCGAGCAATGGTTAAGAGTTAAGACTGACCATGAGCAATGGTCAAAACTACAGTATACAGCGTGTTGCATGTGAAATTTTGTCGGAGAACTTTCCGATATTGTTTGGCTGCTACAAAACCTAGCTAGAACTTTGCTAAGAATTCATTAATTCATTTTACACTTGCCTATTGTAGATTTAGTGATCGACAACAAATGCCATGTTAAACAACACTTCGACACAGTTATAAAAAAAAGGTACAGTACTTGTACCCGTAGTCATGACCACATTGAACGCCAGCTGCTACGTATTACAGATCAGGGAGATCACTAATGTACATCTGTGCGAAAAAGAACAAAAAGAGCCGGGCAGTGAGTTAATTATGTTTCAACAGGTCTTCGGCATAAATTACAATAATTATTAATTTCTATTTCATGACGAAAACATCCTGCTACACGCAGGCCGACCAAAACAATTTTTGAACGGTCACAAGTCACAACCATCAGAACACTGAAAAAAGTTCTGTGTTCTGATGAAAAAAAAAAGTGAAAAGTGGTTTACTTAAAAGGGTGCCAAATTACCGTAATAAGATAAACGAGATCATGCGTGTAGTTTTACTAAATAATTTTATCTACTGAGAATTTTTTGTGTCCCAAATTTGCCCGTTAATTTTTACGTTTCTGCTTTACATCTGCCAAATGCAGTTCCCGGCGTTCTAGGATCGTACACAAGTAATGTTCCGCGGAGTCACAATAATATCTCTTCAGACCCTGGAACGTTCCGTTACAATGCTTAGACCTTAGAGTAGCCGCGCAAAATGCATGATTGCAGTTACAGCGGTTTACTTGTACTTGTACATACAGTACGAGTACAAATAATCAGTCGCGGTAAGATGCGAGTTTGAAAAACAATCTAAATTTAGAAAAGTCATATGTACAAGTGCATATCAGTTCCCTTACCACTAGATAGGCAAAAGCACGCATGTTTCCGTTGAATTTACTGCATGGATCTTTCCATGGTACTCAGAAAACAACCTAAGGATCTTTTTCTGGTACCGGGGCTGGCAGCAGAATCGTTCAGCAACTACGAGTATAAAACAGCGGCTGCAGCTGTGAGGAACATCACAAAATTAAATAGTAAAAACTGAATTATCTGAGGCTAAGAAATAAGTCCGATCGTTAATTAGATTTTTTGTGTGACAGTTTTTATCACTCGTAACCTTTCAGTATCATGGAC